TTTTCTGGATTTACAGTTCCGATATATGTTTTCATGTCCATCCAACTGGTCGCCACTTCGATCTTGCAAAAACAAATCATCTTCGCTAGTTTTGACTTCCATCAGCTCTTGTTCACATCTATGGTCGATGGCGTGGTTTTAATCGGACCGTCGGACTACCTGTCACTTGAATTGATAAGTCGAATACCTTTGTGATTAAATGTGTTGCCATCTTGTGACAAGCATTCGATGTAGAATATGGTTGTTCAAATGGTGTTTAGTTTCGTGCTTAGAGTAAAACAGAGGGGAAGAAATCATGGGACGAAGCAATAGCGCGAGGTTGACGAAAAACAAAAACACGATATGGAAGTCGGTCGAAAACAATACACAGTATCAAAGAACCTCGAAAGGCCAAAAGTAAAAGTATGTTTTGAGCAAACTAATTACCGTACCAAATCCTCTTCTATGAATATATATAACACAATGGGGGATATGAAGGAGAAGAGAGAGCAGAAAAAACACACTGTCTTCCTTGTGCGCACATTGAGGACACACTGTATGAGGAAGAAGAGGTGATACCTTGCTCAGTCTTTCCATAGTGAAACCTTTGGTGTATTGTTTTTGTCTCTGGCACGATAGAGCATGCAGATACAAAGATGATCGAGGACAGCGAAGCGCGAGAAAGTGATTTTGATAGCGGAAGCAGTCTCAAAACATCAAAAGACATTTGCAAGCAGCTCACACGACAAAAATAAAGAAGCTACAAAATCCCTCCTACTTCCCATGGTGGCATCGCGCAAAAAAGTACCAACTATCACCGTGAGCAGGACTCGAACTCACGACCTCCCGATCCTTGAGAGTGAGCGAGAGTATAGGGACTTAGGTTACCGGATCGGGTGTGCTGACTACTGCACCACCACAGCTTTCTTGGCTTGTTGGAGGAGACGGAAAAACATTTTATATAAAGGTTGGTAGAAGCGTCGGGTGGTTGCGGGAAGGAGTGTGTGTGTGAGGGAGTTTTGATAGGTAGTGGGCTTTTCGGGTGATCGGTGCTTAAGCTTGATAGGGACGCGACCATAGATAGAGCTGGACTTGGCGTCCACTTTAACAGACTCGTACTTCGACGTTGGGTGAGGTATTGCGATTTATGAGACGTCTTGTGTCGCATTTGATAGCTCGGGGTGTGTACAATACACGGTCCATGCGTGGGCTGGATGGCGGACAGACCGGAGGTTCCAAAGTCCACCAGCGATGAACAGGAACAAATCGAGTCCAGTTTTTCGAGGTGTGTTTCCAAAGCAAAGGTTCGAAGCCGCCACACTCAAGTTTTCGCACGTATCGGTATGCGTTTCCATTTTTGCCTGTTTCATACCAAGTACAGAGTTGTGGTGCCGGCATCCTGAAGATGTTTGCGAAAGACCGGATACGTTTTAGTCGTAGGCGCGACGAAGCCATAACAGTGTGCTTGTCTGTGACGAATAAATGGCGTGTGGGTGCCCATAGTGCGTGCAGTAGACGTGTGATCAGTGTCGAAGAGAGTCTAGTCACGAGTGTACACGGCGAGATTTCAGTCGTCGTCGTCTCGACACATCCTCTGTCGACTATAGCCACAAAGATTGTTCCGGGTCCAGTGCATCGCTCTGTGTCGAACTTAGGTCCTGGCTTTGCTCTTGCGCTTGCAATTCGCTGTTTTTTCCTGAGGTGGAAGTCGTACTGGTCGAACTGGGCTCCGCCATCCCAATCCATTGACCAGCACCCTTCCAGACAGCAGCAGCGACCTTGGATCCATAGTCGTAGTAGCTTCCTCCTTCCGGATCAATGCTCACATCATCATAGTTGGGAGCGGTAAACAAAAATTTCGTCGTAAAGCCATAAAGAACTGTGGTCACTATGATGAAAGTGACGAAAAGAATAGCTCTTCTAGCCAGGCAGTCGCACTTCATGGCTGGGTTTTGATAGCTCCTTCCTTCCTGGCAGAAGAAGATAAATATAAGATCAGACCCACCTCGGCTTTGGACATTTTACTACATGGTTTGATCAGCTGTTCGGTGATTACAATACTCTCAGCTCCGTATTCAATAACGTGCAAATAGCAACCACAAAACTAGCGCACGCAAAAAGTGGAAGAACGCGAGATTGCAAAGGAGAAAAGGGTTGTGTTTATGTATTGTTGGATAGTTGCATAAACATCTTGCACGACCCCACAGATTCAGAAGGTGGCGCGAGTGCAAGATGACGTCGATGACGCTCCCATTCATTCAATATCAATAAAGATGACCAGCATGCTCTTGCCTTCTCTCTCTTACACAACAATTCAGCAAGACAAGCACAAAGCAAGACTCTACATCAAACCACAAAAACACACCACACAACTCAAAATGTCGGACAACACTCAGCAACAACCCAGCCTCATCGGCGGCCACGCACAATATGTCAAGGGCGCAGCAGAGGTAAGCTACACCACTATCTCCCTAGATCCCTAGGAACTCGTATCTGACACCGACCTCTCCAGGNGCGTCATCGGCAGCGTAACCGGCAACGCAGCCTGGCAGCAAAGCGGCGAGACCGACAAGCAAGGCGGCGTCGACGCCATGAAGGCCGCATCCCAGAACCGCGACCCCGCCACTGACGGCTACGGCAAGGTTGAAGAGGTGGCTGGAAAGCTGTCTGGCTGTGAGGGTATGGAGAAGGAGGGTGCTATTTCGGCAAAGAAGGAGTAAAGAGTTCCCGAACCGAAAGATATTCGTACGAGATGATATTGGCATGAGGATGAAGTTATGAAATCAATACTTGCATTGTCGAAAAACACTTAAAATCGCTTTGTTTAGTGTGCATCAGTGACAAGACCCAGAACATGTAGAAGAAACGGAGGACGATAGTGCTGCTAACAGCACAAGAACCAGAAGCTGCTGTTCTGTTCTGATCGTGCGCCATCTCTCTGGCTTGTTCAGAAACACCAGTCTCCTCAGCTATCTCCGCCAAGTCAAGAAGGAATCCACCCAGCTCTCGTCTCCTCACCAGTATGTTTGCGATCAGTGGAGACAGTCAACCTACAATCTGTGAAGTGATTCTGACACTGTCACCGCTGCATTTCCTCTTGGCTGTCACATCCACCTGTTTCAACAAATCCTGCTACCACACACGCAAAGAGTCAGTCGCAAACATGCTTCTAAAAACCCAATTCGTTCCCGAAGCAAGTCCGTTTCTCCCTCGTGTCAGTTGCAGGAGTTCGGGTATAAGAAGCATGCAGGGTCAAGGGCAGAGTTCAGGAGGCTGAAAAAGGCTAAGCTTTCTGGAGGGAGGTGGTGTGTTTCAGGAGGCTGATTTGAAGAAGCATGGGCCTTTTTGCATGTCCAAGTTCTCAATGTCCATGAGTTTGGCATGTGATTGTGGATAGCCATTCTGGAAGGGTTAGGGGGCTTGGAAAGGCGTATGGAAGCGGATAGTATGAGGGAGAAGCGGTGTAGGCAGTCGGTTTCACGATTCTGGTTATCGGTGATCAGAAATGCAGATACCAGCGCCATCATGGCATTCAAGACGCAATATCCACTTCATGATCGATTTTTCCATAGTGCACGCGTTTTAGAGACAGACGTGTGTCTTTGTGTCGGTACGGGATGGTGTGATGTGAGTGAAACAGGTGGCAGGCGATTGAATGGATGAAGAGTTTCGTGTGAATTTGATTGACGTATTGAACTTGTGTCAGACCTAGGTCTAGTAGATCATCTATGAAGTAGTGGACATTCTCATTCGCCTCGCAAGGACGAAACTAAGGAAAACGGCAGAAATCCCAGTGTTGCAACAACATCGCTCCATGCCCGAAACGCCAGAATGCACATGTCAGCCCAAAGAGACGTGGCTTGACGGGAATTAAACAGGAAAACAGATTTTCATCAGATGCCAAGTGCGAGCTTGGCCCTCTCGTAGGCGAAGAAACTGGTGGCGACCATGGGGATAACCTTGATGTACCCGACACCTAGACCTACAAAAAAGCCTTTGAAACCAGTGTCGCGATAGATGCGTGTAGCAACCTCCATCATACCCAGACGATGGCCGTCACCAACCACGCCGCCTACTTGCATGCGCCTTCTTATGACTTCCAGTGGGTATGATACAGTCTGCGACACGAAACCAGCAAAGCCGCCGGTTGCGAGCTCAGCCCAGTACTTGAGCGGCACAGGCTTGTTAGGATCGCGCTTAGTCGAGGGCTCGGATTCGGGAAGTGTGGTGTATTTCGCAATGCGTGGGTGTCGCATCAAGTCACCGGCTGTGTCGTGGGTGAGGAAGGAGCAGCCGGCGTATGGGAGCATGCCCCAAATGGTGGGAGTGAAGCCTCTAAAGAAGTTCACCATGCCCGAGGCGGGTGTCGCCCTGTTCAGGGCAGCAGAAGTAGCGGAGATGGACGAGGTAGCAGCGCGGGCGACCGATGATGTGTCTACATGCTGGGTAGCCGAGCCGACCGGCGGCGGGCGTTCGTGATAGATTGTTTTGCAAATTTCTCTTAGGCTAGTCTTGTGTTGTGTCTTTGTCTCGAAGGCTAGGCGCACACGAATGACTTCGAGTGGGTAGGTGAAGCAGACAGAGATGGTACCGGCCAAGCTGCCACTGAGGAGTCGGCGGATAGGCGTTTCTTTGTCTTTGGTTGGGATGATGACGGCGCGAATCTGCTCGTAGGCTAAGAACTTGATACCGGCGTAGGGAAAGATACGGAGTAGGGTTGCTGAATGGCCACGAAAGAGGCCTCGCGTGCCCTCGTTTGTGTGGATGTCGCGCATGGCGCGGAAGAAGCCAAACCATGAGCCCGTGTACTTTGCATACTGAGGACTCGAAGCCTGGAAGAGGATCTTGACGCGGTCTAGCGGGCCTACTACCGTCTTTGCCTATACAGCGTGTGAGTTGTGTGAGTCGAAGTGTGGGCGACAATGACGTACGGCGCATCCGGCTATACCGCCGGCCAGACCGCTGCGCATGGCATAGTCCCAGCTCTGCTTGTTGATGGGGGCCTTTGTCTGCGGCGAAGGAGAGGGCGTCATACGGCGCGAGTCTGTTGTGTGGTCCAGGGCATGGTTGCCGCTGATGGCGAGGCTCGCCGGCATCAATTCAAAACTTGTCGTGCTTTGTCTTGCGGGGTGTGGACAGTCATTCGGCAGACGGCGCTTCTGTTCAGGACGGTGGATCTGGATGCGTCGAGTCAGGCGCAGGCGAGAGCAGTCGGGGTGACGGTAGGGTCGTAGGAGGGCGGCACGTGAGAAGAGTCAAGGATAGCAAGGTACTGCAGTGATGTTGATGACCAGAGTCTTTGATGTGGAGAGAAAGCGGCCGCTGACGATTCTCGCCGGGCCCGCATTGTGGGAGCCGAGGTCTGCAGGGACGCCCTTCTAGACCCTCCGACATGGCCGCCAAAGACAAAGCCTTCCACAATCCCGGTCCTTCTTTAACCCTCGAACAACCAACTACCACCACGGCCAGCATTCATCACGCTTCGATATTCGTCGTCGTCAGAAACGGCCCTTCGTCTGCTTCTGCTTTTTCGCTACACTGCCTGGGACATGACTGCTGCTTCTGCTTCTGCTGTCTGTCGCTTTGTTGTTTGACTTTGTTCGTCCATCACAGCCATCATTTCCATCTACATCTCTCCCGAATTCAAGAGAACGTGGACAGAATGCCGTCACCGACGAATACCGTGTCAGACAAGCAGTCCAACACTTCTAATCTGTCATCGAGTCCATCATCGCCATCGTCATGCGTCCTGTATTCAACAGACAGGGTCGCCCTCGTTGATATACCAACTTCCATCGCCGATGCCCAGCGAAACTCTGAACGACACCCAACCTCATCTCTTATTTCATGCAATCCTCAAACAGCTCCTTACCCAAACCATGAACCAAAATCAGAAGCTGCACGTCACAAGTTGCGCCAAAAGATGGCCACTGATAATGATAATTTATATGCCCAGCTGATCTCTTCTTCTCTGGCCTTCGTTCGCCAAAACTACTCTGGTCCTTGGTTGTTACCGCGTACTGTTGTCTCCCAAGCAGAACATTCTCTGCCACAGAAACGCAAGATACATGACCCTTCGTCCGATCCTGATTCAGATAGGGATCATCTACTCCAACAACTTTCATCCGGTACCACACACTCCTATGCCTTTCGCTGGAGACATGTGGATGATCAGCAGCGTGCGAGTGAACCCCTACCTGAAACATCCCCTTGGCCGAAATACCTGTACAACGAATCGGATGTTACTCGTATGCTTGAGATCACCTCAACTTCCATGCAGCCTGCCAGCTTTTGCGTTCCGCCAGGAGCCGCTTTCTATCTCGGTGATTGTTCAAACTCGCGCTCATTCCACATGGCCGTTAGGGACGTCGCCGAGCAACTCGATACACCTCGTCAATTTGATGTGATCGTGATGGATCCTCCCTGGCCTAACGCTTCTGTCAGGCGCACTGAGAAATCCGGAAGATCGGCCTATCAAGTTTCTCCCACCGTCTGGGATGTCAGGCAACTGATCTTCGAGATGGACATTGATGTTCTCCTGGCCAACGAGGGTATGGTTGCCATTTGGATCACCAACAAACCAGCGGTCCGCGATCTTGTACTTGGCGAGGACGGCCTATTCGACAGTTGGGACGTGCAGCTGGAAGAAGAATGGTTGTGGATCAAGACAACAACCGAGGGTGAGCCTGTCTCGTCGTTGGATGCTCTCTGGAGGAAGCCCTATGAAGTGCTCCTTGTCGGGCGGAAACGTGACCCAAAGAGAAGTGATCAACACGTCAACTCAACCGACAGTTCCAAGGTCGAACGCAGAGTCATAGTCGGTCTTGCTGATCTGCACTCGCGGAAGCCTTGCTTGAAATCCCTGTTTGAACGCTTCGCGATCAGCCCAACGCTAACATCAACAAAACAACGCATCCTCGAGTGCTTTGCGAGATATCTTGTGAGTGGTTGGTGGTCGTGGGGCAACCAGGTGCTCAAATTCAATCATACCGACTGTTGGCAATCTAAGTCTTAGATCTCGCCAAGAGTCACATTTCGTATCAGTTCTAAAAGCATCATACCCGTCACCAGATATGGGTCCCGACACGAGCATACGAGCTTCCTTCTCGACCTTCTCCAAAGCATTTCGCCCACATCTTGAACAGTCCCGCCAAGCTCCAAATCTAACTAGACCTCCTAGTCCAAGCTCCGGCATGGGTCCGACTTTTCCAGGGTGCGCAGAATCACATTTGATGTGCTCAACATCTTTCTGGTGGTCAGCTTCTAGGTATCTGCTGGCCTATCGCGCTTCCAACGCTCGCATCATAACTCCACCTCCCTATCTCGTTCATGTGCGCGCGCAATACCCGAGCTCTGATCAAATCGTCATCTCTTTCCAATGCAGACATTTGGCGCGATACTACCGGTGGCTGTTGGATTTATTATACCTTCTGCAGAGTGCTGGTATGCTGATCCAAGTAGAGTCCCCCATCGCGTGAATGTCGTCAATCTGCGTTGATAGGTTTTTGCGGCCCGCGACCCGTGTTAAGCTCAACAAATAGTGTCTGCTCCAGGCGGCATGATGGCATTTGATGATATTTGAAGCATCAAATTCTGCGGAGGGTATCCACAAGGACGTGGACCCTATGACGACACAGCAATCTTTCATGTGAAGTCGCAAGAAGCGCTCGGGATTGTCTTGGACCGACAAACTCCCGTCACGAGTAAGGTGAACACGTTGGAGCTTGGCCGACCTAGCCCGTTGATCCCAACCTCTCAAGCAATGCCATTTCCCTGTATCTTCCGAAGGAGATGATGCCGCCCAGCCGGCTGTAAGAGCTCGACGACCAGCCCTGATCCCACCATTGTCTGATATCGCACAAGAGGAGATTGCACGTTAGGCGTATCAGGGAGGATGTGTTACAGGGGCGCAATGGTTCTCGAGTAGCAACCATGTTGAAACACGAGTCAGAAACACAACAAACAGAGCATTTGTGCTCCCAGATCTCGACGTCTGGACGTGAAGTTTCATGGAGCAAAAGATCGCGACCTCAATGGCCCTTCCGAAACGTATTGGACCCCTTCTCCTGCAGCGGCGCAGTGGAAAACTGGGCCCTGTTTTCTTGCAAAATTTCAGATCTGGTCGCATTCTTTGACCTCGCTGCGGAAATAGGGTAAGCCGAACACATAGCCGAACTGGTCTGCTAGCCACAAGTGGGTCAAGCGTGCCAAGTCTCGTGGCACCAAGCGGCTATGTTCAGTGCTCACACCGCTGGGCCGTCTATGACTCTTCAACACCGAGGAAGGCCCACCAGCGTCTCGGGACGATGAATCGAAATATACTGGCGGTCGCAGCGCCCTCCTAGCGCTCTTTGACAGTGCGGAGATTTCAGCCTACCACGTAGCTGTTTGTTTGCCGGCTACCTTAACTATTAACGTCAATCTACCGGGCCATACCTCCAGAACTACAAGAAGACCAGAGCACCCCCCACCCTTGTTTCTGGAACACGCCCATACAACTTGACACCTTCATCGCATACCGTCTGGATCACGGTACAGCAGTCGCTTAGCAGCCACCTCTCACCTCGCCTCTCTACCTCAACCAACTCTTCGACCCTCTCACAATCCTACATGTATAAAGCTGGCTGCCCTGCACTGCACAATGTCGACCTCTACTACCTCTTCCGCACGCTCCACAACTCCTAGTTGCTCGTCGAACCCGACTCAACCGATCCAGATTGGTTTCTCTTCCTCATCATCGACCATGACCAGACCTCGCAACACTAGCGATGCATCCATCCTCTTTGGCAGCCCTTCCCCAAACGGACCCGCTGCCTTCCCTTCTTGGAAACTCGCTCGTCCTCAGCTTCCCCAAGGCCCCGCTAGCTCTTATATTAGCGACGAGGATCTCTTTGGTGATGACGAAGTTGCCTACCTCGACGAGGCACCTGAGCCACCTAGAACTGCCGAACAGTGGATGACTTCCAAGCGTGGCATGGCCATGGCCGCAAACGCCAGCCTTGTCACCCTCGACAGCAGCTGCGAGAGCTACAATAGCTTTGGCTTCAGCAATGGCTACACGCCTAGCAAGCCCATCATGATGAAGAAATAGATATCATCTTGATGATAATACTGTAAGCATCATGCAATACTGTCCTTTTGTGCATGGTCCTAATACCCATCAAGACAACTCGTTCTCTACCTTACGAACGCGGGATGTCGTCTCTGGACCGTTACGAAAGGGCAACTTTTCTGTTTCGTCTTTCAGTCTCTCAATTCGCCACTTACGACCCCTACCCTTTCTTCTGGAGCCTGGATCTCACTTCCGACTTCAATCACCTCTTTCTGGTCAGAGATTTTTTACCATCTCTTCTGGCTGTCCACTCGTTTAAGCCCGTCCGTCAGACATTGGCTGGACCATCCGCGCGGGCCTTTCATGTGCTGGCGACACGCCAAGACGTGTCGCAGCTGAGAATCAAGGCCCAAACAGAGTGCCACGGATCACTCTGCATTCGCTTTGCATCATATCTTTCAATTCTCTTTTTCTCCTTGTCCGTTGATATTTTTGGAGTTTGCTGCATCCTGCATGGTCGGAGCATTGCGAAGTCCTACGCGATGGAAANNGCGTTTTCTTTACCTTCTCATTNNTTGATACCCCTTGGCGAGACAAAAGCCAATTTTGAGATATCCNCCTTTTTTCCTTTACTGTATCTAGATAGCCTTTTGGCAGGAAGAGCCTGCAGAGGACGACAGCTTGTTTATCAGCATGAGCCCTACTGCAATAGGCAGATAGGAAGCGGAATTGTTGCGCAGTCATATGCAATCACCCTGAAGCGGGGCGTTTACGGCGCGAATCCCATTTGCTCCCAACNNCTCTCTATCGTCCGTCACTTGCCACGAGTCGCTCTCCTCTTCTGCCGGAATTCCTAGCAAAGGAAATTGATCAACTTCCTCTCCTCCAGCTGATCTGTCCTCTATCCTTCTGACAGCAGTGCAATCATGTATGCCATTGTTTGGGTTAAGAAAAATGAAGTCCTCATCTCCACATCCTGCAACTGAATGCAGGCACTGTAAGAATCTTGGTCTCATGCGTCCTTCGTTGGTTCTACAACCGCAACCTCGAATGACNACGAAACTCGGCAACGTCCATCTCATCACATGTCCTGGAACCGCGGTGAGAGAAAACGCGCTCGTGACGCCCTGTCGCATGGTCAAGTACGACGGAGAANNAAACGTGACCTGTGAACGCTGCAGCGACAACGCAAGGGACGTGAAGGTCGTCGAACCATGAATACTAGTAAAGTGGTCCTAAGCTTCCTATTTGATAGCATGTCGCTTGGAAGTATGACGCTGTCGAGATTTGGCCCAATAATCGATATATCTTGCTTGAGTCTAGCAGGATGCACAAGCTTGAGGNTCGAGATGCGTGTTGGGCACGTTCTAGCGGGGGCTTCTTGGGCCAATCACTCGACCTAACCCTCCCTTCTTCTCTCTGCATCCTGCTCCCCATGCCTTCNNGACTTGTTCGTGCGTGAACTCCCCGCCCAGTAATAGCAATGCTGGCAAGCCGTCCGCGCTGGAGATTGTGCTCCCTTAGAGCTCTAGTTCGCTCGCCTGTATTCGCCTGCCAGCTGGCATAGCATTGTATCCTCTCTGCGAATCGATAGGTCCCTATTCGAGCCGTCAATAATTTCTAGGCGCTCTGCACCCCGATCGCTTTCCCGAACAGGTGGCTCATCACCAGAGGCACATATTACGCCAGCCGAACACGCATGGCTTTGGTATACGCGCCCGCTTCTGATTTGCTAACTTGTAACATGAGTACGCCTCTGTTGTCTTGTTTCCTTCTCTCTTCCTCCCTTTTCTCACTCTTCGGTTCATACCAAGGTTCCTATCAAGAACAAAATTCTTGCGATTTCCCCAAGTTTCAAGAGTGGTTGCTTGCATGCCCGAGCTGCAGGCCATCCTGGTCGGCCCTTGACGCGGACGACTTTCACCGTGGCACAAACCACTGCTTGAGGATATTTGTGCCTGTTCATCGTTCCACGCGGTGTGACTGCATCCGCTTGGCACAAGTTTCCGGCACGTCGATCTCGGGCAACGTTACAGCAGAAATACACAGCATCCCACACCTTGTTTTCCGATTGCTATTCTGGTATCCGACCAATTTGTTCACCTAGACCTGACCCAATTCATGACCGCCTGATTCGCTGCCTCGAGGCCAATCCTGAGAGACCATTCTTCTGATTTTCTTAGACCTTACTCAGCCATGTCGACTGGTCGTCCCTCCGGTCAAAGGTCGCACTCTGCTGTGAGAAGGCAAACAGCTACTAAGCCAAATCCTTCCCAAGCCTCGTTTACACCTGATCCTGATACCGAGTTTCAACCTTGTGCCGCGACCGCCTCATTCTTCCTCTACGCTCAGAGAAACATTGTTCTCTGTTTGCACCACGATACATTAGCAATAGAGCGACGCTTCGATCGACATCAAGAAGACGTACTTTGGATATGTGCAGACACTGTCAGTGAAAGAGGTGCGGGCCGTTTGGCTGTCAGTTATGATGCAGGGCATACTGCGATTGTTTGGGACATCTCAACAGGAGACGAGATTGCTCGCTTCGCATCGTACGAACATATTAGAGTGGCAGCATGGATGAAAAATGGGAATATTGCCTTCGGTAATATGCAACATTATTGAGTGAGAGGCTGTTCTGACAATCATCCAGGAAACGCCCAGGGAAATGTAATATTGTTCGAGCCTTCTACTTCCGAGCACATATCAGCTCGTACTATCTATGATCCTATCACAGCGATAGCCCCAGCAGCCGACTCGCGGACTTTTGCGATCGGGTACGTTGTTTCCACATACTGCACCGCCGCATTGTTTTTACTAACAAGTCGCAGTTTCCTAAACGGCTCAATCTTGATCGCGACATTGCAACCGCTTTTCACAATTGTGCACAGTCTGACGACATCGAAAGCGCCTTCCCGAATCGCAGGACTTTCCTGGCATGGCTCTTCTTCGCGTCAAAAGTCTGAAATGCTTGCTACTCAAACCGCAGATGGCGACCTCAGAGTCTGGAGTATACCAAAAACAGCTGTCATCGGAGAAACACCAAACATTATTCGGATATTGAGCCGATTGGAAAGTAGAAGCCTAGGACCTTGCTGGTTCTCATGGTCGAAAAATGGCCGCATCATTCAATACACAGATGNNGGTAAGAACGGTTTTGCTTGTAGACGTTGGTTCTTACTAAGCTGAAGCTTCTACAGAGAAACACGCTCGTGGGACGTCCGCACCAAGAACGTGAACTTCCAATCTGTGCCGACCGTTGATGCTATTATCGGCATTGCATGTTACGGCCCGTCCTCGACACTCTTTACCCTTGGACAAAACCACACGGTACAACAGTACGATGTAAACCCAAGCGAAGTTCCCATACAAGTTGCCAGTATACAGCATGCTCCTGGTCCACTTCCGCCATCCCCACCAAATTCAATTGAAGAGCAAAAGAAGGAAGAGACGGCCAGAAGACAAGCCGCAGCAAGCGCTGCTCCACTGCCTNTTGCCTACGCGGATGCGGACTCAAGCGAAGGTGAGTTAGGCACAATGTCTCCACTCGAGAAGATTGCAAAAGAGATGGATCAACTAGAGGACGAGAAACAAGACCGACTTGGTGCGCTCAGTCCAACATCTAGCAGAGCTTCCTCAGTAAGCTCTCGATCATCCAATGGAGGACGCAGAGTGCCGTCATATCGTTACGACAAAGCACCTTCATCTCGAGCCTCCGAGGTATCCTACAATGAGGGGACCGAGTTTCCGTTTGGTCTACCCTCGATAAAGCCTCGCGAAAGCGTCTCTATCCGCTCAACATCTTCCTTTCGTTCCTCAGGCCTACGCAAAGAAGTCTTGAGAAGCCCAGACGAGGTTCAGCAGACGTCGCAGATGGACCTTTTCCCTTATGCTCGGGCAAGACTTCGAGACGTCCCTTTTAGAACTCCTCGTTATGGCCAAGCTGCTCGCACTTCCGACATATTGCGACAAGAAATGCTAAGTGTAGTTTTCGGATGGAACGATGACATCGAGTCTCTAGTGCGCGACGAATGTGAGTTTGTGCCATTACAGAGGATTTTTGTTCGAGCTAACGCAAACANNGTCACGAGACAAAGACCTGGATCGGCGAGCAGCGTACTTCTCTCGAAATGGCTTGGTGACTTTGGCGCAGACACCATGGCCGCTATGGTGGGTTCTGAAAACATGACTTCTTCCGACTGGATGTTACTCGCTTTAAGCTCCATGGGCCCATCTTCTGCAAAACAGGTTGGTCAAGCATTCGTCCAGAGACTATTAGAAAAGGGTGACATCCACCCTGCAGTTGCGGTGCTTTTGGGATTTGGCGAACACAATGATGCTATCGAAGTCTACGTCTCTCGTGGCTACTACATGGAAGCAATTCTTCTGACTTGCCTAACCATGCCGTCAGATTGGCAGAGGCAATCCTACCTTGTTCGTAAGTGGGGTGAAGCTTCTGTTATGCAAGGTCAACCAGAACTCGCGGTTCGCTGCTTCTCGTGCACAAGTCTCGAAAGCTCAGATTCCTGGTCTTCGCCTCGAGCACAAGACGCAACCTTCTCCAGTACAAGAGAACAGGGTATTGGCCCCTCTCCTCTGAGCNCCCCACTTTCTCCGCCATTCGCTGTTCGTTCAAACCGGAAATTGACGAGAAATGGATCGCTCAAACTCATCACGACATTTGGTGACAAGNGGGCCCCACTCGTATTGCCTTCCGCAGATCAAAGGACACCAATGCCAGGCATGCTCGGTGTAGGTGTTACACCAATAGCCGAGTCCGCCATCTCACCTGGTGGTGCAGCGCCCTGGCTTCGATCTGGTAGCAGATTCGACCGAGACCCGTCGTCCGCGAGAACGGCTACGCCCGGTGGATATGCAAGAAAACAACTGCCTTCCAGGAGTGGAACATCAAGAACTCGAGATACGTCGCAGACTCCTTTGACGGCTCGTAGAGAGGTATCAGGACCAACACACATGACCGAAAGTTTAGAGCCCAAACGATTTGGTCATGGTCGCCACTCTTCGTCTGTCAGCTCGAGTGAGAAGTTTCAAAGCTTGGAGCAGGCGTCACGGCAGCCTTTGCAGCCAGATCGTCTACCATCCCCAAGTAACGACGTTTTTGCGCGCCTGAAAAACGATACGCGCACCAGGAACGGCTCACGAGAGAGAGCCAACAGCGATCTCCATGTACAAATCTTTGATACGGTCTACATGCCAACGCAGTCTTCTCAAAGTTCTTCCGCCCAGTCTGCCCATCCTGATCCTTTCACAGATTCCCGTCATAAGCAGCAGGATCACCCAGATTACACATCAGATTATCGTGGTCGGTCGGCAAAGCGATATATCGGTGCACCCAAAAGATCACCATCATCACCGATTCCCATGTCACCTGACGAAGTTATGGCCAGTCGAGCAATGGCTGCAGCCGCTAAGGCAGACGAGTCTTACTACCGGGAGCCGACGCCACAGAGCACGACCTCCAATACAGACCGGACCTCGCGAGCAAATAGCCAAGCCCCGAATAGACAGAGGGACACTAGCCAGGTGGACCAGCGACTTACGGTCAATAAACGTGACAGAAGCGAATCTCGTACGCCAGCAAGACCTTTCCCTCGTTCGCCATCGGTTTCTGCTGCGACAACTAATGAATCCGTCTTCATGAGAAGTGAGCCCCGACAGAGACTTCAAGTCAGCAGGAACAGAGCAGTCTCTGTACAAGATGACATTGAATCCAGGACTCAGACCGATACTGTGTCTGAGAATCCTAGAAAGAGCCTCGATGAAGACAGCTCTGCTTCTGAGAATCCAAACGAAGGGATTGTGCGCCGCAGAGACCTCCAAAGTCTGACCAAGAAGCAACTTGCCGCTCGAGAGCTCGAAGAGAGGCGCGCTTCCTTAGCCAGGCGTCCGTCTGCACCAGCGATACCCTTGCCCAGCGATGTCACGACGCCTACAAAAAGGCCTTTCATGGCTCCTCGACATCATACCGAGCTCGGAGATACTCCTAGCTCTTTTATGCCCNCCTATTCTGCCGGTCAGATTATCCGTAGTCATACGGCTGATCCAGAGTCTAAGGGTCGCTTTCCACCTACAAGAAGCACGGGTACCTCGACTCCGACAGTTCCGATTGGACTGCCAGCTACTCCAAGAGCTATGAGACATCCACGATACATGTCTGCTGATCCCAATGAACACGAAGGAATACCTGCTGTCCCTCACATTCCCGAGACTCCACCTCAACTTACACCTGCTACTTTCCAGCAAGGCTCACCTTCACCGATATCTGCTGAAGACGATCAAGTCGCTCCTCTTCTTCCTTCGACGGTTTTTGGGCAGTCAGTACCTCTGTCTCCACCGCGTTCCTCGTCGGCACCGCCCGAGACGAACATGGACGGCACTCCATGGCATTACAAGACGGTGCTGCCGCACTCTTCCCGACGTGGATCTGCCACTAAAGGAACTCACATTCGAAAACTCACACCCACGGAGAACAACTTCCAGCCTCAACAAAGTCCTTCGTCGACCAGGCCTAGCATTGACCAGACTCTGCACGACGCCCAAATCGTAATCGTAGAAGACTCAGAGTTGATGCTACCAGAACTTCAGCATCTCGCGGGCCCTCCACCTCCACCTCCACCTCCATTGATGACAAACAGGCGGGGTAGCGGTCTGGGTGTTATCAACATAGCCATTGGAGAAGAAGAGCCCATGATCATCGACGTCCTGCCAACCATCGACCGAGCGGGCGCATTGACGGCCCCTCCACTGAACAATTTTGCGCAAGCACAGGCACATGCCCAGGCTCAGATGCAGGCACAGGCTCAAAGACGCGGTCGTGGTAGCATCAGTGAAGGCATAAATTCACGCCTGCGAAGTGTGACAGAGCGTATCCGCAACAACAGCAAGTCGCGTACCAAATCACCACCCATCGATGCATATGCACCTTCACCCTATGAGACAGTACTACCCAGCATGTTCTCCAGACAACAAACCCAACCTGACGGTAGTATGTCTCGGGCGAAATCCACTTACGAACCTTCTCCCATTACGACCAGTGCCGCAGCTTCCGAAGCGTCGCTCTCGTTACAGAACGCAATGCCTCCACCACCGCCTCCACCGCCAGCACCACCTTTACTCGTCGAACAGTCAGAGAACTCTGGCGATCCAGGCCGAGGATATCTTCACCCTCGTGAAGTTCGAGTGAATATGCCACCTGAGACTCTCTTGTCGTCAGGAGTGTACCAACCGGATAACATGTTCTAGTTCACAGTGCATATCTTCTTTTCCTCTTCTGTTGTCATCTCGGGACTAATTTTGTTTTTGTCATCCTTCACATATACCTCTGTGCGCTTTTATTATTATTGTTGCCTTGCTCATACCTTTATCACGATAGTAGTGTCCACTGGTTGGGATTGTTTCGGTGTTTTCGGGACGAAGAAAAAGAAGAACGTACAAACTGTATCCATTTCTATCTAGTTTAGAATGTATATCAACCATTTCATCGTTGAAAAGACTATCAGAAGGTAGATGAGGTTGCGTTTTTCTAGACTTGGTCCTGCTCGATAACATGATCTTCTGTCGTAGTGGTCGTACCTTCTCCTTTGGCTCTTTTTCCTCCTGCCTGACAATCCGACTTTTTTTCCTCGCTTGATGATGATGAGCTAGGGAAGGAGCATCAGAAGTTACGTTGCGAGCGCTCGGAAGGTGGGGTCGTTGGATGACGACCGAGGCAGGGTCGCGACTTCTGTCTTGGTCGTGACAACCTTTCTTTTCTAGACACTCTGCGAATATAGTTGTCCCATCACATCTTCATATAATTGTACGCTCTGTCTTCGATTTGTGGCTCTGTATACCGATCGAACATTTGTAGTTTCGATCACAGCTCATGTTTACGGCGCCCAGCCACCTGTTGACGTCCACGTCCTGGGTTTCACCCAACCTCCCGCAGTTCTCTCCACGACTTCTACAGATATGCAAAGCCCTGACCAACCGACTCTGTCTCTTGAGTCTTTGTCCATCGTCTCCCATCCAAAGCTCAAGAAGAAGTCCCAATAGCATTGTCAAAGCACACCATCAACGGCAACCCATCCACCTTGCCCTTGGCCACACTCTTCAATGCCGCGTGTGCCTCGCATTCATTATCGTAGTACTTCATATCGTCCAGGCTTGAGAATGTGGTTTGCGCTGCCAGGGTGTACCCTTGGCTTCTTGCATCGTCGACTGCCGGTCCTGCTACGCATCGGAGAATGTAGGGTTTGCCGTCCNNTATTCCAATTCTCTGCATCAGTAAAGGCCTTGTATGCACTGCATGATGAGGTCTGAGGTATACCTTCTTTGCATCTTGAGCCATGGTGGCATATTTATCCAGCACCGCTTGCACATCACTCGACTCTGGGATCTTGAAGAGGGTGATGCGGTGCACCTGCTTTGAAGCCTCAGAAGCCATGTTGCGAATTGATCTGGTTACAGTAAAGCTGCGACGAAATAGCAGAGTTGGTTGGAAAGTAAAAGGTAGGATATTGTTTCTGAACAGCAGAGACATCATGGTGGTTTTATTCTCCGTGACTTGCTTCGGTTTCACCAACAATAATAACCTTGCTCTTACACTTTCCCCTCACCTCCGATGTCCACTTCCGAGTGCTCGCGCTAGCGGAATGACTTCCGTTTATGCTCTTGACGTCTTGGAGATCTGTCACAATGACAATGCTCGTAGTTTTGTGGTAAAGAAGAAAGTCGTCAATTGTATCTACATGTCTAAAGGGTATCGTATATCTAAACTTTTATGAAATAATCATTCCTCTCTTAAACAGAGGCACCACCATAAGGCAAGGCTGTGGCTGACGTCAGGTCAATGTATCCATAGTTTGCCATCTTGCTGTCCTGCGACATCTTCTGTGCCCACTCGCCCATGTCCTTCATGAAGTCTTGCTCGTTCTTCTCGTCACTCATGTCAATGGGCTCTTGGTCCTTGGCAATTTGACGGATCTGGGTACCGGCGACAACATTGGTGATGCCAAAGTTGTTGTCGTCGGGACGCTGCTTGATGGCACCCTTGACCTTGCCGGCAATTATGTCCTTGCAGAGACGAGGCTCTTGACACAGAGGGCGGGCAAGACCCACGCCATCAATCGACTTGATCGAGTTGGCCATGGCGCCAACACTCTTGAAACCACCGGTAACGTAGACCTTGGTCTTTGTCAAGGCGGGGGCGATCAAGTCCGAGAACTCCATGAAGAAGCCCTCACGCTTCTTTGTGCTCTCGCGCTTATGGCCGAAAGCAAGGTGCTCATAGGTACCACCACTCAGCTCGACAAAGTCAAACTTGTTGTCCTCGAGCATCTTGCACAGCTCCTTTGCCTCTTCGGGGTTGAAGCCCTTGTCCTGGAACTCGACACTGTTCAACTTGATGCCGAGGATGAAGTTGGGCGATGTGCGCTTGCGGACTTCGTTGGCGATTTCGATGATCAGGCGGGCGCGGTTCTCGAGGCTGCCGCCGTACTTGTCGGTGCGCTGGTTGGTGGTGGGCGAGAGGAATTGGGCGAGGAGGTAGCCGTGAGCACCGTGGAGCTCGGCGCCGTCCCAGCCACCCTTCTCGAGGTACTCGCAGGCGTGGGCAAAGCCCTCGATGATACGGGAGATGTCTTGCTCGGTGGCGGCACGGGGCTTCTCGAAAGTCATGCCCATAACGTCGCCCTTGAGCTGGACGTCACTGGCGGAGATGGGGTTTTTCTGGATACGGCTTTCGACTTGGCGNCTGGACAAATGGTAAGCATTGGATTTTGGTCGCAAAGAAGAGCAAGAACTTACTCCAGGATGTGAGACTTGGCCAACCATAAGCATGCCGTTCTTCTTTCCCTCGGTAGCCATGCGCTTGAAGTTCTCAAAACGCTCGCCCTCGCAAGGAGCATCGACAGGGATGATGGGGTTGCCAGCAGCCTCGAGGTGGTCGTATTCGAACATGATGTTTCCAGACAAGATCAGACCAATCTCGCCCTCACCCCATCTCTTGTACAGGTTGATGAGTCTGTCCGAGGGGACACCACGGGCAGGCAGGTTCTCAGGGTCCCATGATGACAGACGCTCAGTCATGGCTCCCTTGAGGAATCTGTTAGGAGCCGAGCGGTTGGCAAAGGCAAACTCCAAAGGCTGGGCCAAAGGGGCAGCCGAGACATCGTCAGATTCGTAGCGAGGAGGTGCCATATTTGTGAAATGTGTATGCGTGATAGAAAGATGTGGATTGAGGGCAAATAGATGGGGACTTAGAAGAAAGGGAGAGGGAAATCTCTAATACTTATGCCATTCAATCGACTAGTTGCAACGTCACACCGTATCAATGCTCTTTCGATGCTTACAAAAGCTCTTTCGCCTGGGTTGCCTCGGTGCCAATGGCAACCCATCAACGAGTTTCGAAGAATTGATTGACCGTGCACGTCATTTGCCTTCGACAGCCTTCGAGAAGACCCGGGGCCCTCTCGGCAACTTTCGAGTGGAGACCGTCAACAGATGCTGACAAACGCTCGGCCATCACCCTGTCGCAATTTGGTATGGCTTGCAACTTGTTGAACGCGCTGTCGCTCTTCTGTGAAACGGGCAAACACTGGGACATGGGAGTTGTGAGAAACGATGTTTTCTGGCCACGAGCGGAGTCCGCGAGAAGGTCTACTGTCTTCAGACATCGGCCATGCGCTTATCGGCGTTTGTCGGCGTTTGTCGGAGATAAATCCGTAGTGCTCGGTAGATCTAGGACCGAGGTAGAAGATGAACAGCCAAAAGATGCTCGACAAGACATCACATTGGACATGAAGAGGGAATCAAGAGAGGACAATTGGTTCCAAAAAGTGTTTAGTTCTTGTCTTGGTCTCTTGAAAAAGAGATATAGCAGATAAGGTGTCTACAAGTATTGCGAATACAAACAACTGCCGTCAAATCGCTCTCGCTTTTTTCATCCGAACCAAGCAGCTTCTGCTCCAAACATTATCGTTATCTCGTTTGATGGATGTCATTCTTGCTCTTGTCCGTTCGATTACTCACGCATGTTGACGACGCAGCGGATGCAGTCACCAGCCTTCATGTCCTGGAAGGCGGCGTTGATCTTGTCGAGGGGTTGTCTGTGGGTGATGAACTCGTCGACCTTGAGCTTGCCGGTCATGTAGTCATCGACGAGGTCGGGAAGCTGGGTGCGACCCTTGACACCACCGAAGGCACATCCCTTCCAGACACGACCAGTGACGAGTTGGAAAGCTGATGTTTGTGTTAGTTGAGTGCTGGTAAAGGTGTCTCAATCAGAAAACTTACGTCTGGTGGAGATCTCCTGTCCAGCGGCGGCAACACCAATGATGATGCTCTCACCCCAACCCTTGTGGCAAGCCTCGAGAGCGGATCTCATGACGTGGACGTTACCAGTGCAGTCGAAGGTGTAGTCGCAACCACCGTCAGTCATCTCAATGAGCTTCTCCTGGATGGTCTGGCCCTTGAGCTCCATAGGGTTGACAAAGTCAGTGGCACCGAACTTCTCGGCCCACTCCTTCTTGCTGTTGTTGACATCGACGACAATGATCTTGGAAGAGCCGTTCTTGACGCAACCCTGGATGACCGAGAGACCGACACAACCAGCACCGAAGACGGCAACGTTGGAACCCTTCTCGACACCGCCCTTGCCGGCAGTGATGACAGCAGCACCGTAACCGGTGGTGATGCCACAGCCGAGCAAGCAGGTGCGGTCCATAGGGGCCTTGTCGGTGATCTTGACGACCGAGATGTCGGCAACGACAGTGTACTGCGAGAAGGTCGAAGTACCCATGAAGTGGAGGAGGTCCTTGCCCTTGCACTTGAAACGCGAGGTTCCATCAGGCATGACACCCTTGCCCTGCGTGGCTCTGATCTTGCCACAGAGGTTGGTCTTGCCAGACTTGCAGAACTTGCACTCCTTGCACTCGGGGGTGNNCTGCATTGAATGTCAGTCCTTGGACCCTGAAGTAAACGGGTCGGTTCAAACTTACTAGAGAGCAACAACGTTGTCACCAGGCTTCACGTTGGTGACGCCCTCGCCAACAGACTCGACAATACCGGCACCCTCGTGTCCAAGGACAATGGGGAAAGCACCCTCGGGGTCCTTGCCCGAGAGAGTGTAGGCATCTGTATGGCAGACACCAGTGTAGTAGATCTGGATTCTGACCTCGCCGGCCTTGGGAGCGGCAACCTCAATGTCCTCAATGGAGAGGTCCTTGCCAGCCTCCCAGGCGACGGCAGCCTTGCAAGTGATGGTCTTTCCAACAGTATCGGCAGACATTGTGGCGTATGAGTGTTTGGATGTCTGAGAGATGAGTTGAGAAGGAGAAGGGAGAAACTGGGCGGGAAAGATACGGGCGGCCGATGATATCGGTTTATTATGCACGCGGGGTAGCTTGGAGGGGCCTGTCACTCGACTCCCGATCACTGGGGATAGTTCGGACTTATTCCTTCGGCAATTGCTGACACTTTGGAAGACGCCGGAAGCAGCAGGAATGCGTAACGATGATGAGGAAGAGGAGGATGAGAGGAAGGAAGAGAGTTGAAGAGAGGAGGAAGAGAAGGGGACCGCGATATTCTTGAACATTGAAGAGGGAGAAAGCAACGCTGCAGCTGTCGAAGAAGCTGGGAGGCAGCCCCAAGCTGCTTTATACGCGATTTTCCCAAACAGGCAACATGTTCCGCATTGCCCATCCTTCCGGCATGGATAACCATATCAAGAGGGGTCGGAACGGCCAGCCAGAACTCTATGACTAGCCCTTGCGCGCTACCATTACCAATCTGAACTGATTGTGTTTGTGCAGAGCTCTGCCTGCTGCGGCGGCATGCAGAGGTGCCACACGCTCCGACATGAACGATCAAAAGTAGACAGCATCTCCGTCGCAGTGGAACCAAGGAGTGACCACGAAACTGCTTAGAAACACGAGAACGGACTTTGAACAATGCTTCGGTTCGTCGTTCAGACATAATATCGACCGGCGTGCATCACTCAATGAATGCCATTCAAGTGTTTCGAATTCTACATATGGATGCAGTCAACCTCAGCAGTCACTCAATATTCGAGGCGCAGAACTGCGGCCTGCTTGACAGCCCCAGAAAGCTCTGCCACGAGTAATTGGAATCGCAAACGCAGACTCGCAAGATGATGAACTGCATGTACTGGCTCATTACTTCTAGATAGGTACAGCGAGCCGACCGTCCCGCTCAACGGTACAGAGATGCTCCTCAAAACACAAGACAATGTTACAAGGCAAAGAAAAATTGCGGCGGCCCTCTGCCACCATGATACCTCACTACGACTCCATCCTCCAGCGTTCATTCTTTTGTCCTACCCTCCAATTACTTCTGATGGTTCGTCATGGCAGGGTGTGTTGTATCGAATACAACATGCGCATAGGTGCTTGTCGAAGGGCTGCGCATATCAAGATCGATAGTGCGTTTAGCACTCGGCGGGAAGAGCTCTCGAGTTCATGAGAAGAGCAACAATCAAACCGTAAAGACCTAGANNTACCATGTCAGTTTTGCAATCTAGGCGCGGACAGCGGTATGACTTACCCAAGACTTCAGCGAAAATGAGGATAAGAATCATTCCGACGAAGAGTCTGGGTTGTTGTGCGGTACCACGGACACCAGCATCACCAACGATACCGATAGCGAAACCGGCAGCGAGACCGGCAAGACCGACGGAAAGACCGGCACCGAGCTGAATGAAACCGGTGTAGAGGGCCATNCTTTGGGTAAGATCGTTGGAGATCAGGACAGCAACGACCAGACCGTAAATGGCAATGATACCAGCCATAATGACGGGAATGATGTCTNNGTGGCGAGTTTAGCATGTATACCGGAATCGTTCGCTGTCGAGTAACTGACTCTTGACGATCAGGTCAGGGCGGAGGACACCCATGGCCGAGATACCAACACCAGCCTTGGCGGTACCGTAGGCAGCACCAAAGCAGGTGAAGACAATGGCGGCGGTGCAGCCCATGGCACCGAAGAAGGGCTACAGGTATGTAAGTGTTTGTTCATTGAAGAGAGTTTGCGCGTAGCGGTGAGAATGCGGAGATATCGCAAAACGATAGATGGCGATATAAAGATTGGGGAGTAGGGGGCGGAGGCGGATTATGACATCTTTTGGTGTTGGGATGGAGGTGCGAGGCAGCGCGCGAGACTTACGGCGTAGACGGGGCTATAGACAAGTCAAGTCAGCATACTGAAAGGCACCATATGACATGGGAGCGCTGTCCAAGAGGTCTGCGGGTATGCAACAGCCAAAGAAGGCAAGTTGACAATAACCTTCGGCGCAGACCTTCCTGCTCAACAAGCTCCAGGGGACGACGTACCAGAGATCGGAAGGCATCTTGGCGATATGTGTGATGGGTCTACTCGGGATTGAGAGGTTGTAGAGGCGGAGGCGATGGAGCAAAGAGTACAGCGGATGTGATAGCCAAGGGAGCGCGCGAGCAACAGGTATCGGTGACGATTTGAGGTTGTCTCGAGGCGTTGGCCGTCGGAGACAGCCACGCTTGGCACACGTGATATCCCGTTTTTATGCTTTCCCAAGCTCCATCACCACCAGCAACATCTGCTCTCTGCCATCGACATGTTGCTTCTTCATGGTCATTACGGTCCTTTTTTCATCAGATATCATGTTTCCATGGGAGGTAGCTTGTGATCAATCGCAAAATCAAAAGCAAAGAAACTTGTTGAGTCGGTGACCCTGCCTCTCGAGATCACCTACCTATTCAGACGGCACATCAAGAGCTGAGCCATCCTTGTGCTCTCAGACATAGAGCAAGAGAGTGCATCATCCATCCTGGATAGATTATAACGTAATGGGTATGACGATGCGCTGGCAACGACTGATTATAGAGCAAAAGATGTTTGTGACTAGAAGCCCCATTTCAAATACAAATGATTCACAATGTTTGGGACACGACAAGTAGAGAAACAAAGCAAATCGTGATTTGGATTCCCATAAAATTGGTATCCGTTCGTGGTAATACAGAAGCTTTCAATGTGTACTGCAGAAAGAGAAGTGCTTGGTGATGCACAAGACCCCTCAAGAAAGAACGTCGAGCCATCCAAGTCATAATGATGTTGGTTTAGCATCCTTCCATCCATGACTGTCTAAGTCAATACAACGCCTCTCTTTTGTTCTTCACATCAGCGATTCTCTCTGCTCAACCCTACTTCTCGGTGGTGATAGCGGCAGCGACCATTCTCTTCTGAACTCCTTCTTCTCCCGCGGTGGTTTAGCTAACGTCCCCTGGCCAGCTTCGGGGGGGGGGGGGGGGGGGGGGGGGGGACATACCTCGTCAGAGCAGTTCTTGTACTCTTTGTACGTTGAACAGACATGTGCCCAGTAGCTTTCGAGGCCCTGCTTGAACTCTTCGGAGGAGGTGGCCGAAACGCCAACCTTGTCAACATCGTAATCAGGAACCTATCACTGGATAAGTATGTCTTCGTATCATCTCAACTGCTGTGGAAAAACAAACACTAGTCTGGATCTCTGCGACGACTTCTGCATGTTCTCCCATTCTTAGGTGCTATGTCTTGCCTCTGTCCACCACGCGGCCTCGAAGCGCTGCCACGTCTTGTTGAGTTCCAGCGGTAAAGTCAGGAGGAGGAAGAGCTTGGAAAGTACGGGCGAGAGGTAGGTGAGAGCTGTCGGGGAAGCCAAGGCGGATAGCAAAGAGATCATTGTATGTATTGTTGAGGTAGGCGAGGCACATCTGGTCGAGCAGGGCCCGGTTTTCCAGGAGCGTCAGGCCCGGTGGAACGACGGAGGTTGACATGGTTTCGTTGAGTGAGATTCAGGGAAATCACTGCTCATACCGGTATATATAGCTAGCTTTTGAAGGCTGTAGACCAGAGCCTTCTACAGTCATGCCAGTCATCAAAGAAGACATGGGAGAACCCCAGAGAAGCCCTTAGCAAAGGAGCCTACCATACATATATCAGATGTTTGTCGCAACAAGACATACTTGTGATAGACAGAAGCAAATGAATACAGTGATCGTATCTTCATCCTGCCTTATCTTTCCTGTCGACTGCCGTATACTGGTATCATAATGCAGGAGCTTCATACATAGTTTTCATGAGAATCCAATATGAGTCAGTCTGATCCATTGCTTGATTGATACAATTCTTTGTGTATCTTGCTGTGACGTAGATCTCTGCAGGATTCAAGTGTTATATCACCATTAGTCTTCAAAAAGGCCCATGGAGAGTCCATGGCGGTCTGAGAAAACTGTTGCAGTAGCAGCTGTGAAAAACGCATTCTTTTGCGTCAAAGGCGTGTCAGGTGAGAGCAATACTACCTAGCTAGCTAGCGGTAACATGTCTCTTCGTATTGCTGTACAATTACTAATGTATGTATACGGAGGTCACTATCGGTTAGTATGGTCTTCTCAAGAAAAAGAAACCTGCGAGTCAACGAGTCACTACTGAAGCGCGATTGCCAGTAGTACATCGCGGTTGACTGGAGCCTGACCATATCTTGTTCAGGATGAATGTTCTAGAGAAGAGCTCACGAAGGATCGGGGTGTAGTCGGTGACCGGCGTTCGTACCGCCGGCGTGGCTTGAGACCAGCGACGAAGTAGTCAGCCGCGACCGGCGTCTCGTTGCTCCTCTGCCAGTAGGAGTCACCAACATTCCGTCCTTTCAACCAGTGAAATGAAAGTTCAGGGGAAGAACGATGGGCTAAAACCCGCCTGAGTCGGGCACGGTGGAATTAAGAACGCCATCTCCTCCAAAAGAGTAGAATCTATGGTATTGTCGGTCCCGTCTGCAATGCTCGGTCCCGTCTGCAATGCTCGGTCCCGAACGCACGACTCTAACGCCCGCGCATTCCAAAATCCAGCTGCCTGGCCGCCCGGGTGGAGTTTGTTTGAGCCACCGATGTCCGCTTTGATTGGTTTGAGAAACAAATCGTTGTTGTGGTATATATGAACAACCTCAGTCCACGAGGTTTTTGGTTTTTCGTATCTTGTGTTTCCAAGCAACTTTCAACTCTACTACCTCACCATCTTCTTTGGCACCAGTCCGCACATACTCCAGCCACCACATACACCCCAAAAACATGTCTACCAAAAGTACCACGAGTATGGAAAAGGAGCCGAGAACCGACGCCTCACCACCTAAGAATGAAGAAGAAGCATATCTTACTGGCCTCACACTGCTAAGTGTGTTGGTTGGAATAGTACTCGTCGTCTTCTTGTTGATGCTGGATACATCTATCGTGGCCACGGCAATCCCACGAATCACTACCAGATTTCACTCTCTTGAAGATGTCGGCTGGTATGGCAGTGCATACCTGCTCGCGAATTGCGCTCTGCAGCCCCTTGCTGGCAAAATCTATAAGGAGTTTAGCTACAAGTGGACCTTCCTTTGGTTCTTCGCCGTCTTCGAACTCGGATCCCTTCTGTGTGGTGTCGCTACCTCGTCGAATATGTTCATCATCGGAAGAGCAGTAGCTGGTCTGGGAGGTGCTGGCTTGATGAACGGTGCGCTCTCGATCATTGCGGCTTCTGTACCCCTCGAAAAAAGACNNCCTCTTTACATGGGCTTCATGATGGCTTTCAGTCAGCTGGGCATACTGTTTGGTCCGTTGATTGGTGGTGCTCTCACCGAATACGCAAGCTGGAGATGGTGTTTCTACATCAACCTTCCTGTTGGCGCTGTTGTCGCAGTCGTTCTCTTCTTTACTCCTGTTCCAGCTGGACCCGAAAAGACAGAGGCTAAGATATTCGACTTTGGCGTCTTCCTTCGCGGCCTTGACCTTGTCGGCTTCGCTCTCTTCGCACCCGCCATCATCCAACTCCTACTCGCGCTCCAATGGGGCGGCACCACGTACGCCTGGAACAGCTCAACCGTCATTGGTCTCTTCTGTGGTGGTGCGGCAACTGCTCTTGTGTTCTTGACCTGGGAGTATTTCAAAGGCGACGACGCTATGGTCCCCTTCTCCATGGTCCGACGACGCATTTTCTGGTCCAGCTGCCTGACCGTCTTCTTCACCTTTGCATCTATGCTCATTGTAAACTACTTTTTACCCCAGCACTTTCAAGCCGTGCGCGGTGCCTCGCCGACGATGAGTGGTGTCGACATGTTGCCGAGCATAATCAGTCAAATGATCTTCGCAATCGCTTCTGGAATCTTGGTCAGAAAGGTCGGATACTTCCTTCCCTTTTCGATCGCATGCGGCATTCTTACCGCCATTTCAACTGGTCTCCTGGGCACGCTCGGACCTCATACTTCTATGGGCAAGTGGATTGGATATCAGATTCTTGGTGGCGCTGGACGTGGCTGTGGTATCCAGATGCCCATCATCGCCATCCAAAACTTGCTGCCCAAGTCACAGGCGTCAGTCGCCATGTCACTACTCATCTTTTCCCAAACATTTGGCGGAGCCCTCTTCCTTGCTCTCGCACAGACCGTTTTCAATACTGGTCTCTCATCGGCACTCAAACAGTACGCGCCCGAAGTTGCTGCAGAAACCATTCTTGCTGCCGGTGCCACAGGAGTAAAGGATGCCGTTTCCGCTGCCGTGTTGCCTCAGGTGATACAAGCATACAGTGTGGCCATCAACCATGTGTTCTACCTTGGTGCTGGTGCAGCAGCAGCAGCTACAATTGCTTGCTTGGGTATGGGCATGCACAGCATCAAGAAGGCCAAGGTCGAGACAGTCGTCGCTGTGCCCGAGAAAGAAGTCGTTTGATTTACGAATGCCTCTTCCTGTAACAACATTGTCATAACAATACCCCTCTTCCCTCCACTCACACTCACGAATCATGAAAGGTTTCCCCAGAAGTACATAGAATCACAGTTTAATAATCAAAGCAAAAGTCCTTTTCTCTCACAAACTGTCCAAGCCAATCTTCCAAAACGATACGTGAGAATTCCGAAATGTTCGAGACGGTCGACTTGGTCATTCTTGCTAGCCATTAGAAGGAGTGTTCTTTCGCCGGGCTCCCATCTGCTCTCGTCGGATTATGATTCTTAACGCCGGTCCACAGTTTGGAGCTCGACTAGCTCATCGACAGGCAGCAACAAAGACAAAAAGCAGAGGTAGTAGCGAAAGTGGACAGTGAGAAGGAAGGCGCAATCAATCACTCAGGTCGACAGCGCATTCAAGCGTTAATCACTGTTGTGCTACAGAATATCCGACGGGTTTCTTGGTATGTATGTTCTGCGTTTTTATTTCGAAAAAGGACGAATGATATGGTTGGGGGTATATGTTGTACTGTATGAACACAAATTTCTTCTTCTCCTTGCAAAGCGCCATGCAATTTTTGTTGATGTTCTTCTTGACAATGAGATCACGAAGGACTGAACATATGCTTGAACTTCTCAATNCTGTGCAACAAACAAAATTCAGTAAACCGATGTTCTCCAAGAAGCCCAATGTGGGATTTGCTTACCTTCGTTCCAATGTATTTCTCCAATTCAGGCCCTTGGACACCTTCCTTGCCGCCAGAACTCCAGGCTAGAGGAATCATAGGCACCCGCTCCTTGACCACGACTTCTCTTCCAGGTCCCTCGACCGCGCGCACCTTTTCAGGATTATTCGTCAACAGTCTAATACCTCTGTCACCGCCCAGACCCAAATCCATGAGCATAGCCGTTGCCAGACCGTAACTTCTTGCGTCTGCGGGATGTCTGAGAAGGAGGTTCGCTTGCATGGTATCGTGACCCAAATCTTGCAGGTTGTATGCCTTCAATTTGGAGAGTAGACCTATACCACGGCCTTCTTGACGAAGATAGATGATTACACCACCTAGTGAGGGGATAGATGCATCGGTGGGGTCGAAGGGTAGAGACATCAGACGAGCTGCTTCGTCGAGCTGTTCGCCGCAGTCGCAACGTGCACTCCATACCGTCTCGCCGGTGTAGCATTCGCTATGTATGCGCACCAGAGGTGCTAATGGCGAGGGCATGTTTTGTGCCTCGGCAACTTTCATGGCTTTGTCCTGTCTCTCTTCCGTCGTCACGGCTTCGGGCGTGGGGCTTCGTGATAGTTCTGCGGCAGAGACACCGGCATCCTGTTTGATCTGATCCAAGCGACTGGACGTGCGGCCAGGGTATAGTTTCCCAACATATGCGCCTCTGATCATGCGGTCCTTCTCCGTCTCGCCCTCCCTCGGGGCATCGAGACTGCGGCTGCGGATGTGAGGGCCAAAGACGATAGCCAGATGCTCCTTGTTATCTGCACTGTTGTGGTAGAGGTGCAAGAACATCTCCTGGCCCGAGGTGGTAGGAATGCGAGCGCGTACTTCGCAATTCACCTCGGGTAGCTCTTCTAGCAAGGCGGGAGGGGCTGTAGGCTCGGCCTCGTGGGCTTCGGCATCTTGGGTAGCGGGGTCGGACGAGGACTTGGCGGGCTCGGGAGTCAACGAAGGTGATACCAATGGCGGTGCGGCAGCTACGGGCTCAGGAACAGGCTTGACGGACGAGGACGTCGAGGGTTCGGCGGTCTTGTGCTCGAGGTCGTAATCGGACATGGTCGACATGTGGGACATTGATCGCTGCGTGTTCTGCGGACGCGGCGAATTGAGCGGCGGCAGTGCCGGCGATGCGTGTGCGGGATACGACATGGTCACTGGGTGAGTAATGTGAGGGTTAGAAGAGGATTGGTCAACGAGATAGACGGACAAGGTGCAAGATCAAAAGTCTCGCGCTGTCATCATCCAGGGTCATTACTCAATCGATGTTTCTGGAGCCGAAATGGCCGACTTGCCTGCCTCGGGCCCCTCCAAGCCCGATACCGTCCCGCTCGCCATGCCGCCCGCTCATTGGCCAATATTCCCTCCTAATGGGGGCAGAACTTCCAATCTCCAGGACTTTGTAAGCAGCTCCTTCCATCCTTCCATGTTCATTTGTCACTGCTGATCATATTCAAAAGGCCATGAAGAAGAAAACAGAAGTCGCTTAATCGATCTAGCCGTGGCCAGCGCTGAAATACCGCTTGATCTTGCTTGCCCGCCAGAAAAACATCATCTCTCCAAACCACCGGAGAATTAAAAAGGAAGCTCAAATCACTTACAAACCATGTCCTCCCAAAGAAAAAGGCACCAAACTCCCTCTCAAATACTCCAAACAACCGGTCGCTCAACATGGAGCGGGTGAATCATAAAACGACAATGCAGCCCTACCCTAAACCAAATCCTCCAATCGAGCGTCTTTTGCAACTTTGCTCTTCTTGTGGTGTTTCTCTCTTTCAGTTCAGGTGCTGTCGATATCAGAATGCGTTGTCTTTTGTGCGTGCGGTGTAATAAATAACCAGAATAAAATGCAGTGTGCGCGAAGTGAAGAATCGTGAAGGAAGGATCCACCCGGTTGGTCCAATAGACAAGATCCGGGAAGTGCTGTTCTTTGATCTTTTCTGTGTACTTTTGAATCGCAATAGTCGCAGGGGCGTCCACTCACAACATCAATGAGTGCAGATTGCGCTGGACGATCATGTCCTGCACGCTCTTCATTGTTTTCTCCAGTAGGTTGGTGTCCGTGGCCGTCGTGCCGTGCACGTAAACCTCCTTTGTAGGGTCCCGTACCAGGTTGCGGAACTTGTCCGAAAAGAACTTTTGTCCTGCTGCAACATCCGTGTTGCTGCCTTGAAANTCTGGGAAGTGATCGCGAATGCGGCTTCGACCTGACGAGACCTTTTCGGTGAAGAGGTCGAGTTTGTTAAGGAATAGCACCAGACCAGACTTCTCAAAGTAGCGACTGTTGGCAATGGACTCGAAGAGCATCAGAGCTTCATGCATTTGGTTCTAGTTGCACCGTTAGCATGGAAGTGGCCGACTCTGGGGCAGGGATAGGAGTCTTACTCCATTCTTGTCTTCGACCAGGACGTGATCGAAACCGCTGATGGCTACAAGGAACAAGACGACCTGTACGTTATCAAATACGTGGATCCACTTCTTTCTCTCCGAACGTTGACCGCCAACGTCGAACATCTTGAAGGTCAGATTTCCGGTGTCGAAGACGGTCTCGCTGATACCTGTCGTCCTAAGGCGTGCACGCAGTATGTCCTGATCTCCGGGAACATAGTTCTTTTCGAAAAGTCTGCCGAGGTCACTCATGTAGCTGCGCGTATGTTAGCCTCGATTTTGTTGGTGGGAAAGTGAGAAGACATACTATTCGAGGTTGTCGTGCAGCGCATATTCGTGACCTTTTGCAATGGAACCCTGTACACCATCATCGTTCCACAAGTTTTTGAAAGCGTGCATGCAGTCCAGTGGCATGGGATCATCGGTTCCAATCTCTGGTTCCGAGCAGACGACCTCCATAGACTTGATGTTTTGAGGGTTCGCGAAAGCGACCTCATGCTCTTCCATGGCGCCCTGGATACATTGGAAGGCATGGATCAAGTTGTTGAAGATGGTCACTTTCCATTGTCTACGTTCGCCTTGTGAGAAGCCCTTGGTGTGGATCAGGCGCATCTGCTTCAACACGGTTGACTTGCCGCTCTCTCCGGCACCTNNGGGAGGGCATGTCAGCATTCCTGCCTGTTTTGTTGTGTCGCTGTGTATGCACGCACCCAAGAGTAGAATCTTGACCTCTTTTGCCTGTTTCTTTTGGTCCGCCCTCAACTGCTTCTCAATGTCGGCATTCTTCCTCGCGCGCGGGTCGTCCTGCTTGGAACTTCCGAAACACATGAAGCCCATTCGATCGGTGGAGCGCTTCCGGTGGTGGAGTGGTTGTAGTCTGAGCTACGCGCCAGTGAGATTGCACTGGCTGGGTCGAAGTGTGGAGGATTGAAGAGGGCGCGTGTTGTACGGGGTGGTAATTTGACACAAAGACAGGGGAACGAGTGATTATTGCGACAAAAGAAGAGTCGGGGTCTGTGTCTGAGAGCTATGATCCTTCGCCGAGCCGACAATCGTATAAGGGCAATCTCTGGTGCGTCGACGGATATGGATGGATGAGTCTGAGCACCGGGAGGGATGACAGCGGAGCGATCGAGGGGTGGGTGGGACGAGGCGAGTCGAGAGGCAGAGCAACGTGGAATCGGCAAGGGAGGCGTCCGAGATATGAGAGGGTGGTATTTGTTCGTTCTTGGGCAGCTCGCATATCAAACAGTGGGGTCTCTGCTTTGACTCGGTTTGGTGCTAGTCTGCCACCATCTGTGCACTGCGGCCCTCACCCGTTCAAAGGACGCAGAGGCCACCTGAAACGTGCTACCCTTACAAAGGAAGGCTTTGGCCGTGACCCGGCCTCTGTCTTTGCTCCACTCGCCCAAGTATTGGACGACCCCATCGGGATCTAGTCGTCGTCTGGGTCCAGCACCCTGTAGAAAACAAGCTGCCAGTGCATACATCGGAGAAATTCGAGCTTCCGCTGCTCTTCTGCCGCGTGCAGCGTCGCACCTCCCTTGAGGGAACACTGAGCACCTTCCCGTCTTACACAGGCTCATCGCATGCCTTCCACATGTGTGAGGGTTTCATTTCACTTGATCATCTTTCCCGTCTCACGCGAGATTTGGCCTATTGTCCTGCCGAAGACCCATGCCAGCCGCCGACCTTTCCTGCCTTTTGACTCGCGCATAGTCCAGCTATATATATTGTCTACTATCATCAAACCCTATATTGACATCTGGCCTGCCAGCGGTCCAGGAGATAACTGTCTGCAAACTCAAAGCTGCAGCCATGTGTTCTTCTCATGCTCTTCAACTTTCGTGCTTGCATCACACACCTCAGGCATGTATGCAGTCTGCAGAGAAGCAAGGGTTCCATGCATGAGCTACACTGCAGCATGCCAAGCTCAGCCACAACAGAACCACGCAGTGCCTACTTGCGCACCATCCAAATGCCTTTGACAACTGCCGCACCTCTTTTCCCTCCAATTGACCTGCTTGGAAACAGCAGTGTGCTTTTGTGAGCAGTCCGGTGTTTGTTCTCCAGTCCCTGAGCCCGCTTACCCGTTGGTGTCTTGACCCGCTGCGGCCCGCTCGCTGCACCAGCACCTTTTCCCATCCAACCCGTACTGAGCCGAGTGGACCGGCCTTTAAGGATATTCTTTCCGGCTTCCTTTTCCCTCACCAAACGCAGATACGAGGTATCCACTTCCATGTGCGGGCCCTGGCTGCCGACGCCAGCAAGCCTCCAGGATTCACCGTCCACGTTTAAACTCAGGAATTGTTTGAGGAAAAAGTTTACCATCGTACACAATCGTCTTCTGTGACCTCAACGACCCATGTAGCTGAGGAGTACCCGAGTCATATCGCGACTTTCTTGACTGCCAATGTCTCGCGAACAAGGTAAAAACTTCGGACAGTCCACATGATTCATGCACATCCTCATACATGACGGGCGATCATCATGCCGGTCAGACGGGAGGACGACTTGCACAATCTATTGTCTTTGGGGATGTCTCCGTATCACCGCATCGCCATATGCTAGAATGCAAGATACTGAATCTGGCTACTATCAATCGCTAAAGGCCAATCTATCGTGGCTACGCGTATGCAACATTGCAACCTCACAAAAGACCTCTCGATCGCTTCCTACAAACGCTACTTTAGTGTCGATGGTATCGAGTCCTCCCCGTATGCAAGAGCCTGTCACAGTGCAGCCATAGAGATGCACAGTACTATTCCATAACAGAGCGAGATCCACGGAGATAAAAGTATCCTTTGGCATCTCTATGGCCACGTCTCTGTTTAGGAAGCGACTGTGCATTTTTATAGCATATCACAACACTGCATGCCAGTGCGGAGAGGGGTACACTGTGAGGCCGTGACTGTCTTTTACACACTAAGGGGGTTGTCTTGTGCCGAGTCGCATGCCGATGGCTCTTGCAGAGACGAGCCCAGACGACTGTCATGTTTCATCCCTCGCGGCTCTACGGCACTTCTGAATCGAGGAGCTCATCTTCCCACTCGGTGATTCCTCTGTCAGCAAGTTCGCGATTGCGCTCATACCAAGTATTGAAATCCAACTCGGGCATCTCTCCACCGTGGAGCAGATATTTGAGGATCGCGCGATCGTGTGGATGTGCGCCTTCTCCAACATCCAAGCCGTCTTCAAATAAGGCTTCGTCGCCAGACTCCAGTGAATAATCCTCGTCGTGCAGTCCTTCCAAGTAGATACGTTGTAAGCCAGTGTCGAATATCTCTGGAATTTGGCGAAGGACGGAATTCCATGTGCCCACAACCAAGTTGCAGTCCACAATCTCGAGACAGTGCAGTGTCTTTGATTGCGCGCGTAGGAGCTCGACCAGGCTTTCGTCAGTTGCATTGACACTTATCCGTAGGGATTCCAATTGCGGCAGTATAGGAATCTTGAGATGAGCGATTGTGTCGTCTTCTGTGGGCTCTTCAACGACAGCCCAGGCGTAGTCATCATCACGACATTCAAGTCTCAAGGTCTTCAAAGAATGCGCTGCTGCTGACAAGATAGCATGGATCTCCTGAAAGAGCTGCTTTGTTTGCCAAGGGGTCGCAGTCTCGAATTTCGTGTCCAGCTCTAGTCTTTCCAAGTGCGACAAACCTTGTAACTTGTTAGAGATGGTCTCTTGAGGCAGCTCGTCTCGCATGTGAGGTGCGCTCTGTTCGGAGTCAGGGGTCCCTGGCAGAGTATACTGCGCGCTCATGTCGAGGAGTGGTTGTCCACCGATATTGACAAGACGCAGAGTCCGGATCGGTGATACATGAGGGGAGGCTGCGCGACGTCCGATCCCAGCCAGAAGACAGTCCACATGCTTCATGTAGATAGGACCTCTTTCCAGATCTACAACACGATGTCCCTCCTCGTCGTCAACTTCGACAGCACTCAGATGCATCCATTGGTCTGGCGTAAGGAGGATATCCTTCTTCATCCGGTTCCATGGAAACCGGAGATGGTTGTCAGCAAAGCCATGTTTTGTGTTCTCCGCAACAGTCAAATTTGGCAGGCGTGATAGCGCCTCACGGAAGGAATCGTCAGAACCCCAGTTCTCTTGTTCATGACGATATCTTGCGTACTGATCGAAGTGGTAGCTCAACCGATCGTGATTTAAAGTGTGCTTGTGTATGCTGTTGTATTCCTTCAACGCTGCAAGACGAAGGTCTTGTCTTTCCGCCAGCACTCGTATGCGGTAGTCGTACTCTTCGTCCGAGGATGAGCGAGTTTCCATACGCGTCGGGTCCATGGTAATCCGGTCCTGGAAGATGTGAGCTTTTGGCAGACTTTCTGATGAGAACAACCTCCCATGTGCAATAGACAGTCACAATGTATTCATAGAAATGCACAATCCCTTTCTAAAATAGAGCGATATCCACGGAGAGAACGCTATGTCAAGGCATCTCCATGGTGAACCCTCTGTTCGGAAAGAGATTGTGCATTTTTATAGCTCATTATCACACGATGAGTTTGTGTGGGAGAGACGTCATAAGATTGTGACTGGCTTTTGCACATGGGGAGGAAGAGCTTAGCTTTACCTCAATGTACCTCTTAGAGAAGGTGGACCAGGGCTCGCGCATATCGATCAACTTCTTGAACTCATCGACGTCTTCGATATTTGGTAGTATATCACCCACAAAGACAAGACGTTTGATACATCTCGCAATGACTGGGTTTGAAGATAGTTCAACGAATCTCTCCAGATGCGACCGAAAGAAGGCGATGTGATATGTCTCAAAGACTCGCTCATTGGTAAGGCCACTGATATACTTGCATGTCGCCCGCAGGTTCTTGCAATCCTCAAGGTTGCAGTACTCGAGAGTCAAATATAGAAGTTCTCGAGGGAACGAGTCCAGTTGACCCATGTCGACGGGATGATGAACGTGTCGCGAGCTCAGATGTCCGAATCACGGAATCTCAAAAGTCGTATGAACCACTCCAGGGTGTTGATGCCCGTTCCATGATACAAAGGGACGATTGGTCGCCAAGTGTGTGGTTCATGCGGAGGAGAAAAGGTCTGATGGGGACCCTTGGACCCCGGATTGTGTTTCTTGTTTCTTTGCCAAGCAAGCAGTTTGACCGACGACTGGTCAAGCAGCAGGTAACCTTCGATGGTGGCTGATCTGGACTCTGGCAGCGCCTTTGGGTGTGCGGTCTCTCATTTCCCGTCTCCGTTCTGTTTTCCTGCTTGACATTCGTACGCATATCCATATTCATAGTGTATAATCATGTCGTTCCCATCCTCGACGCGTATCGGCGGCAGCGGTAAGTGCCCGTATCTCAGCCTGTCGCAAACACACACGGTACTGACGTGAAGCCNNTCAGCCTTCAACCACCAGCAGTCTGGCGACTCCGAAGCCGAATACGATAGATTGAGAGACCTTGCACGACAGGAACACGGCAAACGCCAACACTGCTCCGCCGAGTCGCAGAAGGCCTACGCGCGTGGAGATGGAGGTGCTGCCCACGACCTGTCGCAGGAAGCCAAGAGCCATGGACAAAAGGCAGACGACTACAACAGACAAGCTTCCGAGTTCATCTTCCGCGAGAACAATGCCGTAGGAAGAGTTGATGGTGATACCATTGACCTTCACGGTCAGTTTGTTGAAGAGGCCGAGGAGATTCTGGAACAAAGAATCAAATATGCAAAGAGCACTGGCCAGAACCATTTGCATGTGTAAGTTGTCCGCTTGGCTTGCTGCTGTTTCGATGTCTCTGATGGTAGATACAGCATTGTCGGCAAGGGCAATCACTCTGTCAACCACGTTCAAAAGATCAAGCCGCGTGTCGAGCAGATTTGCCAGGAGCAAGGCCTCCAATACCATACCGAGCACAATGAAGGCAGAATCTACATCAACCTCACTGGTGGAGCAGCCGTTCCTCCCGCTGGCTATGGTCAACCCCAGCAGTACGATCAGTCACACCATGGAAAGCCCCAATACCAGACCGCCTACCCTCTTGGAAACCAGCAAGGCCATCAACAACAAGGATATCCTTCCCAGCAACAAGGATACCAGCAGAACAACCAACAGCAACAGCAAGGAACTCAGCAGATGGACTACGAGGAGGAGATCAAGAAGAACCTCCCCAAGGTTATTCGTTTCCTCAAGAAGAACTGTTGTACCGTCATGTAGTACGGTCAAGTACTTTATGGTCGTGTTGGTCAAGACACAGTCACTCTTTGTTTTTTGCTTTTCATTTTTCTTTTACTTCGTCGATACCCAGAGGAAGGCATGTAGGATATGTTACAGGCTATTGGTGGGTAGAGGTACAGCCCCGTGCCGGCCGAACGAGGCTAGAGTCGTCGCCGAGCACACAGAGGCGTCAACAGAGCGGCGATTTGGTTGATGGTTTGTTATTCTCTCTACCTTGACTTCGAATCCACAACATCAGGAAAATTCACTGTTCGTTTCTACGCTATCAAGACCATCTCACGTGTGCGCTAACCTTTGTTGTCACCACGTAGACTAGCGCGTCACTAGCGTGCTATCGCTTCCGCTGCGAACATGGGCTTGATTCACAGTGACTCTGACCTCCCAGACTATCCCTTCAAAGAACCAGAGAGACGTTACCTTCGAATCGTCAACGCCACTACTCCTCGGTCTGATATCATACGCGCTCAAGCCGCATTGCCTCAGAGACCTCCCAGGAGACACTATCTCAGCCGCCTTCCAGTAAGTACTGCTCCGTTTATGCGCAGACAAGCGTCTAACTTGTCAGTCTATCAGCGAGTCCATCGGAAGCGATTACTCCGGCGTGACCGACTTCTTCGAGGAGGCTCACGTCTGTCGTGCGCGAAGCATCTTGCTGCCTGAAAACGTTGATCACTTCACTGCTGTGAGTTACCCCTGACTATCAGGTTTTTCATCACAACTGACATCCCTAGACCACCGATCCACCCAGAGAGAAGATCAAGACACACACCAAGATCTACAGAGGGCTGGCTCGTTTTGCCAGCAAGAGTAGCACAAATCTTGCCGAGCTCTCGTCTGCCACCAAGGAGAAGGTCAAGGACTTCAAGCTCACCAGGTCCAAGAGCTCGTACCATCTTCCAGGTCTTGTGTCGTCCCCATCCTCTCCTTCACGCAGCCTCACTCCACCCCTTCCATCTCTTCCGACAGACCTCCTTCAGGGAACCGACAGATCGAGTGTTCCTGTCATTCATTCCGAGAGCGTGTCTTCGACCAGCAGCGTCGAACCATTGCCAGCCAAATCACTCTCGAAATGGGACAAGACTCGCCGCAGCCTGCGCGCATTCACCTGTAAGATACCCCTGTAATCTTCGTCGCGCGGGAGATCATTCTGACACGTCATCCAGCGCGCCTCAGAGGCAAGAAGAACTGAGCAGTGTCAACCCCTACCGAAAGCGCTCTTCGAGCACCCATTGGGCCTCGTCGCATCGCCCTAGTCATTCGACTGCCGATGGAAATGGTAGTCCTGTAGTATCACGTTCACACACAATGCACTCCTCGAACACTTCGTCCTCGCCCCAATCCGCTCACGCCCCTGATCCTATCACCCCTCCTCCGCCCTCTCTTCAGTCTCCTCATGTCTTTAAGCCTGTCATCGCTCCTTCGACTCCGACTGGGTCTTCTCACCTCTTCACGCCCGCTGCCTTGTCCACGTCAAAGTCTGCCAACAACTCCAAGACGGCTTTCATCGAAGATTCACCTTCTTCCAAGTCTGCGCACAACTTCAAGCCCATGATCGTGGACAAACTCATGTCGCCCATCTCCCCCACAGCGGAACGCCCATCATAACTGCTCCCTCATCCTTCTGCGAACCATTCCAGAAACCCAAACACATCGTCTTCCCCAACTCGAACATTGACGCTGGCTCTCCTTTTCGCTTTGCGGCCTCGACCTCAGTCCACACCGCACCTTCGCCCGCTGTAACCGAAGCTACGTCTCCTGAAGCCAGACCTTCTTCACCCGAAGCTGAACCTTCTATTCCACGCCCTGCACGTTTCAAAACTCGCTTCAAGCCTTACACTCCCCGTCCCATCCCGGCCGACCCCACCAAAGTCACTTTCCCTAATGGACTCGATGGAGACAACCCCTATCCACGTCCTTACGGTGGAGGCTGGCGCAACCACCCCTACCATCTCTATGAAAGATTGCCCACCTCCAAGCTCCTGGTCGATCCATACGCTAAGCCTGCTAAGGAACCATTTTTCCGCCGGTGGTTCTGTGGCACAAAGAAGAGCAGTCGTAACTACTACGGCGGCCGTTCTGCAGCTCAAAGAGAACCCACCAGATATGTGTACAAGGCCAGTAATGGCGATCTTCACGAGGCATACGAGATGGATGACCTGTCCCCTCCCAAGCCTGAGTCGCCAGAGCCTCTTCCCGATGCTCCTCCCAAGCCTTTTGTAGGCACGGCCGTCTCAATTCTGCAGAGGGTCAGAAAGAACGTCAAGGTCAAGTACGTCAAGGCGCATGATCCCGCGGGCAATGTCTATTTCTACGAAAAGTCCTATGTGCCTCGCTTCACAAAGCACTCACTGCGCCCCTCGAAGCGCACAATCAGCATCAGAAACTTCCTCAACCGCCGTCTATACGGCAGACCAGGCGACGGTGCCAATCTGCTCATGCCTCATATCCCCTTTCCCCCTGAGGTCATTATCCCTGGCGTCGACGACACAAAGGAGCGCGCCGAGCTCGAGGCTAGGATGAGGGAGTGCGCCGAGCTCGCAGCCAAGAAGCCGGTGCATCCATTCGGTCCCAGGGACTGGCTCGACTTCGACGATGAAGATATGATCAAGAAGAAGAGGGCCGCTGACAAGGCGCAGAAGAAGAAGAGGGCCCTGGAGCTGAAGAGAGCGGAGAAGAAAAAGAACGAGTCACGTGGCCTTCTTTACTCCCTCCAGCAGCGACGCCTGGCTGCAAAGCTCAAAAGAGCCAAAACGAATATTGACAAGGAGAAGGAGGAGGAGGAGGAGAAGCTGGCGAGAAGGGAGAGAATGAAGGCCTCTGAGACCTGCTCCTCTCCTGACAACCTCTCCCAAGAGCAAGATCTTGTTGAGCGCTGCGAGGCCGCTCAGGGCGCGCAAGAAGAGCAGAGAGCCATTGGCCTGGAGGAAGCCAGAAAGGGCAAGAAGAAGGTCAGCGTCCCTGACCAGGTCGATTTCTCTGAGCCTGACTTTGCTGAGCGCCGTGAAAGCGCTCAGGAGGCGAAAGAGAGGCAATGGCTCATCGACTTGGAGAAGGCTAGAAAGGGCAAAAAGAAGGTCACAGTCTCTGATGACCCTGCATCCAGTCCCAACCCCAAACCAGGCAACCTCCGCCGCGCCCATAGCGATGCAGGTGTCGATGTTGGTACACCCGCTTTGTCCATTGAAGCTCTTGTTAGAAGCAACCTTTCTCGTTCTAAGAAGAACGGCCGTCTTAGCAAAAACAGCATATTACGCCATGACGAGTCCAAATATTTTTGAAGGCCATCAAACAACAGCGCAAGGCCGACAAGCTCTCCAGAGCTAACAACTTGGACAATGGCAAGCAGAATCTCGAAAAGCAGAAGAAGGAACGTCTTAGGCCCTCCAATTCTGGAAAGCAAGAGAAGCGCAACCGAAAGGCCGAGAAACGTCAGCAAAAGGGAGAGAAGCGCAAGCGCAAACCAGATGCCACCGTGAGACTGGTGACAGAGACGAAGCCTGTGAAATTTGTGTTACCGGTTGTCCAGGCATCGGTTGCAGGGAAGCAACAGCAAAAGCAAGAAAATCGCCAGCAAAAGGGAGAGATGTCCGAGCGACAGAAAGAGGTACTCAAGCGCATGGAACAACAACGCATACGCAACCCCGAAGCCGCTTTGGCCCAGGCTATAAAGGACGCAAAGCATCGTAAATCGCTGGCAGAAGCATCACGGGCATTGGTTGTCGAGAAGCCCCTGTCAGCGGTCACAGAAAGAAACTTGAAGCCGGTTGCAGAAGAATCTCTGAACATCACACCTCCTCGCCTCCGCACCCCCAACCGCTACAAAGATGCCTCTTTCGAATTCGAAGAGGCTGAACAACTCGTCACCCCGAAGTCTCCTGAGCAATGCCAGTTCGAGGCTGATCAAGCTGCTACACCACGAACGCCTATACCTTATGTCCTTCCAACTGTCGAGGAGGAATCGGACGTTGAAGATGGAAAGCAGATTGCTGACCTCACCAATACCTACACGGAGTTTCTTTGAGATGACTTGCTTTGTCTTGCAAGGGGTCTGATTAATTCTTGTCGCTCTTTCTCCGCTCTCGTCGCTTGTCGCTGCTTCCCTGGCTTTATTACTTGTCGCCCCCTCCTTTGGTTCTTCTACTTTGGTTCCTGGTGATTATGACGCTTTTTTTTTTTTTTTTTGGGTTGTTGAATCGGTGCCGTTTAATACTGACGCCGTCTAATACTGGGTCTGCTTTTGGGAGTTGGGAGTTTTTGGTTTCTGTTTTTCTTCTTTTTGATTCGCAAGCACATACAATAAAGCAACAAAAAATAAGAATAACACTGTTTTGAGTAAACTCTGTTTCCACATCGCGCTCGTTCTAGTCAGATGGCAGTTTTTGTGATAATGGAGCTTGAGCACACGGAATGTATTTCGGTGTCAGGTCGTCCTTCAAACTTATCAATGTTACAAAGCTTGTCAAACTTGATGCTCTCACAGCGAGGTGGAGCGATGTCAAGCTATAAAAGGCATGATCTTGTAGAGACTAGAGCCAGTTCCACAGAGAGCTTTCTTTGTGGCGCCTTTTCAGTGGATGTTATCCTCTATCTCCAAGATATCGTGCTTGTATATAGCTATCTATGCTACAGACTTTTGCGCTTGGGAAGGAACGCTCGATATAGTACGCTGGATGCCCCAACTTCTGGAAGTAAGGCTTGCTTCACCACCCAAAAGGAAACCTTGAAGGTACTCAAGAAGGAATGTTCTGCTATAAAAACTCCGAGCTAAGATACCTGTACGTATGCAACGTGTTTCGAAGGGCTGAGGAGATATCGCTTACCGAGGACACCAATCAAAGATAGATAACATGCAATCTCCATGACACCATCTTTGAAAGATCTCAGCATGACTATATATACGATGCCAATGATGAGCGGTAAGTCTTTGTTGAGACAAGAGAAATTTTGACGACGTTCGAGTGTCGAGAAAGCGACCTCGATACTACCCCTGAATTTGGATTCGACGTCGAGTGCTTCCGAATTCACAGCACTCTCTGGCCACAACTGTCGATATACACAAAAGAGGAAACAAAAGCCGGCCATATATGATCACTAAAGTAAGATGTGTATAATGTTGAAGCACCCGGCGACGGTCTCGAACTTGCCCCTGATTTCGGTTTCAATGTTTGGCATCCCAGCCTCCAAGCACACTTGAAATCCAACTGTAAAAATGCAGGAACGACTTCCAAAACTGATAGATGTCCAAGGAGAGTCTGAGTGAACGTTCTCCGTTTGCACGCTTCACTTTTCGCGTCGTCGTCACTTGTTGGCTTGCCCTCGGCGCGAGTATTGCTGTTCGAGCTTCACGCTCTCTTCCTCCTTTCCTTCTCTCAGGTCGATCGTACAACTTTGTTGTCCCTCATCTTCGTACTCCCATCTTCATCATCATCTTCAAGATGTTCTCGTTCTTCTCTCTCTTCCCCTACCCCGTCATGGCCTCCATCGTGAGTTGGTCAGACGCGCCCTTGCCGCTGTCTGCCACTCCCCTTTCTTCTCCCAGCCATGTGCTACCCACTTCTCTCTCCTTCGACCCGATGGATATCGACACCATCGTCTTGCCTCAGGGCACCAAACACAACCTCAGCCAGCTCTACCAGAGCAGGGGCGAGTTGCCTAGAAAACGCATCAAGACTCAGCCAGCTCTGCTGAGCAGCAAGGAGTTTACAGCACGAAAGGAGAAGAAGAAGCGCGATTTTCGTCAGTGGTACAACAACCTCGTCGCTACCTCGGTTTATGAGGCTACGACCTCCTTGTTGGCCGCCGAGACGGGCATGAAGAGTATATTCTTCCGCCACAAAGGCAATTCCTACTCTTTCGACTTTATGGCACTGGCCAGCAACAGCCAGCATGCTACCATCTCTCACGTCAAATCTCCCATCCACAGCTCCACTATGTACCTATTCAGAAGTAGCAGTAACCAGACCTTCCCGGAAGAGTACCTCAAATTCATCTCGCAGACGACTACCCCTACCCTCTCCTCAGGCTCCCAAGACACACCCATGGAGGATGTTGAACCTCTCTCCGACCCATTGTTACTGTGGACCTTCCCGAAAGATATCGATCAGATGATCAACCTTTCCGGAGTTGTCGGAGACAAGCCAGAACTCAGGGAGCTACAACGAGCGATGAGACTCCACAACAAATCTCGCCAGCTCTCGAGAAAAATGCAGCAAGCTAGCGAAAACGACTCAAAAGGCAACAACTACCGCGGCGTGATCAAGAACCGTCACCTGTGCAGAACCAAGGTCTCCCTTACTGTACCGGAGTTCACCACCAGTGAAGTCACGGACTTCAGAGACGACATGGTTTCCTTGATCAAGTATGATCAGCATATCAACAAAGAGGACACCTTTTCCAAGTCGTTCAACAAGGTTGTGGTCAACGATCCTGTGGCAGAAGGGGAAGGCTTTGTCGGCTTCTCGGCTGAGATAGATGAAGACTACGAGGTTGGAAATCAGCAGATGGATGACGATGATGATCAAGTTGGAGACAGTCAAACCCAATTCGACCAAGAAGAAAACGACCAGGCCGAAAATGATCAAGCAGAAGACGATCAAGCAGAAGATGATCAAGCAGAAGACGATCATGCAGAAGACGATACCTCTCCACCCAGCAACTATAGCGACCAGATGTTGTTCGTTGCCGATGTTGTTCCAGCATCGACTACCGCCCAGCGCATAGCCACTCTATCTTCCTTCAAAACGATTGAAGATGCAGGCGGTTCCGAAGACCATGAAGACCACCTCTCCCCTGAAGATTCAACCGAAGCCAGTAGCATTACCCACGATACTTTCGCAGACGAATCTCTCAATTCCGACTCCTCGAATACCGACCTCGAAACCATTCTCAGTGCCTGCCCACACCCAGCACAACGTATCGCAGAGATACCAATTCTTCCTCCCCACGTCGCGGCGCTATTCGAGCCTGGATCGGAGCATGCAGCCGATCTGATGAATAATGAAACCCATGTCGATGACTTACCAGACTACGAGTCCGACGAAGAAACCACACCCACAAACAACAAAATCAACGATGAAGGCATATCAAACCACAAAGAATGATCACACCGAAGCACAAAAGATCTGTTTTTCCCCTCTTGGCTCGAGACAGGTCCACTTCTCTCTTCACAAAAGCCACAAGAAATAGCCAGATAAAACCAAAGACGGCAAGAACGACGACAAAGACAAGACGCGAAGCAAATGGAGCAATGAGAACACGGAGAATACGAAGAACGACATCAACGACATAATCTAAATGAATGATTACGACACGAGATACCCCTGAGTTTTTGGAAATGATGTTTGCAAGCAGAACAAACAGCGCGGTGTTTGGGGAAGGGCCTTTTTTTCTTTGTGAAAGCTAGTCTTTCAGAAAGAGTTCAGTAATGTTTTCGTCAAGTCACAAACAAAGAACATCAGTCTAATGAAAACTTACAAACAATGGATTTCCTTTTCTCTGTGAGTGTGATCATTGAAGTAAATCCCAATCTGCATCAAGCACCATATGAGAAGCTACGAGAATACACAGTTGTATCCAGATAAGAGGTACATCCAGTGAGAGCCATGATATCGTACAGCTTTCACTGGACGTATCTCTAACATGAAGACTATCATGCATTTTGATGAGCTACTCACAGCTCGGTACTCTTGTGGGAGGAGGTGCTTTCTGTCTGAAATGTCAGTGAGATGTACAGATATAGCAATACACACTCATCTGCGAATTAGACACTATATCCACAGAGTCGAACAGAATCATGAGTCTCTCTGGATGTACCGTCGTACCAGGGACGCGACACCGTCAGCTACGATGTATTCCTCCATGCTTGTGAAGATATGAGCATCTCTACGTCTGCTCTGGCGCAGCAATTCTTCTGCTCTGTTTTCATCAATATGGCATATCTCGGCCTTTGGGCGAGATTGGTGAAGCTACAAGGGCTATAACAACTACAGGCCATATGAGGAGCGGGCAATGCACTGCCTTGCCAGAGACGTCTACAGCATGCGAGCTGGCGAAGGGCCGAAACTCATGATTGGCAACTTGGTCTCGTATGAACCCGAGCTTCATGAACTCGTGATCGCATATGCGTTTCTATAGCTCACCTATAGTTCTATACCGTTTCGGGAGCATATCGGGAAGCGGAATACGAGCAGCAGGTCCATGAATGAGTTCTTCCATTGCGACTTCTCCTCTAGTGGATGATGACTGCAGTTAGTGTTTGTCGATATGCACAGAGTATAGAGCATATAACGGTGATGCCGAAACGATGGTGTTCAGAGTAGGTAGCTTCAACCCGGCTAGTGACAAACACATCTGGTACCAATGTGTCTTCTATGATTGTGATTGCTCTGGACAATGGTAGTCGACTTTCAGAACAGGTATTTGAAGGTCGAGGTAGCCCTATGGTTCATTTCTTTCTCATTTGATGGGTGGTATATGTACAGTGTGGCCGCTTGGGTTGGTGCGGTAGGCCATGTCTAGTGTTACAGGGTGCTTTGATGCAAAATGATTTGCCTTCTTTTTCTCGATTTGAATCTGTTGGGTCCAGATCGACTTAACGAAAACGAAAAGGCAGGAACGTGCGGCAGGCGTGTTCGAAGCGTTCCAAGAAGATTCCAGGTGGCTGCTTTATGCCTCAGCAGCGATGACCTTTGCTTCCATTGGTGTAGCGACAAAAGGATCAGAGTCAGTGGTCTTGAGCAAATCGACCACAGTGCCGTCCTCCAGCTCCAGACTCCACTCTGTCGTCTCGAACNNTATTATCTTTCGTCAGCACTTCGTTCTCTGTTTGAAACAGCATGTCAAACTTACAACTCCCATCCTCGTCTTCCTGTGACTCTTGAACCTCATCTTTGCCTGTTGCCTCGTCCCCTTGACCCAATACACAACATCAATCTTTCCATGCAACTGATTAATCTCTCCACCAATATAAGGAATCTTGCTGGCAAAATAGACCTCATCGCCCAAAATCTCTCTGGCAAGCGCATTCGTTCGCAACGAGTACATTGTGCTGGTCACCACCGACGAGTTTTGCTTTTGGTAGTTGAAGATGGCGAGAGTGGAGGCGGCCATGGCGCTGAGGAAGAGGGGTAGAGTGATCATCCACGATTTGCTGGGGGTCATGTCGGGGAGGGCGCGGTCGGCGCGGCGCTCCATCAGAGGACCGGAGTTTGGTTTTGGCGCGGCGATGAGGGTGCGGCGGGGTGTGAGGGTGATGGCATCGTTGCGCTTGAAGAGGGCCTCGAGGGGCTTGCGGAGCGGTAGTCTTGGTGGCATGTTGTGGATGTGTGTGATATAGGTTTCTATATCTGTGCAAAGCAAGAATCTGGTGATGGTTGCGAGTGGATGGTATACTGCCGGCTTTTCATCGGGAGAAAGCTGCTGCACGTCATTCGCAGCTTCCCGTTTCGCGGCGCGTCTTCCGCGTTCTGGAGTTTGGAGGGGCTGCTCGAAACATTTACAGCTGGTCGCAACTGCCTTACTGAGAATCAAACAACACAGCAATGGCCGCCCGTCTACGCAAGACATTCCACTACCCGACCGAAGATGCAGGCAGTGACGACAGCGACCGCGAAGAACTCGACGAGCAAGAGCAGGAAACAATCATCGAAGATCTGGCAAAGCGCGACTTGGACAACACAATCTTCTACCGTCGTGCTTTCGTTGGCCTGCCCGCTGCTGCAGCGCTCATCTATCTGCCTGTTCTGTTCTCTGCCGAAGCTTTCAGACATGTCTTGTTGGCTTTGCTGTCCTTGACCGCCCTCGGCGGCACTGTTTACATCTTGCTCTGTGTTCCCTCTGCGCCTGCCGCTGTGGACAGCTCGAGGTTGTCTGCTGCCATGATTGACAGCAGGGGTCCTTTGGATATTGCTTTGCCTTGGTTGAATGCTGCGCTGAGTGCGGTACTTGCCCTGTCTGGTGTGCTGGCTTGGAGGCGAGACTTGGTCGACGAAGCCTGGCGCGCCTTTCTGCCTGGTGGTGCGTTCTCTTTGTCCACCGCTCTTTTTCCAACACTCGCTGACTCTTTGTTTACAGCAATCTTCCTCGTCACCATGTACGCCCGCTCCCAACTCGTCCCGCTCGATGTCGCCAGCTTGGAACGTCTCAAGTACAATTACAAGGGTGCTTGATTTCTTTTGCTCCTCGTACGAATCTGATTATTCGTCGTCAACCATTGTGCAACCTCCCAATGATAGCCTCCCTTTTGTCTGCCATTGAAAACACTTCCTCTATTCGTCAGTCCTTGCGCCTTACCTTGCCACTATATCCATGGCCTGTCTTTACATGTCGATGCTTTCGTGGAATCGCAAAACTGCGTTGTTGTCGAGGTAGCCGTCCACCTCGTCGGGCAGCGCGTCAAAGGACGCACGCGCAACCTGCTCTTGTGTCGTCGAGTTGGTCACATCTGCAATCAACACCAGTCCTGCCGTCTTGACTGACTCGATCAGTGCTGGTACCAGTTCCNNTAGTCATCGTGTTAGCCTACATTCGCTTCTTTCGCCTTGTCTAACATCACTTACCAGCAATCTCGAGCTGCACATCAGTCCCATGAAATTGTTGCTCTGTGCAATTCTCACGGCTTCCTTGACAGACGTAGTAGTACGTCCGCTGCTGAACAATGGCCAATCTGTCTCTTCCGACATTGCTTGCTCGATGCCGAGGTCGTTGCACAAAAGTACGGGATCTGCGGATTGGGTCAGTCTTGTTTTTGACACAAATCCGTTAATAGACACTTACAGNTTTGGTTGTTTCCAGTTGAGCGCCGTGCAAATATTGGCATTGTAAGAAGAGAACACGATCGATCTGATAAAGCCTTCGCTGGCTCCACGTAGTCGGCGTGCATGATCAAACACCTCCTTCAACGAGGCATCTACGAACTCGTTGATGTTGCCTGTTGGGCCAAGTTGCAGCATCTCCTCTTCTGCCTTTGTAGGGAAGAGCATGTGCACATCGAGATGCATCTGCGGAGGCAGTATCTCGAGCACGTCGTGAAGAGAGCACCAAGATTCTGCAAGTCCCTTTGCCAACAAGGCGGGCGAGGCTTCAAGCAGCACTCTCAAGCTTTCGGGTCCTTTGCCGTTTGCTTTTCCGATAGCAGAGAACTGTTCGTACGTAAGACGACTGATAAGATCATTTCTCACACCGTAGGCTGCAAGTGTCGATGGCATGGCCCAAGAAGGATACAGGACCGGCACGCCATCCTTGGTTGCTTGCACAAAAATGCGCATGTAGTCTCCGCTCAAACTCGAACCAGTGATGAGTCCGTTGGGCTGCGAACTGATCTGGCTCGTCGCCTTCCAGTATGTAGCGAACTGTGTAATCTCCATAGGAATGCCGTGGAAAGGTGTGACGACTTGATATCTGAAGCTGATGCGTCCAATAGCCCGGAGTCTAGGGTCGAAAAGTTCCAGATGCCAATTTCCAGAACTGCTGTAACGGCTCGAGAACACAAGTGATGACGCTGCACCTCTGGCAATCACCTTGGAGCCAAATGTGGGGAAGATGTCGAAATCGATCGAGAAGGTGTTGAGATTGTCAATCTGGAAAGAGATGACTTTGAACTCGTCCTGTATCGGCAATGGGATATTGCGGGGAATGAGATCTGAAGACTTGGATGATATCGTCAATCTTGCGGCAGGATACTTGTTGTCGCCATAGAACTCAATCGCTTGAGAATCTTGTGAGTCGAAACTGATGACAATGAATGTTTTTGTTGTGTCGAGGAAGTTGTGACCATAGCGTCTGAGAGGGATGATTGGTGGAGGCAAGGACAGATCGGGAATCGCTTCCATATCTGCACTTGCAGGGATAGGTGCACTTGAGCTGAGGATGGACTGGAAAGTGGCAGGAGCTGGCGTCGGCTCTTCACGGGCAATACCCTTACCATGGCCTGCCTTTTCCAGCAGACGTAAACAGTCGAGGTGACCCTCCCATGCGGCATAGTACATGGCAGAGAGGTCTTTCTCGTCCAATACATCAACATCCACGCCCAATTCGAGTAGGGACTGTAGGCAAGACAAGTGGCCTTCACTTGCAGCGTGGAAGAGCGGAGTCCATTGGTAAAGTTTGTCGGGCTGATCCAGATTAGCTCCGTAGTTCTTCAGCATTTGCAAGATCTGTGGACTACGGCCTGATCTGGGAACCAGATGTTGTGGATACAGTCCTTCTGCATCAGGCAAAATCTGTGGGTGGTATTGGAGGAGCAGGTCCACAATTGGAACCGATCCGTATTGGCAAGCCAGGTTGATCGGAATGTGGTCTGCTTCGCTAGTAGGGTCTACGCGAGCTCCCAGCTCCAAGACTGCCTGGACCGCTGCAAAACGAGCATGCACGATACCATGAATGAGGGGTGTGAAGTTGTCCAAGTCTTTGAAGTCAACGCTTTCGGCGACGGGAGCAGCGTTCGAAGAGGTACTCTCTATGCCTTGCATAGAATTCGCCGAGTCATACTTGACAAGTTCCTTGACCACATCGACGTGACCGCGCATACAGGCGTAGTGCAGCGAAATGCGACCATAGATATCGGTCGCCAAGGGGTTTGCGCCACGCTCGAGCACCATCGTCAGGCTGAGTAGTCTTCCTGAGATCGAGAGCTCATGCAAGCAAGTACGTTCGTTGATCTCATCCACGTAATCCAGATCAACTAGATTTGTCTCCAGTAGGGTCTTCTGCATTTCCAAAGGTGCATCGTTGATTGTGCTGAGGAAAATGCGGTTGATGCGTTCCCTCGCTTCATTTGTAGATCCTAGTCTCGAGATCCATTCCTTGATTAGTGTCTCGTTACCAGTATTCACTGCCTGTTGCATTTGCATTTCGATGTCGTTGTCCTCTTGCGCGCCTGCCTGGGGCCTTTGCTGTTGATCACCACTAGGGATATATTCAATCTTCTCACCTTCTGCCCAAGCGCCGAGTTCAAGCAAACTTGATGTGGCTTGGTCGGAAAGATCTCTGATGACATCTCTGTTGAAGCATGGCTGGATCTCTACTGCTCGTGAGAGATATAGCTCTTTCGTGCGCGACTTTGAAGTTTTGTCCCACNNTATGATTTTATGTTAGCAACCGAAGATTGAGGCTTTCGAGCATTGCAATCTCACCTTCTTGAGGATCTTCGAGAAGGCCGTCTGGTTGATCTCGATGAATTGCNNTACACTAGTCAGAGTCTTTGCTTTCGAGTTGCATTCAGCACGACGAACCTGGAGCTTGTCGAGATCACTGTTGAACAATCGGAAGCCTTCGTCTAGCGTGACAAAGACTGTGGAGAGTTTTGAAGCGGACAATCCTCGAGCTTGTAATGACTTCTTTCTGTCCGCCAAGGTTTTCAACCGTAACTTGAGCNNTGAGACTTGGTGTCAGAAAAAGCACCAAAAATCCGACCATGAATAACACACCTCTGCCTCTTTCTGTAGGTAGAAAATATTGACCTTCTCAAGCTCACGCTCNCTAGGTCATGGTCAGTCTGTCACTGATTTAAAGCAAAGTCATGATCTTACGAGTCGAAAGAAGAATGTAGCTTTGTTTGCTTGCAATGAGGCTTGCGAGTCTGCGAGGCCGCTTCCAGCATTTGTGAGGTCTTGGGCGTGTATGACTGGTGTCGCACTGAGCTTCTTGATCAANCTGTGAATTGTCAGTATGAGACAGTTATGGAGCCCTGTGTGCACAAGGTGAAAGCGGCGGCGTAGCGAGGTGGTTACCTTCTTGAGGGCCTTGTAGTCAACGAAGCTGGCAGCATATTCGGGGATATCCAGCTGCCTCTTCTGGATGTGTTTGCCGAACTTCCTGATGACAAGATGGTCAGATGCCGATGATACACTTGATGTGAAAACCAGGGATTTCTGATAATAACGCACATCTTGGCTGAGAGGGGTGTCTTGTCGGTGTTCTAGAAATATGGCGTGGAGGGGCTGTCGAACAGCTCTGTTGTTGAGAATGACGGAACGTGATTGGCAAGCAAGCGACGCAAAGTTCCTGATGAGCGGCGGGCTTGACCTTTATTTGGACTGCAATGCTTATGACATATGGGTTCAGGCGAGATTGTTCGTGTTTGCGTTCCAAAAGGGCGTCAGATGAGTCTCACGTACACGTAGCAGCTTGCCGGCGGCTGTTGAGAGGGGTCCTCGGTGAGCATTGGCAAATGCCGCCAACCTAATAACCACGAAGTGGAGCGTTCTCTGATTTCCCTGGCCTCACCACGCTCGTGAGGTTGGAGAAAACACAACTGCTGGAGAGAGCAGCTAAAATTCGACCAATCAGAGTCGCCAAATCGCCCATGCTTTTCCCCCTCGTCCTAAACAGGCGGCTTCCGCACGGCTCAACCGAGCCAACATCGCTTTCCGCAACTACACGATTTCAAGAGCAGTATTCCTCAACGCCTGTTGCTGCCGGATCCATGATGAGAGAAGCATGCTGTTAGTCAAGAGCTGCCAGTGCAGACGCCACGTAGCCCGTATTCCTGTCTATCGGTACTGCGACGAGAGGGCCAGACCTATTTCTATGCGCACGACTCCAACTATCTATATCAACTGATCATCTAGCTCGACCTGCTGTCGCGTGCTCACCAAATGGTCCAGCCGGTCTCGTTTGCATGTCACCGCCCCACTAACCCATTGTTTCTTCCTCTCCGTTCCCCTGCACTCCATGTCCTTCATAACCTCCACGTTCCCTTACTCATTGTTAGTGCGGGTCATTGGTTCCTACCTACTCGATTGCCCGACGTGGTCTCAGTGAAGTCTTTGGTGTCCGTGGTGAGTACGTGCCCTAATACAACGTCTGCTGTACCATAAATCTATCGGTCTCTCGTCCGTAATACCCCGAACATCATTCAGCTTCGGTCGACCTGAGCAGACACATCATAACATGAGACAGTCCACCGCTCCTTTGCATGTGACGATTTTCATTGATGGCCGCGGAGCTTTGTCCTTTCGCTCTCGCGTGGTATTCGAGATCATCGCTGGACCAGAAAGCCTTGTGTTTGGCTTTGAACCCCTTCGCAGTTCAGTCGGACCTTCCTTGATATTAGGGTTGCCAGTTGCCAGACTCCAGCCATCGCCCTTTCCCTGAACGCAGCAAAACACGTGCAGCAAGACATGACTCTCAATCTCAACCACCGCTTCAACCTCCCTAAGATCGATACCTGCCAGGCGCCCCGCATCAGTTTTATCGCTCTTCATTCTCCCTCCTATCATTACCTTACTTGGTCTCACTGAGCCTTGCGCCGCCCATCATGCTCCTAGAACTCTATCAACCGCCGCCTTCAAAACTCGACACCTACTATATCCTTGGAGAGATTGCTTAGAAAGCTACTGCTTTGGCCGATGTTCATCCCACCGTCGATTTGGACCTGCTTCGTCAGCTTGCCGATGGTGTTCGGAGTGTTCGAATTGGATCCGAGGATGCGACCCGTGCTTTGTGTCAGGTCTTTGAGGACACTTTCACTTTCGCAGTGCTACACGGTCAGCTCAATGCTGATTTGAAAGCAAAAGTCTCGGCATTTCTCAGTGGTACCCCGGCAGAGATTATTGCAGCCAAAGGCTTCGACCCGACTCCAGCCCCATTGAGCCTCCATAGGCATCCTTTCGGCGGTCATTTGCCTGATGCTCACAAGAAGCATCGCCTCTTCGGAGGTCGTGCCTATGCTAAGGTCGAACAAACGATAGATGCAGTGGAGCATCGCCCAATCGTGTTTGAGGACTTCGAAAAGACCAGGATCATGGAGGTCTGAATGGCCACATGGCAGTACAGCTCGAGCGCTCGCTGACGCACATCCAGGTCTACGCCGATATTCCCTTCCTCAATTGGCAACAAAATGTACATACCAGACCAGCTCTGACCTTCGTCCCATCCACCGTACTCGGCTTGCAGAACCTGATTAAAGCATATCCCCAGAAGCGCATTCGATGCAGTGGCTATCGACATACCAGATCTGACTTCTTCGCAGAAGACGGTGACATCCTCGTCTCCTTTGTCAGCCTGCATCACGTTGCAAGCGTCCTGCCGGAGATGATCAGTATCTTTACTGATCGGATCAACGAAGCCGAGGTGTCAGGAGAGTTGAGGAGCGTTCAAGTCTTTCCTCCCAAAGCAGGTCAATTAGACACTCAGCGAGTCCGTGTTGGTGTGGCAGTGACTCCGGAAGAGCTTCGAGAATAGGCCAACGAAGACGGCTGGTCACTGCCTGTAGACGTCACAGCAGATGAGNTAGGACATACAAGTCATCATGTCAATGTTGACAAACGGCTGACTGGTATTAGGATAACCACTGGTAGCATCATTGGATCCATGTGTCATGGCGCCGGGTTCGCACACAAATCTATCAATGACTATGTCAGATCGCTTGAAAACGTCGATGTCAACGGCGCTGTTCAAACAGTCACAGAACCCTCCGAACTGCACGCTGCGTTGGGGTGCTTTGGACTACTGGGAATAATCACACACGTCACCTACGAAGTCAAGAAAATGACCTTCGCTGTCATGCAACCTCGCAAGGTAAAGACGATGCTTGCCATTCCACCGCCCGACCCAAGTCAAGTCCCTGAAGCATTGCATGTTGAGACCAGCCCTGAAGAACTCAAGCAAGCAATCAATGATTTCGAACGACGAGCTGAGCAAGACCACTATGCCGGGTGGTCATGGTTTTCCTATCAATCGGACGTCCTCGTCAACACGTGGTCGACGGTCTGCAACGCTGAAGGACAAGAGGACTACACGACTCCCGTCCAAGCATTTCTGCAGTGGATAGCGGCATAGATTACCGCAGTCATCGTGGGAACTGATTTCTATTCTGACATGCCAACGAGATGGCAATCTCAACTGCTCGCGGCAGGAAACATGGCTGTATTGTCGCCCTTGACCACCGATCCAGACGATCTCGAGATCAAGACTAAGTTGCCANATGCACTCCGCTTCTGGCGCGGCCGCCACTATGCTCGCGCCAGAAACATGGAACTTGATTTGCCGATCCCGCCCTCGCCGACGGACACGAGCAAGCCTGATTGGACGATGGTAAGGAAAGCTTGGTGGAGTGTCATCGACTTGGTATACCGCTCGGCAAACTCACCCATGCGTTTGGCAATGGATATGAGGATCACAGGTGACAGTGACATAATCATGGCTCCCCAACGTGGGAATAGTCATGGCACCGTAGCTCTCGAGATCGGCTCGGTCACTGACACTGTTACCGAAGAAGAGTGGCAGACTTTCTGTCAAGGCCTGGTAGATGCATTGACTGCACTGGCTCCTGAAGGTAGGCTCCGACCACATTGGGGAAAAGAGTGGGTGAAAATGCGTTTCGGTGGTCTTCCAGCTCGTGAGTATGTTCGGACAGTAGCATATAAAACCGAGATTACCGAGTGTTTGGCCACATTGGAGATGATCGGCAAACGACAAGGATGGACTTTGAAGGACTTGCACAAGAGGTTCTCTAACAAGTTGTTGGATGACATTTTCTTCTGCGAGACTCTGACTCAAGCTTGACTGGCCAATCTCGCTCTCATAAAGGGTCTATAGAATTTATAGGCAATTGTCTCTTGAAGTGACAATTCCTGGTGTTTGTTCTTCAGTGTTATGCCAAGATGTGGCTGAAATGTGGCTGAAATGTGGCTTGATCTTGTGCGCCGACCTCCATGGCTCCACTCGATAGACATCCATTACATCTTCTATATTAACATCCCGGTGCATAAACAACATCACCAAGCTATCTCGTAACGCTCGAACAACCCATCGCATACACCACAGTGTCTTCAGCTCACTTGTTGATATCCAAACGCAAAAGTCGCAAACCTAGTCAAGTTTTCACATCGCCACCATGCCAGGCGCAAAGTTGTGGGCAAAGATGATCGGATCGTATGCGCTTTCTTCTCTCTTGCTGGTCAATCTGTGAGGAAGTTTTCATACTGACACGCTGTTATTTAGGGGCGCTGTCCTGTGTATTGGCGGTCCTTACCTGATCTACTACGTCACGCCAACCGAGGAGGAATTGTTCATGGTAAGTGATTTTTTCTGTCCTTTACGAATCATCAAGACGTTCGAACATGCGAGAGATTTCTATCCCTCTCGATCTGTTCTTCTGGCATATGACTGGACTTTTAGGTTGTGGACGTGTGAGCTGACGTGATTTGCAAATACAGAGATACAACCCTGAATTGCAGAGAAGATCGCTGGAGAACCGCAAGGAGAAGCAGGAGAACTTCAACGAGTGGGTTACGCAGCTCAAGAAGCACTCGAAGAGTGATTTGCCCCGTAAGTTTCTTCTCATTGTCATTACTCTCGCTCGTTTTTGCCCTCGTGCCACCATTTAGAATTCTCGGTTCCTTTCCTTGTTGCTTTCTAGATGCCTTATGGTCCCTCATCTTTCCCGTTGTCCCCTTCCCCGTGATCTCTTTCTTGAAAGACGCGGTCGCTGTCGTAATCGGTCCGGTTGAAATCTCGACAATATCATCTTCGCTTTCAGCATATCCAATCTCTACAACTCAAAACCCCCAGCACAATATACTGACAGAATCACGCCACAGTCTGGACAGCCTGGGACAAGGAATCCGCCGCACACAAGGAAGCAGGCACAGCCCGCCTGATTGAAGAACGCAGAATCGCCGAACAGGCCGCGCAAGCCAGAAGAGACGATATCAAGAACTCTGCTGCTTAATCGCTCTGGCTGGAAGACACCAAAGAAGTAAACTAGTGGAAAGAGTATGAGGGTCTCTGATAGCTTCTTGTTGTATTTTTAAAATTTGCAAGTCAATACGCTTCTCTTTTTTTTTTCTTTTTCTTTCCTGTCTTTCTGTGCGGAATTTTGTTTTGCGCAGGCTCTCTCGTAACGAGGTAGACTGATACCTGGGCTATAGAAATACACAGTAGTATTGAGAAACAGGATGATCTCCGTTGAAGAGCTGTCATTATATGCACTCTCTTTGAACGCATCGCCGATTTGAATACAATTGCGTATTTCTATAGGTACTTGTGATAGATGTTAGCACATGGGGAGGACTTGGCTTCCCACGACGATAGATGGTGGTTTCGTAGTTATAAGAATGCACAGAACTATTCAGAAACATGGTGTTATCCACTGAGAGTCATCGAGTCCATCGGCTCTCCCTGAAAACAACTCTGATTTAGACACATTCGTGCATTTTGATAGCTTGGAAGAGAAGGCCAGTGCCCATTGAGAGCTATTATATCTGTGTGCTCTCTCTGGAAATACTTGTAACTTGACATACAATTGTGCATTTTTACAGTCCATATATTGCTGGTCAGTAGAGTTGGGAGAAAGACTCCGACTGCGGTTTCTGTTCTTTCCTCACCGTAGAAGTAGCGATAGTAAGCTATAAAAAGACACAGATGTATATAAATCCAAGCTCTGTCCAGAGAGAGTCGACGAGATAGGGGTTCTTCAGTGGACTCAACTAAGTTTCTCGACAGTATCGTGCATTTCTATAGCATACTTTGTATATGAAATTGAGATGAGAATGTTCTTTGTGACTTTTTCTTCTATCTATACAACTGCAGTTTTTTGATATGATTGTGACTTAATCATTATCAATCATGATGACGGGGATACCCTTGGAAGTAACGAGTTCAGGGGCCGAAGCAACCTCGCCAGCAAGGTCACCGACGTCCTCCTCTCCCTCCTCCACAGAAACCTTCTCACCCGACACAGCCATCTTCTTTGGCAACATTCTGACTTCATGCTTCACCACTCCCCTCACACCCGACACCTTTGCAGCAATCTCTCTTCTCGTAGTCTCCCATTTCTCGGCCGCCTCCTCGGGGCTCAGGGGCATTTCCTCCACATCTTCCTCCTCAAACAGGCAAGACACGTGCTCGCCGCCTCTGATCCTCTTTGCATCGACCTCGTTGGCGATGATGGTGAGCGTTTGCTCTCTCTTCTCGTGCGACATTTCGTAGACGTATTGGTCTGATTGCTTGACCAGGGACTTTGCGCGGGCTCTGGCGGCCTTGTCGTTGGCGACGCACTTCTTGTAGGTGTAGTATCTGTTGCTGGGATTGTGTGCCTTGGGTTGTAGTTGTCTTGATGCAGGGGTCGTTGGAGGAAGAGGGTAGGTCGTGGGTTCGCGAGCAGGGCTCGAGCGAGAGGGGGTGGTGGGTGTGTTGTTCCTGGCCATTGCTGATGATTTCTGCAAAGGCTTGATGGGATCTGATTGACGCAAGAAAGTGTCAATACCATTGTGTTTACCAACGAGACAAGATAAAGGTTACTGACTTCTGGCTAGAGGAAGATCTTTGATGCTGCGGTCTACGACGTTGATGTTCTGGTGTGGAAGCTTCGTAGAAACGTAGTCCTTATATGTTTATATAGTGATGTGTTTCACAGTGAAGAAGCAGCGGAGAGAGATCTTGTGCGTTTGTTGTCGTCGGTGCCTGTCGTCGCCACGACGATGGTATGGGCTTCTTGTAGTGAACATCAGGCAGGCACGAGCACCGGGATCTCGACGGATCACATGCATCGACGACGAACTTTGAGTGCTCCGTCGAGGATAGCATGGGGCGGTTTTGGTAGTGAAGGCAGGCACGATCAGATAGTGTCCTGAGATATCACAAGCAAAATCGACATCTTTCGAGCCTCGATACGACGAGAACCCATAGGCCCTTGAGTGAGCCATCAGGCACGAGCAGCAGGCTGCAGTCATATCACATGCAAACAGGCAGTCCACACGACGAATGAGTGTGAATAAACAGGCCTCATGTGCTGTGAAGCCAACAAAGGAGGTGTTGGGGGCCGACGACCCGGTGTTGCGGATGTCGTACGCTACCGTGACGACGGTCTGGGTCGATCGACGACGACCACGACGACGTGTGAAGCATACAAACATGTTGTCGTCGACGGTAGCCTGATGTAGTGAATCTCGTACTAGTGCCTCTCCAAGAACCAAAGCATGCATCTCATGTGGCTATAAAAATGCACGATAGTCTTTGCAAACAAGGTGATGTCCACTGAGAGACGACAAATCGTGACCTCTCTCTGGGCATGTCCCTAGTCTGGAAGCTACTGTGCTTTTTTATAGTTCAACATGTCGCTGTATATCTTTGTGGGAGGACGAAGGATGACAGACTTTGGCACATGAGGATCCGAGTCTATAGACGGCGGTCGCGAACGACATCACCGCCTGTCTTGCGCAACGGACCTGCCATAAGTGAAAAGATTGAACAGCTTCACGAACATAGCAGCAGGTCGACGCGATAAGCTGAGATAGAACGCTATCACAAACTCGAAAACGGCCTAGCCTCGACCTATCCGCTTCGAAGAGTCATCAACGCAACGAATTGGCGACGAGACAGCTTCACAGTATTACAGGCAGGAGCGAATTTGATGTCTTGATCATTCCTATTATGTTGTTGTATTGATGATTCTGCCTGCGTCGACGCTACTGCGAGCCCCTTAGTCTTCAAAGACACTACGATTGAAGAAACGGTAGATCTGTCTGCCGGCCTCCTTTCCGATCAACGCCGCCAACTCATCCTCATCCGCATTGGCAACTCCCAATACGTTTTCGTACTTGAGGATCAAGTTTGTCAAGTTCTTTGGGTTGACTCCTGGTACAGCGCGAAGCATGTCTTGTGGTAGCTGGTTGAAAGTTCTCTCCTGACCATCCATATCACTCTCTTCCAAGCCAATATTGACTGCTTTGATCGGATCAGGTTCTTCCTGTTGCTTTTTGAGCTCTTCAAAAATCTCGGCCGTCTGGTATGGTGATGAGGACCAGATGATGCGGAGACGAGGAAAGGCCAGAGTCAGCAGCACAAGCTTGGATTGCAAGTCTGATGCTTGCAGAGAACCAGATCCCACGCCGGCCGACAGATCTGCGAAGGGCTCCAATGTAAAAGACTTTTGTGCGTCAAACTCGATCAAGAGCATTGGGCTCTTGTAATGCTGTTGCATTGTTTCGGCTTGATGGTAGAGACGACCATTCTGGAAAGACTGGATAAGATCCTTGATCGACTTTCGCTCAATACAAATCTCAGGGGTCAAAACGTAGTCGCCTACTGTCAAGGTGCATGGAACGATGACCATGTTTCTTCCATGAAGAAGTGACGGCAGAGACGATCGGAACTCTCGAACATCAATGACGACTCTTGGAGGTTCTGCGGTAGCAACAAGTCGACCTCCACCAGCGATACGAGTATTGACCGTTCGTAAGAAAGACTCTTGCGGGTCCAGTCCTGCAGGATCGTGTGTCAAAGTCACCGCCATGGAGCCTCTTTCGCGAATTAACTTGGTGAAGGCGTCCTTCTCCTTGCGCACAGCGCTCAGATATCGTTGCTCCTCCACACTTCCTCCGTAGTACATAAAGTAGACTCTTACGTTCCTGTTCGAGTGGCTACTCCGATACACTTCAATACGCCGGATGAAAGCCGCGTCCGGCTCGTACATGATGACATATCTCGGCTTGGTCTCTTCAAGAATGTGTTCGTCCATGTCACCATCGTAGGGATGCACCATTATTAAGTCTTTCATGTCGTAAAGCTCGTAAAAGTCGTCCATGTCATCCAGAGGGTCGGCGCCAATCTCAGCTTTCTGTTGAGCTTCCGCTTCTGTAGGCTCGAGCTCAGCCAGAAGACTTTGCACGTGAGACTCTTTGTCTCCTGCCACATGGACGCTGCCGTTTGCTGTGCGTGTGGGAGCAGATGCAGCAGATGGGCCACCTCGCATACGGCGTCGCTTATTAGACCCACCGCCTCGTCCTCCACGGCCAGCTTGACCTTGGCGCTGGTCGGTTGTACCATTGATGTTTTTCTGATTCTCTGCAAAGAGTGAATTGCTCACTCGATTGAAGTCTCGCTTCCAGAGGAAATAGTTTCTGAGTTTTCGACGCATCATAGCGGCGCCAGATGGTCCTCGAGCATCTTCATCAGCGTCCTCTTTCGCTGATGTCGTATCTGGAAGGACATTCATGCTTTGTAGATACTCACGTATCTGCCGACATGTGCCTTGATCCCCGCACATGATCAGAATACTACCGTTGGATTCGTCCTGAAATGAAGGGTTGAAGTACATGTCACGCTCAATCTCTTCCAGAATCTCGGCCATAAGGTTCCATTTGGGCATTTCTTCGAGCACAGGACGTAGAGAGTCGGGAACGCCTGTTCTGGCGTTGACACTTTGGCTATCCTTGATATTACCAGTGTATACACGACGCTTGGCATTGTCGAAGATGACATGAGCAGCGTCTAGGAACAGCCAAGGAGATTGGTTTTGACGATTTGAACCAGGCGGTGGAGATGAAGCGGCTAGGACTGTATCGAGATATCGAAGGAAGCTTACGGCGTCGAAAGTGAGAAGATAGTGCAGCATATTTCGCAATAGTGCCAAGTCACGAACGATTTGACGAGTCCTGAAGTTGGTACGATGCCAAACAGGATCCAGTTGTCGACGGACGATGGCGTCAAAGTTGCGATGCAAAGCACTATCAAGATTCCAGTCTTCCATATCTAAGCCAGTGTTTCCTTTCTTCAACTCGGTAATGCTGACTTCGACACACTCCATGATGGCGTTTTGAATGTCGCGCATACCGTCAGTCATGGGGACCTCGAGTTCGATGACTTCGGCTTTCCGGCGACCTTCGAGGGACTTTGCGACAGTGACATGGAAGCGAGGATATAGCGAGGGTCGTCTGAGGAAGAGGTTACGCATCATGGTTGCCAGAGGAGCGAAGCCTGAGGCGAATGGTTCAGGGGCATCTGAGAAAGCCTTGAGAAAGCCTTGTTTATTCTTCTGGCGGTACACGCGGACAATAAAGGCTTCTAGCGAGGTTGCGGCGATGCGCTCCGAGTGCAGGACGACAAGGCCAGTGATTTTGGCAGGGTCGAGGTTCTCGGTCAAGAGGTCGACGACCAGAATACGCGACGTGACCGAGAAGATGCCTCCCTGCTTGTACATTTTTTCTCTCTGTCCGACGTCTGTCAAGTCGGTGTTGACCAGGCTCAGACCACGGCATTTGGGCGAGGCGCTGATGGCGGCGTGTTCTGCCAGAGCCTCTCCGATCCATCCATTCTCGCGGTCGTCAGCTCCGACCACGACAATCAGGTTGTTCCCGGCGGCGTCGTATGAATGTAGGAGGTTGGTGACGATGCGCAGCAGGCCGAGGCCTCGCGCCATGATGACGAGCTCATCTTCTTCGCGGAGCTCTTTGAATATGTCCTGCTGGAACTCNCTGTACATCCGTCAGCGATGCATCACCCTCGCCCTCACACGCTCAAGTCATACCAGCGGCAATGAGAGCTTCACCGGCGCTTCATTGTTGTCCGACATGGAGTCGTTTGATAGTAATTGCCGATGCAGAGCATCAGACACGAACACCTCGCAGTGCACGGACTTCGCCAATGACATCACTGGTATAGAACGAGTTTGAGAAGTCACGACCCTCGACATCTTGTTCATTCCACTTTGCGTTTCGAGATTGTTGTTGTGGGTCAAGCCTACCGCAAGGGGCTTTGGTATGAGATTGTATGAAGGTTTATATGATATTCTGATCTCTATCTACTCGGAGTCTTCCTGTATCTCGAATATGATTCTCCTATACCTTGTGATAGGTGTTGCGCTCTGGGCTCTGACAGACAGGATGACATGGTACATCTGACAGCCACTTTGCGGGCAAGCAAGCTCCTCACTGGGCATCTTGGTCTGGATGGTCGAGCACGCTTGGTTCAAGCAGGTAAAGTTGAGTTGAGGGATTTGTGCGTTAGCGTTGTATTGGTTAGTTGCCGTGATGTCCTTGTAGTGCATCCACTCAAATGTCAATGTAGAGCTCGAGTTGCTGTCTGGATCGACGGTAGCCGAGGCATCCAGGACAACACTTTGTTGTGGCTGAACTGCTAACGAGTATGGCTCGGTGCCAGTTGTTTCGTTCAAGCTGATCTTGGGAGGGTGCACTGCTGCGCTGTAGTTCGACGAAAGTGACCACTGCACTCGAGCGCTCATCTCATTCTGGTATGCGCTGCGCCATCTCCAAACCGTGGCATGGTTCGACACCAAGGTATTTCCACTTACGCCTACCACGCGGTCGATGGTATCCGCGTAATGGTTCGAGGCACCAGAAATGTCAGACAAGATGTATCTGCCGCCCCAACCACCGAACTCGGGATGAGAGGGAACATTGAGGCCATTCGGGATGACTGACAATAATGAGGGACTGTCACCTTCCATGATGAATGCTCTATCTGGGTACTTTGCACCTAGAGGACCGAGCTGGAAATGGTTGCGGATATACGCGTCGTCAACGAGCGTCGAGTCTGGGCCACCTGCGTCAAAGGAATACAACACGTCGCCACTTATACCAGTCCAAGCAGCATTGTTGTACATGTTGAATCCGTGGACCGATGCAATGTATGGGATCTGTGGATAATTTTTGCGAATCCATGGCCCAGCGTTGTCTTGATCGGAGATTGAATACACATGGAGCTTACTGACGAAAGTGTCAAGGTCTGCCTGTGTGCTGGTACGATTGACATGATCCAATGCCTCGGCAAGGACATTAGCACCTCCCCAGAGCAGAATGTGCAAAGTCTCGTTCGAGTTGGCGGCGGCCGAGATGAGCAGCTCGGCACCGGAAGAAAGAGAGCCGTTCTTGAGCGCTGCAAGACCATACGCAGAGTGGCCTGCCTTTACCACAGAGCGCAGACTGTCGGCACTTGGAAACATGCCATCGGTGTGGGCGTTGAGGTTGGAAGTGACATTTTCGTAGGCATTGATAACATCCAGGATGTGTTCGGGGTATGTCGTGTCATTCAGCCAATACGAAGTGGTTGTTGAAATTCCTTGGATGGATAAGATATCCGAATGCAAGAGCAATCTGACCAACGACATTTGGTCATCAGGCTCATTGGAGATATCTGTAGCAACGAAGATCCGAGGGTACGAGACACGGGTACTCGAGTTGGATATGTTGGACTCCAGAGGAGCGGACTCGACACCTAGATAGAGTAGCCATGCGAGAGCAAGATGTACGAGGTTCATCATTGTCGAAAATGCTTGTGTCGAGTAACCTTGAACGTAAGTGATCAGAGCTTACCTTAATACTCGAAGAGCCCGTCTTCGCTCGAGGCTGGGGCATCCTTGACCAGGCTCGTCATTGATAAGATCTTCAAGTGTCTTTGCCCTAATCGACACCATCCATGGAGGCGCGCTTGGTTTTACCCGAATCATCGAGGAGTGGAGGTGCGTACTTAGTTGAAGGCTGTTGTGAAGATGGATGATCGACGTGGACCGTAGCCGACCCCGCAATGCTAACCCAAAGACATCGGGTCTCGGTACATACTTCGGCCGACGAAGTACCGGCATACAACTCGCGTCCATGAAAGTTTTGTTTCGTGTCAAAAAATATCAACTAGGTATGCATGTCATCAACATATTATCAACCACCTGGCAAACGAATATAACCAAGATGGTTATATCGACATCAGTAGTAGTCTTCGTCTGGACAGATGAACGCATCATCCAGGATCCAGGAAGCATCGTGCTCAGAGGGGTCCAGAGAATGGTTAAGGTATTTATAACAGACATGATCTTGAAAGTTCAAGATCGGTTCTTTCGTGATTGAAGTGCAGGATCCTTTATCACTGAGCCAAAGTCTGGATTCCAGTCTCTACAAGATATGGTTGTACGGTGTTTTGAAAGTCTCCAACCAAATCCTCTCGAAGTATTCGTGTCTATCTAATCACCAGATCACATGAAGGCTCTCAAAACCTTTCAGAAGATCACCTGCCAGTATACATCTTGCGTTCGCGGCGCAGTTGAGATAATGACACATATATTGAGCCTCTGCCACCCTCTCCACACCCATACTCGAGCGGCGAGGTCGTCTCAAATAATGAAGCAGCTATCCATGCCTTGACACAGTTGAGTTTGAGATACTATGGAAGCTTCGCTGGTCCTGTTCTGGTGTTGCTCTTGAGTGCTTTTGCAGCAAATCAATTAACGCGCTCACGCGATGCACGGCCGCCTAGTCTGTAGACCTCGTTGCACTGGACAACTAATCAAATCACTTCAACTTGTCCATGCCGAACATCAGAGTTCGCATTCGAGTTGATTCGCATCCTCCGCCTTTTCGACATCATGCATACCTACCATGCATCAGCTTTCACCAGATACAGTGACAGTCTTGCCAAACAACAAGCGAAGGCGTGTAGACTCGCCAATGAAACATCAGACTGGTTTCAAGTCCATACCAAAACGTGTGCCTACTCTAGGAACGGCATCTTCACAGGACGGCTCGTCAATTGACTTGTCACAACAAACACCAATGGGCTTCCTACCACAAACGGAAAAGGACTGTCAGAGACTTGACGAATGGGTCGAAAAGCTGGACGAATCGACAGTACGAAGAGTCCTGAAGGAGGCTGCCATGTTGCACCCCGGCATGTATACTTCAGTCTGGACCGAGAAACGTCTGTTAGAGCTAGCACAAGCCGACGCCAAACGCCGCTTGGAGAGAGAAGAGCAGATCAAAGTTCTCAATTTCTCAAAACAAATCCAAGGAGTCAATTATACAACCAACAACAAGTTCAGAAGCTTACGTACTTCCAAACAATACGAGCTCGCGGGAGAAGCGGAAGGTTCTGTGCAATACGACATGAAGAAAATCTGCGCTCAAATTTGTCCAGAAAGCACACAAGACAACAAGACTAAAGCTGTTCTGGCATTGTGTCGTATTGAATTTATCGTAGCGTATGGAGGAGGTTGTATTGGTGTAGAAGTCAGAAAGAGTATGGGACAAGAATCTCAATTTATGGACGACCTCGGAAAGATTGTTGGGTACATAAGTGACTCCGACAAGGAATACTTCGGCCGACGAGAAGATCTTATGGTGANNCTAGAACGCTTTGATGAAGATAGTCAGAGTGCTTGTATCTTCGAGGGATCTGAGAAGATTGTATCGTGCTTCAAGCGAGCTACTGGCGAGCTCGTAGATTCAGAAGATGATTATGATGGTAATTACTATAGCCTGGACAAGCATGGAAATCGGCGACCAGACTATTCCTTCGACAAATATGGGCAATGACTGGGGTGGAATTGATTTAGGAGTGAATCAAATTCATTCAAGCGATCGAGAGATACTCTTTCTCGACTACATATCAGCACTACAAGCCTGATACACTTGGTCGGAAACACTGGTCCCTTGATGTCTCATACCGGGACCTTTTATTCAGAAACACCGACCCGGCCCGCACCATACTGGAAACTACCTCAAAACTTCACACAATAACGCGCAGGTTTGGCTCAGTCGACGCCCGACATCAAATACTTCCCTTGATTCTCTTTAAATACAAGTACTCGACCTGCTCTTCATTTCTCTCTTCTCTCACAGGTACAAGAATCTACTGATCTCGTCTACATTATTCTATCGACCATCAACTTGAAGACCTGCTGCGGTTATGAGTCACACAACATGGCAGCATCAACAGAACCATGCGACCCTAAAGCACTGCCGGGGATCTCAAGCGCTAAACATGGTCTCCATGATGACATTGCTCAGACTTCACGCAAGGCACTGAAATCACATGAGGACAGTCTACCACAAGACCTGTCATCTTGCACACTTGAGCGGTCCTTGACCCCTGAACCTCAGGATCAAGCACAAGACGCTCAGTTAGCATCGGCTGAGCTTGCGAGCCGGCAACTTGGTCATATTGGCCATCAAAAATCTTTGCAGTGCCGGCAACACCAGTGTCGTACTGGCAGGTCTGATCCTGTCAGGAATTCCTCCTCCTATAACATCCGTCGTCAGACCATGGAGACTCAGCCATCTGGACTTGCATCTCCACCAGAACTTGTGGGAAATGTTCCAACCGAACCTCAGACTTCTGTCTCATGCTCCTCTCAGACATGTCGTCTATGGGCATCCTTCCACTCGAGTACCAATCAACCTCCTCAAGGTTTTTNNTTCCCTCCTTATGCACCGCTTGGGCACTACCCTATCGATCGTGTATACACGAACCCACCAACCAATGTATCGCTCGCAAAACTGCTACGTGGTATCTCTCTGATCGACGAAGCCACAGTCCGTAACAACCTCGCCATTGCCGTTGTACGTCATAGAGATATCCACGACATGGTAGAAACAGAGTACGACAGGATACAAAAGGAGCAACAAGAAAAATCGAACGAAGACGCCAGTGTCTTATCCTTCGTTAGTGAACACACAAAGGTGCAAAAGATCCTCTACGAAGAGTACGATGACTTCCCAAATTCCAAGAAGCAGGAAATAGTCTATCGAGCTTTGGGCAACATCAATCAAACCATCGTGGGGATACCTGCTCGTGTGCGACCCACGAGTAACTGGAAGACAAAGTTCAATGCCTTTCTTACCCTCCTCTGGATTGGAAGAGGGATAGTAGATAGCATAGGCATGCTTCCGAATGCGATCAGGGCACAGATGGCCTTCGGCTCTAAACTCGTGGAAGCGATCGACGATGTTTACGAGACAATGAGTAAGACAGAGATACTATGCGATGGGGCTCGTCTTTTGNAAGCTCTCATAGATCTCAACAAGGATCGAGAGCATTGTTTTGGAGGTTTGGACACAACTGTGGAGGTGTTTCAAGATGCTATGCGGCAAGAGAGGACGGAGCAAGAACGAAGGGGCAGTGTTGAAGTTAATCGGGTGTTTAATGTGTAATGTGTAATCACTGTTGAGTATTCAACATACTGTATCTCGAGTATTATTTGTATCTCTATTCACAGAAGATCAGCATGTAACATTATCCTCTCCCTCGAGGATACAATTAATTATTCTTTTTTTCTCAGCATTATATTCCCACACGCGTTGATGCAACACGTCTTGTCAAGGACGCGTCTCTACTTTCCACTTCTTCGGACTATACAATTTTTTTCTGCCTTTCTGATTTCTGCTATCAATTGCCTTCCTATGACGAATATGCAGCCGTCTGGCGAACCTGGAAAAATAAATTATGCCTCTACCCAAGGTGCCAAACGTGGTTTCACGGATGGAAGTCACGCAAGACTGGAGACTGTTACCGAAAGAAATGGCACAAGACCAAGCNAGACAACTTGATGGAGACGATCAGGTAGAAAGGGCCATCCAAGAGCGACGGCTGCTGGACGGTTTTTTCCCCAGAAGAAGCAGCGCATCAGAGCACGTCGCTATTGCATAGCTCGAGCGCAGCTGCCGCTCAAAGATATGTTATATTTTATCNCTATGATCCCTCCTTCTCTCAACAACCAGAGACCCGCTCCGAGATACTCATCGCTCTGAGTACCTCATGCGGCCCAATGTATACAACGTGGATCGGTTGTTGGTCCTCACCAGTCTGGTCTCCACGACCAGAACATTTCGTATGCAGATGGTCCTCTCCGTGGAAGTACAAATCATGACTAGACACCAAATGCCACACATAGCAACACCCCTGCTCGTCAGAGTAAGCTGCCTCCAGAGTTCGCGCCATACCCGGAACGAGTGCCTCCTTCATATTCAATTCCCCACGAACTTGACACACTCTCATCTATATCANAATTGGATAATGCAAAGGTGCTCGAAATCCTTGCAGTTGCTGCGATGTATCATGCCGATGTCCATCTCAGCATCTCACAAACACTATCGCAACAACAGGCCAGTGAACATCAGAAGAATTTGGTGCTATTTGAGCATCTATCGAATTAGTCTCGACTCAATTTTGCAGAGGCTCTGGCCCGAGAGAGTGCGATGAAAGCAGCTCCAGCTGCAAAAGCCACCCGACATATTCTGCCAGAGCATACTCAACCGGGATTTGGCGAAGACGAGTACGACGATGATGAGTCCGACGACGATGAGTACGATGATGATGAGGAGGACAGAGAGGACGAGAGCGAGCCCGAAACAGAGCCCCTCAGCTTCTCTAAGAGAGAAAATCGGATCCGTTACATTCTCTACGGCAAACACACACACCTGCGTGACTCACAGCAAGATGCCATCACCTACGATGCCTCAAGTAAAATCGAGGACCAAATCCAGAAAATCTCTGACCAGATCCAACCTGAAAGCTTGTACGAAACGACACATGATACCATGCGTACGCTATGCAACTTTGGGATAGTGGTGGTTGACGGAAACGATTTCTTGGGATCCCATGTGAAGAACAACATGGCATTCAGTTCCATATTTGTTGATGCCACGCACACACTACATGACAGCATGACTAAGACAGAGAGGATCAGGATCAGGAATGATTGCTTGAAGGACCTCGAGCAACTAGACGAGAAGCGAGATATTTGTTTCAAAGGGTTTGACGAGATTGTGGAGCTGTTCAGGGAGNCCAATACTGAAAGACGAGATGAGAATGCAAAGGGAGGCGAGGTTGCGAGCATCGACCTGACTGGCTGAGGTCTGATTGGCAACGACTCGACTTTCGCATCCTCATTGTGTGGAGAAGTCTGATACACGAGGACTGTCGAAATACGCATCTCTATTGATGAAGCATCCGCTGAGAGCTGCCGTTCTAGGCTCTTTACGGAGACAATTTTGTCTTCACATGCTAAACCTGTCTATATGCCATCATGGAAGAAGGGACGGTGGTGATAGGTTCCGCCACATAAAGACGATACAGATGCTATACACATTCCGAATGACTGAGGCTGTTTGTCTTCCTTGCTCTTGTTCCCATTGAATTTCCTCACGAACACTGTTCGCTGACCCTGGGCTTTATGTTACTCGGTTCTTCGGATTCAACTATCATATGCATATTCGTTTCCGGCCCCTGAATCAGGGAAGACATCGACATTCGTGGACTGCAGCTTTTCCCAGGTGTAATTGCCCAATCTGAAAAAGCAGGCATACTCGTCAATCATCATGTCTCAACACTCCTTCCCAGATTCTCCCATACCGGCTTGCTGGAGGATTGGTGGTTGCTTCCTTCTTCCGACGATCTCTCTTCCCAGCCATTCGAACACAACAACGTCACATTCACGTTGCTGTGCCCAACCTCATCTCCCGATGCCATGTAATTTCAGCACGGATGAAGGAGACCATCCCAAGACGACCATACGAGATGAACCACACTTGGCACAAAGACCATCCACCGCTGTTGGGAATGAAAGAGATGTTATCATTGGGAGTATCAATGTGGGAAGAAAACTTACCCGTACTGGGCCGAGGTTTTCGGAAGCGGACACTGAACCGCCGTGACCGCCGTGACAGCCGTGTCCAACACCACAACCCCAGCTCTGACTCCCGTGCCTCGTGTGAAAAAACATTCTAGATCGTCTTTTCTCCTGTCCTTGTTTCCAATTTGCTTTTGGACTATCTAGTGTTTCCAACCTTCCCGAGTCAATGTTATACTTTTGCTCTAGCATGAGGGCGTTGGCCCGCTGTCACGGATGTCGTAGCGATACATGCGAGAGGTGCCTTTTTTGCAACATCCGTTGATCTGACGATGTGGAAAAGATATCCACCGCATTTTTGGACAAGGCGTTTTAGGCCATTGAGAGGCTCTTTTGGGAGCAAGTTCGGCTTCGTCAACGGCAGATGGGAATGTTGCATTTCGCTATCCCAGGTATGAAGTGCGAGGATTAAGATCCCGACTCAGAATCTCGCTTATTCTATCAACTTGATACGGGCTGATCTTGTTGCCTGTTACAACAATGATGACCGATGATGGTGAGGTATCAATTGACATACCTAGCTTTCTATGAGAAGATGATAATGTGTCATGAGTTTGTTGGCTCTTCTGTCAACATCTGTTGATGGTTTAAGCCAAGTCAAGCAGTCTCGCTGGACAGTCTCGAAATGCTCATGCATGCATAACGTAGGAACTGATGCTTCCCGCGACATGAATGGTTTGCATGCTGACAAACTGGGCTTCTGAAGCATACTCGAGTAAAGATGGCCTTCTTCTCTGAACATTAACGTGCCACATGTTCAAGTTCTGGTGACCACTTGGTCTTTCCTTACTGCTGAAGTAACACGATGACTTGGAGGACTCTGCCATCCCCCATCAATAGTACCTTGGCTAGCAGTAAGGCCTTTAATGCCCTCGCAATGTAAGCCCAAAAAGGGTAGTGTGTTCTTGCTGTCCCATGGCGATAGGGAGACGAGCGTGAGCTCCAACCAAAAGGTAGCAGTCGTTGCAAGAGACGAGCAAGTCCCGGATCGAAGACTTGGCTGTGTATATAGAGACCTCGCTAGATGCGACACCGTTTAAGCGAATGCAATGTCTTACACAGGCGGCATCTGCATATAAGAAGTAGGCGGTTGTTGGCAACGCAGAAGTCATGATCCAGCATCAATGGATCCTCGTTCTCGGTGAGGATGCCCAGGAATGGATTTACACAGCTACCTGTTCATCGGATTCTGAATTACCGATCATCTTTGATAAAGAGACGGACAGGGCGCCGAAGTGTGACGGGAGAGTTGCAGATATAAAAAGCCGTCGGAGGATTTCTGTAGACTACTACTGCAGGGACTTAGATTTGACAGGTCGCAGCAGATCCCGATCCAGAAACAAGCTTATTGCTGCACACGCAAGGTGGCCGTCCTGCTATGCTTGTTGGGGCCGCGATGATATTGAAGTTGAGCATGACTTGCATGTGAAGGCAACAAGCTTGCAGCTCGTGGCTGCCCAGGCAGACTTTGACCAATAGGGGATCATGAGCCGGCGCTAGTGAATCGTTAGCGCCGAAAGCTGAGCACTTCACAGCTTTCCATGCAGCTCACGAACAACAACAATATTCTGCGTCGAAGCCGAGCAACCTGATTCCGGTCGACAACACGTGGAAAGAATTGACATGTAGCGCATGGGACACGCGAGCTGCGAAGAGAAGCAGCAAGTGACGAGCCATCATGTCAACCCGTCCAGCGGCAGTGACGCGGAAGTCGACAAAGTCAGAATACATCGAGACGGTAAGTGGGAACACCAAGTCTGGAAGAGACGCTCCTTCCTCCACCGAGCCCTTTGCTTGCGTTTGATGTTGGCTATGCTGCATCACGGTAATAATCGACTAAACATGGCATGCAGNNGATACTGGAAACAAAATCTCCCGCAAGGCCAAAATCGAAGGCAAGCCAAACATCATGCTGGGCGGCAGGACCGTCATCATGGCAGATGTCTACATGCGAGGTGATTTGCATCGCTTCTCGAGCTCTGGCGACGGTGGAGCAGCACAGCCCACCACGGCCATCAGCATTGGACGGTGATTTTCTCCTTCTAAATTACTTGATCCGCCTGACATTAGCTGACAGCAAAGTAGATACACAGTAGTCGCTACTGGCTGTACTCTGAAGCCACCGTCCAGGATTAGCCGCGGCCAGATGGCATACTATCCTATACGCATCGGCGACAATGTCTTCATTGGTAACAGTTCGCCTTTCCCAGCATGGCAAAAGCACGCAGCTAACAAATTGAAGNGTCCAAACTGCCATATTTCGGCCATTGCAATCAGTTCACATGTTTACATTGGCGCCAATGCCGTACTCAGCCCTTTCTGCATCATCAAAGACAATTGCAAGATTCTTCCCAATACTGTGGTACCTCCCAACATGGTGGTTCCGGTGGGCAGTATCGTTGGTGGTAAGCCCGGCAGAATTATCGGAGAGGTTGGCGAGGGCTGGGGTGTCGGAACTGGGGCTTTTGGCGAGAGCTGGGTCGAGGGAGGAGAACTTCGCGATCTGGTCAGGAGTATCAGATGAGAGAAATGATCGATTTGATTCTCAATGAGAGTGGTCTGAAATTCTGAAAAGTTACAAGATGTGGCTAGTGATATGCTCTCGAAATATCCTGAAATGCTCCCAAAATTGAAACCAAAGTACTGTCTCCGTATGTGTCCAAAATCATGTCCTCAGCATCGTATTCAACCTGCCTAGTCAGATATATGCAACCCAAGTGGCCAATAATCGCTGATCGTAATTCGTCAAGTCATTTCTGGCGGGTTGTCCAATGTCATGGCGCTCTCAACGTGCCCCACACTCAAGCTTCGTTCATGTCGCCGGCCTGAAGGGCTGCTGTGCAGATAGGGTTGTCGATACCATAGCCGCGTAACAGAATACCAAAGCCGGACGACTGGAGAACGCCCGCTTCTTCACGGCGACCGATCAGCATGCAACATCTGGCTGCCCCAAAACANGCTAGAGAAGTGTTAGCGCCTGACAGAATTGGTTGTTTGCTCGGAAGCACCTCCGTGAATGCGTGAAAGGGCCGGTGTGGGATAGGACGCATGAAAGAGATCGGCGGCATAGGTACGACAGAAACAGCAGGTGCAATATAAGCAACACGAGTGGGTTATAGGGGATGATTGACTTACACATCAGCTAGGTCTGGGCCCAGCAAGCCTTCGTCGCTCATAAGAGTAGCTTGGTCGAGTAGATCTTCAACCGTCTGCTCAACCTGGGCGACCGACAGGTCTGCAGCACCATCCAACATCTGCATCTTGACCCCCTCGACCTTGCTCATCAACGTCTTGATACCCCTACAGCGAGATTCATCACGGCCGTCGGCGCAAGCAATGCATGTGCAGGTGAACCCCCACATACTCAGCTGGGCACGTCGCTCGGAACGCAACTTGCCCACGCCGTTGATGTAGGCAGTGCACAGCTCATCTCCAGCAGTGATAGTCTTGAGAGCCTGTACAGTGATGTGTCCGGATGTACTGTTAAAAGCCGTGTAAACGTTGGGAACGCACGAGTGGTTGAGACGTGATGCAGTCAGTCCGATGCCAGCAGAGTCAAGAGCGATGCCATCGTCGAGCATGTATGAGTTGATACGCCAGATGTTGATCACCTGGACAGCGAGCGACTCGGTTATCTCGCACCCATCTGTATCGTGGTCTGTATGATCACTCTCAATCGAGTCATTCACACCGTTTCCCGTATCCGAGTCAGTAATTGTTGTTGGAAGAGCATCTTCCAGATCGTCGACATTCCAGATTGGAGAATCAACTCTGGGCTGTGGAACCGGTGAGCTGGCCGTGTCTTCAGGTTCCGACAGCTCAAGCTTATCCGGCTTCTTAAGGCTTAGATCGCCGCTGCCGCTGGCCGAATTGGGAGACTTGCAGCTGTTCTCAGTATCAGAGCCGCTGCAAAGAGGCTGCACGTCAGAAGCACAACTGCGACGATCAACTTGCTTGGCTGGGTCACCGTTTTCGTCAACTGGAGAGTCAGGGCCTTCCACATCTGGCAAGCTGGCTGTACCATCCTCAGCCGCCGACGTTCTGACAACCCCGGACTGTGTCTTTGCGGTGCACGTGGTATAGGAGCTCAACTTCAAGTAGGCCGCGCGCTGATCCGGCCGTAAGTGCATGAAGCTGTCCACGATGGCTGCATTCAGCGTTTCTTGTTTGGGTAGGATGAACAGCGGAGTTTCCTGGATGAGGCGTTCTCCAGGTTCGATATCGCGCGTTGCGAACAGGCCGAGACCCTTGGGTCCAGCATTGCGAGATTCGAAGGCAAGCATGTCCACAGGTTCGGTATCGTCACTGTTCGTGTCGTCGTCCAGGGCTTTGCGCTCTTGCCGGCGTTGTCTCTTGAATTGTTCCTTCTTGCCGCCGCGACGTTTCTTTTTCTTCTCGGGCTGCACGACGCTCATTTGTGGAAGGAGCAGATCATTGGCCGAATCACTGCCCAGGTGAATACGAGGACGACTCATGTCCGTTAGACTAGTGTGTGTGATGGATGACAAGATTGTGGAAGGGAAGGAGAGATCAGACTTTTGATAGGTGCGGCAGAGTCTGTTCGCTTGTGTAACCGCAAACGCAGGGCGTTGTGGGAATGCTTGATCTTTGTGTGAATGCTCATAGGGACAGTTGTTTTCTCGTACTACGTCAATGAGTTCCCGATGTGATGTGTGATGTTTACCTGGACGGTGTATTGGGGGTTGACAGTTGTGATAGTGAAAATGAGGGACAAACCAACGCTTGAGAAACTACGGGACCATCACATATACCAATGGCTCATTTGATACGTATATCCGTCTCGAGGACAACACTTACAGCGTCTCCGGGGTTATTTGAGGCCAGACAGCGTAGAGTCTGTAGATTGAACGGCCGCTTCCTTCTGTGACCTTTGTCAGAACAGGGTCGCCGTAGCAGCGTCAGCCTGAGCACTCCCAGCAACTGCACTCTACGGCAACATCCCTGTCGTGTGTATGAACCTCGTGAAGCAGCCGATACTTCCATTCATACCATCTTTGCACAGCCTTGCGGTCGTGATTAGTGGCGAAGCATACTGGATTCGTGGCGCTCGCGAAAGTCCCTCCGTTGCAGTCGCGAGTCGCAATATACATATAAAGTCCGTGGTCAGCGTGAAACCAGTATGATTAGAGAATACACGGTCGTGTTTTCTTAGTCGATGCGCTTCAGTTCATCACTGACTCGATTGAACGGCAACACGTGGTCGAGCGGCTATCCAAATCCTTCTGTCGTCTAACGAGTTGGTGGTCATATTTCATGTCCTAGAGCAAATCAACCTTGAGGGCGTGTCAACAAAGCTCCGAAAAGGTCCAAGATCCATCAGTAATAAAGCCCAAATCGATCTGAAATTGATCGGAATTGCAATATATCTTGCGAATCTGTCCCGCCCTGAGCACACGCAACTGCGTTATTATTCAAAGCCAAGAATAATTGCCAGGAACCGAAGGCCAGAGAAAGCACACCAACATGCAGGAGCATACAGACGGCCTTTGCTTAATGAAGTTTGCAACATCAGCCTCACCGCCACGACCGAAAGATCCTTCTACGAAGGCCGGCGACGAGTCAGTCGCATCACAGACTCGTGGCCTGATCGTATTGAAACTGAACGGTGCCAAACACGTTGCTATCGCTGAAGCACTCTCATGATGCTTCGTCCCGTGCTCAAACTGGGTTACATCTGGTCTGCCAGACACGAAAAATCTGCAGGTGCTGTAAGAGTCACTGATGTGTGTTGTCGGTGTTCGAATCAACTCTCGGCGTGTCAGCATATGCAGGCACTGGAGCTACACCGATGGTGGCTGAATTGTGTGCCACGCACCAACGGCCAAGAAGATCCAGAGATCTAGCGACGTTCCATAGAATTTGTGTCACCGGACGACGTTCTATTCCATGGGATTGACGTTGCATGGAGGGTTCTCCTTTGAGCGGCTCCCCGCACGCCAAAGACCCTTTCCATTCCACATGCCTTGCAATCTTTGTTCCTCGAGTCGAAGCACGTCCAAAAGGAGTAAGACCAGCTTTCATTGACCGCGAGTCCTTGCGGCGTCGGTCCAGGCACATAAGAACAACAGCTGATGAATATTGGATTTTATTCTTAAGATGTCGCCCGGCTGTTTTAACGCGATAGAGCGCTGCTGGTCTCGGAAGCTAAAGTGGCGGCCGCACGCACGCAGTTCGGACCAAGACACAACGTCCGGGTGAGGCCGCTTCCGCAGCGCGTGGAACGGTTCTCGATCTTGAGGAGCGTATAATCTGTTCAGAGATCGCGCCCAGATGTGAGACCGTCGTTGTGCTAACCAGATCTGATAAAGACAAAAATTTCCGACTGGCTGAAGGCTGGATGAAGACGACCAGCTAAGCCTGCTTTGGTATCTAGTGATGACGATCTTGATTAGGAACCGTACTCGCTATCTTGTCTTTGGTCATCCAAAACTTGACAGACAGACCCCTTCGCAGACGTCATGAGTAACGACAAGTATCTAGGGAAAGGAATACCGTGGTGACCAAGTGAGACAGTTACATTCGCTAATTGCCAACTATGATAAACCAATATATCCACACTCGCCTCCTGAAGCATAGCGAGATTAACCTCACATATTGTGAAGAAGTGATATTCCCTGGCCAAGCAGCAACGGCCTATACGCGTATCTGAGTTCAATCTTGAAGTATAGCGTACGATCAGATCCAGGAGAGGAGATAGGATCAAATGTTACGACTTTGGTGGCTCTATGGATCGGAAGGCGAATCTGCATGAGTGTATGGGGAGATTGATTCAAGAAGATCCCTTCCTAGCGCATGTTTAGACGAAGGCCTTGGAGGATGAATCACCGATGCATCGTGAGCTTTTCGGTATTAATGCTATCGGTACTTGGACATTATGGGTTGATGATGGGCACGCGCAACAATATCTCAAGCTGGCGCGCCCTTTGGAGATTGCTTTGTTATTTATTTTCATCAATCGTGATCTGGCACTCTACGGAACCCAGTGAGTGGGATTCGAAGGCCTGAACTTGAAGGTTTACGGCCGCTCAGATGGCGCAGAGCCAGGGTCCACGCACCGATGCAGGCAGCGAGCCGCGCAAGCCACGAACGGCAGAGCGAGGCGAAAGTAAGCGACCTGACACGTGCGGCGCCTCTCTCAAAACAGATTGACATGCCCTCTCGGAGCCGAGGATCTACCTGTTACCCCCGCCTTGCCAGCTGTTAGATTGTCTTTGCGACCGTCACAGCGTCGCTTGAGTGAGCCATCCGAGCTTCTGGTCTGGTACGCAGACTTGGGCAGACTAGCAGGATAGGGAGCTGCAGCGAAGCGCAGTTGGGCTCAAACGCACGGAACGTATCTGAGACAGATGAACGTCTGTGGGATTTGGTGACTGGTCTCTCTGAGGCCTTGGTGACGTTGACCGCACCGACAGTCGGGATAGTTGTGCATGTAATATATCATGATCCCTTGTTGTGCTAGCGTGCTGCATGGACGGGCAACAAGGTGAGGCTTNNTTGTCGAAACAGTGGGCTTGGCTTGCGAGCCGGGGCGCGCTGCAGAGGTACAAAGACGAGTACGGCGGCTGCGAGGCAGCGATTCGCCGAGNNTCGTGAAGGAGGGGGATCTGGCAGCGATGCAGACTGAGATTGGAACTCGATTCCAAACCAGAGATTCGATCGACTCCACGGCCCACGGGACTTNGTCGCGAGATGGCCCGAGTCACGGCCGCTAGCCGAAGCGGGCGCGAGGGCATCACGANNTCTAGGACAGCTAAAGTTTAGGGCCTGCAGCCGCTGGACGCACGCACGCAGCGAGTCCGGGCATTGGCTGTGTTGCTCACCGGAAGGCCACCAACTGGCAACGAGGCTTGAAGTCGTCGCCGTGGTGCCCAGCTGGTGGACGAGAGAGCCCACTGCAGGCCGACTGGCTGATGATGGCTGACGAATCTGACAATGCGGGCGGCACACCAGATCACGCATCTAAGCAAGGACGATTGGGTTTGAGATCTGTTCGTTGGAGGAACGTGATGTGCATGTTGTGTGGCAGGAAGCGAACGGAAGCACGCAGCGCAGCGTCTGCAACCGCGAGTTCAACGGCATGGACGATTGGCATGTCATGGCCGTCCGAATGTCTCGCTCTGGCGGTGGAAGGTTGTGCGTTATTCCAATGGAACAGCAGGCCCACCGGTGGCGGCCAAACCCTGACAAGCAGGAAGACACGAGAGCGGATGTGCCAGTCGTGGTGGCGGCCATCCCTGTCACTTTATGCCTATGTGATCGTCGCAGACCGTGCACGCCCGTCAAGCGGTGCTAACTCAACTCAACTCGATGCTCGCTCGCATGAGGGTCAGGCACGTCCTAAGTCTCTTTTCTGAAGCACCGCTCAGGCTCCTTCCTTCGCCCACAACGTAGATTCCTGCCGCAAAACCTCACCCGACACCTGTACATCCACCACGCCTTCCGCACCTCGACGCCTGCTCTTCGCTCTTGCCGCTCCGCACCTGTCATCTATTTCTGTTCCCGACTCGACCGCAGCCACTGCCAGATCTGAGACTCGCCCCACGGAATTCGCTGCACGCATGGAATTGGCCCCGTCGACATTAGCCCTCGAGTAGACTCGCATCACCACGACCAAAGGAATGAGAATTGCCATCTGAACTGTCCACCGATACCCGACCGACCGGCCTGCAAAATCCCATTCCGCCCATACTCGTCATAGCACATGAACATGGAGTCCGGCGACAGACAAAGGCAAGACTGGGCTCAGCGACAACCGAGTCCCGTCGAGCGTCTGGCTAACAAGCAATTCAGACCTGCACTGCCACCCATCAAAATGCTCGACATTGAGAAAATAAAGCGCGAAGAGGCCGAATATCAGGCTCGTGGCACAAACATGTCCATGGCGCCTTCTGCTACAGACAACCCGACCATCGCCTATCCTTCTGGTCCCCCGCCTCCCTACAGTCGTCCTTCGTATCCCGATGCTCGCCTTCCCACAGAGGCCCGTCGTCCCTCAAACGAAGACGCCGCGAATCAGGCCACCAAGCAGTCGTTGCCATCGATCCATGAGGCTCTCGGCGTAGAGCAACACGCTGCCTACCCTTCCACTACCCAAAGGCCTTACTCGTCCGCTCATCAGCCTGGATACTACGCTCCTGTCACAGCGCCTTCACCCGCTTCGCCCGTCCCTGCCAGAAGGTCTTTCGCCGCAATGNGACCCCCTCCACCACCGCAACCCGCCGTCTTCACCCATGGCCCTCGCAGTCCCTATACCCAGCCACACCAGGAGATCAGTCCTCGTCAGATGCCCGAGCACCAAGATCGTCAAAGATCGGTCTATGCTACACAACCTATCGTGTCACACGCTGGCCAGTCCNCCGTGGCCCATCAACCACAATATCCGCGTTCATATCCTGCCACTGCTTCCCACGAAAGGACCGCTTCCCACGAAAGGACCGCTTCCCACCCTCTCAGTATGCCTCCTGTTGCTCCTCCATCCGCACCTCAGCATGCTCTTCCTTACGGATATGCTCCTGCTCCTGTCCCGGTCCCAGCTCCAGCACCTTATGCGGCTCATTATCCCTACTCTGCACCGGCCCCGCATTCCGCTGCACCTACTTCTTCCATTTATCAGCCATCAATTACTCAACCTGCTCCCATCCAAAATGGTGAACCTGGAAGAGTTCCTTTTGGCGATTCAGTGAAACGTCATCTGGACATGTGGGACTTTGGCGAAGCCCTGAACGAGGTTTGTTTGCCCCGCAAAACCGTCGCATCTACGCGTCACTAACCAAATCACCAGATTGCCGACTCAAGTAGCTATATGTTGGACTTTAGCAGACAATGTGGTGCTCGCCTACACCAGTCTCAGAGATCAGATCCTGCTCCCGGCAATTTACCCCAACTACAAGAAATTGACCACCTGATGGAAAAGTCACGTCGTCAACTTGATTGCTATGCCAAGATGCGAGAATTCATTATTGCCCAGCAGACAGCTTATTTCCAACAAGCTCAAGAACAACAATCCAGGGCTCAAGAGGGCATCAAGCGTGATTCTGTTCACCAGAACGAGGAGGCAAAGGCTGGTGGATTTGCCGGTGCCGAGGCCAAGAAACGCAGAGGAGTAAGTACACATCTCTCGAGCCGCAGTAGAATCACAACTAATCCATTTTCAGCGCGCCGCTCCCCTGGCAGATGTCACAGCTGTAACAGGGCCGAGACGCCCGAATGGCGCAGAGGTCCAGATGGTGCTCGCACCTTGTGCAATGCTTGCGGACTTCACTATGCCAAGTTGACGAGAAAAGCTGGAAAGAACGCAGCCGCCATCTCCAGCTCCAATCTTCGTCCTAAAGCTCCTGAGGATACGCAAAACTAAGGCCGCATACGGTAACACCTGACGACGATTCATGAGCCGTCTCCTCGACATAGCCGAGGGCAATGGCTGATCACTAAAAACACCTTTCCTTTCGGTCTGTTTATTGTTGAATTGTCATTCACACGAGAGAAAAAAGCGAAAACATGTGCGGGTGTCACATGCGTGGGGTCTTATTAGAGGCCATGTCTTTCCGGGACCACGTCTTGGCCGGATAGTGCATCAACAAGTTTCTGCAAGAGGTTTTAGGCCTCTCGACTGCATATTTCGTATACGACGGATCACGGGACACGCATACGATGGCTATTAGGCCATCCTCACGACACTAGCATTGGGACCACGGAGTTTTGTAGGATATGCCTGTTGGGCGGGAGTTGATTTTTTCGATGGACATTTTGATTTGCGGCATGGCTCAATCGGCCATGTCAGTGGCTCCAAGAGCACAGAGCTATTAGGCTCTCAGGTGTTTGGCTACCAGTCTGTCGGATTCAGGCAGATGGTAATGGGGAAGAATTGTTTATTTCATCTTGAAGTGTTAGATATCCAGGGACAGGCAAGTGGAAGGTAGACAGCTTGCCATGTGGCACATGAATATATAAGTCGTGCGTTTGTACAGGCTTGGTGCATCTCAACGTGATTCTTTGACAGATATTCGTTGCCTGATTGCAAAGTGACCCGGCATGATAACACAGGGTCCGAGAGAGAAGCGGAGGGGTTGGATGCAGATACGAGTTAGTCTGATCGGGATGCATGTAGGGTTGTCGGACATGTGTGGTGAGTGTAAGTAGTTGGCAGGTGCAAGCAAGAAGTGGCTGTGGCACGTGGAATGCGTTCGGTGCAGGAGCGAGGCGGATGGCTGCGTCTGACAGGTGCAGCAAAGTGGTTGAGCGGTCGCGCCTGCCCTAAGCTCTGAGGCTCTGAACACACGTCGTCTCCTGCCTGACGGATGCTGAGTAAACAGGCCTCTTAGTCGTATATAAGATGGACTGATTAGGCAAGATGCCCCGCGATCGGGACCGGCCGTGAGGTTCTTGCCAATGGCGTGCTTGCGACTGCCGTCACGATGAGTGTCTGGGCGTGGAGCATTTGTAATGCGCATTTCACATCCAGATATTGTTTTCTTTCCTGTCTCTACCCGCTGTCCACTCCTCGTCGACCTACCAGCACGCCCTCTGCATCGCACTATGTGGTAACCGCCCGAACCACTGCCTATCGCGGCCCAGCACCATCTTTACCATTGAGCACAAATCTTGCAGCCCGCCTGCTGCAGCCCGAGTTTCGGCACCACTCGTCGTGGACGCCAATTGAAGACTCCGTACAACGTAGCGCAAACCACAAACCATGGGTCTACTGTACGAGGAACCACTGCCCTCGCTTTCACCACGACACGCCCGCTAATCGCTCCCGTCTGCAGAGCCCTGGGAACGCCGCTTGCCTGGCCCGAAGCGAAGAAGGTCGCGGGACAGGTCCGAGAGTGGGGCATCGAGGTACGTGTACTCTCTCGCAGGCACGCACACAAGCACAAGAGCTGAGACTACTGGACAGNNCAACTATTGGCGACATGGAGACGAGCAAAGGGCAAGGAGCGTGATGCTCTACTCTGGGGAGACGAGATCGAGTACCTTGTCGTGACATACGATGACGACAAGCGTCAGGTCCGACTGTCGCTACGCCAGGCAGATATTCTCGAGGCTTTGGCTAGCGATGAGAAGCTCCTCGCCCAGGGCGGCGGTGTAGACGAGATCCAGCGTGGCTCGGCCAGGTACGCTTTTGTTTGCTCCCTGTTCTACAAGCCAAGGTCATACTCACGCCTGACANGATCTGGCAAGACAGCCCCCGTCTTCCACCCCGAATTCGGTCGATTCATGCTCGAGGCGACTCCCGGACGACCATGGGGAATTGACCTCAAGGATCTGCTTGACGTTGAGCCAGACATGAAGTGGAGGTGAGCACACATCTTAGAATACGCCATGCGGAAAACAAGGACACTGACCGCTTCTCNNAGACGCAAGATCGCAAAGGAGCATATGGAATCGAGCGAGTTTCCCATTACCCTGACCACCTTCCCACGACTGGGTGCCAAAGAGCGTTCCATCACTCCCGAGTACCCCTTGAACGGCGACAAGCTTAGATCGCAATTCCTGCCCGACGAGATCGCGAACCCCCATATCCGTTTCCCGACGCTGGCTGCCAACATCCGCGCCCGTAGAGGCTGCAAGGTCGAGATCAATGTACCCGTGTACAAGGACGAGAAGACAACATGGCCCTTCATCGACCCCACTGTTGACTACGATCTTCACACTTGGCCTGAGGACGATGACGTCCGCAACGGAGCCGCANAAGAGAACCACATTTACATGGATGCCATGGCTTTCGGCATGGGAAGCTGTTGTCTGCAGATCACTTTCCAAGCAAAGAACATTGACGAGGGTCGCAAGATGTACGATCAACTCAGCCCCATTGGCCCCATACTGCTTGCTTTGACTGCTGCCACTCCTATCTACAAGGGCTTTTTGGCCGATACCGATGTCAGATGGAATCAGATCAGCAGAGCAGTTGACGACAGAACCCCAGAAGAGCTTGGCGAGAAGGTTTGTCACCCTTGTGTTGTATACAGGACGAAACTGACGATTTGCAGCNCGTTGAACGAGTCGAGATGGCAGATTCCCAAGTCTCGATACGCTTCCAACTCCACATACATTGCTCAAGATCCTCGCCTACGCAAGGAATACTTTGATCCCAACCTTGTAGTTGATCCTGACATGAAGCAGAAACTCGTAGATGGTGGTATGGATGATCTGCTGGCCACCCACTTTGCTCATCTCTTTATTCGCGATCCCATTGTTGTCTTCAACGAAGACCTGAAGGAGCTGGACCTGAACAAAGTCGACCACTTCGAGAACTTGCAATCCACAAATTGGCAGCACATGCGCTTCAAGCCACCGCCGCCAGGCAACGACATTGGCTGGCGAGTCGAAGTCAGACCCATGGAGATTCAGATCACCGACTTTGAAAACGCCGCCTTCTCCGTCTTTGTCGTCCTTATCACTCGCGCAATCCTCAGTTTCGACCTCAACTTTTACATTCCCATCCAAAAGACCACCGAAAACATGGAGACGGCACATCTCCGTAACGCAGTCACAGAGCAAAAATTTTGGTTCCGCAAGAACCCCTTCCCGGCCACCAGACAACCGAGATCCGGCACTTCGACACCGACGCAATTCTCGCGTCCCNCCAGTCCTGCCGCACCGGTTGAGGATGAATACGAACTCATGACTGTCAATGAAGTCATGAACGGCAAAGCGGACGGCTTCCCTGGTCTGATTCCTCTAGTCGAACGCTATTTATCCAGCATCAACGTCGATGTAGAGATTCGTTGCGAAATGGCCAGATATCTGAAACTGATCCGTCAACGCGCAACTGGCGAGCTCTGGACGGCAGCCAAATGGATCAGACACTTTGTCGCCGAGCACAAGGGGTACAACAAGGACAGTGTGGTGGGCGAAGGCATTACCTTTGATCTGGTCAAGGCTGTTGAGCAAATGACAGTGAACGAAGGTAAAGATGGCTTGGGCGTCGAGATGTTGGGCCGCAGGAAATAAAAAATGGCGAGAGAGCGAAAAACGTCCATGCCTATATTATTGACAGGAAGAGGACCGATATTATCCTTGGATTGCCCTACTTTGCATACATACATATTATTTAACGGCGGCGCGCTATTGAAATATACTCTAGAGCAGATACCCCTAGTTACATAACACTGTTCTCAATGCATTACTTTTGAACCACCACCCCTTTGATATCAACTTTACCTCGCTTTCGTGTCCAATGTTTTTTATGTTGATTATCAGAAAACGGCACGAGTGACCTGATTCACTATGGCCTCGTAGTATACATATATATCGTTGAGAGGAAAGCTAGAAGAGTCCACTTCTGTCATTCGTTAATACATATCTAGCTAGTCACGCAACAGCATGCGCTCATCCAAGGACCATCCATGCCTGGATAGTATCTCCTTCTCTCCTTCCGAGAACATAAACTTTATCCTACTCTTACAAACATCCAAAGTTGCCTTCCCTTTGTGGTTCAGATCGACCTTCTTTCCTACTCAATTCCACCCAAAGCATCATTGACAATGTCCATAAGAACAGGTCTCTTACTACTCGACTGCTCTTTCCCGAATAATGCTTTTGTTCCCACTTTACCAACCTTCTCTGGCACTTTGAATGGTTTGTTGATCTTCGAGTTGTCTCTATGGTATACACTTTTCGTTCCTGGAGATCCAGAGAGAAAGTCTTCGATGCCTTTACGTTGGGCATGAGGATTACGTCTGCGCTTCTTCGAGCCTTCAATGTCCTCGACACCATCGAGTAAATCTCTCTTGCAAGGTGATTTGGCAGGTGTCTTTTGCGTTGCCAGACTCACACCCAGTACATCTTGGAAGTTGTGACCGCGTTCTGCTAGCTTAGGAAGGTTGTATATCCATCCTTTGCTGTCGACGAGTTTGAGGAATTTGTCGAGTAGTTCGTTGGAAGAGAGTGTTTCTTTGCTGCCCAGGACGACCATCTTGCTTCTGGCGCGTGTAAAGGCGACATTGAGGCGTCTCCAATCGCGAAGTAGGTCGCCGACGTTTCCTGTGTCGTTGCTGCGCACGCAAGAGATGAACACGACTTCTTTGTCACGACCTTGGAATTTGTCTGCCGTGTGCATTTCAACGCCCGAAGCTTCTGGGTGTGACTTCAGCAACTGACGCAGCAGGGCAAGCTGAGAGCGGTAGAAGGTTATGACTCCGATTTCATTCGGAGGAACGCCCTGAGCTATCAATGAGAGGACAAGTTGTGTAAGAAGTTGAGCTTCAGTCGCGTTCACAATGCGGGAGCCGACCGCCGTTTCTTTCGATACAGGACAAAGAGTGTCTGTGTTTGCGAAGACTACCTTTCGAGATGGTGAGAGGAGGTCTGAGATCCAGCAACTGCCTTGGGCTGGGCCCAGACAAAGGTTTCGATCCAGGGACCAAGAACCTTGTGGCTCGGAGTGATATCTCATTATTCCGTCAGGGGTGGGAATCTTGAGAGTCCGAGAAGCGACAGCTTCATTGCCGCATTTCAGTCGACCAGAGTAGATCAGAGTCTTGGACAGCAACTGAACCTCTTCGCACATGCGGTATTGGTGTTCCAAATTAACCACACTTTCTGGGTGTCGATCAGATAAAAGCTTGAAGAGACTGATATCAAGACCGCCTTCTTGAGCCTCACGATTTTGGACTAGAGGAGGAAGTTGGTAATGGTCTCCAACGAGAACGAACGTATTTGCCATGCGGATAGGTCCGAGGCAAACCGGGAGAGTGATCTGTGACGCTTCATCCACGATACAGTAATCGAAGACTCTCTTCTGGAAAAGTTGATGGTTGACACCTAGACAAGTCGTTGCAACAACTTGAGGTTTCATGTATGTGTCTTCCAGTTCTTCCATACTTTGCTTGGGAGTTGCTGCCAGATGAGCAAACTCCTGAACCTCCGGGTGAATCTTTGCTAGAGTACCCAGACGCAGGATAGACGCATCCGAGTCTCGCAGTTTCAGTAGAATATTGTCCACAGCGGTATGGGTGTATGAAGTCAGAAGTACACTCTTGCCACGAGTCACCAAGGCTCTGATGATGTGAGCGATAGTGGTCGTCTTTCCCGTACCTGGCATGCCGAGCACAAGGGCATAGTCTTTGGCAGACATGACTTTGTCAATCGCAGCGCGTTGGTCTTTGTTAATCTGAAGCTGGCTGGCTGGTCCAGACAGTGCGTAAGCCGCAGGCTCAGGCTTGAACACTGGGGCAGTATCTTCAACAATGAGCTTGCGCAAGTCCGCACAGTGAAAAACATTGTCATCCATCAATGCTAGAAGGTTGTTGCGAACAGTGGCCATGCCATTGCTAAATTCGTCCTTGTCGAGGCGATACACAATGGGTGTTTCTTCAACGCCTTGAGCATTCTGGCTAGGTTCATCTTCTCTTCCTACCTCCATTATGCCTGAGAATGTTTGATTTGTGTTGGTGTCGAAGTCGGCTTGCTTCTGACGTGCGTTGTGGAGTCTTCTGTCTACAGCGACCGTGATACGTCCTCTCGACACTTTGGTTACGTAGCCATTGGCGAGTGCGAAGTGACCCTTCTCGCTAGATATGACGATTGGCTCTCCGATGGTGATTTGAGACTCAGTGAAAGAGAAGCCTGATGGCGGCTCCTTCTTGACGAGGGTATAGCGGTATCGATTTATCTTGGTCATGTCGTTGAGCTCTCTCATGGAGCCTTTCTCGATGACAACTTCGGAAAAGCAGCGACCAAGCTTCTCACGCTCAGTACTCAGCATGGTCCAAAGTTCGCGTCGGAACTTCATCAGCTCAGACTCCTCCTTGGTCAGAAGATTATCCCACTTCTTGAAAAAGTCTTGATGAACAGGCTGCAGCTTGCCGACAAGCTCATTGAACTTCTCCTTGACACCAGCACTCTCTGTCGTACCGTCCTCTGCAAGTTTGTGGTAGAGGAAGCATACTGTTTTGGCGTAACATCTTCCACACTTGCGCTCATCCTGGATCATAGGCGGGAGCTGAAGACGCTCACGAACATAGCAAGCAAGCTCGTTTCGTTGCATGATCATGTGGCGTAATTCGTGGCGTATTGCTGGAATGCGCGTAACACTGGAGTTCTCCATGTAATACAGCAAGCCATATATGACATCAAGATCGTATCGATCAGATAACAGAAGAGTGTACAGCGCTGTTTGCGCGCGATGCGAGGTGTTCGTGGTGTTGCGTCCGGTCTTGACTTCGAAAGGTACAGTCAGGGCTCGCTTGCCTTGGTCGTCTTCCATGAGAACCTGGACAGTGGCGTCGATGTTGCCTTTCAGACCGTAGGTTGGCGACCATACATGCTCCTCAACATCGAGCAGTTTGGTAATGCTGACACGAATCTTCTTACCACCTCTGTCTTCGGCTAGAGCATCGGGACCAGGCTTGGCTTTGACGAAGACTCTGGCCCAAGAGCTCATTTCAGGCATTTTGCTCTTGAGATGCTCATATGCCTCGTTTGTGTCTTTGTGGTCGAGCTCGAACAAGCTCTCCAGGTACTTGCCTACTGTCTTGCCGACAAGTTCGTCGAGTGAATCTTGGTCCCATTCGTTTGTCTTCATTGCTTCCTGGAAGATCTCATGGAGCATCGATCCATAGACCGAAGGTTCGCTGGAACGGCTAGTTGTTTTGACTCTGTCCTGGAGGACGGCTCGGCGGATGCACTCGAAGGAATCGGCGACGACCGTGGCCGAGATCAGATGGTCGGGATGAACGATGATCAAGTTCTCGGCGTCGTCGACAGTGATCTGACCAAGCTTGTTGAAGCGGCCAACAACATGCACGTAGGAGCCAGGAGCGCAGTGAGTCTCGAGCCATGATTGTCTGAGGGTGATGGATTTGTTTCGCTTCTGTACTTCGTCCTCAACAAACAAGACCTGCACGTGAATGTCAATTCACCAGAACTCTCCTGAGGAAGGAGCGATGGCACAGCACGTGGCTTACCTTTTCGGCCTGTTGACGACCACGAGGATCGGTGTACTGGCCGTCTATAACTGCTTCACCAAGTACCGTTGAATGGCGCGCGACTTTTGAGTAGTCTTGGATGACACTTAGCTATCTACACCCTGGGGAGATTCGAAATACGTACAGAGCTAGCACTTGTACTCGCTTCCAACGCTTGGGTAGCATCCATTTCAGCCTGAACAAGTTGTTCTTCATCGAGGTCGGAACCACCAAACTCGTCGTCATCGTCGTCGTCGTCATCTGAGAAGCCGGTGAGATCGAAAGTCTGTGGCCGTTGTTGTTCTTGTAGTTGTTGGGGTGGTGGTACTAATGTTGGCAGCGGTTGGTCAAGCTGCGCTATCGTACATGTGTTTTGTTGTGAGAGAAACTGGCCATTCGAGGTGCCAGGTCTGCTTTCGAAAAAGGAAACGGCATTCTCTATCTCTTCGTCGTCGAGATCGTCGCCAAAGTCATCGCCGAACTCATCATCATCCTCGTCAATAGTGTTCATTATCGTCGTACTGGTCATAGAGTTGTTCTGAGTGGTGTTGTTTTGTTGCATCTCGGCCATATCATCCAACGTGATGTCAGTGTCGTCAAATTCGGCATCTTCATGCTGATAAGAATACTGTTGTGACGAACGTGCCGAAAGGGGCTGTGACCTTTGGTGATCTGACATGGGCTTTTGTATGGTGGGAAATTCGCCCTTGTCAGGCAAAGGTGAAGAACTTGAGGGGATGTCTTTGTGGGCAAGGGACTCCTGGACCTTTTCGACCAACATGCCGACCCGTGACAGAGGCTTTGCGACAGAGGGGTCCTGAGGATTGTTGTTGTCCCGGAAGATGCCATTGACACGGCGTCGCTTGACTCGAGAAGAGGGGAATTCCAGGCCACAGCTTGCCCATCTCCTCAAGCCACCAACGCTGCCGCCAGGTGTTCGAGGAGCGGATCGAGGCGATGAGTCGTTCATAAGGTGTGCTAATGAAGGCATGCGTTTCTCGATGGGCGTGTCATCAGGATTCCTGGCGGTGGCATATCGCGTCCACAGTTCGGCTGCTGGGTCGGCTCTTGGAGTCTTGAAGGCAGACTGTGGGAGATTGGCGTCGGGAAGATCAGATGCATCATTCTGAGATGAAGTGACAGGCGATGAACTGTGCGGGCGTCTTCTCCTTTGACGAGGAGTCAAGTCTGGGTGTGAGCTATTCGCTATCCAACCAATCTCCTCGACAGGCGACTCTTCTTGCGGCGTGGGTCTTCGTAAAGCGTCCTCGGCGTTTCCAATAAGATCAGCAAGAGGTAGGCGCATGGCCGGGGTCGAGGGTGCGATTTTCGTGGGTGAAGACGGCGGTTGAGCTTGCTTGACGAGTGACAGCGGAGCAGCGATGGTGGACGGGTTTTCCTTGTCTGGGTGGCGGGCGAACTCGAAGGCCTTCAACTTTGATTTTGTCTCGGTCGAAGGCTGAATTGGAGGCTTTGCCGGAGGTGCAGGTCTAGCGGTGGCCTCGTTGGTCGAGGGCTTCTTGTCGAAGCTGCGATTGCCCTGCCATGGTTTTGACTGTGGTGGATTAGACCCAAACCGACGCGTCTCGCCATGACTGATTTTGCTCACCTTAGAGCTGTGGCCTTGCTCAAAGAACGACTTCTGCCTTGACGACGACATGAGCTAGGTGAACACGTACAGATGACTCGACCGTGTTTAGTCGAATACTGTCGCACTCTGCAGCAGCAATGCCTTCCTGCTGCCAGATCCATTTTCGCGTTCGTCTCGTGAAGCGGAAGTCGCGTCCGGTCGCGCCTTCCCCACAGCCTTGGCATCGATGACAGGGCTCCCCGGCCAGGCGATAAGATAGCCCCGGACGGTTGATGCAACGCAAGAACGATTTGAACTTGTGCTTCCATCCTCGGAGTGTCTATCCACCATATTGTCTTCATTATTTGACCCAATTGCTCTCGGCATCATGTCTGAGACTGCGAGAACAGGGTTGGAGTCACTGCCTGACGAAATAAAATCCCACATCTTAACATATCTTTTGGCCNCCCCGCCGTCCTGGAATTGGCAGAAGAATACGCTTGACATCCATCTGACCCGTTCACCTGACTTGACAAGTAAACCCTTGAAATCCTTGGTTCTCGTGTCCAAGACCTGGTATCGATTAGTCTCACCTTTGCTATACTCGCACCTACAACTTCGCCTTCACACTCCTACAGCCCAGACCGAACCATTACTACTTGCACCAAAGATAAACACTATAACCGCCAGCTTCAAAGAATGGCTATTCAACGATCCGGGCTATCCACATGACATTCGACTGCCATATATACACGTCTGGCAGAATGCAGCAACAGACAAAGCTGCGATATGGACGACGACACTGAACGATCAATTGTCTAGCATGTTCACGTTTCTCGAGTCGCCGAGTAATGGCAGCACGAGCCATGGTGTACAGTCTCTAACCATCACTGCTACTGGAGAGCTCAGCAATAATGACCTCGATTATATCCGTGATGAGCTGCACTGTTTGATTGCAACTGACGCCTTCTGGAACGTGCTTTTCGAGAAGCTTGACCCTCTTACAAGAGTCACCGTTCTGGCACCTCCAAGCAAGCTCGCTTGTCTGCTCGGGTGCAGTATGAACATGCTGGACGCTTGGGCATTTCCAGGCATGTCGATGCAGCTGATTTCGGTATGGAGGNAGCCTAGACCTGTGGAAGCTGCAGACCATCATCGCTCACCATCTGAAAGCGACTATGATATGATGCAGCCAGTGGAATTGGTCATGGAGCCCAACGAGTACGGTAGACCCGCCTTCTCAAGTCTGATCTACATCAGGCCATGGACCCATCTGGCTGTAAATGAAGGATCTTTCCTCGAAGCTTACTCGACGTACGAGTATTTCCATAAGAATCCTCCAGGCATCTTGGCATCGGTAGGTAGAGCATTCCGGCTTGAGATGGATATGTGGTCGGTAGCATACAAGGCCGTCTTCNCTTTTGGCAATCACATCGGCTCACCGCTTGATCGAATCACATACAAGGGCAATTCATCGAACGTACGAAAACTTTATGTCAAGTTAGCACCCGATCCGGATGACACAATTCTGGATGATCCTGCCCAAGTTGGCAAGGCAGACATTGCTGATTGCTGGCGTGAGGTAGAGTCGGCATACAGATTCTTGACGGATCCTGCTCTCAGAGGTGAACCGGACTTTGCACAACCTGGGGCGGCTAGGGAGCTTGAGATGTTTGGCTTCGGCGACAGTACCATTCCTTCGATCAGAGATACTGTCAGCGGCTCGCTAACCACTGCGGGATGGCAAGAGGTGATCGAAAATGAGTGGCACAGCTCCCGACTTACATCTCGTTTGAGGTCACCGGTGACTGGCGAGATGGACATCTCCAGAAGACTGAAAAATTTACAGATCGAATGAACTCATCTCCACATGGTTGGAGTTGTATAAGATGCTCAAGGCTCGACCGTCCTTCCCGCTGAGTGAACAGAAGGAGTAACACACTTGACTTCGGTAAACAGATCAGGAAGAGACTGTCCAGTGTCACTGCAAGCAGCAATCCAAATCTCACGTTCAGTCTGTCAACTTCCCTAATATATCTGTATCGCATCAGAAGATCAAGGGTATTCTAGAATTGGGAAGGTCGAGCATGAAAACAAGCAAAGGGGTTGGTATTGTTGTTACATGATTGTAGCTTGAGCCTTATGGCTTAGTGCTTAGGCCTCATCCTTGCCCTTGCCTGACCTCTGACGTTGCCCTCGCACAGTCTGCAGTCACACTCAGAGACCTTGTTGTTCAGCAGGCTCCAGACGTGGTAGGTGAATTGGTCGGTTGAAGGAAATCTGCCGCGAGGATGGCCATAGAGGTAGAGATCGGCGCGTGGAGGGTTCTGCTTCCAGACCGTGTAGTTGCGAGGAAGACTGGTGAAGACGAGGTTGACATTGTAGTCTTTGGCNTGTACAGCGTTATTCTATTGCTGTGGCACCAACGTTCAGCTATACATACAGTATTTCTTGCTTAGCATCTCGAGGTACTCGGCTGGGTCTTGTTGTGTCATCTGAGACTTTGGTCCAGGGACTTTGTCTTCTCTGCCATCGCTCCAGTAGAGGAAGTGAAGAGGAACGGTCATCTCTTCCTTGTTGGCGACCTTCTTAGCGATGTTCTCCCGAAGTTCTTTGAGAGCATCTGGGTCCATCAATTCACCAAAGGCCTCCATGGTTACGCTTTTGGGCCTAGTGTTGGCACGTGCGCTTGTCGCGTGGTGTGGCGTTTGCGGAGGAGAGATGTGGCGGTGTTTACGTCCGTCTCACTTCAAACATCACGCTTCTGTTTGACTCGACATGACTTTGTTTCCGGATCATTCTTCTCGCTTTAGAATTTGAACATCTTCCATTGTCATCCATCGTGTTGGATCTGGACTCAAGCATAACAACTCTCGACATATTCATAGTGATGCTACTATAACTCGGACCACAACCCCTGTCAAACACCTGCTATCAACACCTCAAGGAATTTCCAGAGCGCAATCGAAAATGTCTCAGCCAGAACCCCAGAAGATGATTCCGACTCCGAAAACAGACGTGATGATGAGGCCACGCTCTCCTCGACCCGTCTTCCCAAACAAAGACCAGCGCACAAGACTACGGGCACGTAGCCAGATCAGGCCAATCACAGACCGCAGAATCCTAAACTACTATTGCTTTCCGAACCTCGCAGATGAACTCCACGAAATCGTCGAGGCTGGCGGCTCTTTCAGTGGATCAGACACGGACGAGGACTCGGACTACGAACTACCACCCATGACCATCCACCGAGAAGGAAATGACCTACCCAAAACACGAATCAAGTGGTACAGCGAAGGCGAGAAGTGTGCTGCCAGAGAGTTGGAAAAGCTGCCTCGAGACACAGCATTCTTGGATGATAGAGACGAATGGTTTGGATTCATGGTTATACCCAAAGACGAGTCTGCGTCCGAGGATGATGCTGAATTAGACTCTCCTTCCCGACAACTCAGGGAAGAGCTGTCTCAAATGTCGCAATCGGAGTCCCCGTATGTGGATGAAGATGATGACAGTCAACCCATCATTACACCAACTCACGACAAGGTGATGCTGTTCGTCACCAGAGAGGTCGCGCCCACTCCTGCGGAATTGAACAGACTGTCGCCCGGTTCTACGAGGGTGCCCGAGTCATACTACAGAGATGTTGAACAGGAGCATGAGCGTAAGCGTAAGCGCGAGCGAGACAGCCTGACGACATTCAAGATCTATCGTACAGCAACCGGCTTTACCAGAGAAGAGATACCTCCAGCCGTACTATAGAACAACTCTCAAGTGCCTTAGGGGTCTGGAGACCTTCCTCGGTCCCCACGCCAACACTTTTTCAATGGCCTGGAGCACACTCTTTGGCACCGCAACACTCCTCCTCTACACGTCTCGTACAGTAACATGAGCCCACGACCCTCCAACACAAAACATCATCGTTTCAGATCTTCAATTGTCTCAAATCTCTATTGGAGGCACGATCAGGCGGTCGGCGATACATTTCAGCCAACTAAGCTGAATATCTTGAAATGAGGAGAGGGAGCTCCCACCTTTCTAGTAGACGGGAGGACTGAACGAAAGATGGCGCATCTAGGAGTAGGAGGGATGTCACGGGCAGTAAGAAGGAAAGAGTTTGTGTCTCTTTCGAGCTTTGATATTTTAGACCACAAAACTTCTGTCCACAACGTTGTTCACAACGTTGTCCGACTGAATCTTCCTACGCTGTCCAATGTGTGTTGTGATGATTGACGAAAAAGCACCGCAAAGACTACCGAGTCCCAATCCGGGCATAGATGTGGCATACACTATCACTCGATCACTCACTCACACCTTACATACCAACACAATGTCCCCATCACATCGCCACCATCGCTTTATCGCCAGGCGATGGTTGGCCTAGCGGTCTTACGCCAACTCATCGTTGGCGACCCCGCTGGCACCTCAAGGTCCTCGATTCGACTCTCACCATCACCAATTTTCAGAGCCATTTGACGCTCCCATCCCCTCGACACCCGAAGTGGAACCAGTGTACTGGTGGCTTTCTTCCCGCGAACAAGGCTCTTGTACAACTTGAGCCTTTAGTAGCGGGGATTTGTTTTTGCCAATCTGTGGTTCTCGAGGGCAAAGTGGGAAGGTTTGGTACAGGAATTGTAATATAAACGAGCGATTTCTATTATTGTATGTACAAGTATTTCTACGACCACGACCATCAAGACCATGCATCATTCAACCATCCCCATTACATTAACCCAAACAAAGGAAACTTCCCTCAACCCCAAATATCGAAGCCTAAGCACTAGCAGAAGCAGTAGTCGTAGGCAACGAAACACTAATCGAAACCTTGGACAGATAACTAACAATCACACTCTCCACTTTGCTAACAAACGCACTGGTGGCGCTAGGCTGCAAAGTGGTTCCAAAGCCAGTGGGAGTGGAAAAGAAGTAAACGAAGGCATGGAGATGGATTCCGCTGCCAGAGCGGAAGAAAAGCGAGACTCGACAGAGGAAATGATGGAAGAGACGAACTTGTCGTTGGTGAGGAGGGTGCCGTTGGAGGGGCGGTGAAGGTGGGGGAAGGAGAGGAAGAAGAAGACTCGATCGACGAGCTTGATGCAGAAGAAGAAGAGGAGGAAGAGACAAAGGAGCTGGTAGAAGAAGCAGAAGAGCTTGATGAGGCAGAGCTGCTCTGGGCTGCAGATGAAGAGCTGACGAGGCTCGAATATGAGCTGGAAGAAGATTGGGTGGAGGAGGAGACCGAGCTACTCGAAGCAGATGTAGATGAGGAAACAGCTGAGGAGCTTGAGGAAGACTTGGAGGCCGAAGAGCTGGAAGCCTTAGAGGCCGAGGAGCTGGACGACACGGCAGTGGAGGAAGGAGCGTTGGATGCTGAAGATGAGGAGGGTATAGCCTTCGAAGATGAAGAGGAAGTGCGAACCACTGCTCCGGTTGCGACAGAGGCCAGCCTAGAAGAAACCTTGGACTCGACGCTGGCGATTTTAGACGAGACCTTGGATTCGACGCTTGAAACCTTGGACTGGATGCTAGAGACCTTTGCAGGGGTCTTGGTAGTAGCGGGCACAACCCTTGAAGAGGAAGAGCTAGCCTTGGATGAACTTGAAGATGAGGATGTCTTCTTTGCCGAGCTGCTGGTCTTTGCAGAAGAAGAAGTTGTCTTTGAGGAGCTGCTAGACTTTTTGACGCTGCTGCTGCTAGACGAAGATTTCTTCGAGGAAGAAGCGGCCTTAGAAGACGAAGATGATGTCTTCTTAGCCGAGCTTGTTGACGAAGTCTTGACCGATGAAGACGACTTGGTCGAGCTCTTGCTGGAAGAAGTGATCTTCGCGCTCGTCTTGCTGGAAGAAGACTTGGACATGGAAGTGGCCAAGAACTCAGGCAGGATGATGATAGATCCACCAACACGAGTGGTAGGGGCTACCAAGAGGGCAGAACTAGCAGGGGCACGCTCAACAATGTCAGCCTCGACAGCGTTGACATTGCGAGGGCGGCAACTGCTGCGCCGGCGAGGAGGGAGACGAGAGCCACCTGGCTGATGGGAGTGTCGAAACGCATGATTGGCGATATTAGAGGGTGGAAAAGATTAAAGTATATAAGAAGATAGTATGGTCAAGCGAAAGTGACAAGTCGAGGCGATGACACCCACAGATCTGCGAGGAGGATTGTACTGAGCTGCTGCTGAGATGCAAATAAACAAGCAGGACATCAATGTTATATCTTCAGTCTGAGAGCAGTCTGCCAACAAGGTCTACATAGCTGCTAGAGCGTAAGGCGACATGCACCGTTGCCAGATCGATAGACAAGCTCAACGACTATAACGTATACGGCTCTCTTTCGGTAGCCGGGACTTGGTATGGGCTGTCTTGAATGCGATTTTGGCCAGACTCGAGTGAACAGAGACGTCTCCACTCCATTCTAGCTAGAAAAAGAGATTCGGTGACGGCGAGGCTTCCTATCTGTAAAACCGTTGTGCTGATAGGAGCGTTGGTTGAACTTAACGGCGTCGGCTGTGAAGCTTCGCGTGGCAGTGCTGTTTAGGAAGGAAAGGCCGTTTGAGGACAAATCGCAAACATGCCCTCTCACACAAGAATAATGATTCGTATTTCTTGCAAGATATCGTTCATGGTTGAGAAAGCGTCGCGTCCGTGGCTTGATCAGTGACATAGGTGGTTGCGAAAATAACTCAGGCTTGCCCGTTGATGATTCGTGGACCTGAGCGACTCCAGATGCCCAATGGTGAAAGACTCGACATAGCTATGCCTTGAGAAGAAATTCAGGCAAAGATCCGGGGTTGTGAGACTTGCAACGGCTGTTTGTGAATGCTACTGAGGGTCTCGACCAAAACATGTCCTGTTCACGTTCGGGAGGACAATAACAGCAACAGTGCTCAGGGCACAGTCTTGCCTTATGCAACCGCTGCTGCTCACTCGTTTTCGGGTGCAAGAAATATGAGTAGCATGTGTATGCTCCAGTAAGGCGTTTCGGCACTTGAGCTTGCAACTAGAACACGCGCTTACAAGTCAATCGATTGAAGAGGCCGAAATTTGCGATGCGCCTTTGAGAGTGCTCTCGAGAAACGAAGTGGGTATCAGATTGTAAATATGACGAGAGGTCTAGACGGCGCTCATCTTCTCTTCGACTTGGATTTGCTTTTCGCGTTGTTGTCCCACAGAGCTTGCAGTTTTGCTTCTGCCTTCCTCTCTCTCTTGTTGAAGGGTCCGTTGTAAAAGTCCCAAAGAACGCGCTTGGAATCTGCTTGCTGTCAGAGCCAGTCAGGTTTGTGATGCACATTAGAGCACTTACTTGCGTGGTCGGGCGCAAATGAGATGCTGTCAGCATCCTCCTTCTTGGCCAAGTTGACGGCTTCTTGAAGCAGGGCCACGCCCTCGCCCTTGCCGCGGTATCGTAGTCTTACTGCCCAGCCCTTGATCTCGGCTCTCGACTTGCGTTTCTTGCCCTTTGTGTCTGCGTCTGTCCAACCCACGATGACTGTCCCAATCACCTCATCGCCAAACTTTGTCACCAAAACATCGGCGTCTTCCACCATGCTGATGTGGGTTTCTTCTGCGATGGCGATGTACGGGTTGGTGTAGCGACGGACGGTGACCATGGCAGCCATTATAAGTCCAGAAGATGTGGTGAGCACAACGCCATAATCGCCACGGGTCTTGTAGAGGTACTGGACAACGAAGGCCAAAAAGGCAATGAAGACAGCCAAGTTCAAAGGGTGGAACATCAGGATGCGATTGGCTGTCTGGCGCATCTGTGCGACTCCATCGGCAACCAGCTTCAAGGCAGCCAATTTCTCCTCTTCTGTCTCTGCGACATATGTTTTGAGATCTGGAATCCCTGAAAGAGGCCCTTCAGGCACTTCGGAGCCATCGTCGACTGCGTTCTGTAGAGGAGAGGGTGGGCCGATCAGCGAGGCGCTTGCGCTCATACTCGGNGGTGTCGACATTGGCGAAGGTGGGGGCGATGCGCCCAAGTGGAGATTGCTTCGAAGAGACGTGAAAAACACNTACCAACCACAAAACATCAGAACCAAGCACAATTGAGAAGCCCGAGACGTTGCACAGGTACAAGTACAACAGCCTCGGGTAGATTGAGCTTTATGCATACCAGCAGAGGTCCTGAAGCCCGGGATTTTATCTCCTACACTAGCAGTCTGGCAACCAGTAGTCGCAAAGTCGCAATTGTCGTCTGTCTCGACACGAAAAGTCCCTTTCCAAGAGTCCTTGACAGCGAGCGAGGGCGGCGGAGGAGGTGTAGAGACGGCGACGAGCTGGAGCTCTCTTCTTAAACTTTCCAGACAAACGCGTTGCCTCAGACGAGGCACCATTTTTTCTATTGGTTTCCGCGAGAGCACGTGGGCTTTTACTCAAATGACTAGGTCTATATCACCCTTCTCACGGGCCTCTGAAGGTCTCTTTCATGAACAAAACCATCCTTCTACAACAACGTGCGAGGAGCTGTTCTTATGACTGGTTCATCACTCCGCCAAGACGTTCGAGAACAGAGATAACGGTTGGTGTCTGTGTTAGCGCAATCCTATCCACAACTCCACCACTTCCTGTCGAGCTTGTTGCTATCATCAACTTGCTACTCCCTGATTGGTCACCTTGAATCTTTGAGGAATGAATCGTCAGACGGACGACTCTCCACCGACACTGCTTCTCGTCAACTGCATATTCAAGCAGATATGCACAGAAAGCACACCATGTCAAAGATAAGTACGTGAGAGCTTAATGGCCGCGCCCGTCCACATACCAAGACTGGCTCGACTCACATGAAGGGCTTGGTGATACAACATCAAATGTACAGCACAGTACAATGTACGAGAAAGAAACGCGATAACAGCCTGTAGGCAAGAATATGTAAAGTATTACTCGAGTGTACTGGTCTCATCCAATTCGTCCATCATCATTGATTCTCTGTCGCTTGCGCCCTGAAACATCTTGCATCTAGTAGCAGAAACCCAGAACGCCAATTGTATCCACCACATCCAACTCTACTCTAGAACTGTGCCCTAAACACCGCAAAGAACCACCGCGGCTCGGAGCGATCTTTGAGACCATTCCTCGCCCAAGTCGAAAATCTAGGCGACTTCTACTTCTTAGGTGGTGCTTGAGCCGCACCGCCAGGCTCCAAGACGTGAGTGTGACCAGGAGCGTGATAGCACTCACCTCCTTCTTCTTGTCTACACACGTAGGCATTTTGAACCCAAGGATCGGCAAGAATCTCATCCATGGTGGCACGGCGGCGCGGGTCGAGGTCGAGCATACGGCCAATGATATGTCTAGTATCACGTGGTAGTAGGCGGAGCAGACGCAATGGACCCTTGATCTGTTGGCTTGGTTGGTCACCTGAAGTCGAAGCACCATTCTCTGTCTTTCCGGGGCCGTTGCTGATAGATTGTCGAGATTGGGCAAGAAGTTGGTCCTGACCAGGATCCGGAGGTGACACGAAAAGTCTGTATGAGTTGTCTGAAATCCTTGGCGCCTTCCAGGGNAATCGACGCAGACACATGCAACAGAAAATGATTGCTATTGACCAGATGTCCGCGGGTTGCGGGTCGTATCGCGAGTTGTCGTAGACCTCAGGGGCAAGGTAGGGATCTGAACCAACGACGCCTAGAGAAGATTAGCTTGCTTGTTTTTGTCGAGATACTCAAAATGACATACCAGTAGACAGCACAATGTCGTTCTCGAAAGGATATCTAAAGACGACAGCACTACCAAAGTCGATGATCTTCATGATGCCATGGTCATTAACCACAACGTTATCAAGCTTCAGGTCTCGATGTGCAAGACCCATGCTGTGCAAATACAGGACACCACTGAGGATTTGCAAAGTGCAGCAGGTGATCTCGTCGCGCGACATCTTGCCAGTCATGACGATCGCGAAGAGGTCGAAGGGGGCATACTCCATAACCTCGAACCAGTTGCCCTTTTCATGGATGATGTCGATCGTCTCAATGATGTTGCCATGATGGAGTGTCGAACCGATACAGAACTCGGCCGTGACCTTTTTGTTGTACTCCCTCTCGCTTTCGTATGTATGACGGGCACGGAATTGCTTGACTGCGAAAGTTTTGCCGTCCGCGGTTCTCTTCATGAGTCTGACAGATCCGCCGGCTCCTGAGCCGAGTACTCTGCCAAACTTGCCATACTTGGAAGCCAGTCCATGATCGTCTGCAAATGGTAAGCTCTGGGATTGGCCAGACGGTGTAGAACTTCCGCTCCTGACAGGCGAGTTTGCGCGGCTCTTGTCTTTCTTGTCGCCAATCTTGAAGAAGCGCTTCAAGCTGACCTTGGAAGCCGACTTGTCCTTGTCTTTTACAGTATCATCATGATTATGATCGTGTTTCTTGCCGCCAAAGAAGCTCGTTCTCTTGTCGGCATCCGATGGCTTGAGGCTCGCTGAACTGGAGCTAGTAGCAGCTGCAGGAAGGGAAACCAGCGAAGTACCGGAAGTGCTGTGTCCCTTGCGAGGATCTCTGTTGCCAAAGCGGAAGCGTGCGTCGATGGAATCTACATTGCGAGTGGGAGGGGCTCTTTTGCTGCGGGCGTACGGGTCGTCCTTGTCACCCTGTGGCCATGGCTTCGTATACGTAGCAGACGGCGTTACACTTCCTGAACCAGTTGGGGTGCTTGCACCTGAATGAACGGGGCTTTGGTCGCGCGAGGGAGGTACGGAGTCGCCAGCAGGACCGAGAGAGAAGCGAGGCTGTTGTCTGGGGTGTGCAGATACACCGGTCTCATCGGTTGAAGGGACTCGTGAGCCAGGTTGCGATGCCGACAGCTGAGGAGTCATAATATCTCCGCCAGCTCTTGCTTTGGCCAGCTGAGACACGGAGGCAGCTGTGCTGGCAGCGGGCTTGCCTTCGCGAGAGCGAGATGCCGATGGAGTTAGAGGTGGAGAGTGGAAGGTTGAAGCAGGGGGTGATGGGCGGGGAGAGGGATGGGCGGAGCCTGCTGGCATCACGGGTCGTCTGTTAGACTGACCCGAGGGCACCTGTTCATGGCACGTCAGTAAGTGAAGTTGTACGAGCCACGTTGAATCGAGTCATACCCTGGAGACTGGCTGCGAGCCTGGCAAAGACACTGGCTCAAATGAGTAGTGCTCCATGCGCTTAGATTGCAGGCCATTCTGGAGCGTCGTCTTGAGCTGTCTCAGTTCCTCTTCTGCCTCGGGAGTCAGAGTCTCTCTCTGCTGTCCATCATGACCAGTCAGAGAGCGAACGGGCGACAAGTTGGGTTCGGGCTCAATCTCCTGGTTCTGAGCACTAAATCGAACCGAATTCTCGGCCTGCGAAGGCGAGTCTGTTCCGCGCTGAGAAGCCATGCTTCAGCGTGTTGTAGCGTGGTGCTGGTCCAGCGAAGCGGTGACGTTTTAGATGCAGAGAGGCCGTACCTCTAGAGTTGATGACGATTATTGAATTGAGGAATAGTAATAGTTGGAATGCGCTTGTCGAGATGGTCTCTACAGACTCGGACAAGACAATGGTGCGAGTGTGTTTATGAGAGATGCAATGAGGAAACGCGTGCTGCTGCTGTTGGCTGCTGCGTTGCTAAACGAGACGCCGCTTTGGGTCAAACGGGTCCACACGGAGTCGTTCTAGTCGATGTACCGCTCACGGCAAGCCCGAGCAACGATATACAAGTATTGAATGATTGGGAGATGCAGTAACGGAGATGTCTTGATCAATGCCCTGGTGACCAGTACACTTGTCTGTGAGGAGGAGAAGGACGATGCGATGGAACAGCAAAACTTGTTCACGTCATATTTTGACTCAGTACCATACGCGGCTGCCAACGGCCAAGGCAAAATTTTAGCAGTTTCTTCTTCAACCTCTGGCAGGCAAGAGGAACGTTCGGCAGGATACGGGACTCGTTCTTGAGAGTGAACGCCAACAATGTATCAGACAAGCATCTGTGAAGAAAATTTCTGCCACAACAATCTTGTTAGTCAGGGTGGGAGCTGCAAAGCGCAGAAAGGTGTCTGCCCCTCATTTCCGCAGCCAGATGGTCGATGAAGCCTTGATCGCATCCTCTACAAGGCTTGGCCGAGGCATCGATAGAGACAAGATCTTGATCGCGGCGGCCACATGCGCCTACCCGCCGCTGGCGCTCACTGGTCTTGTTTGCGAATGGGTGCGGCTCTTTTTCGTCGTGGCTTGCACGCCTTGCAGCTGCTCAAGACCCTGCGTATAGACACCGGCTGACAAAAGAAGAATGAGTGAAGTGCTGCAAGTCAGCTAGCTAGAGCTCACTATTGCTTGCGATGGGGCGGTCTGGTAGGCTAGAACTAGCACGCAGACACGGCAATCAAAACATGGACATGTGATATAGATGCTGCTCCACTCTTGCCTATTAGCTGCCGTAGCCTGTGGATGTTCTGTAGTCCGAGATGATACTAACTGGCAGCGACATGCCAGAGAGCAAAGGATATGACTGTCGAGTGTGAAGTTGTTCAGTTAGGGCTAGGGTCGAGCTCAAAGCACCTCGATGGGCTTGATGATGCACGTTGTAAACACGCGGCAACTTATCACACCCTTCCCAAAGCACCCTTAAGATAGATGCTGAGAACAGCATCAGTCTATAGCAGTAACTCGTTGTTCGAGATGAAATACTGGTAGGAAGTGTTTTCAAAAAGTCTCGCCATGCAATCTCTCGCGACGGTACGTCATTCTGCAAATTGGGCTGTAGCGCAGTCCGCAAAGACTGTAATCTTGGGATTAGACGCCCGAGGGGCAGAGAGCTGCTCGATGGTTATTCTCTCAACATCCTCAAACCCTCCGACCAGCATCTAATCGCATAGCATCAGCACCATCTGCATACTCATAGTCGTTTGTCAATCACGACCGTCTCTATACACCTGCCGCCAAGATGATGAACTGGGCGAAACAACAGTACGCTGCGCAACCACAAACACTGCATGCCCGCCACTGACTGTAGCTCAGGCTGGCCAACGTCGCCGGCACCCAAGAGCCCATCTACGGACCCTCGGCCATCCAGGCCGTCAGCGAGCAGGCAAAGACCAAGCCCTACACGGAGCTGACCAAGAATGACATGAAGTGGATCACAATCGACTCGACCTGCGTCGAGACTCAGACCTGGTACTTCATGACCGACAGCGGTCACATCTGCATGGTTCAGGTCATCTACAGCAACGTTGCGTAAGTCTCCGCTCCTTGTCTTAGCCTCTGCATCGTCTGACAAGTCGCAGCGNGCATCAAAATCACAACCCAGTTCAACACAAAGATCTTCTACGCCGACGGCAAGACCCCCAACCTCTGGTCCTCTGACGCTCTCGAGAACTACAGCTTCGACGAGGGCAAGTTCAACTTCCGCGCAAAGGGCTGCTCCACCGAGCTCAACGACGAAGGCAACAGCTACCACATCAAGTCAAACACCAACAAGCAGAGCATCGTCGATCTCAAGTTCACCCAGACTGCTCCCGGTTTCGTGGTTGGCAACAACGGTACTTCCAACTACGGTACCGACCCCAAGAAGCCATGGGGCTCAATGAGACACGCTTTCTGGCCCCGCTGCCAGGTCGAGGGTAACATCATTACTCCTTCTGGTCCTCTCGATGTCAAGGGCAGAGGTTTCTTTGTCCACGCCCTCCAGGGCATGAAGCCCCACCATGCTGGTAAGCCAATTGACTTGTCCACAAGCCTTGCATCCTACTGACCAATTGTTGCAGCCGCCAAGTGGAACTTCGTCAACTACCAATCTCCTACCTACTCCGCCGTCATGATGGAGTACACCACTCCTCCTTCGTACGGCTCGACTGTCGTCAACGTCGGTGGTATCGCTGTCGATGGCAGGGTCCTCTGCGCAGGCTCCTCAAACAGCGCAAAGCACAGCGAGATCAAGGGCGATCCTGAAAACAGCTGGCCCGAGCCCGGTGCTGTATCCTTCTCGTGGAACGGCACTGATGCCAACGGTCAGGCTGTCGAAGCTCTTGTCGAGGGTTCGCTCGGCGAGAGACTTGATCGTGTCGACGTCATGGCCGAGGTCCCCAAGTTCGTCAAGCAGATTGTTGCTGGTGCAGCCGGTACCAAGCCCTACATCTACCAGGTAAGTCTTCTGGATCGAACATCGTTCAAAATTGTTACTAACCACCAACGCNAGTACGGTCCCAAGCTTCCCATCAAGATCAAGATTGGCGGCGAGGAGAAGACTGAGGAAGGTACTCTCTTCACCGAGGCCACCTTCATCTCATGATTGTGAATTCTACGACCTGTATGTATCTGTCACCAATTCACCTATGGAGTTTCTGGGGTGGTTCGGGAGCATTCTTTGTTTGGGCTAAATATTATTGTAATAACCACGCTTGGAGAAGCGTACGTAAATGTCACTTGAAACTCAACACAGACGCACGCGCACGTCTATGCGCTGGTGATCAAATTCTCATAATGTACAATCAATTCACCCCCATCACTGGCCGGTCTCGCTGCTGAGACACCGACCTTGCACTGTGCGTCCTTGGGCAAGGCATTCCACCAAGCGATCTCTCTCATTGGGTGGCGTTCGCCGTCGTCACCAAGAAGATAGACCCACAGATGGTCATGCTCGACAACCATCTCGATGGTGGCAGATACTTTGTCAGCCGCGACGATCGGGTGCAAACTCCAATCAGACCAGGTATCAGTACCAACGACACTGACACGAGGCTTGCCGTTCAACATCTCGATTCCGGTCTTCACCCATTTGTTCTGCTGAGCGCCAGGTATATCGATGATCATGCAGAGCCCGCCTTGATCGTAGAGTTTGGTCCAGGGGCCGGAGACGGTCACTTTTGCTGACTTGAAGTCTGAGGCCGTCACGGTACGGTAGATGTGAGGTGTGTTGCCGCGATTTGTTGATGGAGGAATACGCCAGAGGTCTGTGTTGTCGGGACATCTCAAGTCAAATGGCTTGCTCATGTCGGGGATGGGGTGGTCATAATGAGATGATTGGTAAGAGTCGGCCATGATGAGTTCTGGGTGGTAAGCGGATTGATACTGAGTACAATGATGGACAATGTGAGGTACTAGAGAACCAGATGCAAGGCAGCCTCCAGAATCACTGAAGTACTTATGAACTGTGTGTAGAGGACAGCTGGACGACTGATTCTTGTTATCAGCTGAAAGCCGTACTCGCCGTATTGTTGTGGATGATGAGTCAACAAATGCTCTTTAGATCCTGAAGGCTTGGTATGCTCAGGAAACACGGTCCGCCTTGCCGAGATACATTCTCCACGTTTCCCCATATGCTCCTTCTGTTAGGCTTGCTTAGAGTTAGTAACTCAAATGTCAGAAACTAGTTATAAACTGTTACTTACTGGTTAGAAACTGCTTTATAACTCCGAGGTAAGGCCGTCCCCCGCGAACCCGCCAGCCGTACCCTCCGAGGCTTATTTTAGCAGGTATTCTAGCATCTTAGGGTATAGATTTTAGGTTAATTTAGGCAGAATTTATAAATCTTACATTTTAATGATATTTAACTATTATACATAGCAATTGCTTTAAGAGACTTATCATCGATATAGATAGACTATTATACGTAGTGTTTCTAGAGCTAGCTATTAATCTAGCTCTATTACTAAGTATTTACATCTAAGGCCTTAAGAGGGCGCCTTACGTTATAATTAACACGGTCTTAAGTTAAGTCTTATATTAACATAGTAGAGGTAATGCTATAAGGGGTTTAAGAAGGGGTATTAAGCTAGTAAGAAGGAGGAAAAGCTAAACTATCGATTAAAAAGTCGAATTACGATAGCGGCGGCATTAGAAGGGACGAGTCTTATAATAGCTAAGTTAAAGAAGGCCGAGGTAGTATTTCTAGTAGACTAGCCTTACGCTTCTTTAAGGTCCTCTAAGGTTATTGCTTACGAGCTTATAACGTCTTCTTAGTTAGATGTTAAGAAGGATCTATTAAGAGGTAAGATAGATATAGTTAAGAAGGTCTTATAACAAAATGTAGCTAGGTAAGACCGTTCTTACCGACGCGCTAGAAGGCCTCGACTACCTCTTAAGAAGGTTAAACTTTAAGAGAGAGAGAAGGAGTAGGAGGTAAACTATCGTCTTCTATAAACTAGAGGGAAGTATTAAAGTGCGCTATTAGGAGCACTATAGTAGCGATGTCGATAAGGTCTTCTAAAGGTACTACCTTAAGCGCTTTAATACGTCTTATCTTATTAAGAGCTAAGCGTCGAAGTCTCTAGAGGTTATTATAAGTAGTAAGTCTACTAGACCTACGCTTAATCTACTATTTTCTAAACTAACTACTAAGTAGCTATAACCTTCTATTAAAGGCCCTCGAGTTTATATAGATAGAGTAGAGGTTAGAAGTAACCTTTGTTAATATACGTAATCTAATAGCATTTTAAATGTAATTTATTACTAAGAAGGAGCGCTCTAACGGTACTAAGTTCGCTAGAGTAATAGCTAACCTTATAGCTACTTTAGCGAGCTTCCCTACGCCGAAGTTGCTCGCTAGTATCTAGAAGGCCTATAGCTAAAAGCGTATACTATTAATCTATAAGGCATTATACGTAAAGATACCCTTATAAAGGGTAAAATTAGCGAGTTAAGGCTAGAAGTAGTGTCTCGAAGTAATAGGAATATACGTCTTAAAGAAGCGCGCTATAGTAATCTACTCCTTCGGCGACTACGCTAGTTTATCTATCTAATAGTTAAGAAGGTAAGCGGTATAGTAAATATCGCTACTTTAGATAGTAAGGCGCTAATCGAGCTTCTTAAGTACCTCCTCCTTATAAGGTAAGTCCTTAAGACCTTTAACTTCGTTACGAAGATCGCGCTAGCGAGGAATAACTATGCTTATAGTCGATCTATCGTTCTTAGAGAGCTTTTAAGCGAAGTAAATTAGCTTAATTAGAGTTCTTAGGTACTTAACTCGATGCTACTATACGTTAGCATCGATAAGGGCCTTAGCTTTAAGGTTTATAATATAACATCTCGCCGAGGCTAACTAAAGTAGTATTCGGTTCTTTAAAAGCGTAATAATAGTATTAAAGTACGAACCCTAGCGAGTTATATACGTAATAGTAAAGGCGATAAGTTTTTCCTTCTCCTTAGCGGCGAGTTAAAGTAGAAGCTACTAGATCTTATCGGACGATCTAAAGAAGGTAAGCGCTATGTTTACCTTACGTAGAGTTAATAAGTAATAGCTAATTAAGCCTTTAGAATCCGGATCGTAGGTGTCTTTAACTAAGAGTTAAAGGCTATAGTTATTATAAAGGACATAGAATATATAGTAAGTCTTCTTATCCTTTTAAAGAGCGTAGTAGAAGCTTCTCTACGCGCTATAGGTGTCTATATAGATGCTATTCTACCTTTTTAAGTTACGTTCTATAAACTAATAAACCTTCTCTATAATAGTCTCTTATAGCTACTCGCCGCTAACTATTACCGTACTAGCATTAAAACTATCGATAAAGAAGGCTTACCTATCGGTAGTATTAATAGAAAAGTTAATAACTCTATCTCTATTCCTTACGCTAGACTTAGTAGTAATAATATTAATCTACTACTCGGTATTAATAACCTTCTTAACTTAAGCTTTAATCTCGCCGGCGTAGAGCTTAAGTAGGTCTCCGGTAAGACGTTCTCGTAAAGGAGGTAAGTAGTTTAAGATAGGATTAATAGCCTTAAGTAAACAAAGAAGGTCCGGATTTAATTAATAAAGGTTAAAGGGTAATCCTCCTCGGTAGATAACTATCGCTATAAGCCTATTTAACTCCTCTTTATCGATATCTTACCCTAATAAAGGGGCTATAGCATTACTAAACCTAGCGATATTACTTAACTTTATACGGAAAGGCTCTTTAAACTCGGTTAGATTAACTATACGAGGCCTAATAGCATCTTTAATAAACTTCGAGTACTTAGTAAGATGCTTCTCGCGCCGCGAGTTATTAACGTTCTTCCTCTTAAAGGACTAACACTAACGATAGTCGGTATAGCCGTCTTTAAGAGCCTTAAATTGCTTACCGATACTCTTAGTAGAACGACTACCTCGCGATGCTATCGTATAGAGGTAGGGAAGCTAAGCTTAGAGCTCGAGCGTTAAGTTAGTAACTCCTCTTTTGCTAGTTTATAACCGAGGTTACTAACTGACGGTTATAAACTATTTAGAAACTGTTACTCTAATAAGCCTACCTTCTGTTTAGAGAACTGAGTTTCCGAGTTATCGGACCGAAGTATACGTACAGCCCGTGACTGCCACTCTTAAAGAGATAAAGATGATCCTTCTTCCGTGATACTTTCTACGTGATCAGAAACGGTGCCAACTTATCAAGTTTCATCGACACATATCTGGCAAATTCAAGCAAGAACTTTGATGTCCTGATGCATTGAGCTCTCAGTAGACATCCTCTTTACTCGCGCTGGATAACGCTATCGACACTCCTGTCATTATCCAAGAATCCAAATATGTCGTCGTTAAGACGAATCAGCCATCAAGGCTCTGCCACAGCTGTCATGGAACTTGAGCCTATCCATTCTCTGCCACGAGCAACTGAGAAACACGTTTCGGTGGAGTCTGGCAGAAAACTCGGTCAGGGTGATCTCGATGATCATGAACGACGTGATCAGAACGAAACACTACCCTCTCCCAACGTCGCTTCTCATGAAGCACTCGAAAGATGGAATTTACCAACGTCGAACCTCTACCGGACATTCGCTGCCTTCTGGGGCTTTGCAATTATGGTAACCATAAGAGATATCTTCCAATACATTATCGGCTACACATATTAACTTACGCTGTTCAGGNGTATGAATGATGCTACCTATGGAGCGATCATTCCATACGTCAGATTTACCATAGTTTTTGAATGTTATGGCCGGTGCTGACTTGCATTAGNNTTGGAAATACACTACAAGCTGTCCTATACCGTCGTCTCGCTTATCTTTCTCAGTCCTCTTATCGGATACAACTTGTCAGCCTTGCTCAACAACAGCATACACCTTCGATTCGGACAGAGAGGTGTAGCTTTCATCGGACCGTTCTGCCATCTTCTGGCATACATTGTCATCGCTGTACACCCTCCATATCCAGTATTGGTCATCGTCTTTGCAATTGCTGGCTTCGGAAATGGATTAGAAGATGCAGCTTGGAATGCCTGGATGGGTGCGATGTCGAACGCAAATGAAGTGCTGGGCTTTCTCCATGGCATCTACGGTCTAGGAGCAACGATTGCACCTCTGATTGCCACTTCGCTAATCACTAAAGTCGACAAGCCTTGGTGGACATGGTACTACTTCATGGTAAGCTCCAAACCTTGAATCATCATCATGACCGCTCCTTAACGACTATGCCAGATCGCTTTTGCGGCCGTCGAAGTTGCTACAAGCTTATGGGCTTTCTGGGGCCAGACTGGAGAAGTCTTTCGTCTTGCACATCCCAGAACCACCGACCAGACGGGCAACAGAATGAAAGAGGCCTTGCTCACTATGCCTAGTGCCCGAGTCACATGGCTGTGTGCCTTGTTCCTGCTAGGATATGTCGGCATTGAAGTAGCTCTCGGTGGCTGGATCACTACATTCATGCTTCGAGAACGTCATGGCGGTGCGTTCGCCTCTGGAATGACTGCGACTGGCTTCTGGCTCGGTATCACAGTCGGAAGACTGGTACTTGGTTTCGTGACACCGCGCATTGGTGAAAAGTTGTCCATTGCCATCTATCTTCCGATCGCTACTGGTCTCGAACTGCTCTTCTGGCTCGTTCCGCAATTTTACGTCTCCGCTGTTGCAGTCGCACTACAAGGCTTCTTCTTAGGTCCACTGTTCCCAGCTGCTGTGGTTGCGACAACCAAGCTTTTGCCCAAGCACTTGCATGTCAGTGGCATTGGATTCGCTGCTGCGTTTGGTGGATCGGGCGCTGCCATCTTTCCATTCGTGACTGTAAGTCATGATTTCTCTGCCTCCAACCTTTGAGATTATGCTAATCGTGTTTTGCTCTAGGGTGTCATTGCACAAGTAAAGGGTGTGCAAGTCCTTCAGCCGATCATCCTGGCACTCTTGGTTGTCATCTGGTTGTTCTGGATTTCGCTTCCTAGAATCGAGAAGAAGAGGGACTGAACCTCGGGTTGCGACAGAAACGCGTGTGGAGAGTGAGAAAGACATATAGACTTCCTCCTTTAGTACGCACTCAACACTTTAAGCCATCATGCCTCTCAATCATCAAGTATGCATCATAAGTTACCGCTGGCAATAGGATCAAGTCCAAGGTAGATGTAGACGTGCATGTATCTCAGAGGGTGATGGGCTGAGAAGCCGAGCCTTCGATAGCATCCGATTTGTTGAGTAAAGCCTGCTAGTCGATATCGCCATACTCATCGTCATCATCGTATTGGTCGTATGTAGCAACCGAAGGATCCATCATAGCCTTTTTGATGTTGTCCAGAACCTCCTCGAAGTTGTCAAAGACACAATAACCCTTCCTCTCCTTGTCAAACTCCTCAAGGGCTTGCATGTCATCGGTGGTAACAGCTCTTTTCTCGTTGACTGTCGTGAGGTCTGTAATGTCCAACATGACGTTTACCAGCACATCGTCATAGCCGACGTGTTTTCGCACTTCGGCACCCAGGCGATCTCCNCCGATGGCAACTATGGCGCCGATCTCGCATAAACTGAGTAGCGCATTGATCTTTGTTTCGTGGTGACTCTGCTCGGTGATGGATTGAGCGATTTTGTGGATTTCCTTGTTGACTAGTTCTGTTGCGTCCCAGGCTTTGTTGTATTGTCGTGCATCACTCAGTTTGTCCCATTTCTCGTTGATGATGTAGTCGACTTGCTCGACGTTTGCATCGAATTCGTAGACCTCGGATTCGTGGGGTATGGGAGGTATGGGATTTTTGGCGGCATTGATTTACTGTGCATCTTGTGTTTGGTGTGCTTGTTGCATCTGTGTTGCCTATTGTGTTTGTTGCGCCACACATGCTTGGTAGGTCTTCAGGATCCCTTCCCAATCTTGTGTGTGCTTCTGCATACCTTTCTTTATCGACTCAGTCCAGACTCTTGCATACGTGTGCGGGCTTGAGGGTGCGGCCTCGATTGAAAGCCTTCGCGAACTGGGCTCGTCTAGATTTTCGACATGATAAACGATCTGTTCTTGGAGTGAACCTGCATGAGGCATTGGTGCCGAATGCGAAAGACCCTGACTCTCGATCTGTGATGCTCCGTGTGTGTATCCAATGTTGTGATATTGAGCAGGAGGGTCTATGCGTTGACGTTTGCTGCTATCTGTTGACGCCATTTTGGATGACCTAGTGGGTTGTGTTAGGACGAGAGCGAGAGTATCTAGAAGTGCAGATGGTGAAGAACGACAGAGTGGATGAGACGTGACTCGGATGACGCGACGCGCGACACTTTCGTAACCGGCTTCTAAAAGATGCTAGCCATATCACCCTGGTCTTGCCTTTTGATGACCTTTATCTGCCATACTCCATCGACTTACAGACTTCCCGTCTTGTGAAACAATTCACAAGACGCTGTGGTCAATCCAGCCGCTTTGATAGCCATATATCGAGTGGTTCCCGCTAGATAGGCGAAATTTGATGTTGATGATGAAGCATCGTTAGCAACATGCTTAAGCTCAAGGCAACATCACTAAACTCCAGGTCTGGGAACCCTTCAAAATGTTGAGTAGCTGGTATGTAAACAGACCGTGTCAGTCTGGTTCGAATCTAGACCCCTTTCTTTCTCTTGATTGCTCAAGGTGTAACTTATCTCAAATATCATGTTCGATGGCTCGGATATGCGGAAGCCATATCGCCATCGCAGCTAGCGAGTTTTCTCCGACCCCACAGCAGACCCAAGAACCTGGGGAGTGTCGAGTGTCTCCGGCTTCGGGGTCGTCATGCCGAGGTCTTACCACTAGATATAGTGTGCAAGTTGACGTAGCTGACTTTCTTTTCTTATATTGGTGTTGCCGCTGTGTTCAAAGAAAGACTCCTTATCTCTCATCTTGTTATTTGTTGTCTCATATATCGTTGTATTTTGTTTGAATATAAGCAAAGATGTCGGAAAGATTGCCTCATGATTTGAACTGCTTGACCATCTCGGAGCTGCAGAAGCATGCTGCGGTTATGATGGACAAGCAGACTCGTGACTACTACAACGAGGTAAGTGCAGAATCGACAACATAGGTTGTAGATAGCGAATAGCTAAGTCAATCTTAGGGTGCCGATTCTGGCAGCACACTTCAGGAAAATTTGGACGCCTATGCCAAATATCGTATCAGACCCAGAGTTCTTCGAGATGTATCAAAGATCGATACCAGCGTGAACATCTTTGGACACAAGAACAGCATTCCTCTGGGAGTGGCACCAACAGCGATGCAAAGGCTTGCTCATTCAGACGGAGAACTGGCAACTGCGAGAGCCTGTAAGAAGATGGGTATCGCCATGGGTCTCTCATCCTTTGCAACGACGACACTGGAAGATGTGGCCGAGGCGAGTGGCGATAACCCACATGTGCTTCAGCTGTATCTCTTCGAAGAGCGTGACCACAGTGTCAAGTTGTTGAAGAGAGCAAAGGCGGCAGGCTACAAGGCCGTCTTCCTTACAGTCGACACACCTATCCTCGGCCGTCGCAATCTCGAAATCAGAAATCAGTTCAAGCTGCCATCACACTTCAAGATCCCCAACTTCGAGGGTCAAGGCGACAACCAACCGGAGGCCGAGGCCGAACAGAGAGGCCAAGGCGCAACTAGAAGAGGTAGTGAGGCTGGATACACAGACGGCGAGGGCAACAGAGTGGTGCCAAAGGGGCCTATTACCTTCCACTCACATGCAGCCAACCCGACACTTTCCTGGGACCGAGACATCGAGTGGCTCAAGAAGGAGTGTGGAGACGAGATGCAGGTGTGGGTTAAAGGCATCGCAACCGCCGAGGATGCCCTGTTGGCGGTTCACCATGGCGTCGACGGCATTGTCGTGTCCAACCACGGTGGAAGACAGCTGAGTAAGAGAAAGCGGTATGGAATCATGAGAGCGAGTGCTGACAGATGTTCACAGNATGGCGCACTAGCAACATTGGACGCGCTTCCCGAGGTGGTGGCAGCGGTGCAGGGCAAGATCCCAGTGCATGTAGACGGCGGCATCCGACACGGAACGGATGTGTTCAAGGCACTGGCGCTGGGAGCAGATTTCGTATGGATTGGTAGACCGGTCCTCTGGGGGCTGGCATACAGGGGCCAAGCAGGAGTTGAGCTGTGCTTGCGCCTGCTCTCGGACGAGATCAAGCTGGCCATGGGTCTTGCTGGCGTCACAAAGGTCGACGAGATTTCCAAGGAATATCTGGTCAAGATTGACAAGAGCGGATTTGTCGCAAGGCTGTAGATGTCTGTCTCGATGAGTAGTGTAAATAGTGTATTTGCCATGTAATTGCAAGAGTCGAAAGTGCAGCAACGACCAAGCTTCATGGTGAAAGACAAAGCGAACTTCAACAAGTCAAGCTCCAAAAATCCACTCAATCGTTCTCTGGCCATTTACTCGTAACCTGGTCGATATTCTGCGCCCATCTCGATTCTCGCCTAGTCAGACAACGAACGCCCGAAGCCGACTGCAGCCCTCTTCTGTTCGCAAGCGCATCGACGCGCATAACGCACCTCGAGACCTCAGACAATGCCGGCGCCCGCGCGCAGTCGCCCGCTCAAGAAGGACTTCTTCGCGCAAACCTTCAAAGGCCAAAAGCCCGTCCTCTTCAGCGAAAATGCGCGACCGAGCAGCATCCCTCCGCACATCCGCCATCTCGCCTGGTCCTCGACTGGCGCCGCCCTAACCACCACCTCTGGCTCCAAAGTCCGCATCTGGAACCCGGATCGCCCGAATGTTAAGAGCAGTCAGGAGTTGGTGGGTCATGTCGGAAGTGTAGAAAAGATTGTCTGGAACCCCGTGCGCGAGGGCGAGGTTGCGACGACAGGAAGCGATGGAACTGTGAAGCTCTGGGATGTGCGAGTAGGCCCTGGTGCCCACAACAAGGCCGTGCCTGTGAAAGAGATTGCGTTGGGAGACGGTGGTCTGTTTCTGGCTTGGAGTCCGACTGGCCAACATCTGGTGGCTGGACGAAGGGACGATGTCATTGTGCCCATCGATGTGCGCATGGGAGCCATGGCCAACACCGAGGACCTGATCATGCAGGAGGGCCGCAAGCTGGGTAGTGCTCAGACGAATCAGATGGCTTTCTCCAACTCGGGTAACGAAGTCTTTGCTACCACTGGTGAGGGCACTGTCAAGGTCCTGGACTGGCCAAGCATGGTAAGTCAATCGTTACTATGTAACACAACACACGATTAACAAGCCACACCAGNNACACTCCTTCACACCCTCAACGCCCATACCAGCGCCGCCTATTCCGTCCAACACAGTCCTAACGGCGACTTTGTGGCAGTCGGTGGCGGCGACTCTCTCGTCACCCTCTGGGACACTACCGACTGGGTCTGCAAACACACTCTATCAAATATGGCCGGCGGAATCCACTGCCTGTCCTTCAGCTTCGACGGTACATACATCTGCGGCGCTCACGGCATGGACAAGGACGGCGACAAGGGTATTCACGTTGCTTGTGCTCAGACTGGCGAGACTGTGCATACCTTCGAGACCTCACACATCGTCAACGTTCTCGCATGGCATCCACTTAGGTACTGGCTGGCATATGCTGGTGATTTAGGTGGTGTCAGAGTTATCGGTCTTGGTGGCAATCTCTGATCTTGTCTTAAAAGCTCTCTTCATTCTCATGTCCCATGGTTCTGCTGTCTGGAACTAGCGAGGCGTTATCTGGTGTTTAACCCCTTAGAATCGAACTTTCGGCTTCCTCCCTTCGATCGTCTTCTTGTGCTTCTGCTACATTTGTCCCTGAGGGTACTTAGTGTCCATCCTAATCGGAGTCGGAACCAGAGTCGGAGTCGGAATCAGAGAGATCCGAACCGCCTTCGTAGACAAAAGGGATCTTGATGCTGTGTTTGCGCAACAATCTGCGGAAGCGCTCGTTCTCGATCTCGAGATCGCTGAGTCTCTGCTGAAGCACCGTCTTCTCCTGACGAAGCACCATCTTCTCCTGCTGAGCGGCCAGACTGGACAAATTGGAGGCGTCTCTTTCCGCCAGCAACCTCCCCACCCTAAAATGGAGTGCGCCAGACAAAAGATAAGAGTCGATTCAGATTTCTTTCTGGGGAATGCTGTAGTATGTTAACATCACCATTCTCTAAGACGTAACACACTCACAAATTCTCCCGCCAAGCTTTTTGTCGATACAGCGGATGAGCCAACTAGTCTTGTCCTGTAGCTTCTTTCCCTCTCTTGTCATAACCTTCTTGTTGTCGCGCAGCTCTTTTAGCTCCTTGCTCACGTCTTGGTTATTTCCCTCATGTTGACTGGAAACGTGGCGTTATGAAAGCAAAAGTGAGATTGCGAAGGAACACTTGCCTGTGGTTGATCGATGATGGTTGACGAAGAGATGGGGCAAGTTTGGGAATGGAGAGGATGTTTAAATTCGGGAATGTGCGCAAAGTCAGAAGAGGTCTGAAAGAGACGCGAGACAGGAAGTGACGGTCGAGCACTCCGCTGGAAGCGTCACTGCCAAAGTTGTTCTTGGTGGTCAACAATAGTTGATACCGCCAACCATGAACCCGTGAGGTAGGTAGATTCAATGCATGTTCCTGCAACGCAAAACTTCCTCTTTTTGTGTTAAGAACGAACTGTCACACTGTCTTTTTAGAGATGTATAACTTTTTGAAAAGTAGTGGTATGCACGGTGATGAGAACATTCTTAGGGTATCATCATGGCCAGACTTCTGATCAGAGAGCGATCGCGCGTTACAACATTACTGCATATAAACCTGGGCAGAGCTCGATCGCGAGACTGTGACGGTCTTCAGCATACGGAGAGGAAGGAGAGTCGTAAGAGGAAGTCTTATGAATGTTGTTCATGGGTTCGGAATTTTCCGAACGTACCTTCCCAACTCAACGCAAACTACGGCTCAAATCCTGTTGCGCCTCTGGTATGGACATACCAATATCATCTCATCTCCCAGACCAATGGAGCGGGTTGACGAAGACCAATCTCTGCCGCGAAAAGCACCAAGGCTGGTGTATCCTCCAGTCTTAGAGAAGAAGCCCCCAAAGCCAAAACCGGTTCTGGAATATCATCTGATCGAGCAAAAGATCACCAGTGCCATCACTGATTTCAAGGCTGGCAAATTCACAAGCTTGGCTGAAGCTGGAAGAGCCAATGGAATTACCGAGAGATCTGGATATTTTCGACTTCGTGCTCGTGCAGCTGGAAGAGCCTCCAAGTCTGACCGCATCAAGAACGGAAGCCAACGTCTCAGCCCAGAGCAAGAGATTATCCTGTGTCAATATGTCGACAGTCTAGAGGACGTCCGCGCGCTCCACCGCAAAATAAATGACAAAGCATACAGCATGTTATGTGAAGATCTTGCTGCAGATGACCCGCTGCCGCGTCCGCTGGGGAAACAATGGCCCACTCGGTTCTTGGAACGTCACCCAGGTATCATGGCTCGTCGCCGAAGACCTCTTACCTCGCAGAAGTCTGGAGAGTCAGAGGATGAGACTAGTCTGTCCATACCCAGAGAGGAAGCTCATACAACCGAGACGAACAACGAAGAGCCGCAGCTTCTTCTCGACTGTCAAAGATTCCTTGACCGCTCCACTGAGACGGATGGGGCGTCCAGCCAGATCGAATCTATCTGCAGAGGCCCGGCAGCCCCTCCCAACGTCTTGATTGTCACGAGCGGGACGAGCAGTGTCGACAGAAACGTGCCTTCCCCTACAGCAACTCCTCCTAGTCGACCAGCAGAAAGAAGCTCCACAACAACTTCCTTTTTGTCGGCAATTAAGAGCAGTCTTGCCGAACATAGAATGACATTCTCAAGCCGTCTCACATGATGGTCTTGCTGATACGTGGACGGAGATCGCCACCTTGTGTCACGACTTACAGAGCAGCCTCGGAGCCACAAGTCATGATCTCTGTCCATGGCAAGCAACTCATGCAACCAACGATCCCCTCTTGGAGCCAAATATCTTCGACAAATACGGCACTCGCCTGAGCAATCGCAAAAGAGACCCACAACGTGTGCACCTAGGCCAAAACAGCATGGACACACTGTACACATGCTCAGTCTGATGCGCCCTGTCGCGACGGCTAATGTGAAATTACTGGGCCGTAGAGTCGTTGCGGTGTTCATTATTGAAACACGGTGATTTTTTCAGGCAGTCTTTTGCCAATTCGCTACCACTCTCCTTCTTTGTGGGCTTTGCTGCGCCTCGGAAGGTCACAGTAATGATGTCTTGAGGCATTTTTGGCACTGAAGGAAAGTACTCCAGCCGAAGACTTCGAACTCACCGCAAAGTCCGACACACAAGACCATCTGGGGCAGGACTTCTCTACTGTGAGTCCCAACCCGTCGATCCATCAGTGAACACTTGCGCCATGTGCAACACTGCACGACACATTAATCCCATGCGACGAATAGTGTTTACGCCCTCAAAACATCCTGATTAAAGCCAGCCAAGCATTTTGACGAACCACGCCAGCGTCTTGGCAAAGCTTGTCTTGTAGACTGGTTGGGGATTGGGAAAACAATCGCAAAATACTTCCTCTTCTCACTCAAAACCTTGATCTCGATTCGTGACCGTTGATACGATGTATGCAGGGGAGAGTTTTATTGTGCTCCGTACCCGGCCGTCGATACTCGAGGTCACCGAGTGCCCGGCGGATTGGGGATTGGTCAGACAGAAAATACCGCAAGCTGCCCAACGGTAGAGGCATGTGTAGATTTGTGGAAATCCAGAATGGTCCAGTTCAAGGCACGTAAATGCCTCACACATTCCTTACCAACGTGGCGTCGCATCGCAACCACGACAACAGGAGAAACACACAGCCGTAATGGATCTGAAGCATCTTGCAGTCCGCGCGGCGCGGTACGGTACGTCTTGCTCTCCTAAGGTCAGCACTCAGCACTCCTTCAATTTCAGTTACCAAACGTTGCATCTGGATACGACCGAGGCCACGGAATTGAACATCATTTTTTTGCCTGCGCCCGTGAGCATCTATGGACGTCCTTTAACATTTGATCTTTGTCTTGGTCCAATTATCCGTGTCTTCTATAAAACATCATTCCTGCTTATTCTTCTCCTTCCCTCCATCCGACCAACACATAACGTTTCTTCAAGATGTCTTCGTCTTTTGATCAGGAGTCGTCGATCGAGAAGGGAGAGTTGGATCCTGTCGTTACAATGAATGAGCGCTCTCGAATCACCTTCGAGCCAGAGGATCGCCTCGAACGTCGACGTCGTCACAGTCGCCAACGATCTATGAGTCGCGACTCCATCAGCAGTATCAGATCACGAGCACAGTCAACTTCCGCCGCCGCCGGTCTGCCAATTGAGTTCCGCACCCTCTCCTTTAACGTTGCTCATTCACAGACGGTCAACGATGTCGTCTCAGAATCGAAATGGAGATCCAAGACAACCACCAAGAAGACCAAGACAACCAGCGAGAAGATCAAGACACCCTTCAAGAAGACGCCAAAAGTCGAGGACAAACGACAAAACGATGCAGAGCACTTCGAGAAGTTGAATTTCCACATTCTCGATGCCGATTCAGTGATACATGAATTGTCATCATCTTCTGAGTTGGGTTTGACGTCCGAGTATGCTTCGACTCGTCTTGCCACCGACGGCAAGAACATGCTCCCTCGAAGAAGACAGAACTATGCCAAGAAGCTCTTCGAGTATGTCTTTGGTGGCTTCTGTTCGGTGCTTTGGGTTGGTGTAATTATCTTCTTCATTTGCTGGTATGTGTTCTGGACCGCATCACGCTATAGCCTTTCTAACTTGTTCATTTAGGNNAAACCATTGGGAAATCCCAACCCTCAAGCATACAACCTTGGTCTTGCTATCCTGGTCCTCATCGTCATCTTCCTCCAAGCATGTTTCTCAGCCTTCCAAGATTGGTCTACTGGCCGTACTATGAATGCCATCCTCGATCTCTTACCAGCTGACGCGCTTGTCATCCGTGGTGGCCAAACTACAAAGGTTCCTTCAACCGATCTCGTTGTTGGTGATATCGTCAAGATCAGCATCGGAAACAAAGTCCCTGCCGACATTCGCCTGTTGGCAACCTCTGGAGATGTTCGCTTCGACAGATCGATGCTTACTGGAGAATCCGATGAGATCGAAGGTGCTGTCGACTCTACTGACAAGAACTTCCTTGAGAGTCGCAACATTGGTCTCATGGGTACCATGGTCACCAACGGCTCTGCTACCGGCATCGTGGTGTTGACTGGAAAGAACACCTGTATGGGTCGCATCTCCAGTGCCATGGCCGGTGCCAAAGAACAAACAACTCTCATTCAGATGGAGATCAATCGTTTCGTCAAGATCATCGTCTGCCTTACTATCGTCCTTGCCTTGGCTATTCTGTTGACCTGGGTTGGTTGGTTGCGTCGTGACCACCCATCTTACATGAGTGTTGTGGCAATGCTGAACAACGTGATGGGTAAGTCACACTTGAAGTTGGTGTTACCACTGTCATTCATCGCTAACTAGAATTATANNGGATGTGTTGTTGCGTTCATCCCAGAAGGTATGCCAGTCGCAGTCGCCTTGACATTGATGATGGTCGCCCGCCGTATGAAGAACAGCAACATTCTACCCAAGGGTCTCTCAACTGTCGAGACATTGGGTTGCGTCAACGTCATTTGCTCCGACAAGACCGGTACCTTGACCGAGAACAAAATGGTCGTCACAACCGTCGGCTTCGTCGACGAGCAGCTTACTGTTGCTGAAGCTCTTTCGAAGATGGAGGTTGGTCAAAACACTGTGCTCACCGAGCTTCACCGCGCTGCTGCATTGTGTAATGATGCCACATTCGATCCTCTCTCGATGGACCTCCCTGTCCTGGATCGTGAGGTTCAGGGCAATGCCACCGATGGAGCTGTACTCAAGTTCGCAGAGGTTGCCCATGCCAACTCCACCAAGACACTTCCTGACGCCCACCCTCGCAAATACCAAATTCCTTTCAACAGCAAGAACAAGTGGATGCTTACGCTTCATGACGAAGTTGGTGCCAACTACGAAGTTACTCCCGAGAAGACCAAGTACCTCGTCTACGTCAAGGGCGCCCCCGACAAGCTTCTTCCTTTTGCAACTTCATACTGGTCTGCCAAGAGCGGCTCTGTGATGCCCCTTGACGCCGAGGCCAAGGCACAATTCAGCGCTCTTCAGGAACGCCTATCTCGTAATGCAGAACGTGTCATTCTTCTTTGTCAACGTCACTACCGTCCCATCGAAACTCTCGGCACCAACGCTTTCGGAGACGAGGTTCTGGAAAATGGTATCGCTGATTTGACCATTATCGGAGTTCTTGGTATCACCGACCCGCCACGCAAGGAAACTGCCCCAACTATCGCCTCTTGCCGCCGTGCCGGTGCACGCTTCTTCATGGTCACTGGTGATTTCGGACTTACTGGCGCTGCTATCGCTCGCAATGTTGGCATCTTCACCCACAGCGGCGAGCCTGATACCTACGAGACCATCGCCGAGGGACAAACATTCGTCAACGACAATGAGAAGGGTGCTCGTGTGAACAGCAGTTTGCTGCTCGAAGGTCCCTCCATAAACAAACTTACCGACGAAGACTGGGATATTGTATGCAGCTACGAGGAGATTGTCTTTGCTCGCACCACTCCCGAGCAAAAATTGCGCATCGTGAACGAGCTCAAGGCCCGCGACAACGTTGTTGCAGTTACCGGTGACGGTGTCAACGATGCACCTGCTCTCAAGGCTGCCGACGTTGGTATCGCCATTGCTGCTGGTTCTGACGTTGCGCTCGAAGCTTCTGACCTGGTGCTCCTCGACAAGTTCGACTCCATCGTCGAGGCCATCCGTCTCGGTCGTCTGGTCTTCCAGAACCTCCAGAAGGGTATCGCCTATCTCTTGCCTGCCGGTTCCTTCTCCGAGATTTGGCCCGTCCTGCTTAACGTCTTCTTCGGTGTGCCTTCTCCTCTGTCTTCGTTCTTGATGATCATCATTTGTGTCTTTACCGATCTGTTCCTCAGTCTGTCGCTCATTATGGAGAAAGAAGAATTCGATTTGCTCACTCTGCCTCCTCGCAACCACAAGAAGGACCACCTGATCAACTTCAAGATCTACGCTCAATCCTACCTCTTCATCGGAGTCATGGAGACCATCTGCGCACACGCAATGTTCTTCCTTTACTACTGGCGCCACGCAAGAATTCCTATCGGCGACCTCTTTTTCGCTTTTGAAGGTTATTCAGAAGGTTTCCACGGATACACTCAAGACGAGCTGAACCACTTCAACGTCGTCGGTCAGGGCGTTTACTTTGTCACCTTGGTCATCTTGCAATTCGGCAACTTGCTCAGTGTACGCAGTAAGCGTATGTCCATCCTTCAAGCTGACCCCTTCCGCGCTGAGCGTCGCAACCCATGGCTTTTGGCTGGTATGGCTGTTTCTCTTTCCATTGCCATTTTCGTCACTATGGAACCTGGTATCCAGAGAATCTTTGGTACTGCTACTGTACCCATTGAGTTCTGGCTGATTCCCATTCCTTTGGCTTTGGGTATCTTGATGATGGATGAGGTTAGAAAGGTGTTTGTGAGATCGTTCCCCAATGGTCCTTTGGCCAAGATTGCTTGGTAGAAAACGGACTCGATGAGGGGAGAGGATGTTTTGGTACAATACACTGCTTTGTTGATGTTTAGTAAATTACGACTTTGATGACACTGTTTTGTATATAAGCAGATAAATGTTACATTCTGTACATGGCAAAATTGTTTCTAATAGTTTGCTTTCGTCACTTCCCGTTCCAAATGACTTGCAATTCTGGCAGTGTATCTGTGAAACGAACCTTGCCTCTCATATGTTAGGTCTGTCGTTCACATATTTCTTCTCACGTAACGTTATAAAAGCTGTGCTCATCATCTGAAATGAAGTATTGGCATGCTTGTACTATTGATCTGGAACGCTATTGAACTCATGTAGATCTAGTCCTTATCAACGCCTCGTTGTCACTTAACAATAGGAATATTGGAACCACCAGCCTCAACGTCAACGTCAACATCTCTGATCCTTTGCACCCTCTCCCTCATCACAATGCCATCGCCAATCCACCCATTCGTCCCACTAGAGACAGCAAAAGCACGGTCCTTGGATCTAGGACTCCATGTCCAAGGTTGTCCTCTGGTCAAACTCCCATGATACCAGCGAAATCCAATCCATGAAGTCATGATGCCCAACACCGCGCCAGAAAAGATATCGATACCCTGGTGCTTGAAATCCACATAGCGAGTCGAACAGATGAAAAAGGCGAGACACACAGGGATTAACACTATAATGGCGCCAAAGACTGGGGGTGCGGCCGCGCGTTCTCTGGCTTCTTGCTCGATATCGTCTTCATCGTTGCGTTTGGCGAGTGTTCCGTGGCCGAGATATGGAATCAGCATGTTGAATTTGGAGGCCAGCCAGAGGGAGAGGTAAAGGAGGCCAGACCAACTCATTGATGAGTGTCCACTCAGAAAACTGCGGAAGCCTTCATTCAAGAGTTTGCGATCTGTTTGCGTGCAAATGGACGAGCTGACCAATGTCCATCTTTGCGATATATCTTGACCGTAACCGCCAACTACGTGCGCTGCGATATCGTTCAAATCAGGTTGACATCTAGCCAACAGATCTGGTCGCGGTTTGCCAATAAGGTTTTTGATGCCTGTGGTGATGAAAAAGGCAAGTGCGAAACTGAGTCCCAGACCCATCCACCCAGCATTGAATTCCCAAAGTTTGCGTTTCCAGTATCGTTGATCGCGGAGACGGGAGCGTGAAAAGGCAGGTACGAATAATGCAGTCACAACTGCTATGACAACAGCTGGTAGCACCAGGGAAAGAATTACCAGTAGTGCTGTTGAAATTTCATCGTTCTCCACATAGGGGTAACTGATGGCGAGGTCGATGAGGGAGAAAGGGCGATGGTATGGCGTGGCGAAACTTATTCCTCCACCGACTGCTACGATGGCNACTGATGGCGGTCAGATATGTGTAGATTCGTCAGTAGATTCTGCCTCTTACATGAGCAAGACCCAGTCGAGCACATAGGCTATTATCAATTTGGTCGGTGGCATATCCAACACCATGTCGACGCTACAGAAGTGTTGAAGCGTATGCTGTAAGCAGGATATGTTGAAATTACAAAGTAAACAAGGAACAAGCACAATGCGTTTGCTACCAATGGTCGCGTGCAACATGCAAGGAAAAAGAAAGAATCGAACCGGCGCACAATTCGGGACAGCTCTTTGGATATACGATCACGCAAACAACAAAGTTCACCAAGACAAGTGACCTACAGCAGACGTTCAAGCCGTTTCTCTCGGCGGCGACGAATAGAGATGGGACGAAGACAGACAAGGCCATTTCGACATGAGCTGCGCCCTGCCGCCAAGGTTTGGTCGCGTGCTCTCCGCGCAATGGTTATACGAATACGTCGCCATCACGTCATATCTTTGTTGCCACGCCGGCAGGGTAAACAAATAAATAATATTTCGTGGCAAAATTCATAATTCGATTTTTGGATAGTTATGGTATCATCTGCAAAGAGGGGGCATCAAAAGAGGTATCTACAATTTGGGAAAGTCGTGGGCTTGCCAGCAAGCTGAAGGAGGTTTACTCGTCGTCGCCGAAGAAGACCTTGACGGGCAACCAGGCATCGCCGCAGACCTTGAAGCGGTCGGGGCGGCTGCTGAGCTGCTTCATCTCGTCGTCGGTCAATGACCAGCCGTCAAGCTGGAAGTTGCCCTCGATTCTGGAGGTGGTGACGGACTTGGGGATGACAGAGGTACCGCGCTGGAGACCCCACATGAGANNCTGTTTTTTTGCAACGTTAGCTCTAGCTCAAGTTCAAGTAGCAGAAAGCTGGTGAGAAACTTACAGGACCTGAGCAGTGGACTTGCCCTTGCTCTCAGCAATCTTCTTCAAGGCCTCGTCGTGGGCAAGAGGAGAGTTGGTGGAGCCGAGGCAGGAGTAGGCAGTGCAGTGGATGCCCTTCTCCTTGCAGTAGTCGATGAGCTTGGGGGAAGGGTTGTTGGGGTGGAGCTCGACCTGGTTGACAGCGGGGACGGTCTTGCATGACTCGTCCTTGAGGAGGATCTCGAGGTTCTTGATGGCGAAGTTGGAGACACCGATGTTCTTGACGCGGCCAGAGGCGGGCAGCTTCTGGAGCTCTCTCNNCTGTTGTCGTGTAAGCAGTTTGCAACTTTCTAACCCCATCAGAATTGCTTACCAGGTGTCGACAAAGTTCCAGTCAGGGTAGTGCTTCTTGAGGTCGTCGGGGTCGGTGGACGAAGGCCAGTGCNNCTTGGAAACGTCAGTTACGTGTCGAACATTACCGTTTGCGCAGACTTACATCAGATAAAGGTCGACGTAGTCGGTCTGGAGGTCCTTGAGCGAAGAGGTGATGCCCTCTTCGACGCGCTTGTGCCAGGGGTTGTCAAGCTTAGTGGTGATCCAGATCTCCTCACGAGGGACACCAGAGTCCTTGATGCCGAGACCGACCTCAGCCTCGTTGCCATAGGCGAGAGCAGTGTCGATATGACGGTAGCCAGCGAGGAGAGCGGCCTTGACGGCTTCGCGAAATTCGTTGGGCTTTGACTGCCAGGTACCGAGGCCGACAGCGGGGATCTTAGCACCNCTGTGTCTTATTAGCACTTTTTGATTCTTGTGGAAAAGAGTGATGTAGCGTACGGTGTTAAGAGTGAAGGTCTTCTTGGTCCATTCGTTAGACATGATTGCGATGATTGAGATGTAATTGGGAGGTGGAGAGAATTGGTGGTAGTGAGTAGAAAGAAGACAAGTTTGTGCGAGACGAAAGCAACGTTTAAGAGCCACTCCAACAAACTATCTCCACCTATCTCGTGCTCCAGCGGGCCATGATGCGGCGAAGGAATTCTACACTTTCAGCCTGTTTCCACGCCTATCCACATCAGTTCGCATGTACCTGCACTGTGAACCATTGACCCCACCAACCCACTTGCCGTATTGGTATTTAGCCGGCGGCTCAATCTGCTCCGGAAGCTCGAGCCAGCAAACGCCGTCATAGCTTCATTTTTGGCCGAACCAGAAACACCGACGTGTTTGTTGTCCAGCTGTTCTTCTAACGTGCGTTGCTTGGAACTTGTGACCATGTCGCGTTTCGTCTCGGGAGGAACTGTGGACAAGCCCACTGAACGCGATGACGAATGGTTGAAGGCGCAGGAACAAATCGAAGCTGCACGACGGAAGAAGGAGGACGAAAGCAGGCAGCACGGAGGAAAGAGCTTGTACGAGGTCCTTCAGGCTAATANNAAGGTGTGTCGTTGAACATCAATCGCTGATGATAGTTGTCATCCTTGCAAGTCGATATACTGACAGCTTCCAGATGCGAAGCAGGAGGCCTTTGAAGAGGTAGATGAAACCACTGAGCGTGACTCTGCAATTACTGACAGAAGTTCTTACAGGNCAGCTAAACTCAAAAACCAATTCAGATCCTTAGATCAGGATGAGGTCGAATTTCTGGACACGGTGATGGAATCGACGAGAGCCAAGGAGGAGGCCGTGAAAAGAGAAACCGCCGAACGACTCGAAGCCTTCAGGCGCCAGCAAGAGGATACCGAGAAAGCGTCCCGTGGAGATGCACCTGAAGCGAGCAACCAATCTGAAGGAGATACCTGGGCTTTCAATGCTCGCAAGCGCAAACGAACCAAGGAGAAGGAAGCGATCGCGGGTCTCAAGCTGCGCAAGAGCTCTTCATCAGCAACTCAGATGACTCCAGACGCAGGAGCAGCAGCAGGGGCGGCGTCAGACGACAAAACCCAGTCGCCGTCGAGTCCTGCACCTACGCCTGCCAACCAGTCAGCCAAATCTGTGCAACCGCCCGCCGCAACGATAGACAAGGCCGTCTCGGCCAAGATCGACCAGGCACCAGCGGCCGCTGCTGCTTCAACAACTCCGGCTCCCGCTGCCGCACTTGGTCTCGCGGCCTACTCATCCGACGACGATGGTGATTGAGCCAAGCGAAATGTCGAAAAACATGCACTGGAGCCGGTGGTTCCAGCAATGCCGGCGCCCGCAGTCACGCAGCGGCGCTCGTGAACCCGAAACATGTTCTGCGCCAACCCGTCGCGCCTTCACGGACCATAAGATGAGCACGAATTTTGACACCGGCTGTGTGCAGCAATCCGCCCTGCCGTGTCTCTGATAACTCGTGCGGTTCGCGATATCCGAATGATTGGCTGTCAGAACATATATATATGGCGTATGTGCAGCAAATGCTTGAGCATGTCGGCCTCAACAGGCGGCCGCCTCTGAATCGCCTCGTCACATGGCCAGTGGGCTGAGAAACATCAGGGAAATGAGCATGTGTGATACGAAGATGAATTCGCTGACGAACGCCATCACGCAGATGATGCGCGCCGCAAAAGCAACATCGAAAGAGAAAGCAAAACCCGTTACAGACATCAAAAACGACCCGGTTTCAGAGCCGAATAGACGAGAACATGTCAAAGTGTCACCTACTCTGTTTCGTATCTCTACCTAGCGCATAAGAGACACAAATCGCCGGAAATGCGAGCTTGAGATTTGCTAGAGGAAAAGAAAGGAACATCTTCACATGCAAAAGTAGCTAGGCAAATGACCTATCGACAGACAAGTGTACATGACAACCAATCATCCTACTCTACATGAAATGCATACGCCTACAAGCTCAGCTTCCCNGCTTTCTTCAGGATCTCGTCAACCTCGTCCTTATGCTGCGAGAAGTTGTCGACCAGATCGTCCCCTAGTTTTATTAGTGACGTTGAAGTAGAATTATGTGCGGAGAATATCTTACACATGGCTGGATCGTGCTCGTGAAGCTTGTCGCTCTTCATGGCCCAATCAGTGACGGTGAAGGGTCTAGAGCTCTCAAACATGAAAGCTACTGCACCTTCAGAGATGCGCATCTCTGGAGGAGGCTGTGCGGAAGCGGCCTTGAACTCTTGATACGCCACACCGTGGGGCACCATGCCGCATTCGAAACTGACACCTCCTGGTTGGAACTCGTCGCTACGGCCGGCATACTCGCCATAGATGAGTCCCATCAACTCCGAAGCGACGTTGCGGTGGTAGTATGGTGGGCGGTACGTGTTTGAGGCGACGTCCCAGCGAGGAGAAAAGATGAGAAAGTCGGCTAGAGGAGCTGCTGGGTCGCGCGAGCGAGCCGTCAAGACGCAGAAGATGGACGGGTCGATGTGATCGACGCTGATGCTTCCAATGTTGACGAACTTGGTCAAGTCGTATTTGTAAGGCCTGTGAGATATGGAACGATCAGATTGCGGCCGTAAAAACAAGGGCAGAAAGGAGGGAAGGAACAAGACATACACGTAGTTTCCGTGCCAAGCGACCACATCGAAGGGGCAGTGGTTTTGTCTGCTTTCGAAAAACTTGCCACCGAGCTTGTACACAATTTTCCACGGGTCGTCCTTGGTGACAGTGTAGTACGCAACTGGGGTCAAGAAGTCTCTTGCGTTGGCCAGCCCATTGGCACCAATCGCTCCAAGTTCTGGCAGTTCGAAGTTTGCACCCCAAATCTCGAGGATGTAGCCTCTGGTTGGTCCTTCGACGCCGACCTTGAAGCGCTGACCTCGTTGTATAACACAAATCTCTCCTGGTTGCACGTACAATCGTCCAAACTCCGTCTGAATATCCAGTGCGCCCTGCTGAGCCACAATTAAGAAATCACCATCAGAGTTGACAAATGCTTTGTTCTCCATCGAGACGTTGGCTGTAAAGACGTGTGTCGCCAAACCCTCCCTCAAGGTTGGGTCGCCCGATCCAGCAATGGAGCATAGCCCCTCCACAAAGTCGTGTTTCGTTTCGGCAACATCAAAGGGCAGCCAGGCAAGTTGAGTCGGTGAAACATGAACGCGCGGGTTGATTGGAAANAAGTTGGCTTCGGTATTCGAATTGTCAGGAAGGTTCGTNCTGTTTGGTCGGTGAGTTAGATCAGACTTCTGTGTTTCCCTCGTTCGGATGGGGAAGGTCTAAGAGTGGTGGGTTTCAAGCTGAGACAGACGTACAAACCCCTGGTGTGCGACTGCTGGCCGCGATCTGTAGAGCCAAGCATTTTTGTTCAGATGTCTTGGTGCAACGAATGCTGAGGCAGTCATCTGTTCTGCGTACAGACCGAATCGCACGCATCTTGGGCTGTTCTGACCGCGAGGGATGGTCCCGGGGACGGCCTCTGATTCGAAGCTAGGATAGATATCTGTATCAGCAAAAGCAACCAAAGTGACAGATAAGGAGTTCTTGGTTCTTCCGAGTCAATGACAAAGCGTTTACTGTAAGGCAGAACAGCGAGGAGGCATAGAGATTCGGACGTGCAGTTCGTGAACAGACATCAGGTTTGAGGCGTTCTGTCACCACCCATCAGTAAATTTGGCCGCCTTGCAGCAGCCTCTTCAAGCCTCAAGGATTGTTGGGACGCAGAATGCAGTTCACTGAGCCCGCACGTTCGGATTTCATGCCCGCAAGCCGTCTGATCACACTGCATTACAGGCTGTCTGGATGCAGTCAAGAAGCCTCCTAGGATCACGCTTTGCCAATGAATTCAGGAGAAGGAGATTCCTTCTAATGCAGGGACATGTCATACTGGTTGTTGAACCCGGCTTGATACTGCAATATAGTCAGCAAATTTCACCGAGACATACTGAAGCGCATGGCGTTTGCCTCGTAGGGATCGTTCTTGCGAGTTGCAAAGGAAGGTACGGCGCCATCCTCCTGCGTCTCTGCCCAGCTTCCATGGTGGTCAGCGGGGATGATCTAGGCTGGCGCTGGACTGATTCGCTTACTGGAATATCTTCTGGTACTCGTCGAGACGGTCAAGCTTTTCTACCTTCTTGTTTGCAAGGGCCATCGTGAAAGATTGAGATGCTGTAAGTATATTTCTGCAGAAAGATCAAGAAAGAAAGGAGTGTTGTCCACACAGGATGCGCTTTCAACAAGACAACCGTGTGAGGATCCACTGAGCGGAGTAGTGGGGCATGATGTGGGGTCGAGTCGGTCAGAGGAGCCCGAATCATCTGCCGAAAACATGGCTGGTCTTTCACTCTGAAGAAAGCAGAGTCGAAAGGTCTCCGCATCGTATACCAACGTGTGCCATCTTCTTGACATCTCGACATCTGTATGAACCCAAGATGTTCCATGTGTGGTCGAATTTGGCTGTTGCAAAATCTTGGTCCGGCCGTTTTAGAGCCCGCTGTCCTTCTGACCGCGCATCGCGCAAACCACTATCGCGAGCTTGATCCAAGCTGAAGATGTACTGATAGCACATACGATCCCATCGCGGATATGATGTTCAGACCGAGGCAAATTTGGAATGCCCTCGCCAAGATACGGGAAATGGTCTGAATTGTTCTGTGACCTAGAACTGCGCCTGACTACCTGCTGCCTCTGATAAAGCGACCCTTGCAGGGTTGTTGCAAGGATACGGAGAATTCTCGACGAGATCGAGAACATGGCGCAAACTCAATCTTGCAGCCAAAAGGCAAACCGCCCTCGGAGTCGCAACCGCTGGCCCTCAAGATATCATGCGCGGCGGCGGCCATGCCCCCTTCACCGCATATCAGCCATCGATGCGACTGGCCAGATGGTGAGTAGCCTGCGGCTTGAACGTTGATGATCAAACGTCCTTGAATATCGTCATCACTTTTCGCCGGCTTGGTCGCTGCACACCACACTTTCAGCAAGCCATCAGCTCGCCGAGCACTATGGTCAAATGAGATATACAAATGCTTCTATAACAGGGATTGTGGATACGTCGAGGTGATAGTACGTGCGTCAACCGTTGCCCAGTGCTCTCTCAAACAGGGAAACGGATTGTCTCGGCATAGTACCATCAGCTTCTGGATGTTCCTTTGTCGACATGGCTGGTTCAGGAGCAGCACGCGAATAGACGGGTACGAACCACAAGTACGCTAGAACGCCTAGCAGCCGTCAAGCCACGATTTTGGTGCATGAAAAAGTACAGTAAAAGTCATGGAAACGATTGGTAAGAGGCTGACCGGACGCTGATTATCTCGTGGAATGGCACCAAAGTCTACAAATGCGCTGATTACTCGTTCATCCAAGCGGTTATGCGGCTGCCTCCAAACCTGGCGGCGAAGCGCAGACCGGTAGAGCCCATCGGGAAATAGCTTACTAAATACCACACCAGGCAGACAAGTTGGATGATGGAGGATATCAAGGTCAGAAGAGTGTGGCCCTATGAATGGTCAGCTGGTGTACATTGCTTCGTAATGCCGAGTCAGTCACAGAGGGACGTGACGAATAAGACAGGAGCAGGTGTATACAAGTACACAATCTGTCTGCATGACTGAGGTTTACGATAGAGTAAACAACGGAAATAAGCTTTACTTACACCGAGAGCAAAGTACAAGGTCAATGCAATGGAACCGAAATAGGTACCAGTGAAGGGCAAACGCTCGGTCGAAAGCAGGTGCTTGACTGTACGGCCGTTAGGAGGATCTACAACGCAACGCGATCAGGCAGCAGAACTCACTGTATGTGTAGGGACCCATCATGACAGCCCAGGAGCTGAGGAAGAGGACTGAAGCCATGGTCCATCTGGTGATTCGTTAGCCTTATCCGTAGCGGCCGTAAACAGAAAGCGAGTAGGCGAGGGGATTGGAGCGATCAGGAAAAGCAGCTAAATCGAGCGACAGTGCGGAGTCGAGATAAAGGTGGCCGCGCAACTGGAATGTTTGGCTGGTGAGACGATTAAGAAAGACGCTAGCAATCTTGTTCGTGCCCTGGAGCGGGAACTAAGGGAGACATGGGAGCAGCCGCATGACCAGGCCTCGAAGCTGGGCGGGGTGGCGACCATTCGGTGACCCCACCGCGCGTGGCTGCATGGAAACGCCATATCAAAAGACGATAGTGTGTTTTGCTGATATCTGACAAGGACGAGGGACAAGGGAGAAAAGAAGAGAGGCGATGGGGATGCGGCATATTGGGCACACACCACCTCGACAGACAGAGCAGACTTACAGGATTGCAAACTTTCTGGGCCGCAGGGTCAAGACTGGCATCAGAGTGAAACATACGACAAAAGGGCGACTGCGGCGAGGTTCAGGGCACCAAAGACGAGCAAGCGGTCCCAACGGCTGACTGGAATGTCAAGTCAGCGGTGCGAACAAACCAAGGCAGGAAAGCTCAGGAAACGCAGCAACTCTCTGGCATGGTCACTTGCGTTCCCAGACAGAGGCTCCTAGCGCGCGTGGGCGTAGATTGGCTCGGAGCTATCTGGAACCTCGTGCACCAGATTATACGACGTAAACCATGGTGAGGGAAAGTAATGATATCAGAAGGAACGTAGGCACGTACGCGCAAACCACCCTTCTTCTTCTTCGCGGCGGGTGCGGGCAGGCAGCGGAGCACCTGGTGCCTCATTCTCGTACAGAGGCAGTCTGACATAGCCTCCTTGTCCAAAGGGATTGAGCGATTGCAGCTTGCCAAGGAACGGGGTGGACGAGTCGGACGTCGTTGCAGGCGTAGCGGCGGGCTCTCTGCGGCTCCAGCCCAGCGAATTCATCGAGTCACGAAAGGATGAAGAGGCCATGGCGAGGGGGTGGGAGGAGCGTTGCGTCCAGAAGCGGCGAGCGGGGGATGGGTGTAGCAGAGGACAGGACTGGCCAGGTCAGGACAGACAGGACGAAACAGGACACTTGGACAGGCTACGACGAGGTGTAGCGCAGCCTAACTGCTGCAGGGGCGTGCGGCAGGGAACGGGACGAGCGCGTGGGCGTCCTTGGAAAGCGTAACCGCAACGACAGCGCTCCGCAACTACCGATTGGAGGCGGGCGGTGCAGAGTGCAGAGGGTGCAGAGGGTGGTCGAAGGCTGCAGTGCTGAAGACGACGGCGAGCTTCGTCCTTCTACGGCTGGACTGCAGGCGCGCAATTGCGTGCAGAGTGCAGATGATCGGCGACAAGTTGGTCCAAGTGACTCTCTGTGTCGAAATAGGCACCGCCGGACAAGCACTTGCTCCTTGTGATTTGGTCGCGCGCAATTTGTGGCATTCGAAGCTCTAACTTGGAAAGACGACACCCATCCACACCGAGCTTCCTCCCAATCATGCACGCACGCTCAAGCCAATCCAGCGCCGGCCCGAGCTAGCGGCCTAAAGCTTGGCATCCTTAATGTCGATGCTCTCTCTCTCTCCGCAACCTCTCCCGGCTCTGCTGCGACACTTGTGTGCAGACACTATTGACTATGATTAGAGAGGCGTCGCCGGCCTCGTCTTTCCGGTGTCAAGGGCGTTTTGTCTCTACATCCGACCCGAGACCATATCAGCGCAGACGCGAAGGCATGTTAGATTGCATGCTTGACAAGTCTGTCTCGGGGGCGAGGATCGCTGGATCGCTGCTGTGGTTGCTGCTGCTGTTGCTATCGCCGTTTGAGCTTGGGGCAAGCCGCAACGACCTGGCAGATACGAAGCTGCCTGCGTGCAAGCACAGGAGGGTGTGTGTGTCTGCGTGGTGTGTACCGACTAAGCTATGGCTGGCCGCTGCTATCTGTGGCTCAGCAGCAGGTTTTGACGCGCTCAGACGCCGTTTGTACATACATGAATTTAGTCTACGAAGGGCATTTACAAGAATACAAGGTAGGGCGCTCCGGCAATGTGGATCATGTCCTGCACACGAGTCACTCTGTCGTGCCCTAGCGTGAGACGGTATCTCGAGTGCAGTCGTCACGGTCGCCCTCCTTTACAGGCCAGAGCGTCAGGGTGAGAGGCGTCTGGACGGATCCGGGGGTATATATGTATACGGAGCCCGCCTTTTCCTCGACGGCGCAACACGATCAGTCCCCTTTGGTCAGCTCCATCATCTGTCGCTCGAGAACCTGCTGCTTGTGCTCGCTTAGACCACAGCCTCTGCTACCTGCTCACAAAGTCGTCCGGTAGCGCATCCTGCACGCCGCCGCCGCAGCACAGTATCAGTACAAACCCTCGTACTCTACTTGGCTCGATCAAAATAAATCAACATCATTGATTCTTTGATTATTCTCCGCGCTGATCGCCCTGGCCCAAGCCTTGCCCGCAATTCGCCCGGACATCACTTTGACCCTTGACCGCCTTGAAACGGCCAAGTCTGGAGAAAGCAGCGACAGCAAAAGACGGGGTCGTGCTAATTGACTCGACTCACCTTCGCCCTTTCCTCGCCCTTTCCCCTCCACTCCACCACCTTCCTTCTCTCGTCGCCGTCTCACACTCGACGACGACGTGAAGCAGCCACCCTTCCTTCCTCGAGACTGTACTNCGGGGNGTTTCTCTCTGACACATTCCTCACCGGCTGACTCGGTCAACTGTCTTGGCACCTTCCCCGGGCGTCGAAGCACCCCGCCGTCCGCCGCTTCCCTGCTCGTGCGAGTGTCCTACTCCACGTCTGCCATATTTCAGTCGCACGGCGCATTGCTGCTGCTCTGCCCCGCCATCCTCCTATCGCGCCCACCTCNNGAAGCGCGACAAACACCTTTCGTGCCATCTGCCCGCCGTCTTCTCATTGTTGCCTGCCTGGGCTGCAGACTGAGTCAGATCTGCTAGGTGAGTGCTGCCCTACCTTTCCTTTCCCCTTCTCTTTCACTGTCTCCTCTCCTCTCTTGGTATAGCTTGATGGCCAGGCTGTGTCGCTTGTGTCGCGCATGCATGCAGCCGCTCTTCTCCCTGACAGGAGACACGCCGTCGGACGGTGATCCGGGTCGAGCCGCCTCTCTGGCATCCGTCATGCGTTCATGCGCTTGATGCCTGTGATGCCTCGCCCATATAAACCAAGACCACACTTGCTTCCACTACCATCCTCCTCCTGATACTAACTCCATCGCACCGCAGACCTGCAGCCGTCTCGACCGAACATCCCATAGCCGAGAACTGCGACGTCATCTTCCGCAACATCGTCACAGCTGCTGTGCGACACGGCTAACCATTTCACAACCGCTGAGACAAGATCTGACTGGAGCAACTCGACCAACCGAACCGTTCCTCGCGACCCATCTCTTGGCCCTTGAAGCAAACCGTTTCCTGTGCCAGCAGACATTGCGCCTCTCGACATCTGCCTTCGGAACTTTGTTCAAGCGCAGCATTACTTACAGCTGCAAATCACTTGCGTCGTCACCAAACATCCAAAGTGATGCCTATAGTCTGTAAGTGTCCCATTTACGTTCCCCAATCACATACTTGTTGCTGCCTCGGACCCACCCACCAACCAGGCTTGTGATGATCAAGGTTCCCGATTAGGAAAACGAAAATGCGACTAACGTACTTGCTTGAACAGCTCCCACATCATTGACCACCTTTCCACCCTTCGAGACGCATCAAGACAACCACGACCCACAGCACGACTCGCCGCTCGAGTTCACATTCGACGAACCCTTTGAGTTCGATTCGTTGGCAGTCAAGCCCGAAATGGCCGGTGCTGGTTCTCCTTTTATCAAGTCTGAACCTACCGACTTCTCCTTCCAATCACACCAATACCACCAGCAGCCATCGGCTTTCAACATGAATTCACATCACATGCAAAACGGCATGAACGGTGGTGGCGACCACGCCATGGGTAACTCCAACTTCAACTCGGCTTTTGCTCCTCAGAACATGTCGTCGAGTTTCAATATGGGCAATTCAGGCCTCGCCGACGACGAACTGCTCGACGGCATCAACATGGACGATGGTCACCACCACGCCAACATGCATCAAGGCCAGTTCAACAACGGCAACATGAACCAGCACTTCCTTACCCAAGGCAGCATGCCCATGTCCATGGGCCAACAGCACCTGAACAGCAACAGCAACTTCTACTCATCTACACCAGAGGGTGCCCCTATTCAGTCACCTTTCGTCAACGACTTCAACTATGGCCAGTTTCGCCCTCAGTACAGCGTGCCAACCACAGGTGGTTACATGAACGGCCTCAACGCCCCACAGGTCCACCAGATGGAACGCAAGATCTCTGATTCACGTTCGCCTGCCACACCAAACACTCCTGGCATCTCCAACCTGCATCTGGGCGAACCAGAATACCCTTCTACAACCATGGCCCAACAGCCTCGCGCTATTGTGGGACACAGACACAGCTCGAGCGTCAACAACTGGGAGAACGTATCGAATCCTCACTCCTGGCAAGACGTCTCGCCATTCGGCTCGCCATCAAATCCTATGATGCAGCACCAGCAGCATCCTCAAATCACCGAGGTCCTCAAGTCCTCGAATGCAGGCGCCAATGGCAAGATAGCATCGTCGTTGCCCGCAAAGATGGAGAACNCCCCTGCTTTCCAGACTCAAGAAGCCAAACGAAAGCGTAGAAGAGAATCGCATAACCTCGTTGAGCGCAGAAGACGCGACAACATCAATGAACGCATCCAGGATCTCGCTAGCCTCGTTCCTATGCACAGATTGGAGGACGAGCGAGTTCGAAAGCACCTTCAGACAAACGCTCCTCTCTCACCTTCCATCGTAGCTACTGGCATGTCTCCTTCTCAGGCCACGTCTCTGTTGGCTGGAGGTAATGGAAGAAGGGCCACTACCACAAGCGTGGGTACCGGCCTGCCCATGGACGACAAAGACAAAGGTCCCAACAAAGGCGATATCCTCAACGGGAGCGTCGCCTGGACTAGAGACCTGTTGTGGTACCTGAAGCAAGTTCTCGATGAGAACGCCGAGCTGAAGGCAAGAGCCCGTGCTCGAGGTGATGACTGGTCTGCCACCATGACCGAAGATGGAAGACGCATGGAGACTGAAACCCGCGAGCTCATGCAGAAGCTCATTGCCACGAACAACCTTCAAGACTACAGCAGAGGCCACGGTTCTGGACTCCGAGTCCCCGGCCACACCAACCTTGCCGGCGAACCGCTCCATGGACAAGAAGGCCAGTCCAACTACGGTCAAAGCCTTAGCCCTGGCTTCCAGAGTGGAAGTGGTGGTATCAGTCCTGTCCAAGGATATTGGCCCTCCGCCGACGAACCCGTCTTCAAGGAAGAGGACGAGTTCACCATCAACGACCTCTAAATCACACCAGCCTCGATTCACTAGGCTGGTCCTATGCACACGTTGCATTCGAATAGACAGGGGTTGCCTCGAGTAACCCCCAAATGCTTCACGGCATCTCAACCATTTGCTTTTATTTCTTTTCGGCATACCCCATACCCCCAAGACCGCTGTTTTTCGCCTTTTGCTCACTTTTCGATGCGCTGTCCGTTCAGTTTTGAACATCTGACTTCCTTTGCTTTACACGACGGCATGCACAACAGAGAGCATATACCACTACCATATCCAGGGCTACTCATCAGGCGTTCCGGATTTACATGGCGGCATCATCAGTATCAGTACTGGTCTGCATCAAACACGACGATCGAGCAGAACGAGACCAAACGATCGATGAACAAGAACGATATATGGCGACTGATTACTACATGCGAGGTTATTTTCATTTCTGGGTTCAGAAACACACACCACTCTGAGAGGCTTGTACTTGCGATACACATATTTTCATTCTTGCAATTTTCTTTTTCTCGGACTTTACCCTGCGAGTGCTTTGGTTGATTGCTTGTTTTCTATCTATCACCCCGTTTTTCGAGATCTTGTTTTTCTTAATGTGGTTAATGTTATCTCAAGCTCTCGTTCTCTCTCCCCTTCCCACAGCTGATGAATTGTCTTGAACGAGCTTCAGAGCGTCTTGCTCATCATCCACCCCTTCCCCTGTTCTTTTGCTTATCTTCCTGAGTGGCTCACTGTTACTTTTGCTCTGTTTTCATTGCACCACTCTCGGCTTCCTTGCTGTCTGAGCTGTTGCCACGACTAGAGGATTTGCAGGCAGATTATCTAGTGAACAGCTCTCCTCTCATCAATCAAACATCCTCTCCCCAGGTCAAAGTCTCCGTGTTCCCTGTTTCGAATATCAAGTGACTATCTGTGCTCCAAAAACATGTGTGAAATGTAAATCTGCATACGTAAATGTTGTTTCTCTCTGTCTGGTGTACCAAAAGCTGTCATTTGTGTTCTACGGGGATATATTTGTAGAAGTTCTCCTCCGTTTCATATCTTTCCTGTTGCTCATGCTTCTTTTGCTTGTATCGCTGTTGTATCTTTACTGTTTCTCTTGCATTGCTGTCCTCTCACTGTTTCTTTTGCTTCGATTGGGAGAACTTCTTGTCCTTGATATTTTTTGGTCGTTACGTCGCCATATCCGAGTCTGTGTCTTCTCGTAAGAGTTGGCTCCCTATGAACTCGGCTCGGCATTGTTGCTTTGGTCTGCTCCCACGTGGTTGCCGTGGGTGGCGCCTGGCCACATGGGAATCGAACCCGGTATGTTCAGGACATGGCTGGTGTGTCTTGGTGAGATGCGATTGGGGTCCATGGCCGGGATGATGCAGCTTTCTGTATAAGTCGACGGAACGGGCGAGTTTTGCTATCACCATACTCCATCTCAAGGGTACGGAGACCACAGCTCACTCGACCAGATTACGTATCAATCTCTAGAGCTTGAGTAGTGTGATCATCATGACCACAAAATCTCTTTTCAACCATTCTGTGGTCTTTGGCCAAATGCGCGCATGGTGTTGGTAATCATGTGCTGAATATCCTCCATGCCAGACGTCTCTAACGAGTGCATGAGCTCGGTTTGTTGGGCATGGTCCAAGCCAGCTCCAAATTGTGACATGTCTTGTCCCCAGAAGCCAGGGTTAGCCATCATATTCTCTGCCGTCTGTTGAGCCGCACCTCCCGAGCCATAAAGTGGTGAAGAAGCTGGGTAAGAAGTTGGCGGTGCCAGGCCGCTACCAGCAGGAGATGGGCCATATGGACTATAGGAATCGGAGCCTCCTCTCTGGGCTGGAGGTGGGTATTGACTGTCCCAGTGGGACTGTTGCGGCAGTTCTGGGAAGTTGGCGGGGAGACGTTGGAAGTATGATGATGAGTTGTTAGCTTGTGCCGTTTGATACGCGCTGGGGGAGATCTCTGGGCCATTGATTCGGGGAATGGACTGTGGTCCTTGAGCATTCTGATAAACAGGAGGCGTCACAACAGGATGGTCGGAGGTTTGGTACGGCATTGGCGGAGGATGTTCGACACTCGTGCTTTGGAATGTGCCAAATGAGGGGATCCTCTCTGGAGGAGTGGCGATGGAAACAGTGGAGATGGTTCCCGGGCTTGCACCTCGCGAATGACTCATGTTTGGCGAGTATGAGTTTCCAGCAGGAGAAGCACTGTCAGAAGGAGTCGCTTCCTGTAGAGGAATGTCTCCGTCTTTGTCATAGGCCTTCAAGATGGCCGAGATAAGATCATGATAAAGCTCAATGGCTGACAAGACGCCTGGCCAACGCTCTGAGCCAAGCCTGATAGCTTCCATTGCAGTCTGGAGATGTTTCTGGACATCTTGTCTGGGATTTTGCTTGCGCACCTCAGCGAATGACAGCGACCACAACAGAGCGTTGATGGCCATGAAGATTGCTTGTGTAAAGATCCATGTCAGATCAACGTTGCCCATAGTTATCTGCTCTCGCTGAAGGTAGATGTTGTAGCGGCAGGCTTCGAAGACCTTCAAGGCAGCCGAGACGGATGGTTTGGGTACTTGCGGTGAGGGCCTGTATAGGAAAACAACCATGGTGTTGTATCTGCCAACAAACCAAACTTTGTTGAGACCACTGCCCTCGTCCTTGGTCGGACTGGCATCCCTCCAGGATTCGAGTTTTGCATTCATCTGCAAGAACCAAATGTCCTTGTCGTCTTTTGGAGTAGCTCTCTTCTTCTGATACAGCTTTCTTCGGATCTCAAGTTGTAACATACGCATCTTGAAGAAATGGATGGCGATCCACTTTTTGAGATTTGGCCTAGGGGCGCCTGGAAGAATGCCTTCAGGAGTGATGTATTCGTCGCTGACAGCCTCAAAGAATTCGACATCAATATGGTCTTGATGCGTAGCGAGTATGGATGGGCGGCCGAGAGCATGTGACAGACCAAGTTCCATGACAAAGGTGCACCAGAAAAGGCGGCGACGCATGTCAACCTCGAGACAGTCGGCGGTGCCGCCAGATGCGGTGCGAGTGATGGTACGCTCTTCGTTGATACCCAGGGATTGAGCGAGGCGGACGGCAAGACCCATGACATAGTAGATGGCAGTGCGAGTAGGGGTAAGCAACGAGTACTCGGCAATCAAGGCGAAAGCTTGTAGGGTTCTCAGGTTCATGGGTCGAATGACGGGGGTAAGGTATTGGAGGGCGGCCAGGTAGTAGCTGTCGGCGAGACCGGCGTACTGAGTATCCATCTTTTGCAGGCTGATGGCAATGACCATGCGGACAATGTAGTTCTGATAGGGGTCCGGGCTGCCATTGTAGACGACGTCGACGTCTTTGGCGAACGACGGCTCGTGGAGGGCGGGATACATGGGCTGGACCTTGAGGTTGTACAGCTGGATCAGGAGGTCGGTCAGGCCGCGGTTGGGCAGGTCTTCGGCGGCGACATCACTGGTCAGGGGGTAGATCTTGGAGGTGGGCTTGGTGGCCTCCTCGGCGTAGAGGGCCTTGACCTGGCGGGCCTTGGTCTCGTTGACAATCTCCTTGATGGACTTGGAGTCGGTAAAGTGTTTGGCCAGCTGCATGACCAGGCGCGTGATCTGGGTGCCGCTCGAGGGCCCCAGGAACTTGGTCTCGTCGTGCTCTTGCAGCTTGACGCCGGCGCCGCTGCGCACCATGACCTCGGGGTCGTCGTGACCCTCGTCGTTGTCGGCCTTCTCCAGCTCCAGTTCGAGTTGGCGCACGCGCTGCTGCAGGTAGATGACATAGTCGCGGTTGACGTTCTTGCCCTTGGCCGGGTCCCAGTACTCGCAGACCGAGTTTGTTCGCTCGCAGGGTCCGCAGCGCGGCAGGCCAGGGTCGCATCGTGTCTTGCGCTGCGCTCTCTTAGTCTACTCGTAAGTCACTCGTAGCAAAGGACCCCGTACCTGTCTGCACCGTGAGCATGCCGTCAGCGTGTGAGCCACTCGCGACGAGCCATCGTCGGCCGCTGCGGCTCCGGCATGCGTGCGGGCGCTGCCTTTGGCTTTGCCCTTGGCTGGCCCTGCTGCTGGGGCTTGCATCCTAAGACAGGAGGCAGCCTGTACAAGTCCGAAGAGGCGATGAGGCTTTCTCTCACGGCGTGGTTATCAGATCGCGACGTGCGCCTCATGCCGCACTTCGCAGCCGCCCGTCTGTACCTTGCTGCCCTTGTCTCACAGGGCAGATTCGCTTTGTCCAACACCAGAGGCTCCACTTCTCAGCTGTTGCGGGAGGCGCTATCGACCGTCCAAGTATCAGGGTCCCGTTGTGCACACTGGGGCTTCGTCGCTCTTATGGGAACCTCTGGGAACAGCTTTGTTCTATAAAAGCATGCGCGGTGCTGCTCTGTCAGGATCCTCGACACGGTTGCGGTCTCAAGACCAGCAGGCTTCGAATACGCGAGCAGAAACATGCAGCAATTGCAAATCCAGCAGTGTCGCTTGGAAAAGCCGTTGCAATCTTCCGGCAAGCTGTGTAAGATCCGACCGGTCTAACCAGAAACACCCAAGTCGCGCTCTGTTTGTCTCGTCTCTGCCATCTGATTTGTTGCCGACAGAAAAGAGGAAAACAAGCAGCGACGAAAGCGCAAACTCTGGCACAGCAGTTCCTCGGTTGTCTCGCGATGCAGCACAAGAGGGGGCCTGGAGCTTGAAGAGCCGCACCCTGTCAAATCCACTAAGACCGCCCTTCTTTTCCTGGTCACTCACCATCAACGTCCTTGGCCTCAGCCCTGACAGCTGCTTTTGACACTGTCTGCCGCATCGGGCTCAAGTACTCCTACTCTTTTTCGTCCGTAAGCCCTTTCTTACCTGCATCGTCCTGCCCCACGGACTCTGTTCCGTTCGCTCCAGCTCGCCGCTGAATCTCGTCCTCACTGACCATGCGCAGAAGCCATTCAAGCCACAATTTTATAGATCTCGATCCCTATGGTTCTCGAGACTCCCTTACTCAGGGTCAGTCGTCCCGTCGCTGCCTGTTCGCGATGCAGGTCTGCAAAGATCAAATGCGACGGCAAACTTCNNCCGTGAGCTTGCCTTGACTTCCTCTGCTTTGCGTCTTGCTGATCGACTCAGGCCTGCACCGCATGCGAGAGGTCAGGGAAACAAGTCGAGTGCTCAAGTACCAGTGACCAGTTTGCTAGAGGTAAAGAGCGAAGCTATGTCGCTACCTTGGAAACAAGGATAGAAAAGCTCGAACGCAGATTACAAGAGTCTCAGCACAGGAAAGCTTCTGTTGTGGCTGCTCACGCCTATGATGGTGCTGTCCAAAGACATGTCCCTTCCGAAGGAGTCAACAGAACTTCAAAAAGGCTCGAGGCTCAAGAAATCGATGATCTCGTGTCCGATTTTGGTTACCTGTCAGTACAACTGCCTCTTTGAAAGCCCTGTTCCATGCTGACTAGTCATTGCAGAACTGTAAACGCAACAGCACGGGATTTCTACGGCTTCACATCAAACATGTCCTATGCTCGCATGGTGCTCTCTGCGTGTACCAAAGACTCCCTTCCTCCAGGCTTTGTGACTCCACTGCCGCCCCGAAATGAGGCTATGATCACCATCAGGCACTATTTTGAGAACTTCTTTGTCATGTATCCTTTCTTCGAAGAATCGAGTTTCTATGCATCCATTGATGCTGTATATAGCTCGGAGAGCTCTAGAAACTCGACAGCGTCGCCCTTCGACCACTTTTCCGTCAGATTGGTACTCGCAATCGCACACTCTGGACGAATGGAGCAACGAGGTGACGGCAATTATATGGCTGCTATCGGACATGTCTCTGCTGCCTTGGTTCATGCCGAACACGTCCTTCGTCCTGGATCAATCGCAAGCGTTCAGGCAATGCTACTGCTACACGAGTATTCTATGATCGATCCTCATCATTTCGACAGTTGGGGTCTGATAGGCGCAGCTTCGCGCGCCATGGTTGATTTGGGACTCCATCAAGATCCTCCGCGGAGTACTGCTATCTCTAGAGCGAAGCTAGAGCTGCGAAGACGGGTGTTCTGGTGTGTCTACGGGTTCGACCGGTCAACGAGTCTGATTCAATCACGAGCCTTTTCGTTCTCGGACGACTCTGCCAACGTTGCTTTGCCCTTCTCTACAGCACAAACATTGGTTCCACCGGATGCCAAAGACGACTCGAATCACATTCTGTTCAAAAGCTTCGGTTCAGCAATCGACCTTTTTAATTTAAGACGGATACAATCAGATTGGTACACCGAGCTGTTTCAGTCAGGGCGGATACCTTTGTCAGACCCATATCCAATAATCTGGCGTTCTTGCGAAGCGATGAAGAACTGGTTTGCTGGCCTGTCCCCGAGCATGACTCCACAAGTTCGCACCTTCTTTGAGCTCAATATGCTCTACTCATATATCTACATTCTCGCTGCATCGCCACGGATGCCTTTTGTTGCACCCTTTGCGCAAAGCCTCATTTTCGAATATTGCATTCAATACGCCGAGAAGATGACATCTCATGCGAATGAGCGTGTCAAGACAGCTCCTCTGAGTTTCTATGATGCGATGCGGGTGTACATGACCGGCCGTCAATTCATCGAGGTGTTGCAAGGCAACGAGGACCGGCTATTATCAGGCATCATTCCCGATCCACCACTTGTCCCCGTCGATTCAGCGCCACCACCCCCAGCACCTCACACGCCCAGGGATTTTCAGAAGAACCTCATGCGGAGCATTGACTGCATAAAGCGTTTGACGGACTGTCTTGGTCTATTTGGGCTGCGATGGGGATACATGAGTTGGCGCGATCGCTTTCAACGTGACTCCGAAAGTCTTCTATCCTCTCTGAACCAGCGTGTGTGGAAAAGGCAAGACTCGACTAACGGTCCTGCTCGGCCTGTCTGGAACTTCACTGACTCTGCTGGACCTCTTCCGGAGACGATTATTCCTCCTCCTGGTCCGCATCAACATCTCCAACCACTCATCACCCCAACCTACCCTCCAGAGTTCCAGCAAAGTACCGAGTTCTATCAATCGCATTACAACAGTGTTGCTCCTCAAACAGGACAACACTATCCAGCATGGCATGGGCATGATTCGCTGGGCCCGGTCAGCGACCAGCAGGAGCAGCTTAGCATATCGCACACACGTACTTATTGAAAAGCACGTGGGAGACAACGGGCCACTACAAGCATCAAGACAGTTATCACTGCCACGTGCGCTGCCAAACATCGCAGATACCATGAACCACACGTTGCAGGCTCTGACATATGCGGAGGTCAGAGCACCTCTCATGGACGAAGTGGGTTCTGAAACCCATCTCGAGGCTGAGCTCGTGTTAAGACAGGGGTCATTTAATAGAGTGACTCCAAGATGTCTGATAAATAGGCACAATGCTATGATTGGCAGACAGCGAAGAGCTCGAGAGGGGATCTGGAAACTCTTGGAAGACCGAACCACTGTTTGCGTTAGCGACAACTTTTACGACTGCGGCCTGCACCACCTACCTCATAATTGTGACTCCAATTCATTCTAAGCGAGAGATCTTCCTGAAGCCAACGAACCCAGCGTTATTGAAGGCAAAAAGGTGCGACGGTGACACTGTGGTAGAGTCCGTCTATGCACAATGGCATCAACGTGGTGATCAGTGACTGCATACGCTCTCAAGAACCGGCTTTCTGAGGTGGGCTTGCCCGAGCGAGCCGCTGCGAGTTCTCTTTCAGGGCTTTATCAGGATGATCACCGTGACGCTTTGAAGTGGCTGTGCTTTAGCGCCACATCTACCCCTCTCCTGTGGCTAGGATTGAGGCATGATATGGCGGAGGCACAGGGTTGCTGTACACGCCTATTGGATCGTCGCTCACAAGATGGCCTGGCCTTGCCGGTGCACAAAGTACCCTGCAGGCCGTCCGTCTACGGAGTAATTGACGCGCTGAGCTGTAGGTTCGAACCATGTGGAAGTACGCTGGAAGACCTCAATGGCTTTCCTCGGGTTCTTGCTTTTGACAATTCATCATTTATCACAACTATTCTTTCTCTCTTCTCGATCTGCCTTCTCTTCTTCTGCGATACCAACGATATATCACCCTCAGCCATACAGAGCACCATCATCCAGACATATCAACCATTAACTCTCCCTACTTATAACTTTCTCTCTCTGCGTTTTGTCTGAAATGAGGCTCAAGACCAACTTAGCTGTTACCCTCTTAGTGGGATTGGCAGCCGCCGATGACCAGCCAGCGGGTCTTCTCAATGCTCTCGAAAGTGTGGTTACAGCAGAAACAAGCCAAGTTCAAGGCGGGATCCAGTCACTTCTCTCACAAGCCAATTCCTTAATCAAAAGCCAATACCCCTCGACCACCATCACCGATTTGGCCTCTCTGACATGGCCGACGACGGTGGTCATCGGGTCCAAAACCTACACCATACCATCGACGGAGTCAATCGAAACCTCGATCTCGACCTCGACCTCGGCTTCGCCAAGCTCTTCCTCAGCCATTGCGTCTACGACTGAAAATGCGAGACCAATCCTGACGTCCACAGCATCAAGCACACTCACCAGCGCAACTCCCACATCGTCTAGTCAATCCTCACAGACGCGTGATCCATGGGATAAACGATTGGGAATCGTTCTTGGTGTGGTCTTGGGATCAGTTGCCGTTGCTATTGGTGCATTCCTCATCTGGTTCTTGCATCGCCGTCGCAAGAACACAGGAAGCTTCTTCAAGCAGAGACCATCAAATCCTTCAGACGACGAAGTCTTCTCCTGGCGCAATGACACAGAAGCCGAGAAGTACGGCAACTCAGGTGCACCACCATTACTTCAACCTCCAATGGTTGCTCGTGGTGACTACGCTACCAGAAGCTGGACGAACGACGACGATGACATGTATCCCGGCTATGGCTACAGGCCTGATCAGCACAACGGACCTGCCGAGCTATCAGCTGAGCGATCTGATCGTGGTTCCATCCGAGAGACAGCGTCCCTAGATAGATACGCTGGGGAAAGGGAGGACCGACCACCTACCCCCTTCTCGCCAGAATCATTTTCCGCAATGGCCGCCAGTCCTGTCAGCCCTATCGAGCAAGAGCCTCAACGACGTCGCAGTATTGGCTTTTGGCCCCCTCGAGGCAGCTCAGAAGGATACCGCAACCTTGACTCGCCTCATGTCGGTCATCAGTCATCACTCGCGGCTCTGGCAGGCTCAATAGCCCAAGACTACCCCCATCCTTACTACCAAAATCCGTTTGCGAGCAGCGAAGATTACGATGAGGATGAATACAATGGCCCTTATCCAGACCACCAAAGGCATCTGAGTCCAACGCCTGATATCCCCTCACGTAGTCCTAGACGTCAAAGCTCGCCGATGGTATTCTATCCGAGCTCGGACGAACTGGGCAAGTTCAACTTTGGTATAGAGNGGGGTAGAGAGCGAAAGCCAAGTGAGCTCGGAGCATGAACGAGGTTGACATGGTGGTAGTATCTTGGAGTTAGCATCTGGCGTTGCGAGTTTATTTTGAATACCCATACAGCACACCAAATCTATTCTTTTCTTCCTAGACGCGTGCTGGTTCTTCTTGACCAATTGTTCCCATGTGGTAGAGTTTGTCACGCGTAGGTGTAGAGATATGCAATCATCTCGAGGAGCAGACCGCTGTCATTGAGAAGCTTCAAATCATGGGCGCTCAATAGACACTTCTGTTGTTGTGCATCGCTCTGCTTCACGGTGAGAGTAGGGCTGGAAGTGACATGTCGAATTTGCAGCCAGCTGAAAGTGTCTAGAATGGCTTAAGGTTTCGCGTCTCTTGCGAGGGGGCTCATAGCAACGGGCTGGGGCTCAATCGAAAGCAGCACGATGTAATGAACAGATAGACGGTGTCTAACGGGAATTTGAAAGGGATGTTACAGTCTGGAACAGAAACCAAGACAGTAGATATGCCGAAGGATTGATATAGGTGTTTCTTTGTTCGTCGAGTGGGGTGAATGTGGGAGGCACGTCATTTGATGGCGGAAGGCGGCGTTCTCGACAAGCCCTTCACGCGGAAGCGACGTTCGACTGGCCTGTCCCCCTTCTCCTCTACCACCACAAACCTCTTGCAATTCTTCTTGTTGCTCTTCAGACGCGTCAAGACACGAACATCTGAAGCTCACGAAACGCGGTATTGCTCTTTTACGGTCGCCTATTGTTTAAGGACCACGTAACTGCTGTCTTCTGCCGGCCCCGCTTACAGAACCTACTCCACACACACGCACACTCGCACTCAGCTGCTCATCCAAGCCATCCTCGGACTCACAGCACCCTTTGCTCCAGCACCGCCAACCTCTCTTAACCGCCCAACCTCGACCTCCGCGATCCATCATGGGTCAAACCCTTTCCGAGCCCGTTGTCGAAAAGGTACGTGCCGCCCGCTCGTCACAAGACCTCCTGCCTTCTCTCGCCTGCCTGCAAAATCACTCATCCACAGCCTCTCTACCGCCGCTCTGCGCTTGCCTGTCTTGACTGCTAACATACTGTGTCACTTGCAGCATTCGGGCAGCGGACAAGATGATCGCATCTTCTACGGAATCTCATGCATGCAGGGATGGCGCATCAGCATGGAGGATGCCCATGCGACTATCCTCGACCTGCAACCCCTCGAAGGCGAAGACTTGAAGCCTGCCGCATCTGATGTGCGCATCAGCTTTTTCGGTGTCTATGACGGTCACGGTGGAGACAAGGTCGCCCTCTACACTGGCGAAAATCTGCACAAGATCATCGCAAAGCAGGAGGCCTTCAAGAACAAGGACTTCGAACAAGCCCTCAAGGACGGTTTCCTCGCCATTGACAGAGCCATCCTCAGCGGTTCGTCAGCCTGCGCGCAAGCGCTTGCCAGCCCGTCCAACTGCTGACTGTGCTATANNGACCCAAGATATGAGGAGGAAGTCTCTGGATGTACCGCCACCGTTGGCATTGTAACTCACGACAAAATCTACGTCGTACGTTGCCATGTCTTGTCGTTTGGAAAGTGCTTTGCTAACCGGCTAGNNGGTAACGCTGGTGATTCGAGAACTGTTCTCGGTGTCAAGGGCAGAGCGAAGCCTCTCTCCTTCGACCACAAGCCCCAGAACGAGGGTGCGTCGTGACTTCTTGGCCTTGTACCTCCAACCGTGCTAATTGTGAGTANNGGTGAGAAGGCAAGAATCTGCGCCGCTGGTGGCTTCGTCGACTTCGGTCGTGTCAATGGCAACCTCGCCCTTTCCCGTGCCATCGGTGACTTCGAGTTCAAGAAGAGCGCCGACCTGCCTCCTGAGCAGCAAATCGTCACTGCCTACCCCGACGTGACCGTTCACGACCTCTGCGACGACGACGAGTTTGTCGTGCTTGCATGTGACGGTAAGTAATCGACGCAAGGCACTCCGAGGCACACCGTTTCTGACTAGCATTCTACAGGTATCTGGGACTGCCAGTCTTCGCAAGCCGTTATCGAATTCGTCCGCCGTGGAATTGCAGCAAAGCAGGAGCTGTCTGCCATCTGTGAAAACATGATGGACAACTGCCTGGCCTCGAACAGCGAGACGGGTGGTGTTGGCTGCGACAACATGACTATTTCGGTTGTTGCTCTGCTTAACGGCAAGACCAAGGAAGAGTGGTACCAAATGATTGCGGACAGAGTCGCAAACGGTGACGGACCCTGCGCACCCCCAGAGTACGGTCAGTCGTAACACCTTTTCCCCCTGCAGCCCTTGCCCATTTATAGCATACTCTTGCGCCCTTCTGTTTCCCAAGTTTCCTTGTTTATTAGCGCTATATGCCTGCGGATACCCATCTCAAAAGGGAGCTTGACAACTCTTGTCTGCGTACCATGCACATCTATCAATGCAGCCTCTCCGGTGACGAGCCCTTCTCTAATACGAATTGCCATGTACANNGCCGAGTTCAAGGGACCTGGTGTGCACCACCGCTTTGACAACGACAGCCCGGACGAGTACGACATGGATATGGAGCAACGTTCGCGCATGCTTAGTGGGCACCCCGGTCGCGTCATTCTGCTTGGTGATGGCACAGAAATCATGACGGATTCTGGAGAGAACGACACGGATATGTTTGACCAGAGTGACGACGAGGAGAAAGACCTCGCCAGCCAGGTCAGCAAGGGACAAGAGGATGGCAAGAACGGATCGCAAGAACAGGGCAAGCAGGGCACCGGTGAGACGTCAACACCCGCAGAGCCCAAGATGGGCGGTGTTCAAGACTCGGCATGAAAACTGGATAAGAACAACAGATGATTCAGGACATGGATATGACGATACAAGCTTTTTTCCCTTCCAGATCCAAGCCTCAGGGGATAGTTCAGACATTGAATGCACAAAGAGGCGGACGTAGAGCGACTGGACGGAGTATTTCGATAATGCAAGAGCCAATCAAAAGTCTTAATGTCTGCTGGATGAGGCGCAATAGGAGGCTTGGGTACAGCGTGCTTCCCGATGTAACTTCCCCTTCTCCCACAAAAGCGTAGAGCGAAGTGTATACTATAAAAGGCACAATTGTTTTCCGAAGCAGAGGAGTAGCCAAGGAGAGCCACTGAGATGTTGGCTCTCAGTGGATCCTGCCCTGTTTCTTGGTCATACTGTGCATTTCTATAGCTACACACGTTTGTACTTTAGCACATGGGGAGGCTGAACCTGTAATTTCGCAAACGTCTCAGCGTCACTTCTTGTTCCTCCCCATGTGCTAAAGTCGGTGACTGCACCCTTCTCCCACAAGAGTGTCGAGCGAAGCGTATGCTATAGAAAGACACAATTGTTTTTCAAAGCAGAGAGGGCGCCAAAGAGAGCCGCGAAGATGCTGCTTCTCAGTGAATACTGTCCTGTTTCTTGATAGCACTGTGCATTTCTATAGCTACATCACATTAGCCTACTCCGGCGAGGCTGGAATCTTGCTCGAGCAGTGAGATGAGTGAGATGACGGCAAGCCTCAGATGGTCCGTGCGTTGGTTGACGCACGGATGTCGGTCGGTTACGGGATTGTGGAGTTGGTCGTCACTTACCTCGAGCTGTTCACCCTGTCGCTGTTTCCTTTGCGCGCTCCTTGTCGATCCCCACCGACAAGTCAAGTAGTTGTCACCCCATCCCTACAACACAATGGCACCTAAACGCAAGCGGGCTGGCACCGCAGGCTCCAATGCCGCCGAGGTAAACAACGATCTTACTAAGGACGCGTCCGGAGAGGACACCACTCAACAAACACCCCAGAACCTCAAGACGTCCAGATCGCAAGAGAACAACAACCAAGATCTGCCTAACAAGCGATCTCGCTCAGAAAACAACACCCAGGATGATGATGAAGAGGAAGAGCAGGACCTTGGTGTCAACGGTGAAGCTGGCACCATGAAGATGGAGGCTCCTCCCAAGGCTGGCTTGGTTGATCCTGTTGGCTACAAGACCAACCCTCCTCCTGAAGGCCGCCCTGTGCGCATCTATGCTGATGGTGTCTTTGACTTGTTCCACATGGNNGGTATGCAGCTTGCCCTTGTATCTCTCCGAAACAGCCCATTAACAGCTCCTAGACACATGCGCCAGCTCCAACAAGCCAAAACCGCCTTCCCCAACGTACATCTTCTCGTCGGTGTCACCGGCGACAAAGAGACCCACCGCCGCAAGGGTCTCACGGTGCTGAGCGGAAAGGAACGCGCCGAGACAGTGAGACACTGCAAATGGGTGGACGAAGTCATAGAAGACTGTCCCTGGATTGTCGATGTCGAGTTCCTCGAGAAGCATGAGATCGACTATGTCGCTCACGACGACATTCCCTACGGCGCCGACGAGGGCGATGATATCTACAAGCCAGTCAAGGAAAAGGGCATGTTCCTGGTTACTCAGCGCACCGAGGGTGTCAGCACCACTGGAATCATTACAAAGTAAGGATAAGCCCCAACACACGTTTAAGGCGCTGACTGACCTTTTGTGCAGGNNATTGTTAGAGACTACGAACAATACATCGCCCGTCAGCTCAAACGTGGCACCACTCGCCAAGAGCTCAACATTTCGTGGCTCAAGAAGAACGAGCTCGATATCAAGCGCCACGTCGCCGAGTTGCGCGACTCGATCCGCACAAACTGGACCGCAACTGGTCAAGAGCTCGGCAAGGACCTTAGACAATTCTGGCAGCCCAGCAGACCCAACAGCCCCGCCCGTGGCCTCTCGACTCCTGATCGCCTTGGTTATAACTTGCGCCAGGGCGCTTCGAGAGGTAGCAACAGCGATTTTGCTGCCGGCTACACTATGGGTCTTCTCGGCAGCGTTCGCAGCTGGATGCAACGCAACCGCAGAACACTTAGCGACGGCAGACCCGATAGCCCTGATAGCGGCGAGGACAGCTCTGACTTGCTAAGAAGCCCTGCCGAGCCGGCTAGAGGCCGCCCAGGCCATGTTCAAGACGAGGTGGACGCCCAGGTTACCCACGAAATGAACTAGGCAGTCTTGTACGTACGACTATTTCCTGCTAGAGGCAGCCTCTCTCACGACCGACTTTAAAGAGATTCCCCTTGTATAACAGCACACTCAAAATCCTATTTCCTGATTCTTCATTGTTTTTCTCATGCTTGCACGTGAAAACCACCATCTCCACACTGACATTTAGTGTTATGATATGCTACAACAATGCACAATCCTTTTCTGGACAGAGATTCCACCATGGAGATGCCCGAACAAGACCTTCTCTCCATGGACATCGCTCTGGTTTGAAAAATACTGTGCATTTTTATAGCGTATGATAATACAGTGAGGTAGTGTGGGAGAGGTGTCGATCGCGAGGTTGTGGCTGTCTTTCTCACATGGGGAGGAAGAATGCTGGAGCCACTTTCGCCTCGCCTGCTCCTGAAGCAAGTCCGATGTGTTCGCTGGCGCATGTGCTTGGTCATGATGGCTCTAAGTCAAGTTTTGGGGGTTTTTATCACTGCGCTGTTGATTCCGCGCTGTGCAGACTCTGACGGGTGTTGTACTATGTTTGGGTCGAGTTGAACAAGGACCGGCCAACACCCAGCAGTAAGACCACATTCGCAGCTCACGCACATCAAGACTCACGTTCACAGATCATTCACGTTTTCGACAACCGCGACTAACTGCCTCAGGCAACAGATCAGGCATCAGCTGAGCACGCCTTCCCNNTCAACAATCTCTTCCACTCACACGGAAGCCAGCTATCCGATGACTGACAGCAACGAGCTGTGCGCCTGTGGCGACCAGGAGATGGCCGAGCAGCAGGAAGTTGGCGACTACAAACAGCAAGGCATGTCACAGGAAGAGCAAGAGGCCCATGACCTCGAAACCAAGGTATATTGCATCACCAGCTGGAAACAAGTCTGCCACACCGGAGATGTAGCAAAAGTACGCCGCAACCGAGCAGGCAAGCAGCAGCAACAGAAGAAAGAAAAGAACAACGCGGCCTACAATCGCGACAAGGAGCGCCTTCTCCAGCAGAAGAGCTTCGAGCTCAATGACCTGTATAGGCGCGTCAGCAAGATCAAGGAAGAATTCGCGCACGAGATACAGCGTGTCACGCGAAAGAAAAGACCAGNNGAGCTAGGGAGGAAGAATCTCGAGCTCCAGAGACAGTACATGAAAGTTTCTGAGCTGAACACGGCTCAAAAGCAATTGAAGCGGGAGCATCAAGCTGAGCTGGAAAGCCGTGACCAGATGCAGGCGACTCTGCTGAGAGACCTTCACGAATTGTGTCAAGTCAACGAGGAAGAGATTGAGGTGTTAAGAAGAACCATCGATCGTCAGGGTAAGTGACTCCATAAACTCCTTCGGTCGTGCCTTCCTTGATTTCTAACCTTGCTCCCAGCACTCGCACCCACTTACTCGAGCATGGACTCTCGCATCAACGCTCCCAAGATTACAGACGGCGGTCCCGCAGACCCTCAAACCATCATCTCCTCCGCCATCACATCCCTCCGCAAAGCAATCGCCGAACCCGAACCTGCTCGCCACGCTGACCCCCTAGTCCACATCGCCGACACATTACGCGCCTCTCTCCTTACCATCAAGCGCAGCCACTCCACCAACCTCTGGCCACGCTCAACCACCGCCTTGGCTCTACACGCCATACACGAATGTGTCGACCGCGTCACCATATACCTCTCCCTCCACCCCGAGCTCTACGCCCACTTACCACTCCCCTCAGGCTTCCTTTCTCGTCTGCCCGAATTCGGCAAAAGGNCACATACATCTCTACGCCGCGCGTTTACTGCTGCAGATACATTGGCTTTGGGGTTGTGTTCGTTGCACTTTGCTTCTGGTGGCCGCAGAGCACAACTTATTGCTGCTCCTACTGCTTTTGTGCCTTCGCTTACTGCGATTTTGGATTCCAATGACGATTTCTTGGACTTGCAGTTTTGGAAGAAGAGGTTTGAGGTTACGAGGGCAGAGGCTCAGGAGTGGAGACAAGAGGTGGGTGTGGTGATGTTTTATCATACCATCGGTTGGTTGGAGCAGGAGATTATGGCGTCGATGTGATTGTTTAGTTGGTCTTCCCGTGCTGTAAGGGCGACTTCGACAGGTTTTTGGATGTTGTTACGGCGTGAGTTCAGGGCCATGAGCGCTGAGGGATTTCGTCTGTACCTACCTTTCTTGCTCTTGATGGCTCTCAACGACGACACCATGCTTTTCAGAGGTATTTTGTTTCTCTCTGGGCGTTTGGAGTTCGGGTTGTTCGGCAGAGTTGGTGGTCGCAAGAAGTCAATCTGCCTTTTCTTTTCAATGCATACTCGAATAGACTGGCTCACGAATGACCAGTATCCACCACTCTTGTGATTGGAGTCAGTTCTGGTTCTTGAGCTTTTATGCTTGTGGTTTAGGAGGATGTGACTACGCGAAAAGCTTCTTCGTGATCTGACTTTTGGTCTTTCGAGGTGCTTGTGGTTTATGGTTTGACACATCTGCATTCGATGTAACGTTAGTGATGATTGTGGTTCAAAGAGACACCTTGCACATCTCTAATGTTTTATACTCGTTGCTCAACTCTGTTTCTCAATGAGTTATCTCATTCCAGCTACGGTCGGTCGCTTGTTCTTCTAATGATGAACATGTTCAATGGTTGTCAGTGTCACCCTGCTCGAGAAAAGGGGCTGATCTTCTTGCGGTCGACAGCAATGTTTCTGCCGCTTGGCTAATGGACATGCACGTGTGAATCGTCAATCCAGAATCAAGAATCCTGTCCTTGTTATCATTCGTTGTATCGTTACACAGCTGAGCTATGTATAAAGATGTTTGCTGTCTCCGTGTGTGCTCTTGAGTGTTTCCTTGATCATATTTCCTTCTGGTGTCCGCTGCTCTTCCACCCTGACGATGCCGCCTTGTCTGCCATATGGGCTTGTCTCTGGTGCTTGGATGTTGTGTTTCTGGATCAATCCAGTGTGACAATATCCTTTTGTTTTTTCTTCTCCTTGTCTGCCACAGTAACCTCGGTAAAGTTGTCATCGTCATCGAGCTCAAGATAGACTGGGTCCGTGGATGTACGAGCTCTCTTGCAGGTGCGAGAGTTGCTGTCATCATCGTCTTGCTGTTCTCTCTTGATATCCTTCTTGATGGAGGCAGTCTCGGGAACCTTGGCCTACGATACCGTCAGCAAGGAAAATCATCAAGCAAGTAGATACATGATCATACTTTGTACCGACGAAGCAGTTCCAACAGTTCTTCGGGGCTTAGCTCTTCCTCAGGACGGTTCTCAAGAGGCACTGGTGATGGAGTCCTTGGGATAATCATGAGCTCCTTCAACGCGGTTTTGNNAGCAGTGAGTCAGCAGTAAGTCAAAGTACCGCATCGGAGGGCTTGAGACAAACCTTTCGATCTGCAATGGAACACAAAACTTGCTGCTGGATATCTGACACCAGGAACAGACATCGTGTTCCAGAAGTTGCCTCTGGGCTTCGACTCACGAACCATTGGATCCAAGCTGGAAATGGTCAGTATGGGTATCTCTATCATGGTTATCAGACGCACCTGTAANGAGTGTGTCATTACTTGGCCTTTGATGGCCTTCTCGGAGATGATGTTCTCACTGCTTCCTGGAGCAGGCTCACGGTAAGTCCTCTCGATAGGTGCAACTCTGTTATCGTGAGAAACCTTGACTTCGATTTTTCCTAGGTTCTTGACGCGCTCAAGATCTCCAGGTAGATCAAAGCCATGTTCAGTGACTGAGATTCTTAGATCTTGTTATGTTCCAGATGCGTTGATCAACTCACTAGTCTCGAGTGCACTGAATTTCAGTTTTCTGATGTACCCATCTTTCAATTGAATGCCGTCCACTATACGGATGTGATTCCCAGCTCTCACTTCATTGACGCCGACTAGAGGATAGTAGATGATTGTTCCGTCGACCAGAATGTTGAAGGCTAGGTAATCACCCTTGAGTCTGATGTCCCGGGTGGCTTTGATCTTGATTGCGAAGTTGGCGCCATCGACAGCCTCGACGTATCTGGTGACGGTGTCTGCTTCGTCGTCCATGTCCGAGTCCTGATATTCGCGCAGATCCTTGCCGTTCACAACGACAGTAATCTCAATGCCAGAAAGGCCGTTCAGAACAGCCATGGTGGTTTCTTCGTCGAGAAGAGATGTAGCGGTGTCTAGGTTAGAAGTGCGATGCGCAGACTCGAGACTGCATGAGGAGCAGATGCAAGTCGTTAAGTGAACGTGGGTCGTTGATGCGAGTGAAGTCCTCGATGGAGAGAAAGTGATGTGGAAGTAGGAGTGACGCGAAGAGAGGTCAGAAGAAGAGAGCCCTGGGGAGGCGCACTCGGGAGATGGTGAGCAGCTGCGTCAGAGATTAGCTCAGTGAGTGAAGTGAGTGCGGGAAGACTGCTTTCGAGGACTGGGTTGGAAGGAAGGAAGTTGCAATGCGTCCTTCACCTATATCGGATCTCGTTTTGCGTCACCTCTGTTCAAACCACTACACATGGGACAAGATCTTGAACTAGAAGTGGCAATATCAGGTGCACTGGCTGCCCAGAAACCTCAAGATAGACGCCACGCTCACTACTCTTTTGAACTCTTGTTAGATTTACGTGTAGGGTCAAATATGTGGAAAGCAATATTCATCATTATTCGTCGTAGCCATGTAGCTCTGTCATGTGGGTATAATAGCTGCTCCATCAGCTGGGTATAGTGCTGTAAAGATAATCGTGTCGAGGGACGAATGAATCTCAATCATCTGTTAGATCGATAGTCTCGATGCCTGTATGGGCATCTGCAGCGGTCTTAAGCTTTTTGGCAGGTGGGCGAGATGAGACTACAATCAGTTCATCATCACTCTCTTCATCTTCGATACGCTCTCTCTTGAGTTCTTTCTTGATCGTGATTTGCTCTTCTTGACGAGTCNNTATCGCGAGTTAGTATGGAATCATGTCTTTCTAGGATCGTGGATATACCTTTTGTCTGCACAAAAGCTCAAGAAGCTCCTCTCGGTCGAGGCTCTCTTCTGGGCGATCCTCGAGGGAAATGGGACTCGGGCTTCTTGAAATGAGACAGAGAGCTTGCAGGTCCNNCCTATTAAAGTAAGAATCGTCCTTGTGTATCTCCGAAATGAACTCACTGCGCGAGCGGTATCTGAAATTGAACACTGCGAAGGCCTTGCCCAGACGTCTGGTCTCAGCAGACACAACTTTTCCAAGTACCACTTCTTCTCCAAGCCTACATTCGTCAGTTTCATTGCAGATCGATCATGTACAAAACTGTTGACATACTTTACTNTGATTTGAGATGGCTTGACCTTTGAGATTCTTCTCATGGATCTCTTGCTGGCCCACCTTGATCTTTGGAGAGTCAAAGTTCGCGTGCTCTCTGTTCGACCAATTCGAATGAGAATAGTAGAGCTCGACAGTGATCGTGCCTAAGTTTTTGAGGTCGGGTCTTGGTTTGCTGCTGGGTCCGTCCTCTGCTATAGAAAGTGTCAACATCGATATAGATGAACATGAACTAAACGTACACGTCACGAGTTCATCGAATATGAAAGCTCGCTCTTTCCAGATTCCACCTTCTCTGTAGCGAGCTGCAGTGCACAGAGTGACAGCTTGGCGACCTAGAGGAAATTGATGCACTGTGCTGTCGGCCAGTTGACCATCAAGGTAATAGTCTGCCACGATGGAATTGCCGCGTTTGAGATGCCGAAACTCCATGCCGGTGAGATCAGTGCGTATGCCAAAGTGCGAGCCAGAGACACATTCGACATGTTTCGTGGTGTCTATGGAGGATAGCGAATCGTCATCGTCTTCATCGAGGTACTCAGGAAGTGGGCGTCCATCGACCACGATGTCCACAGCGACGTGTGGAACATCTGGGATGATGGCCATGATGCCAGTGGTGGGATGGAGTGCACAGCGACTCGCGGAAGAAAGTTCGATGGAAGATGGAGAACGAACGCTGGGGGTGACGCGCCGGAGTCACGAAAAAGGCGCCAAAAGCCGTGGTGAGTTTAATGAGGAAGTGACGAAGGGGGTGGGTCGACTGGGAACATCTACATCTCGAAGTTGCCCAGAGGCGTTAGACAAATGGAGACGCGAGACATTGGTTCGAATAGGCAACCATGAGACTTGATTGTGGTTGATGTGATTGTAATTTTTAGATGAGTTTTAGAACCATTTGTGTTATGCACAGTCCTCTTGAAAGTGTTGTATCTAAACCTTGCCTTGCCTTTCGCCGAAAACCACTTCGCAAATAAGAACGCCTCGCAATGCTATCATCATGGCTGCTAGTGACAAGTAAGGTATGGGGGAAATGCAGCTTAATGTGTGAGAAAACAAATGAAACGAGTGAAGAAGAGAAAACAAATGAAGGGCAGTTGCGTCCCACAGGGTATCTTGAAGCTCATTAAACCAGTCTCGCAGCCTTCTCACCAACGTCCGACGCCAACAGAGACATCAGGACCATAGGTACCGGACAGGATTTGCTGTCTGATGGCAGCACGCTCGTCAAAGTTGGAGGGGGTGGTGCTGCCAGCAGTGGGACCGGCCAGATAGGTGACGTTGGCACGCAGTTCGTTGACAGCGTCTTGCAGTCTACCGCCAGACTCTTCGTTGTGCTTGAGAAGCTTCTGGTCCCAACCAGCATATTGCAAGTGGAAACCACCGCCTCTCTTGGCACTTTCGCGAATGGCCAGAGCCCAGGCCTGAGCGAGTTCGTCGTATGCTTCGAATTTTGCATGATTGTGTTGAAAGGTGTCCCAAGTGGGGAGGCGATGGATGATCTGAGTAACGGCGTCGAGATACTGAAGCGAGAGTGTAGGCTGAGGTTCGTTCGGAGGAAGGAAGTGAGGAGTAAAGTCCTTGAGAGCTTCGATAAGCTGCAGCATGGGCTGGCGGACTCGGTTGTAGGTGTAGTCGGAGGAGGGGCGGTTGCCGAAGGGGAAAGACTCCTTGAAGGTAGTCTCGTATTTCTGTAGGACGGACAGAGTAGACTCGATACTGGGACGAGGAGCCTTGGTGACGACCTCGTGGGCAATTGCAGGGTTTTGGTCGCAGATGTTTTGTAGGAGGTTCCTCATTTCATCAGGGGAGAGTGTCTCGAGAAGACGAGGTAGGTCAAGCGGACGACCAGCGGCGAAGACGGTACGGCTTCTCTTGGTAGATCGTGATGAGGCGGGGAAGAGCTGGCGACCGGTGACTGCTGGCGATGCCGTGGGCGAGGCCGACATACGGTCGTCCTGGTCGTCTTCGCTGGCCTTGCGCTTCCGGCTGGACATTCTGTCGGTGCCGAAGCCCTCTGGTGGTGGTGTTAGTATGTTGTGAGANAGGCGGTATGACGCAGCAGGTCGGGGCGTACCTGAGCGCGAGGGAGATGGTCGGGGAGTTCCAAGGAGGTGAGGAGCGAACAGTGGGTTCGACGAGATGACGGAGTTCATGGCGTTTGTAGGAGATGGGTTGGTAGTTGGATGCTCACACAAATAGCGCACCACACAAATGCGTTAGATGTGTGAAAGCAAAGTCGGTCGTGGTGATGAAAGATTCTCGAATCGACTTCGACCACGAGCTCGGATCACGAAGCCCGACGACCAAGACTGATGGTCATGTGTCTCCCAGCGATCACCATTTTTACCGCACACTCGAGACATATGATGTCCAATGACATGTCATGCCTGTGACGGAGTCTTCATCATCATTTGGTCTACCTATTTACATGCTTGACCGTCCGTCAATCTCTGGTTGTAGGGCATACTCGCTGTAAGCCTTTTCATCTGCAATCATATGCCTCCGCTCGTTGAACCGACAACAACAACAAAAACGCCGCGCCGCCTGTGCTTTTATCGCCAATTCATGCCCAAAACGCCATAGAGAGAATAATATATATCCTTATGCAATCATGTCGCCATCTTACAAGTACAGCGACTGTGCCGCGACAATGTCACGTCTTACCTTTGTGAGCGCTGTCTCGAACTTCTGTTCAAGCTCCTCACTTCCCATAACCTTCGACGCTTGTGCCATCTGTCGCAGAAGCTCTTCAAGACGTCTGAAGAGACGGATCAAACTGCCTTCGTACACGTCGGTCATTTTGCTGTGAGACTGATTAGCATGTGTAGATAAATGTACTTTTTGGAAAAAAACTTACCAAATCTCGGCAAAGGTTGCACCATTGCACCACTTGTAGACAACCTCCATGAGCTGGTACTTGAATCCATCAACGTACTCGTCCTCATTGACGGCCAGCTTACTCTCCTGTGAAATCTTAGCCACGGTACGTGCCTGGGCCTGAATTTCACGGAAGGGTTTGGCGAGCTCCTCCTTTAAAGTCGGCGTCTCGTTGCTCTTCTCCTCGAAGATGAAACAACTGAGTGCAGCCGCACACTGTTCAGGGGTGAGCTCGTTGAAGAAGCGGTTGAAAAGCAACTCGCTGAGCACTAGTTCATCACCGGTGCTGATCTCACACGCGACACGAGCCTTGAGCTGTACCACATCTGCCTCGTTGATGAAGCCCAAACGGCGAAGAACTCTTCGTCTGTGCTTGAGCTCCTCCATTTGCAACACGGACATGGCATCGCTGATCTGCTTTCTGACCTCCTTAATCTTGTTGCCAAGTTGAACCTTGTGCTCGTACTGTGTATGGAGAGCTGCAAGTCTGGGAGAGTTGTGAAGGGGATTCGAGAGCAGTCTTGACTCGAGAATCTCGATTTTCNNTGTGTGTTTGTCAGTATCGTTAAGACAAAGCAGTTCTCCTGTTTGACTTACGCGAAGCAGCTTCTTGAAACCTTCATCAGTGATACCCATGTTCTCGACGGGATCGAGGATAGCAATACCGTCAGGGAACCTTCGCTTGACCTCTTCCAGGCCCTTGCGGACGTTGTTTCTCTGGTCGGGTGATCTCAGGTCTGTGGGCAAAAAGATTCTGAGATGGCCGATAGCGTCAACGGTAGAAAGTAAGACAGGTACGACTTCCATCTTGCCCTTCTCACCGGCTACTGGTGGTCGGACGCCAGGAGGAAGCTCTTCGTTGTTCTTGTTAGCAGGTACAGTAACATCGCTAGCAACCTGGAGCAGAACGTCCACGACATATGAGGTTGCGTTAGGAGGGTCCTGTACGGGCTGACCCTTGGGAGGACGGCACTTGGCAAAATTAACAACAGCACCCCAGCCAAAGTCATGATCGTTGTGCTTGATTCTGACCAGTCTGCCAGACTGCAGGAACTGAAGGCAGTGTTGAGGATGATTCACAACATCGCGCATATCCTTTGCATAGTTGTTAAGCTGTGTGCGCAGGTCGTAGTAGTCCTTGATAGTTGGCTCGTCTTCAATGGTCATGTGGTTTCTCTCCTGTTCCAGCTCGAGCAGCTGCTTCTCCAGTCCAGCGACACTGGCTGTGTTCTGGAATTGGTAGAAACATCTTTCGAGCATAAACTCGGGTGAGATACCCTCGACACGCATCAAGTTGAGAATCATGTTGTAACCCAGGTAGAAAGCCGAGTTGAGCTTGTCCTGCTCACCACGAACGACTTCTTTTGCAACTGCAGGTTCCATCTTCTCGTCAATCATCATGATAACGATACCACGTTCATCGAGACCTCTTCTTCCAGCACGTCCAGACATCTGGATGAACTCGGATGGCGTGACCCAGCGCTCGGCGACACCGTCGAACTTGCGTACACTTGTAAAGACAACAGTCTTGGCAGGCATGTTCAGACCAATGGAGAATGTCTCGGTAGCGAACAGAACCTTGATCAGACCTTCTTGGAAGAGAATCTCGATAGTCTCCTTCAGAATAGGGAGAAGACCAGAATGATGGATACCGATACCTCTGCGCAGAAGAGGCAACAAGTGCTGGATCTGGGGCAGCTCACGATCCTCGGGGCTGAGCATCTCAATAGCACTCTCGAAGACTTTCTTAACCATTGCCTTCTCGTTGTCGTCGTTGAAGGCCAGTTGACTCATTTGGAGGGCGTAGTTCTCGCAGTCGCGCTTGCTGAAACTGAAGACAATAACGGGGTTGTAGTTCTTCATCATGATCATCTTGACAATCTTGTAGATGTCTGAGGGACCTTCCTTCCTGCCGCCCTTGTTCACCTTCTTGTCCTTGCCCTTACCCCTGCGTTTTGCCATGGGATCGGAACCGTCGTCTCCAGCCTTGTCGGCAATGGTTGCCATGGCCTTCTGGAAGTTCTCCTCGCGGAAAGTGCCCTTCTCGTCAACAACAAGGTGAATACCCTCTGCACCAGCGGGGAAAAGGTAGTGTTGAAGAGGAGTAGGTCGGAAATCGGTGTAGACGACGTGACAGGGTTGGTTGTGAGTCTTGGTGATCCATTCGGCGAATTGCATCGAGTTGGGGATGGTAGCGGAAAGGAAGACGTAGTGGACCTTGTCTGGCAANAGGATGATGGTCTCCTCCCAGACGACACCACGAGATTTGTCGCGGAGGTAGTGGACCTCGTCGAAGATGACCCAGGCGACTTCTCGCATGATTTCTGAACCTCTGTACAGCATGGAGCGCAGAATCTCGGTGGTCATGACGAGACAAGTGGCTGTAGGGTTAATTGTGACATCTCCAGTCATGAGACCGACGTCGCCAAACTCGGCCTGAAACTCTCTGAATTTTTGGTTACTCAAGGCCTTGATGGGACTGGTGTAGATGACCCTTTGATTCTCGCGTAGACACTGAGCAACAGCATACTCGGCAACAACAGTCTTTCCGGCACTGGTGTGAGCTGAGACCAAAACACTCTCGTTTCTTTCAATACTGGCGATTGAGACCTGCTGGAAAGGGTCGAGGGTGAAGGGGTATGTTTTGGCGGGACCGTTCGGCGGAGGCTTGTGCTGCGAGATAGGGATGTAATCGTAGTCCGGAGGAAGGGCGACTTGATGGCGAACTTGATGCGAGAGGACAACGTTTGCCTCTTCTTTTGAGGCCTGGAGACCGGCGGCGGCAGCAACTTCTCTAGATTGTTCGGTTTCGAAGGAGTCGGTCACAACTGGGGCGGGCTCGTCGCGTTTTAGGCGTTTGGCGTCGGAGGCAGCGGCGGGGGTCTCGGGTTCGGCAGGCACTGGCACGCCTTGGTCTTCGTCGTTCGCGTTGGTGATGGGGGCAGCATTGTCCTGTACGGCGGCGGGTTCGGGAGTCTTGACATGGCCATTGGCAGAGCGCTTCTTGGTTGGCTTGTCCTTTGCGACATCTGTATTTTTGGTGGGTGGGGCGTCGTCGAAGACGTCGAACAAGTCGTCCATGATGGGCTCACGAACGAAGGCGACGGTAGCGATGGGTTGCTGTTGCGACTTGACTGAATGAAAAAAGTCGAGCTTTGGATTGCGATAGATGCGATATGGCGGCAAGAGCTGCACGCACCGTGATTGGCTGCATGACGCGCCTTCCGCACTTTCGCCGGGCATGAGCGTCGCTGTCGGGTGAGCAGCGACACAGTGAGCCATTGACCTCTCCAGCATCTCCACTCAACCACACACACCTTCACCGTACGTCCTATCGCTCAATCGCTTCAGTATCTCTCGATTGACAGGTGCCGTCCAGATGCTGTCCAGATCCGCCATGCGCATGCCCACTGTGGCCAACCAGATCGTCGCCCGTCGTGCCTTCTCCTCGACCCGCATGCAACTTGCCAGCCCTTACCACTACCCCGAGGGCCCTCGCAGCAACTTGCCCTTCAACCCCTTGACCAAGTTCTTCGCCGTCAGATTCTGGGGCTTCATGGGTGAGCTACTGCTCGTAGACACCAGAGCCTCACTCCCATGCTAACTTATGTTTCAGNCCGCTGGTTTCTTCCTTCCCTTCGGTGTCGCTGGTAAACCACTTGCCTCAGTACCCTCTCACATCGTCCGAATACTCACACTCCAACAGTCTGGCAGACCAAGAAGAACCAATAGACGTATCGTGGTGGATGGACTACATACAGTGGCCTGGCTCCAAAGCACCTCTCAAGACGCTGGCCCGTCCCATCAGATGTATATAATAGTGACTCTGAATCCCGAACACGTCTTTGACTTCGTTTTTGCATTCGAATACATCTTTTGTGCCTGTCCCTAATTGCTTGTTGTGACATGTGAGCTTGACCCTCCATCAGCTCTCGGCGAGAAAAGCCGCGCTAGCCCCGGCTCCCAGAATTTTTTTGAAGCTGCCGACCATCAATTGTTCAATCAATGCTTGTAACATAACACATCAAATCATGCGAAACCTAAGGAATTCGAGGCATACCCTCGTCGAGTTCCCCAACGACTCTCTGCCACCCACAGCTACTACTTGGGATCCTGCTACCGATGGCCTTATTGCCGCCTTTGGTCCTTCGTCTTCTAGCCCGGTCATCGAACTCAGACGCCTAGCCAAGGATTGTTATTCTGCTCATGATGCAAAACAAATTGCTTCATGGGATGCTCCCAGCCCTTTGCCAGATATTCCCGTGGACCAAATCCTGTCGTTACAGTACTTTGCCGACACTGCTACTATTTGCTTAATCTTGGCTGGTGGCGATATTGTCATTGTCAGAGAAGAGCCACTGCCTGGAGAGGATCTCATCGAGATTGTTGGATCGGTCGACGAAGGCATTGCTGCAGCTGCATGGTCGCCCGATGAGGAATTGCTGGCCATTAGCACTCGCGCCAACACCTTGATTCTTATGACCCGCGATTTTGAAAGTGTCGCCAACATCACTCTTTCTCCCCAAGATGTCCAAGTCTCTGCTCATGTATCCGTCGGATGGGGAAAGCGCGAGACTCAGTTCCAGGGAAAGAGAGCCAAAGCCCTCAAAGATCCTACAGTGCCAGAACATGTTGATGAAGGTCAACTGAGCTCTCTGGATCAAATGCAGACTACGATCAGCTGGCGTGGAGACGGTGCTTATCTGGCTGTCAACTCTGTCCAGGATGGAAAGCGACGAATGATCAGAGTCTATTCGCGAGAAGGTGTACTTGACAGTGTCGGCGAGCCCGTAGATGGGCTTGAGGGCGCTTTGAGCTGGAGGCCTGCTGGAAACCTCATGGCCGGTATACAGCGTCGATCTGACCGTGTGGACGTGGTCTTCTTCGAGCGAAACGGTTTGCGTCATGGTGAATTTTCTTTGCGCCTATCTGCAGAAGATATGGAGAGCTGGGCTAGCTCTATCACTCTTGCGTGGAACAGCGACTCTACTGTTCTCGCTGTTTCGTTCAAAGATAGAGTACAACTCTGGACCATGGGCAACTACCACTACTATCTTAAGCAGGAGGTCTTCACCAATGGCACATCAGAGGCAGAATCTCTTTCGGTCCGTACAGCTTGGCACCCGGAAAAGCCACTCTATCTTTCTGCATCATCCGGTCGTATGTCGAGATCTCATTCAAGCTTAAATGCCGTCTGCTAACGTGGTTCTTAGNATTCTCTGCAGATGCTCTCATACGTGTTTACCGTATCAAAGAGCTCGTCAACACCACCACACGACCTTGGTCTTACCTCTGTCATTGATGGTCGTAACTTGAAGATCACACCACTCAGAGTAGCCAATGTACCACCGCCAATGGCTTTTGCGGAGCTAGAACTTGGTGCCAATGCCATCGATGTTGCTGTTAACCAATCAGCAACCAAGATTGCAGTACTTCATCAACACGGTGTCTTCTTGTACAAGCTCGACTACAGCGTCAGACCCTTCCAGCACCCCAAGCTCTTGCGTGACGCACCGTTAGCGGAGCAGATCCCAAGACAAGTCGCGTTCTGTGGAGAGGATGATATCTCAGTCCTTTGTAGCGAGCCAAACACTCAAGCCGATAGCGTTGTCGAGTTCAAGGTTTCTGACGAAAGTGCTTTCGACTCTGGTGAATTGAGCTCAGGCGCGGGTTCTCTGTTCTCTGCTGTAGACTTCTCGAATACCTGCTTCGAGGATGCGCATGGTGGTGTGTACGAGCTCGGTACCAGCGCTTCTTCTTCCTTACTTGCCAAATTTCCAGTACACTGTCCCTGGACCGAGGTGTGGAGGGACGATGAAACGACAATTGTATTTGGTCTCTCGGCTGGCGGCACCTTGTTTGGCTACCACAAGTCTCCAGATGATGAGAAGACGCAAGAGTGTCTACAAATCCGCAATTGCACGTCATTCCTGACCACTCCTGCTCACCTCATCTTCACTACGACTCAACATCTACTCAAATTTGTCCATCTACACCAAGGCGACCTAGAGATACCCCAGGACGAGCCCGAGAAGGATGAACGTTGTCGTAGCATCGAAAGAGGTGCAAGATTGGTGGGCGTTATGCCTACAGCTTTCTCTCTTGTCCTTCAAATGCCTAGAGGCAACCTGGAAACAATCTACCCACGCGCTTTGGTTCTCGCTGGTATCCGCAGAAGTATCAGTGCTAAGGACTACAAGACAGCTTTCTTTGCTTGCCGTGGCCAGAGGGTTGATATGAACATTCTTCACGACTATGCACCCCAACAGTTCATGGCCAACGTTCTGTTGTTCTGCAAGCAACTGAAGAAGGCCGAACACATTGATCTGTTCCTTTCACAGCTACGGTATGTTAAATTTGTGGATGCTTAAAGAGCTGGGCTGACAAGTTTTAGGGATGATGATGTTGCAGAGACTATGTACAAGGAAACTCTTAATGCTCCCAAACTGGGTTTGCATGGTGATAGTCCGACCGAGACTCAGCAGACGGCCGCCCAACCCCAAAGCTCAAAGATCAACAGAGTCTGTGACGCTTTCTTGGACGTCTTGCGCAACCGAACATCCACCCATCTGCAAAATATCATCACAGCGCATGTTTGCAAGTCCCCACCTGATCTTGACGCTGGCCTGTCCTTGATTGCCAAATTGCGAGAGGAACAGCCGGATCTGGTAGAACGTGCAGTCGAGCACATTTGTTTCCTTGCCGACGTGAACCAGCTCTACGATCATGCTCTTGGTCTGTATGATCTGGACGTTGCGTTGCTCATTGCTCAGCAGTCACAAAAGGACCCTCGAGAGTACCTTCCGTATGTCCAAGGCCTTGGCAAAATGCAGCCGCTTCGGAGACAATTCACGATCGACCATGACTTGAAGAAACACAACAAGGCTCTCGGTCATCTATTCACCATGGAAGAGTTCGACGAGCTCAAGACATACATGGCCAAGCACGAGCTTTACAGTGATGCCATGCATCTGTACAAATACCAGGCTCAGCGATTGAATGAAATCATGAAGCTTAATGCCGACTATCTCAACAGCCGCAATCGTTACAAAGAGGCAGGTATCGCTTACGAATATCTGGGCGAGTACAGCTTGGCATTCGAGGCTTACCGATCTGCGAACGAGTGGCGCGAATGTCTTTCGTCAGCTACCCTTATACCTCTGCCCGAGGACGAGCTTGTGGCTGCAGGTGAAGCATTCGCCGAGGCACTTACAGAGTCAAAGGAACATTATGATGCAGCAACTGTTCACCTCGATTATCTCAATGACATCGAAGGCGCCGTTAAATGCTTGTGCAAGGGTTACTACTACGCGGAAGCTATTCGTGTCGTTGGCCTGAGACGACGCGCCGAGCTGATCGCATCTGTTATTGATCCTGGTCTTGCAGAGGGGTCCGGAACCATGACAGAGCTTCTCGCAGAGATGAAGGGTCAGCTCAATGCTCAAGTGCCGCGACTTCGAGAGCTGCGACAGAAAAAGGAGGAAGATCCACTTGCCTTCTTCGGAGGCGTCCCTGCAGACGGACCGGACATTCCTGACAACATCTCGCTTGCACCAACCGAAGCTACTACTTCGGCTGGTACCTTCATGACCCGTTACACAAATCGCAGTACCGGCACTCTTGCCTCGAACGCCACACGCAAGACGTCGAAGAACCGCCGTCGTGAAGAGCGTAAGCGAGCCAGAGGCAAGAAGGGCAGTGTGTACGAGGAAGAGTATATTGTCAACTCGATAAGCCGTCTCATCGAACGTACAAACAGCGTTAGTGAGGAGGTTTCCCGTCTGGTCGAAGGTCTGATGAGGAGAGCGATGAGAGAGCGTGCTGTTGCAGTAGAAAATGCTATGGCCGAAGTCGTCGAGCTGTGCAAGACTTGTATACCCGAAGTGTTCCAAGTCGTGGCGGCAAAGCCATCGAATCCTGAGGCAGGAGAGATGAATGGGGAGGATGAGGCTGGCAGGCCCATGGCCGGTGGTCAAGCGGTCTTCTTTGATGCCATGGAGGCGAACCAAACCAAGCGAGAACCACCTGTAGTCAAGGTATTCTCTGGACTTTCTTTGCTTGCTTAGAAAGATGTATAGTATACAGATACCGCAAATTAACATGAGGTTGGATGATGTTCAGGAGGACATTGCTAAAACAAGAGGCGTTTTTTGACCATGTGAAAGAAGCCAACCCTGTCCATCGGGAAGCCACGACCCACAGCCGACGACGTGAAGGCTTCGCCCGTCCACACCTTCTGCCTCTGCCTTCTAGAACATCCATCTGCATATCACGCCGGCAACCATCACAATATCTTCAAAACATTATTGAAACAGCAAAGCGATATCCGAATAATATAGTAGTCTAGATTACCTACACTACTGGTGAGCAAAGCTTCCATCAACCACGCGCACGCTGCGCGTTCATCGCGAAAGACCCCACCACATTTCCCACATCGCGAATCAATCAAGCCACCAGCATGAGTGTGATTCTGTGTACAGGTATGGCTTGTCCATGGCTTGGCTCTAAACTATATATAGCTGACCATCTATAGCTGGCTATGACCATACCATCAGGTAAGTGTGTGCATACGCCCCACAAGATCTTGCATTTCTTTGTCACATGGCGCACTGGGAGGGATGCTCTTGTCAAGCTCGAAAGGAGCATGGTTTGTCTGGAAATACGCCACAAATGTGCTAGGACTGACACAAAATTGTCACCAGGTTCTGGGAAGCACTCTCAGGCATATGCAGCCGAACGATTCCCCATCCAGATTCACAGGTCAACCGCTTGTGCATATCGCCGGACAAGCGCTTTCTTGCTGCTGCCGGACATCATACCGTGAAGCTTTATGATATCAAGTCTACGAATCCTGCCGCTGTCTTGACCTTTGAGGGCCACACCAACAACATCACTGGACTTGCTTTTCACTGTGAGGGTAAATGGATGGTAACAAGTTCGGAAGACGGCACAGTGAAGATCTGGGACACGCGCACCGGTCATGTCCAGCGCAACTACAGCCACGGTGTTCCTGTCAACGATGTGGTCATCCATCCGAACCAGGGCGAGCTCATCAGTTGCGACAGGGGTGGCAACGTGCGAATCTGGGACCTTGCCGAGAACAAATGCTCACATCAATTGATTCCGGAAGAAGACAAGTCTGTCGCTTCGGTGACTGTCGCATCTGATGGCTCTCTTCTCTGCGCCGCCGTCAGCAACAGTCAGATCGGTTCTGTCTACGTTTGGCGCATCATCACAGCCAAGGATGTGACGACGCTGGTGCCCGTCACAAAATTCAACGCCCACAACACATACATCACACGCGTGCTGCTATCCCCCGATGTCCGTCATCTGGCCACTTGCTCTGCGGATCATACAGCACGTATCTGGTCAGTCGATCTGTCAAATCACAACGCCATCGCGGCTGGACCTGGAGAAAAGGACAACGGTGCATTTGAGCTCGAGCAGGAACTCGATGGTCATCAACGTTGGGTCTGGGACTGCGCTTTCAGTGCTGATAGTGCCTACTTGGTGACAGCTTGTAGCGATCACTATGCGCGTTTGTGGGAGCTAAGCTCCAAGCAAGTCATCAGACAATACAACGGACATCATCGTGGAGCGGTCTGCGTGGCACTGAACGATTACTCGGAGACCAGATAGTGTCTGAGAGACAGAGTAAAGCTGGAACGGGTTGATTAAGCGAAGCAGAAAGCACAAAGAGTACACCAAGCAACAAAAGAGGTGTTGATGGCAGCCCATTTGGTTCAGGGAGAAGATAATTATAGGCTTGTACTGGGATATCCTTTTAGCCAAAAAGAGGTATCTGGAGTTCACAGGCACTTATGCGCTTGTCGTTCAGGCGGGGCTGATTTCATATTGCTTTTCTCTCATATCGCTGTACAACAGACACTACCATCATAGCAAGGTGACTCGTTGCACTCTTGTATCCTGCTACCACAGCAGATTCTCAACAATCGTCAGGAACACACAGTGAGCGCGAATGCCCGATTGCATGCAGACATGCCGCCAATTCGATATTCCCAGCGTTCCTCACTGTCCATTGACCTGTCCATGGGACAAAGAGACATATACCAAAACTCTAGACCCTTGAACAATAGAGCAAACAAAGAACAAAGGCCATGCATGCCGTTAAAGATAGGTGTGTTCCCAACGCTTCCGAACTCGGCATGCCTTATCTCTTCACTCCCGAAGATTGCCGAAGACAATGTACACGATAAGAAAGATGGTGGATAAAAGCGTTAACGCCGAAAAACAACCTTGATAAACGTAAAACCGGGGGATATTTCTACACCACTGGATCTTCATCATCATGTTGTGTTATACTGTGATAACTATAAAGATGAAAGGACCACAGAGATACAAGAAGCATCCTTGTCCCATATTCCCCGAAAGCTTCGAGTCTAGAAACAAGACAAACAAAGGAAGAAGTCTCGACCACGAAAGAAAATAAAATGTCCAAGGGTCCAACGGGGTCCTACCTCCTTTGTTTCAGAAGCGGTAAACAGGCACATGTCTACAATAAAAGCGGTCAGTAGACTTTCGGCAGACCGGAAACAAGGACAAGCGGATACAGTCGTTGTACCCTTTATCTGGAGATCCCTAAGCTTTGATGATGAGTGAGTCAGATTGCTGAGTAGAAGGGCAAGGCACAGTCACAGAGAGAGTTGGCATGAGTTTCTTATCTTGCGTTGCTTTCTGTATATCTTGCCTTCTATCTCTTTATTTCTTGTGTACCTGACGATCTTCTTTGTGTGTTGGAGACTCTTTGTTTGTTCATTCCTCTGCTGGGCTCAAAGTGAGTAGTAGGATATCGTCTACAGTGCCATCTCTGACTTTTGATTAGTTCTTTCCTTTCATTTCACTTCTGCCATACGATATTATCTTCTGATCAAGAAACTTTTCTCTCCACATCCACTCTGCGCAACAAACAAGCATGTGTACATACACTTATTCGTGGTACATCTGCAACCACAGGTATGTTTAACGCTGATGAACAGAATGATCACGACTAACCAAGTCANGCTACTACATATGGTCCGACACCATCGAGATCTGCACAAATCGCTTCTTGTCCAGTTACTCCTATGATGCTTGGTCAATAGGTAAGACATACACCGGCTAGAAGAAACACAATGGAACACTGACATCCATTTCCATCTAGNACATGTGCAAGCATCACGTTGCAGTCTGCAAGGGCTTCGGCAACTATTACTGCCCAGACTGCTCTGAAGACCATAACCTCGAGTTGGAGTTGGAGGAGTAGAAAGAGGCTGTATTTGCATTCACACGGCGTCACTGGATTTGGATTAAGCGCATGTTGGGTATACCAGGCTTGGGCGTTTTGGGAAGGAGTTTGTGTAGACCACGAATTCTGGCGTGGATTTGCATTGCTTTTATTACTGTATTTTGGACGTCTCTTACAGACGACATTATTCTGTCACCCGATCCTTCGCGCCGGAGTCGATATTGTCGTGCTCGACACTGTCTCTTATCCTCATTGCTCTTCTGCGTGCGTCGATATACATCATGAACTCGGAGTATGACTTCGGCATGACTTTGATGTCGCGTTCGACTGTGAACGTGTAGTTGAATTGGCCGGTCGGTTTGGCAGTGCCGTGCTCGACGTCGCGGACCTTTGTGTCGACTCTGACCTGAATCCGTGTGTACTTTTGTTTCTTGTCTCCATCCGAGTCGGGTTTGTCGGCTTGGCCTGAGACGATTGGAGGATCCGTGTAGACGACAGTAGCTGTCTGATAGAGGACACTGCCGACAGGGACGGGGTTTTGGAAGGTCGAAGGATCGAGCGAGACGAAGGTGGGTCGGCAATGGGCGAAACTGGCGGCGGCGCAGAAGGCCAGTTCGAAGGTTTGCTTCAGGAGGAAGCCACCGAAAATCATAAAGTGGTGTCTGTTTCGGTATTGTGGTTGCATGATAGCAGCAGTGGACAGACGAGTCTGCTCCATTTCAAAGACATTGTCGGGCTTGCGTACGGGATCCATGGGGTCGTGGTATTGTAGCTGTTTCTGCCACATTGCGTGGATGAGATCGGACTCTTCGTCGTTGGGTGTCTGTTTGATCAACGAGCGCTTCTTGAGATCTTTGCGGTGGGCGCTGTTCTTCTCGCCTTGTGCAAAGATGGCTTTCTCCTCTTCCGTCTCTGGAGCAATGGCGGGAATGTTTACAGGCGTTTTGGTGCCGGGGTCGAGCGAAACCATGGTGAACTGGCACGTCAACAAGACATCTTCAGGCTTGACAGTCTCCCCCTCTTTTGGTGCTTTTGCGACTTGCAATGAAATTTCCATACTCGAGCGGCCAGTGGCATAGGTGACGCGTCCGCTGTACTCGAGGTCGGAGATTTCTGTCAAAGGGTGCTTGATGTCGATGCGATCGCAGGCGGCCGTGACTGTTGTGACTCCTTCACCTGTGTGCTTGTATGCGATGACGCCGNNCCTGGGAGTGTGTCAGTGGAGATTCGAAGGATGTACTTCCGCAAGGGACATACTCAATGCATCAAGATCCATAAACAGCGTACCCAGACGGATGTGACCGCTGGAGTTGGCGTATGTATCGAGTAACCATGGTTCGCGAGCGAGAGGCAGGACAACGCTGTGGTAGCTGTCGCTCATGCGTTTCGGCGAGAGGTCGCGGTCATTGGGTGTCTCTGGCTTTCCAGAAGGCTTCGAAGGGTCGTGACCACCACGCTCCTTTTCTCGTAGCGCATCGATCCAGGGAGTTTGGATTCTGTTCTCTGTCAAGGCGCGAAAGACACCGTCGGTATGTGGGCGTATCGTGGTCGAGAAGGGTCGCCTGGTTTGCTGTTGTAGGCGACGAAGCCAGCTTGAGCTCAGTCGTTTTGCCATTGTGGTGGACCAGTTGAGGAAGCTACGATACAGCTCTCCAACACTAACAGGATCATATTGGTCATATGTACAGGGTAGGAGCGGAGCCTCGCCGAGGGTAGCTTGTACCTTCCCTGAGCACGCTCCGGTTCTCCCCGCTGACATCACAACCTCCCCAACTTGACCCGACTTCTACCACCGGCGACTCTTTAATCATGCCGTATACTTTCAAGCAATGTCCTTTCAGGAGAACAGAATGACTCACAATGTCCGCTCACATCGACCTGGGCAGTCTGCGCTTGTCTTGTCCCTCAACTGGCCTCGACCTCGCCCTGACTAGCAATGCCTCAATCTCAACTCTGGCCCAGTCTTGTAATACACCATCGATCACACATATTGAATCTGGACGTGTTTGGCTTTCTCCTGCTAACAATGTTCAATTGCTCCTCACCATCACCTGGACATCCTTCAAGTCCACTCGACAACTGTTCACTTTGAAACAATGTCTTCTCACTGCTCTTCAACATGCAGCAGTCAGTCTCGATATATCTCCTCTGAAAGAGTAGAGAGGCCACAAACATTGAAAACCTCCTCACTGACATCCTGCTAGCTATGGAATCAATTGAACCTTCAACCCTCACTTACCGTCCAGCCTTCACAATTCTCGAGTACATGTCTCTTTCTGGCTGTATCGTTAACTACCGCACCGTTGCCTGTCACGAACAAGAAAGCACCTACCCATCGTCTGGGGAAGGACGTCCCCTTTAGCCATCTCAAACCTCCAGAGGGTTTGTCACAATGGACCCTTGACCAAGTACACCTGAAATTTGACATTACCTCGCCTTCGCAATCTTCTGTGCCAGAAAACGATGCCATGCTATTCGAGTGTTCAACAATACTGGAAGACCAAGCCAACGTTAGTTCATCTTCACTAGCTGGAACGAACAATCTAGAAGGTGCCATTGGCCTGATTGATGCAGCCCTCCGGCTCGCATTGGCAAATCTGACTCCAAAAGCACTCATGAATATAAAGATCACCGAGAGATCATCATTCAAACATCTCGATGAAGTGTGTCCTGCCATGTGGAACCCTGGTCATCTCGAGGTATTCATAGCCAGAACCATTACTGTCTGAGCTCACACTAACCATGGGCATCATAGGNCTCTTGCTTCACGAGCAGTTCTTCTACCCACCATCAGTCACGCCCTCTCCAACTCTATCTCACGACGAGCACGTTCGTTTTCACTAAAAGAAAAGCTCAAGGAGATTTCCCGACAGGAATGTCCTGTAATGTCGAATGGTCAACACACCGAACCATTGACAACACAGAAAGCGGTCAGTATCAGGCTTTGGCGTCTCATGCAACGTCGTCTTCGTGACCCGTCTGCTGGGAAAAGACTCAAGTCGATCCTGATCAGTGATGCACCATTGTCAACATCTGAACAGGATGAAGACATTGACAATAGTCTGAGTTTCGAGCATGGAAGTGAACATTCCATACTCCAACAGTCTGAGAATTGCCTGGGGTTGGATGATGCAGACGATGAAGAAGACTTGCTCGAAATTGAGTACGAAAGTGAATGCGAGAATTTATTCAGATCTGCAGATCTGGAACCGGATGAAAGTCCATCTGATGATGAGATGCTCGATTGTCTACACAATGGACAGCACGACAACTACGACCAAGTCGTCGCTTCTGATATCGACGACGAAACGGCTTCGGTTTTTGAAGATATGCTTGAGCTATGAGGTTGAAAATGCTTCTAATAATACTATAAGAATCCACTTTCCGCTGGAACTCCCGCCACTTGAATGATAATTCCACTTCTCTCATCGTAACGGTCGGTAATTGGAAGTCATAAGCATGTGACAGCCATTCGTCTGGTCAAACCCAACCACATCATCTCGCGTTCGGCCCAGTCTTGAAAATCTGTTTCGCCCTGCCAATCCTGCCTGACTTGTTCTGTTCCATGCAAAAAGGTCAGTACTTCATTATCCAGATCTAAGCTCTTTCGCATCGACTCACCGGCGCATAATCACGAAATGCCAGCTGCTGCTCATAGATATGAGGCACAACCTGCTGAGGCAGATTCAACAGCTCCTCCATCGTACTATAGTATCCCTCTTGCGCATTCAACTTCTTCTGTTCCTCCATTTGTTCATCGGTGTGCCCTTTGTAGATATCGACCTCGCCAGCCCTCTGCTTGCCCAACTTGATTCCATTCAATCTGGTCAAGGCATCGTTGCCAGCAACACGGGACAGAGCGACTTTACCGAAAATCTGTTTGCGTGTTGGCCTGGCGCGTATCTCTTTCATTTTGGCTTCGTGGTCAAAGGAGAGAGGGTCAGGGTTCTCTTGTGGTGGGCCTTTAAGATGGTCAGGCCAGACTAGACTCGTCTCTTTGTACATGTATGTATCGAGTAGTGCTAGAGCACACTTCTCGAACTGAGCCCGAGTCACAGGACGTTTACTGGTCTTTTGTAGTGATGGGTCGGTTGTCTTCTTTTGAGCTTTGGTTGGTTGTACTCGTGGCAGCCGTTTTCGTGCGTCAGGAGCTGCTTGCGGGGCTGGTGGATTTTCGGTCTGAGTGGTAGAGTCTACAATTTCACACACGGCCGTATGGGAGACTTGCATTGGTGCTTGTGGCTCCAGGTCGATCTGCGTGATTGTTCCTATCGCGAACACAGACGCTGCTGGTAGATCGGTCTGGACAGCCGAGTCCGCATAAGTATTTATGTGCTGTTCTTCTGCATGCGGTTCTTCTGTCAAACCTTCTTCATGCAGCGGCTCCTGCGGAGTACGTCCTTCCAGCAAGGCTTCAGGAGGCAGTCGCTCTTGCGAAGCTAGCTTTTGGAGTAGCTGCTCTTCAAGCGAAGTCTCCTCAGGGCATGTTGTTGGTCTTGGTTCGATGTGGTTAGTTGTCTCGTTCGATGCCTGAGCAGACTCCGGCACAGCAAGATCAGCGGCTTTAGGCTCAAGAAATTGTTCTGGGGGATCCAGGTCCATCGGTATGACATGGTCGCTCGGCACCGGGCCTAGCTTCTTCGAACGATGATCACTAGCGTTTGACTGTTCAAGGATCTCGGTAGAATCTGGCTGTTCGATAGCCTTTATAGGATCTGGTTGCTCAATGATCTCTGTAGAATCTGGTGGCTCGCTGATCTCTGTATCACTTGGTGCTGGCTGTGGTAACTCGGCAACCCGCATCACGTCGGTGTCGAGCAAACCTGGCTCGAGTGATTTCTCTTTGAGATTTGAACCGTAATCATAATCCTCTCTACTCGGCACAACCACCAACTCTAGGGGCTGAGAATCCAGTGAGGCTAACCCGGAAGGGTTCATTGATTCTGTGGTTTCTGCATCAGTCGATCTTATTGCCTTGGGAGAAGATCCAAGAAGATTGTTGATATGTTTGTTAGCGGCCTTCCATTTCTCGGTACCAGAGAACCTTTCTATCGTCTCCTTTGAGGCATTCTCGAGAATGCGATCTGTGAAAGGTGTGAGGGACTGTCTCGTGGGGATGGGACTTGTCGTTTTCTTCCAAATTGGCTCTCCAAATCCAACAAGACCTGGCCGCTGGTTGTTCTCGGAGTTTCCTTCGGAGGTCTCGCCCAAAAGGCTGATGAAATTCGGTGCGGTAGGTGGCTTTCGGGGACTCTCCTTGGTCGTTGGACGTAACGGCTCATCTTCGTCCATGGTGAGGTCGATTATGTCTATGGTTTCGTCGATTGTAGAGGGCAATGTAGAATTCGTCTCGCTCGCTGCCCTAGAAAATCGTTTGGTGCTGGTTCTGCCGAGTGATTTCTCTGGAAGTTTGAAGTCGTCGTCCAGAAGATTGTGGTTTGAAGCAAGGGTCTCGACGCCTCTCCCTTGCTTGCTCCGACCATAGTTTTTGTTCACATCATGCGTAGAGGCATCAGCTGCTAACGCGTGAGATATTGAGTGGTCTCGTGGTCTGTATTTTGTGCTCGCGCCATCGCGGAATGTCCATGGTGCTTTTGAGTTGCCATCTCGGCGCATGAAATCTCTGGACACCGTCAAAGTAACCCAGATTCCGTCTCTCCAGTGTAGATCTTCGAGGTCGTGATCAGGGAAATTGTCAATAATCCATTCATATATTTCCTCAATGCCCAAGCAATGACCAGGAGCTTGATGTAATGCCATGCCGATGAGTTGGTCGTTTTTTCGCCGTCCCGATCTGTCTTTGTTTTTTGCTTTATGTAGTGCTGCTTCGGACTGAGCATCTGATACGGGTGATCTGGGTCTCTTTCTTCTTGATGCCACCCTAGGTGTTGATTTTGCGGACGGAGCAACATTTTGCTCTTCGATGTCTAGAGCCGAGGACGCAGGGCGAGGACGTTGTGTAAATCGAGTCTGCCCAAACAGATCGTCAGATATCGGCTCGTCATCTTCTTTGGAGAGAAGTGCAAATCGTGGACGTTGGTTGAATATCAACTTGGGTGAAGAACCATATTGGGCTGCGCCAGGACTGTCCTGTGGTGATTCGGGAATCTCTTTACGAACCACATCTGCACGGTCTGTGGCCCCGCCAACGGCATGAGCAGTGGTTGCGGGGCTATCGAATTTTCGTTTCTTCGCTGGAGGTTGCATGCTTTCGGTGGAGTCCGATTTGCAGAGATAACACATCCAATGAAGCGGGCAAGGTCTAGGGATGATGCCTCTGTGACAACCTCTGTGATACTTCCGCTTGCACTGACAACAAGTGACAAGCGTCCAGGACTCGAGGCAAGACTTGGTGGTACAAATGAAACATACGTCTGTCTGGCTTCGTGAACTTGTTGACGATCGTTCGGAAGGAGTTTGACCACGGTTTGGAGAAGCTTTGATCTTCTTGACTTCCGAAGACTTAGAAGGAGGGGGTCGCATGTCGGCAGAAGCGACGGACGCTGAAGCAGTTTGCATGACTTGTTGGGGAGTGACCTGTTTCACTCGCTGGTATGGGTCAGTCAGATGAGAGTGAAGATGAAAGTGAGAGTAGAGTGAAGAAGGTCAAAGGTTATCTGTGTCAGATCTTGTGATTTTTGTGAAACATCATGTCGCCCTTGTGAGGTGTCAAGCTGCACTGATGGCCCATGGAAATTTGAGGATGCAAAACAATGCAAGTTCCCATGCCAAGCTGCTCAAAGTAGATGATGGCTTGTATGCCAGCGCCATTGGTTGTAGGCTAGGAAAACAGCGTAACAACTCCAAAGCCGACAAGGTCTTGATGTACTCGTCACTATCAACTCCAGGCTATGAAGCAAGTGTTGTGTTGATTTGAGTCTTTGAAGAGCTGAATGACGAGAAGGCCCAGACGTGTTTGATCGCAACAAAATGACATGATGCCAAACAGATTAAGCATGACACCAGGCGATATGCCCTTTTACCATGGTGATCATCATTCTTTAGTGCTCAGAGCGTGTGGTCGAGGAAATGGACATGAGACGAAGATGAGATGAACCTACCTCTTGCGTCGAAGGTGTCGTATCGGATTGCTCGACGCCCATGCGGGTAGCGAACGAGATCCAGCCCCTCATCACATTGCGCATGGATGAGAGATCAGTAGGAGTGGTCGGCGGTGAGATGGACGAGGAAGTGTTTGTATGAGACCAAAGAAGGAAAGTCGGCCGAGCTTATCGATAAGCTCCAACAGGGAAGCGACGGTGGCAGCAGCGGCAGGCAGGCACCACTCAGAACAAACTCGCGCTCGACTCTTCTTCAGACACGGTCGAGCAGACATGGACTTTCTCAAGTCTGCCGTCGCATCGGCCATCTCAAAGGGCCCCGCCTTCCCCTATTCGTTTGGCGAAAGAGTCGACATCGATCAGTCTATCTGGACTCTCCACAACGGCACCAAGAGGGTAACAGCAACATGACGCACCCCTCGACCCCTTCGATTGCTGACAGCAGTGCAGGAAGATGGCTCTCGATGCAGCATCCTCTCCTTCGACGTGACGGCCAACAAATCTCGCCTTCCACTTGCAAAGAACGCATTGCGCAAGTTCCGCACTCTTCGACACCCTGGCGTAATAAAGGTCTTGGATACTGTTGAGGTAGTCGCCATCAACTCTACTCTCGACTGACCTGCGCTTACCGGACACCAAGGCAGANCAGATACCTACATCTATATTGCAACTGAACGTATAACTCCGCTCGGCTGGAAGACAAAGAGAAAGGCCGTTTCTGAGGAGAGCATCAAATGGGGGCTCCACAATGTTGCTGTGAGCACCACCCCATACTGGAGACCTTGTCACCTGCTGACACCTATCTGTAGANAAACCCTTGCCTTCATCAACGAGGAAGCCACTTCGGTACACGGGTGCATCCGCACCTCCTCAATATTCACTACCGACAGCGGAGAATGGAAGCTGGGCGGTCTGGACGTCTTGAGCTCCATGAAGGAAGATGAGGCCGTCATCTATGTTCGTAGTACCGACGTGCTATATGACATGACTTACTGACTACAGTACGCAGNNACATATGGAAGCCTCACACCTGATTCAGGGCGCTATGCCCCACCCGAGGTCGCCAAAGGCGGTTGGGACAGCATCAAACGAAACCCTGTGTCTGCTGTCGACTCTTACGATTTCGCTATTCTTGTCATTGAAGTCTTCAACGGGAGTTTCTCGGGAAGTGATCAGGTCGGTCAGACCAAGGGCATTCCTGTTAGCATGCACGCTTCATACAAACGTCTGGCCCATGCAAATGCCAAGATCAGACTTAGTATCGCCCATTTCTTGGAACAAGGACGGAAGTCTGGCTCGTTCTTTGACACTCCGCTTATTCAATTGACCGATGGCATTGATAATCTGGGGCTAAAGACTGAAACCGAGCGCGAAGAGTTCCTTCGGTAGGTTATCCTGTTCAACACTACAATCACATCTAACGTCACATAGCNNGAGCTCGAGGCTGTGGCCGAGGCGGACGACTTCCCGGAGGATNTTTTTAGAGTCAAGGTCCTTCCTGAGCTTCTCAAGTCCCTCGAATTTGGCGGTGGAGGTCCCAAGGTCTTGTCCCTTGTCATGCGTATTGGCAAANAACTTTCAGACGAAGAGTACGAATCGACCATTACACCGGTAGTTGTCAGACTTTTCAGTAGTCCAGACCGCGCGTTGCGGGTGTGCCTTCTTGACAATCTACCACACATGATCGATCATCTTCCTCAAAAGATTGTTAACAACAGCATCTACCCTCAGATGGTACGGAATCAACTCTCATACTGAGTCGACCGTTCTGCTAATCCATTTCCAGNNGTTACCGGTTTTACCGACCTCGCTCCGCTTGTTAGAGAACAGACTGTCAAGGCAGTCTTGGTCGTGGTTCCAAAGCTATCGGATCGCATTATTAATGGCGAACTCCTGCGGTACCTAGCTAAGACCGCAAACGATGAACAGCCCGGCATCCGAACCAACACGACTATCTGTCTTGGAAAGATTGCAAAGAACCTTGGCTCTAGCGTACGTATCCTCCTTTCTTCTCCCACTTATCCAGTCGTTTAACTATCTTGCAGTNCACGAACCAAGGTTCTCGTTGCTGCATTCTCAAGATCTCTCAGAGATCCATTTGTCCATGCACGGAACGCAGCACTTTTAGCCCTATCAGCAACGGCTGATCTGTTTACGGAAGACGATTGTGCGACCAAGCTGCTTCCAGCAATCTGTCCGTCGCTTGTAGACAAGGAGAAGTAAGTGAAAACAACCTTTACTGCTACGCACGTGCTGACTCGAGGTAGAATCATTCGAGACCAAGCCAACAAGACTTTAGATTTGTACCTTCAGCGCATTCGCAAATATGGCCAGACTCTGCCTGATAGTGTACTGCCGCCACCAGAAGCTGCTGGCTCGAACGCGCCACGCATGAGCACCCCACAACCAGGGGGCGCGGGAGCAGGGTGGGCTGGTTGGGCTATATCGTCTTTCACGAACAAGCTTGCAACAGCCAGTGGAGAAATCCAACCCAACAGCAGTGCAGCAACAGCAGCCGGCTCGGATAGGCCATCCTCCACTCCACCAGCAAACCCGAGTTCGTCAGCTGCTCAGTCTCTTCCTGTTGGTCAAACTCGACCTACACCAANNCTTTTCTCTCCTTCTGCGCCGACAGTGCCTAGAGTGTCTTCGGGCCTACGCAACGCAACCNCCACCATGTCTGATGTGGATCAGGAAGACTTTGGTGATGACTGGGGCGCAATGGATGATGACGACGGTGCCGCCGACGCATGGGGTGAGGTAGCAGACAGCGCACCGCCCGTGGCATCTACCAAAGCTACGACTGCAACCTTCGACGATGGCGGTGAGCCCGACTTTGAGGGCTGGCTGAATGCGCAGGCACAAGCCAAGACGAAAGCAAAGAACCCTCTCCCCAAAGGTCTTGTGAAGAGCAAACCAGTATCTGCCGTAGCACCAAAGCCGAGCGTAGTCAGGAGTTCGTCTGCATCAGTCACGACCAAGGCCAAGCCGGCACTCAGTAAGTCGGTGAAGCCTGCAGCTAAGGAAGAAGAGGAAGATGACTGGGGCTCAGCATGGTGATGAGTGTATGCGAAAAAGTACGGAATGCCAGCTCTTGGATTCTTTTATAGAGTTACATAATTTACATTGCGCCTCGCCTGCCCAGGTACCGTGCTGATGAAAACGGTATCTTGCAAAAGTAATTTTATGCGGTTGCCTTGATAGGCTCTGCGGCCGCATCTGCAGCTGGAGGAGTAGAAACCTCAGGCCACGGCTTCTTCAGAGCGTCTTGGATCTTAACAAGAGCACCTTTGGGACCTGCAACGCATCCNTGTATTCTTGTTAGTAAGGAGACAGGTCCAAGACAGAGTCAATACTCACCATTGACGACAACGATTCCGTTAGCGGCGTCGACCTTGAGAACACGCAGGTTCTGAACGGTGACTTGCTGACCACCCATGTTTCCAGCCATCTTCTTGCCGGGCAAGACTCTACTACCGCTACCCTGCGAAGCACCAGAACTACCCATGGCTCGGTGAGTCAAGGAGTTACCGTGACTGGCGGGTTGACCATGGAAACCCCATCTCTTCATACCACCAGCAAAACCCATACCCCTGCAATTCGCCTTTGCATCGATGAACTGACCCTCCTGGAACCAATCCGCGCCGATGACAGAGCCAACATCAGGCAAGCCCGCCTCATCCTTGACACGGAACTCGTGGAGGTGGCGGCTGAGACCGACCTTGTTGGCGGCAAAATGCCCTCTCTCAGGCCGCGTCACGTTCCTGGGTTCCTTGATACCGGCGCCAATCTGGACGGCCCAGTAGCCGTGCTTTTGGCGAGTCTTGTGGGAAACGACCTGCACGCGATCGAGTTGGAGGACTGTGCAGGGNGTGCGCTTTGCGGTCTCGGGGTCGTATAGAGCGGTCATGCCCTTCTTGATGGCGAGGGCTCCGGTGCGCGGCGGTAGGGTGTAGGACTTGCGCTCGAGGGCGGCCGTCTTTGAGGAGCCGAGTACAGGCAGGTCGAACCCGGCATTGAAGCGACTGGGCTTGATTTTTGGGTTGAGCGTCTTGATGGAGCGTGTGAATGTGCGCGGCAGCAATGTCGGCTGTGATAGCGCCAGCGGCGTGGCGAATGTGATGGGCGGCATTGTCTATGTCGCTGTAGTCGTTCCCTCGGATATTCTGATGCTGGTCGCTGCTTCTTTCCTGGGACCGTGCCTGCCTTTTCGGATGGCCGACTCGACCCAAGGCATTTCCCGAGCGCCAGAAGTCTTCGTCTCTGCTGACAGGGTGCCCCCTTGCCGCTTATCGTGCACACATATTCAACATCACACAACGTTCACCATATTCGTTCGGTCTATACTCTTTCAAGATATGTCCTAAAACACAGATCTGGTCAGCTGGAGTTTCTTGTACCTACTGCGCGATTCTTGCGATTACTGGCGCGGAATCTCGAAGCGACGCCGTGTTTTGGCTGCGGAAGCATCGCTACATAGACGCCTTACCTACAGTATCTGAACCGACCAGCTACTACACGCGCGCGTATGTCTGCTACAGAACCTGGATGGCTCCTTCGCCTGTCATCGGAGGGGTTTGAGCAAGTATCCTTCTTTGATTGCCATTGTCGATGGCACCTCGTCGCCCTTTCTTGCCATGAATTTTAGGCATTTTACAGCAATTCCTCAACCCTACTCATCACGAGGCCAGTGTCGCAGATTTTCGAGCGTGTGATCGCTTTTGTTGATTGAAAGTCCATTCCATCCGGTCGTCCAAGAATAAGTACCCATGCTTCAGTGGCCAGAAGCGATCAAGCTGCAACTCAATCCCCCTTCTGCCAACTTTTACGACACAAGTAGATCATAATATCCGACTTTCGGACGTAAGGGTTCATCAGGTCGTGGCATTATGTCAACGGCGTGCGCGTGGACAGGATTGTAGCAAAAGGGAGGTCGAGAAGCGTGCTCGATATATGGCTACTCCAGCCTTTGATATGTTTCCAAAAGAAAAGCTCCCCGTGCCATTTTGTAAAAGTCTGGTACACTCGCAACGGTCCGCCCTAGGGCCCGCATGACGAACCATCGCCCGGGACTTGGAGATTGGTCTGAGATATAAAATTCAAAATAGAACTACACTTCATGAGTGACATGTCCAAAAGTCACTCCAGTACAGCCTCGCGCCAGTCGCGGCCGCCGCTCCCTGTCGCAAGGATAGGGGACGCGCATACCATTTCGGCTTCACATATCTGGACGAAGCGCCCTCGATAGGACCGAACGAATATGGTTTCTGCGGTTGCTTCAGTACAAGCCTACTGCTCCCAGCTGTCACCCAGCGCTCTGATGGATGTAACGCGTGGGGTCTCAAGCGGGTCCCGGTGCGTCAGTAGTGCGCGCTTGTCAAGCTCGGTACTCTCGCATTGCATGACAACCACCCAAGCCGTTGCCTCGAACATAACGAACGACAATCTAGCATGCAGGAGCCGGAAGCCAGTTATATCGGGAGTTTCTGAGCGCTGCCAATGGTCCAGTCCACAGAGGTGTACGCTTAGCTGCTCGCAGCAATAGGCGTGAACGAGGCATGAAGTTGAGTGGATGAATGAAAGTGGGCGCTCGAGGCGGCCTATCAAAACGCTAAACGATCCCTGCGCGGATTTTGGCAGGCGCGGCAAGCCCGCAGCTCCACGAAAAGAAGCGGTAATTCATTGCTCTGGTGCTGCTTCCTGTCCGATTTGGCCAATGCTGTCGCTTTGGCTCTGGTTGCATTCGTTGCGTTGTGCTATGCTGCTGCTGCTTTCCCTGTCTTCATCCGCGTGTTTGTTCGTTTCGTTCTGCCTGCCTGCTTGGTCTCTCGAGTGCATGCGCCGTGTCACTTTCTGAACATTTCTTAGCCGCAAGCCGCCGGCTCTGACAGACGCTGCATACGTTTGCCAACCCAATACCCTCGCTTCTTTGTTTCCGTTTCCATTCTTGCGCGCGCGAGAGGCCTTTCTGATCTGTTCCACTGCCAGACTTGTCTGCAACCCTCTGAACCCATACCCCACCCGACAGACTGGATAGTCGCATGGACTAACGGGTCCGTTGCTAAAGCGAACGCGACTTGTCTTGTGCTCGTTCCACTAGTACGAAAGTCCTTGGACTCGGCGAGATATTTCATCTGCGCAAGACTTTGCCAGACTGGACTTGAACGTGTATGGCTGCTGTCAATCAATCCTCCGAGGCCGACGACTCTCGGATGAGTAGAGAGGTCGAAGAAGGCTCGACTGCAGTCAGATTCACGACAGTCAACGGCAACAAGGGTTCCGCGAGCCCTCCACAAAACACCTCCTTTCGACCCGATCCATCGGCCCTTTCCCATCCCTATCGACAACAACAACACGGTCTGCCTCGACAGCCACCTCTACCAGAAGGGAGACCAAAACTACTGTTTGTGGACTCGGACGAGAGCAGAGGCATTTATCACGATGACCTCTCTTTCCGCTCCCCTGAGCATCATTCCAACCGCATGGGCAAGCGCAAAAGGTCTACTGAAGCCTTCAAAGCCCTATCCGAGTTTAATTCTCCACCTACACGAGGCGACGAAGCCTTCAAGCCGCCGACTGAACCAAGGTCGCCCTCACGAAGTCTACCACCGCTTTTGCAGTTCAGAGACAGCGAACAACAGCATGGANCCGTAAGGCTTTTGATGCGACCGTCCGAGTTTCTGCTAACAGGATTGAACAGAGACCAACCGTCAGGCTGGCGCCAACCACGACCCAGTCCAGGCCAGACGGAAATGAATCTAGAGGATGCTTTGCGACGAGACTCACACATGATTCAAACCCGCAACGACCGCAATGATGGTAGTGGCAGTCCTCAAGTGGAGACTGACATGCAAAGCGACCAAGAATCAGAAATGCAGCCCGATTCCATGAGTGGCAGGAAGGGACCTGCAGCGCGACGACGCTTCTCGCAGAGGACAAAGACAGGTTGCCAGTAGGTGAACAGAGCTACACGACCACAATCCCTCACTGACACGTCGCTTTAGTNNACCTGTCGACGGCGCAAGAAGAAGTGCGACGAAGCCAAACCACAGTGTCAAAATTGTACACGTGGAGGCTTCACCTGTGAAGGTTATGGTCCTAAACATGAACTCAACGTCAAGCTTCCGTGCAAAGCAGTCCCGTTGCAAGCGAAGACCGTTGAGACGCATGCGTTCCCTAGTCATCGACAATCGTGAGTCTTGTGGCCGTCAGACTTGCTTTCATAGCTTACGTTCCTAGCAGGGNCGCCTGGTGCCGCCGAGAACTGGCTCGAATCACAGAGGCGCTTGTCATACGATAGCCGCGCACACTCCTTCGGGGATAATCTGCGTTACGCACCAAGACCTATCGCTCCACCAGAACATGAATCGCCCTTTTCGTCTGATCGATACGCCCAACCCTCGCACATAGAGAAAACTCGCCCAATACCTTCATCCTCCCGATTCGCCATATCAGCACCCAGCATCATGAGTGATACCAACGGCGGCAGTCTCAGTCATAGCAGTGGCGGCGCAAGTACCAGCCTGGGCAGTGCCTTCGACACGCCCAGAGCAATGATATCAAGCCGCATTGCCATGAAGCCACCTCTGGGCCCTTACCATGCTGCCGGCCCTAGTGAGAAAGAGAACATGCTCAACGGCAGAGATTATCGTCATTTCACAGATCCAGAGCTCCTGAACGACAGAGCATGGTGCAAACAAGCAATCGAACGCTACAACAAAGCATCGGAGGCCTCGTTTGATATTGACATGGATGGGCGCATGAAGCTGTTTCGCCAGATACTCCAGCCAGATCGTCTATTGCAACTAGCGGACACGCGCAATCATCCCATCGGCACCATTGGCTCCAAGATCCTGATTGAAGCACCATTCAAATGCGAGTATGGCTACAATGTTCATATCGCAGACAACGTGGTAATCCAGGCTGGCTGTGTCATGTATGATCCATGTCCCATCACCATCGGAAGAGGAACGATTGTTGGCCCAAATGTAAAATTCTACGGACTCGGACCCGATATGAGGCTTGATGCTAGAGTGCGCAATGGTGGTGAGGGCAAGTTAAGAGGAGGCAAGATCATGGTGGAAGAAGACTGTTTCATCGGCGGCGACGTCGTAATATTGCCCAACGTGATCATCGGGCGAGAATGTGTGATTGAGCCCGGAACCGTGGTCAGCAGTGTGAGTCTCCCAGAACGTTCTTGCAAGCTCTGCGGATCTGTATTGACACTTTCAGNNAACATCCAACCTGGCAAAGTTGTCGCCGGCAATCCGATGAGGATCATACGCGACATTGTTCCGATACCAAATCAAGACGACGAGTACGGCCGCGTGGAGCCAGCGATGTTAGGAAATATGTGGCCAGGAGAGCGATCTTACAGCCGCGACGTGCGCATGGGCATGTGAGGCATGATACGGAAGTTCAAAAAGAAGGGACAGTCGGATTGAGGAGCATAACGATATGAGACAGTCAACTTAGCGAGGAGTTGTGGAGTGTCGGTAGCTGCTATATGCATTGGAGCAGAGCCAGAATCTCTTCGATCGTTTTTGGTTGTAGTCATCCACATACTTCAAACTCATGACTCTTGGACCCTTGATTTCAGCCTGGTCAGCTCGACCTTCATCTGCGACTTCTCCTGTTCGAGCCGCTCGATCTGTTCACGTAGTGCTTCAGTTTGCTCTTGGGTACCGACGCTCAATTCCTCCATGATCGTGAAGACACGCCAGAGACGTAGGATGATAACCAGAGAAGCGACCTCTTCGAGAATGCCACGCAGAAGAACGTCTAAGATGAAGCTGGCTACAATGACCGTTGCATCGAAACAATGAAATTTGGACCGAAAAAGCTGGGATAGTCAGCACTCAAGGGTCAATACGACATTGGGTTCTTCATACTGGAATCCAAAGGCCCAAATACTTGCCAACAGTTCTAGCATGAACAAGCAGGAGAAGATCAAGCCAATAATGCCTATTGCTTCTTGAGCAACATGAGCTCGCGGCTCGGAGATCCTGCCTTCACAGCTGAGGATCTGGATGACGAACTCGGAAAAGATACAGGTGCAGTCGAGTGATACTAGGAGCAGGACGGCATAATGACCAAACTTAGAGTTTAGGTAGCGACGAGTTTTTCGACGAGCAGTATCAAATGTTGAATTTGTGCGTTCGGGNGAGGATTCGTGCAACAGGGGCCTCTGTGACTCTTCCATGATGTTCGTGAGCTAGATCCATCCACTCAGTACCTTTGCATGACAAGTTGTCAAGTTGAGACAGTGCAGCGAAATAGGTAGCGGTCAAAGACACATGAGCTTACAACGTGATTCAGTACAGCAAGTCTTGACTCCCCATGTAAGACTATCTTTGGATTGATGAGCCGAGACAAACTCTAGGTACTCAGGAGGAACAATTCGCAGCTGGAACTTGGTTCAGTTGGAGAGACAGAGGAAGCGACGATGGTGAAAGGGCCGTCTCGCTCTACCAGGTAGAATTAAGGTTTCTCCAGGATGCTTGGCATGGCAGTCACGACTGACAGTGGCTTGGAGCTTTCGCATGTCATTTGGTTTGACTCGACCCTTGATTGCCCTGTCTCATCCATCACAAAGAACATTTCACTGCCTTGCGACCTGTGATCGAGTCGCCTGTCTGGATATATTTGTGTGACGACTAGCGACCTTCATCTTCACCTCCATACATCCGCCTTCTTCTCCCCCGAACCACCATCAATGTAGGTTGCTCTCCCTCAGGTCGACTACTGTCTACCCTTGCCTGACCATGCTGAACCCATATGCAGCTCTCTTCTACCCTCTCAATCCAATCATGTCGGACACCAACAACGAAGTGCCGCCGCGACCCGAGGAGGAGCAGCCCGTCAACGACGATGAGACCAATGACGAGGAAGAGATTGCAGCAATGAAGAAGCGCGTGCAAGAGATGGAAGCCGAGGCACAAAAGCTGCGCGAGATGCAGGCCAGCTTGGATCAGCAGCAGGACGGTCTGCGCGAAAGCAAAGAAGACATCGACTCGCGCTCCGTCTTTGTCGGCAACGTCGACTACAGCGCATCGCCCGAGGAGATCCAGGCTCACTTTGGCAGCTGTGGCCCCATCAACCGTGTCACTATCCTGCTCGACAAGTTCACTGGTCACCCCAAGGGCTACGCCTACGTCGAGTTCCAGGAACCAAGTCTGGTCGCCAATGCCATTGTGCTCAACGAGAGCGTCTTCAGAGGCCGCAACTTGAAGGTAATCTATGCTCTTGAACCTTTATTCTCGCTATTTGCTCATTCTGTCTAGGTTGTACCCAAGCGCACTAACCTCCCCGGTCTGGCCAGAGGTGCTGCCGCTGCTGCCGGAGGCCGTGGCCGCGGACGTGGTCGCGGAGGTCCTATGGGCTTCGGTGGCCCTCCTGGCTTTGGCGGCGGTCGCGGAGGCTTTGGCGGTGCACCTCCATTCGCCCCTCGCGGTGGCGGGTAAGTCAAGCTCATCTCTGCCTATATCGAATAAACGCTGACGTGTTCTTCAGTTACCGTGGAGGCTACCGTGGCGGCCGTGGCAGAGGCTACTCTCCTTACTAATGAACCAGCACTTCTACCGAATGAAGTAATTACTGACGGCCAGTTATCGAAGCAAAGGAGACTTTGCTACGAAGAACTGACATTTTCTCGTCACACCATACGACCTCTGACCAAGCAGTACCGATCACGGACAGCTCAAGTCGATACGTTAACACGTGGATGGTTTCGCGGCGAGAAGCGGGAAAACCGGCATGAGAAAGGGAATGCGTGCGCCCATGACTTTTCTGCAATCCCTTGATATTTTAGTTTCTTTTTGCTTTCTCCTTCTTGTGTTACTTTATGGGGCCTTATTCGAAAGGACAAAAACGGGGGCCGGAGAAAGACAGAAAAATTTACAAAGAGAAAGTTATTCGAACGACACCTTGGTTCTCAACATGATGAAAAGAAAGAAGATGATGATGCCCAGAATATTGCTTATTGTAATGAGAAGAAAAGCAAGCAAGAGATGATTACTAAAAGAGGCAAGAAAGGAAGAGATGTATACAAAAAGTCCATTTGTATCATAGTGTAATGCCAGGGATGGCTGGCGAAGATTAAGAAGAAGAGGTGGAACAGACACTGCACAAACACTTCGCTCTTGTCCAACCTTGTACCCGACATGACGAAAACACGCCATTGGCTCTGTTGATATATCGGCTTGCAGTCAATGGATTAGCGAAAGAGCAGACATCTCGAAAGTGGTGGTTTGAAGTTCCACTAGGCCTCGTCAAGCATCCTCAAGCCTGCATGGCTCCTTTCGTGTCGGCCAGGCAGGGGTTCCCCAAAAAAAAATCAAGACATGTGTGTTACCAGGACACATGAACAAACTTGGTTTCTTCACGTCAATGGCAGCCGTGGCATCGAGAGGTTGGCATCTATCATTGACACCTAAAGCCTTACACCATGAAGAAGCTATTAAAATGAATAGATCTAGAGGAGATCCGTCAAACGAGTTTGGTGTAGAGGAGAGAGACTACCATGTTGCTTGGAAACATCGGTTACTGGCCAACTTTACAGTGGTATTGGAGTAGTGTACAGGGTGGAGCTATACATTCCCCGTCTAGAACAGGCATACAATTTCTAGAAACCCTGAGATAAACACATCCTTACAAAATGGTAGATGCAGATGGCATGCATCCTATCGTGTTTGGGGCTGGATCTTAAGCATGGGTTGGGTTGATGATCGTCTTTGCATGTTGTAGTTGCTCTGCTCTATTTCACTTTTCTGTATTGAAGTTCATCAAATTTGGTGCGTCCTTGTTCCGGGTTGTTCTGTGCTAAAAATCATTTTCCTTTCCATTTTTCATGAATGTGAACGGTGAAATAGTTGATCGAGAAAGACTCAGGTGGGAGAAATGAAAAATGATTGCTTGGTGTGCGCTGTCCTCTTTGCGCCCAATCCCTAATATACAACAATGTGCCTCCTCCTGTTTCCTGACATATAAGAGAGAGCGAGATTCCCTTGTCTTACTTTTGTACAATCGTTTATTCTTACAGCGATAGCTCGTTCTTGTTTAAGAATGCTGTCTCGTTTTATGGCTTGATCGACTTTGTCGACTTGAGCTTCTTCTTTCCAATTTGCCATCCCCAAGATCTCAGGATCTTGACGACCTTTGGGGTGACGGCTACGGCCAGTGGTACTCGGACAAAGATGAAGGATTTATGAATGGCGTAGGCGAGAACGAATTGTGTCCACAGTGCNTTCAGACGTGTCAGCTGCGAGTCTTGGTAAGATGTGTCAGGTTTCAACGTACATGCTTCCTCGTTGTTGCGCGCCTCTGCCTCTGGGACGCCCCATACGTTGCCTTCCCTAGCGGCAGGACTTCCAACAGCAGTCTCGACTTGTTCCACGACCTCGTCGGCCTTTGTGCCCACGTCAGGCATGACAGACTTGACAGCATCCTTGATGGTACCGACGATGGCGTGTTCCCAGCGGGCGACGCGGTCCGTACCCAGGCCCCTGACAGCCAGGAAGCAGAAGGGAAGGTCCAGAGCGGAGAGTCCAAAGTAGACGCCGGTCACTACCCAGCCATACTCCTTGCCGAGCTGCTTGAATCGCTGGAAAAANGAGAGCTGTGGTGTTGGGCTACCGAGATGTGGTGTGGGATCAGGGTTGGGTCTTGAACTGTTCCATCGCCGGGATGAAGGCGTGCGGAAGCGGGAGAGTAGCTGTCGCCATGTGGCCGTGTTGTTTGACGTGTTGGCAGTCTTTTGGGCGAATATCCTGTGGAATTGTGCTCGCTGTTGCGGTCTCCAGATTTGGTTGGCGACCCTGTAAGGATGGGCAGCGAGACGGCCTGTCGAGGCGCGGGCGGCTTGGCGCTGTAGGTGCTGCAGTAGAACCATGTTGATGATAGAGTGTCGATGGTCGCTATTGCTGTATCGCAAAGCTCAGCTGTTGATCGCGCCTGCCTGATTCATGCTGATGGCGACGGCCGACAAAACTCGATCAAGCTTTCCCTGCGCTAACCCCGCCTCGGCCTCGACCGACTCCCTCATGTTCCATCTTTCGGTATATGCGCCGAACCCTCTACCGAGACGTCCCTTGAGACGTCGTTTGCTGAGGACTCGACATGCCTCGTCTTGTGCTCTTCGAAAATGTTCGACCAGCTTGCGCTCGTCATCTCATACGCGCGACCAGATGCAGCTTCACAAGCCATCCAGTCTCCTGTAATTTCCTCGGACAGCATAGCTGGTAGTCTTACGGACGTAAGAGCCGGCTCTTTTTCTCACCGAGCTCCGCCGAACGTCTCATACCTACTGCTAAACATGCCGCGCAGTATTGTCGCCCATGCTCGCCCAAGAAGGTAGTCATCTTGCCCTCTTATCGCCAGCAAAAGGAGGCCGACCGGCCGCCGTGACTACCAGATTAAACATTGCCATGCCGTGCTAGAAAATACATCCCGTAACGACATGCCGTCGAGCATTTGTTGATCACATCACTGTTCTACACACGGATTGCTTCCGCTTTGATACGGATATCGCCTCCGAAGTGAACTCTGCAATATCTCCAATTTAGCCAACAACCGAACCAAGCGAATGGGTCCACATGCTCATATCACAATCCAAGCCCAGTTGTCTGAAATGGTATTGGTTGTTTCGACCTTGAAAGCGTTTAACCGTTGATCATGGCCGCAGCTGTAAAGTTGTACACAAATACGTGCATGTACAAAGCCCGAGACCGAATGTCCGAGACGTCACACGTGCCACGACTTCACTGTCCAAATAAGCTTCCGAGCACTTGAGCAGAATAGGTGAGAACTTAGAAGGCTCAGATTAAAGTCGTGGCCAGGCGTTATTCCACCAATCGAGGCATCCATTCGGAGACGAGCCTAACGCCATATCTGCGTGAGGCGTTGACTTGATACTTCGGTACATGCAAGCAACAGAACAGTGCTCGATTCGCTTTGGCTCCTTCTCCATAACACGTCCACATACATCAGGGTCGTTGGTGATAATCTCAGGGTTCACGCTGCTGTCGTCGGTCACGCTGTCACAAGGTTCGGGAACACGTTTGACTCATGTACGGCGGGTCTTTCTCGAGGCTCCAAAGACTGTTGCTTGCTCAGCAGGACAGAGTTTGAACAAGAATGGCATGAGTGCTCGTGTGTAAGGTTTCCGTTCATTCTTAGGCAGCCGTTGCATGACAGCCATATGTATCCATCGACTACCGATTGTACAGCATTGCGTTTACTATGACTCTCGCTTCGCGCTGAATGCCTGTTTCATATCTCATGCCCCACCCGCTATCTCACACTCTATTAGACTTCCCTTGCTTGAATTCTCAAATGACTACGGGTGACATTCTCGCGGGGAGTCCTAAACACTCAGAGTCAATAAGTTCCGTTCTGTGGAACAATGTAATAAGAGTCAATATGCTTCATCAGGGCTTCGGCAGACGATGCATGGTGTAACTTGGTATTGGGGTCTGATGGGGACGTCTGGTCGACGCGGCCTCTCAAGGTCTTGTCATTGACAAGGCTCATCATCCATTAGGTAGACCGTTGCGATGTCTGATCTAGGTGCACCTATCTGCATAGCATGGTGGTGGAGCATACACTTCTCGGCATCGCCGCCCCTTCCGCCGCAGCACGCGCCCCTAGTCCAAAACACGTTGTGGTACTCACAACAGCGGCCATCTGAAGCTTGTTCTCCAACATCAACTTTCCCACGACAGGGGCGTCACAAGGCTCGATCCCTTTTTCCTTAGGCTAAACGATGGCTGCACGGGATGCTCAGGCCTTACGTATATAGATATCCACGCCGTGACCCAGCCTGATTCGTCCACGTCGTTAAGTCTCCCACCACAGACCAGAGTCCCAAAGAAAGAAAAATTCCCTCTGTTCCTTGACTATCACTTCATTTGCCAAGACACATTCGCTCTAATGGCTATTCATATCGCTTCTCTTCCCTCTCCCATCATGTTCGCCTTGAACACTTCTCCTCGACCCCGAACTCGTCAATACTCTTCATCTTCCTCCTCCTCCAACGTATCCATGGCTCAACGCGACTCGATGGACATTGACATTACCGGTGTCTTGGACATCCAACGTGCTCTCGACATTGCTCGCAACACCGAAGGAGACCTTGATCGCTCTGTGGCAAAGTACCTGGAAGAACAACTTGCTGGAGTCTGGAGCCGACTTGAGTCTCGTCCCGACAGCTACGTCCTGAACAAGGACGAATTCGCCATCTTCAACTACTTTGTTGGTCGTTACCAAGACTCACAGGTGGCCGAGAAAGCCATTGCACGCTTCTGGTCTAGCTACCAGGACAACAGCTCCTCGTAACCAACCGGTCTCGAATCCTTCAGAGTACTGGTAAGCCCGTTACACTCCACCCGTCTGCTACACGCTTCCTAACGCAGTATGAAGTAGCAGAACATTGCGATTGGCAGCTTCGCGAGATGAATTCTCGGGATCAAACGCGGCTCCTTTTACCGAGGATCATCATGCATGAATGATCAATAATCAGGCTTGCAGGCTTGCAGACTTGCAGGCGGCTTCATTCCCGGCTTTAACATCATCGCATGGACCTACACTTCCCAAGCTTCTGCCTGAACATGTTTGTATCTGGATTGAACATCTGTACCCGAATGGACTGCATCCTATTACACTTTCCTGTTCATGGAATGTGCTCCTGCCCTGGAGGCACGGGACCCGACACGGCGCTATTACAGCCGACGATACATCCACATAATGGCAACAACACAGACGCCCCGCCTTGGATCGCTGGTCGACCAGCCATCTACTACATCTGTCATCTCCTGAGCCCAGTCATAAGCGGCCGACGTCTTATGCTTGACAAACGCACATTGTCACTTCCATATGAATACTGCGCTTTGCGCTTGTACTATGGACGACAAAGATAGGCTCTCGCTGGCAACCATACCCACGCCGTCAAGGCGTTGATGGAACGCGGTGTGTAGAAGGACTCATGGGCGAATGTGAATGACGACAGAAACCGTAGGCCACCCCAGGCGCCTACTCCATGGATTGTTGCGAACAGACTACGCGCCATCACCAAGATAATACGGAGAGCACACTACTATGGCGCCATACATGGAACATTTTATCTCATTGTAACATAGAGCACTGCGCTTCGGCTAAGCGCCGACATAATCCATATGACTTTTAGTTTCAGCTGCAATCTCCTTGTGCTACATATCTCTCAATCGCGCATCGTGACAACCATCTTCCACACACGCATACATGTCCGCATCGAACCACTAAGGGGAAGGAGTCCAGAACTGCGTTTGGCCGTGTGTGGGTCCCCTGTTCCGGTCCCTCTTCCGACAATGCAACTACTTGACTCGTGTCCACCTCCAAATCGAACATCGACACCTGCTCGCCCAGCCCCACATCAGTGGATAGACCAGCCAAGTTCTAGGGCATCAGGGTCGACCCCCAATCAGAGCCGCAAACCGGAGACCCGTGGTTGCCAAACCATCAGGCGACCAGAAGGAAGGAAGAGGGCCAAGAGAGGTTGAGAGCAGACAGAAGGGAGAGCCCTGCAAGCTCAAGCGGTTAGTCATGCGGTGTGCAACCATGCAAGGAGGTTTTTCTTCTCTTCCTTGTTTTGCACTTTACGTTTTTTCTTCGCCCAACTGTGTTTAGATTGCAGCGCTGGGTGTTTTGCCAATGAACTCTCGAGGAAAGGACAGGGAACAAGGTTCTTTGATGTGTAGTCAAAAACAAGCCCAGGATGCACAAACCAACAGGCCGGGTTTATCTGGCAAAGCAACGGCCATCAGGCCCTTTGATTTTCTATCCTTTTTCTTCATCTCTTGTCAAGAAACATCGCAACACATGTTGTCCCACAACCTCCCCACCGCAAGAGTCAAGTAGCGCGAGTGGGGCTCGATATGGGTAAAGAAGGTCTCGAGTTGCCAATTGTGAAGAGACCTCGAACACAGGCGGCCGTTTTGCTGTTTCTCCTTGAAGACCAAATGTAGCGGACACAGATTGGGAAGCTTCGGAGCTGAAGCAACAGGAGCATAGGGCCTCGATGAACTGTTGCACCTTTTCAGCTTTGAACGTCTATCTCGGGTCCCGAAACGGTAGAGCAGTTGTGTTAGGATGTATTTTTGATGGAGACGATTGATTGCCTATGTTTTTGCGATGGAATTATTTCCGCCACGACATGAGGCTTAAAATTAAACATTTCCACCCACACCCCCTTGTCTGCAATTGCAAGCGGGCGGCGGCCATCAAAACCTCGTCGTCACGTCTCGGAGCATGTCATGCAAGGCCTGATTGTTCGGTGTTTGTCTCGTCTGCTTTGTCCTCTTCACGACTCACGAAGGGTCGATCTCACGTTCGGATCGTCTCGACCTCTTTGCGGGTGTGCATACGCTGATGTGATGTCCGCCTTCAAACAGATCCACGTCTCGATGGACAGACTCTCATGGGTGATCCTCATCCAGTCCATGCGTCATGTCTATCCACCATCAAGCTATACCGCATTCGACGTTGTCGAGGACCATTCTCTGCATACGGTATGGCGCACAACCTTGTTCAAAACCTTGCCCTGGACCTCACCATCTGACTCGCACACCTGGCGTGTGTCCACTCATCTCGACTTTGCGTCTTTTGCGGGACAGGGACACAACAAGGTTCACTTTATCAGATCACCGAAGGATTTGGTCTCCGGGCTTACTTCTTGGCTGTGGGAAACAAGGGCTGGGCAAGTCATCCGTTAGAAGACCACAAAAACGTTTCCAAAGAGGATACGATACTTTTTGTGCAAGAGTGATGGGCGCGTGTAGTTCAAGTCGAACATGTGGCATGACATGCGCGCGCCATCTTACTTTTCGCAAAAGTGTATTTTTATATCTCAAAGCTAAAATCCAAGTATCTCACACGGCAACAACTCCTGATGCCCTAACGAGGTGACCACTTCAAGCATGTTAAGGTTGGAAGGCACCTTTTCGCGTGATGAAAGGAGCATCATACGACGCAAAAGGCGTAAGGCAAGGATATCATAGCTGTTCATACTATTGCTGACATATACCACATGCGTCTCACTTATCAAACTCTCCATCGGCGCAATGTAGAGAGTTGAACCTTATACATGGGAGCTTACAAACACACTCGACTCCCTACCTTGGCAAATCAAAAAGGCGATGCGTAAAAAGTCATGAAAAATAATATGTATCACAACAAAGTTTGATATGCTGCCGTAGCGAATAACCCGAGCCATTTTCAAGAGACGGCTGAGATTTTGTCTGATTTGCTCCACTGCTCTTTATTGGCTTGTTGTCATTATCTTATGATGGCCACGAAGTCATCATCACAAGACGAATCCGCCCAGTGATTCATAAGGAGAGCAAGGAACGGCGTTCAAAACACTCGCCATGTAGGCCATGGCGCCACTGCAGAGAGTGTGATACATGCAAAGTCTATAAGCGAATGGTCTGTCACACCGTACGATGGTCTATTCCTCTTCTAAAAGTGTTTAATAACTTGCTCCTCTTTACCCTATAACCATCATGACTCGGCGTACGTTGATCAGCCCAACGGCGTCCAGAGTCGTACTCCTCGACTTGGCATAAACTCTACCCTTCTGTCGGTACTCCCGGGTGCACGTCAGAATCAGCATGTATCGGTCGCCTTGACCACCGTGGCGATTGAGTGCGGCCAGGTCACCACGGACACAAAGTCGAAGACAACACAGGGTCGAACGTCGATCAACGTCATCTTGAATGATGGATAGGATCAATAGTGCTTGGGGATGTCTACTATACACAGCTAAACGCGTTTATCCATCTACAAGACCACGACCATCGTTTCGCCTAGCTAGTGGGTCGAGACGGCTGCTCCATCAATTCTTCCTCGATGATGTGTCCTTGGATTTCGAGACGATACGAATCTTCTTCCCGTTGCCTTTGTCGAATATGGAACGGTGCATCGGTGGAGGCGCACGAGCTGCTTCCTCCTCGACCATTCTTAGTGCTTCCAGCTTCGCAAGTCTGTTCTCTTCCTCAAAGGTGGTTGCTTGCTCATCGTCGAAATCAGAAGCATTGTCGTCGTCATGATCGGCAGCGCCATCTAGCTGAGGCATCGCCTTTGGATGTGCGGATGCTGCTGCGCGCGCACGGGCTGCAGGTCCAGGTCTGTTGGCCATCCTTCCCTCCATCCTCCTCCTCGAATCTTTGTAGTTCTCGGGCAACTCGTCAGGAAGATCCGGATCATCAATGTGCTTCTTCTGGATGTAAGACGATACCCTGCGCTTTCCGTTCTCACGTTGACGACCATTGTATGCGCCATCTCTATCATCCTCTCCAGAGTTGAAGTCAGATTCAACATCGACTTCTTCATAGTCAGCCTTTTCCTTGAGAGCGATATCCGACCTTACAAGCACGTTCTCGTGTGGCACTTCTTGGTCGACTTCTGGGGTCTCAGAGACAGGTTGGAAGGACTTGGCGGCTTGTTGTGCGAGCAGTTGCGCAAGACGTGGTCCAGATATGCGAAGCCGGATGGCGCGCTTCTTTCCCNNCCTCAAAGCAACTTGTGCTGCGATGAATCGTCCTGCCTTCTTAGCCTCATCGAGAGCTTTGCGTTCCTTCTCCTTTTCGAATTGCTTTGTTGCTTCGTTCCTAGACTTGTAGAGCACGGAAGCAGGATCTTCCGAGATTCTGCGTCTCTTGGTTCGAGTACCCTCCATGTAAATTTCATCATCATCGTCTTCGTAGGCCTCGTGGTTGCGCTTGTTACGGCGTGCGGAGCCCGAGACCAATGAGGAAATTGGCTGGTACCCGTCATCTTCATCGTCATCACCGAGAGGGTCGGGGTAGGTGTAGCTGGTGTCTTCAATATCTGGATACATCCGAGCCCTCGGAGCGACAAACCCACTGGTCGTAGCAGGGGCATACCCTTCAGGTGCGTCCGTTACTGACTTGTGGCCATTGCCCAGCAATGAAGAGGGTTTGACACCTTTGAGCGTTGCTTCTGGCGGTGGCAGGAGGGATGCTGCAGCCTTTCCTTTCGCTCGAGTGGTCTGAGGAATAGTACCCACAAGTTGAGGATCAATCATAGAGTCATCGGGTGAGTAATCGAACCGGACGTGACTCTGCTCAACGTCGGGCCCCTCTTCATCATCGTCGTCGTCCATCAGAGGGTCCGCCTCTTTCGCTCTCTTGGCCTCTTCACGAGCTCTTCTGATGCGGACACTTTCTTGCACATCCTCGTCATCGTCTCTTAACCAAGTCAGGTTAGAGACGGAAAAGTCTACAAGACACTCCACACTTCTGGCATCGGCAATTCTCTTGGTATCATGGCCCAGGAGAGTGCCTTTAGGCTCATAAGGGTGCTGCTTGGGATCCTTCCGACAGGCTCCTGCAAAACATGCGTCCTGGCAATGTGGGCACGACCAGTCAGCGTCCTGCATGACTGTGAGTGGCATCATATCGGCTCCTCTGAATAGAGACCCATAGCACCACCACTTGTCGCAGGTAGTACACTTTGCAGACTTCCAATTTGGGTGTCTCTTACAACAGACGTGGCAGGGACTGTGAGTCTTATACCAAGCCTTGGGCTTCTTCTTCACTGTCTTCTTGACGCGGCCTTCGTCGTCGACGATGATGTCCTCTTCACTCTGCTCGTCGTCTTGCTTCGGCTTGGCAATGTCAGTGAAAGGGCGGCGCTTGAGCTGCTCTCTGCAGACTTCGGCCAGCGTCTTGTGAGGAAGGTTCCTTCGAGCTTCGACCAGTGGTGGAGGGGCTTTTGCTGCATTGCCACCGTCCAGGTCGATGACTTGCTTACGCCAAGAGTCGTATTTACCGCTCAACTCTCTCCACTTGAATTGTTCTGTAAACTTGAGGTTGGAAATGCAGCCGCACGATCTGCCCATGGCGTAGCAATCTAAGCACACATCGTAGGGCTCTTCTTCTTCATGGCCGAGTGCATCCTTGCAGTTTGAGCACGTCAAGAAGCGATTGAAAATGTTGCATCGGCAGTAGGCGCATGTGACGTTGCTGTCGAAAGGCAAGAATTCGCACTTTTCCTGAGGACCATCAGGATTGAACATCTCGGAAACAAGGACACCCAGGAACAAGCCGAGAAGGCGCCTGAAGTCTTTGACCAGTTGCTTGATCTTGGGACTGCCCATCAGCTGACGAGCGGCGTCGGCGGGAAGCTTGTCGGACTGCGATCTCGCCAATGCGAGTCTGTTAGAATATAGCATCAGCGTGTAATAGATGATGGCCTTGGTTTTGTACTGTTCGTCTCGGCAGACAATCTTTGCTTTTGGTAGAGCCTCTTCTATGGCCATTTCCAGAGTCTCAAGTGTGGTCCTGTTCCAAGCAACTTTCATGGTTCGTGTTCCTCTGTTCCATACTTGGTGGGGAGCTAGGGGAGGGATCAGGATAAAGTCGCCGGGACGTTGTTCGACGACATAGACGTTGAAAGGAGCTCTTTTCCAAGCCGAGACTTGAGCAAAATGATTCTCGACTTCAATATCATGGCCCAGAGTTGAGAGCCAGTACTCGGAGACGGTGTTGCGGTCCTTGGACTCGGTCATGAACCAGATGGAAGAACCGGGTCTTTCGGGCTTGCCATCCTCACCAACATCCTTGGAAGCTTCGACCATGATGTTGTGACCCATGGTGGCGCACATTTCTCGGTGTGACGGGGTGTAAGTGCCCTCGTGGCCGATGTAGCACATGAGGTTCTCGGCGCGCATTTCGGGAGGAAGCGAACTCATCAGATCACCAGCACGAGCGATTCCACGGGCAGGACGCCTGCCAGGGCCAAGGNNGTAAGGGTTGGCACCAGGGCCGCCGATGTCTCCNGTACTCTCATTGAGGTAGAAGAGGAAGGGCGGGATGTGGTCTTGGAGTTTGTCATGCCAGACTTGGGGGCAGTCGATGTCTTTCAGATAGATCCTTTGGCGGCTCTTGTCCTTGTAGTTGCGCGTGTTTTCGAAGAACTGATTGCTCAGCTTATTCATGTTTCTCAGATAATGGCCGATGGTGAGNGGAAGGGACTCCTTGGTCGACAGGTTCTTCGAGCTCTCGACTNNAGAATACATGTCAGTGAGGAAAGGGTAGAGACGAGTATGGGCAGACTCACTCTTGGAGCCGACATTGTCATTCAGCCATTTGGAAGAAAAGGTCCACGGGTCCAGGCGGTTCTCAAGGCCGTCGACGACGNNAGGCTTGCCGCCGATGATGACATGGAGGAGGACGAGCTTCTCGAAGGCGGCGACACCTTGCTCACCGATCTGGTCGACCGAGATGCGATCGACAAAGGAGAAGTTGGGCGTGGATTCTATAAGGCCGTTGATGTCGAAGTCGGGCGCGATCGGCTCGAAGGCCGCACGCGGCCGCTGTGCGGGCATCCTGTGTGCGGGTTTGTGTGGTGTGGCGCACACTCCGGCACGCCAGGGAGGACATGCGCAACACTCGGGTGACTAGAACACGCGTGTCGAGCACGGTGAACAGAAGGTAGGTGTATGAGAGCTTGCAACGTGACTGTCGCAACGGAAGCTGCGACTGACAGACCGGGCAGACGCGTCGTCGGGGTAGCTCGAGCCGATCGGCCAGACACGAGCACGGTTCACGAGCCTAACGTACTCTTTTTATCCCACCTCCTACTTGCACTTGCTACGGATATCGCGTCTCAGTCTTGTTCTCACGTGTCAGCATGTACTGATTGTCCTCAATATCCACTCGAGCTTCAGTTTTCTTCAGTAGGTGCCAATGCTCTTGTCAATCCTCCCTTGACTCTGTATGTTGAGCTAGGTTCTTAGTTTTCGTTGTCCTTCTCCTGTCCAAGTCATGTTGTCTTCTCGGATATCGGCCTCTATAGGTCGCAGATGCCTCATCAATCCTTTAAGAACACCACCCTCGACTTCTTTTTTCTATACTTGCCGTCCGGCTTTTGCTTCTTCGAGACGACCGAACTTTCTCAACCACAATACTCGTCATGTCACAGCTTACTCAAACATCGCCTCTACAACCACGCCGCTGCCGCCCAAATCTACTGATCACAGCGCCTCAATACTTCAGCATGAGGCTGGCGTGGCTCAAGATTCGTCCCCAATTTCCTACGAACCTCCAAAGTCAGGCTTTNTGTCCTATTTGCCTGCCTCATTCGTGCCCTATGCCGAGCTGATCCGCATCGACAAGCCGGTAGGCACTTATTACTTGCTTTTCCCTTGTATCTTCAGCACCCTTCTTGCCGCTCCGCTGGCATCACCCATCACCGCCCCTTCAACAGTCCTGGCCACCACTGCTCTCTTCGCTACTGGCGCACTGGTCATGCGTGGCGCAGGCTGTACTATCAACGATCTCTGGGATCGAAATCTGGATCCAAAAGTTGCCCGTACCCGATTGAGGCCTATCGCACGTGGTGCTGTTTCTCCAGAAGCTGCCATCGTCTATACTGGCTGCCAACTCCTGACCGGTTTGGCTGTGCTACTGCAGTTTCCTTTTGAATGCTTCTTCTACGCTACGCCTTCATTGCTCTTGGTATCGACATATCCTCTGGCAAAGCGTGTTACCAACTATCCTCAAGCTGTCTTGGGGCTCACCTTCTCTTGGGGCGCCATCATGGGCTTCCCTGCTTTGGGTGTCGACCTTTTGTCGAACCACGCCGCACTCACTGCTGCAGCTTGTCTGTACTCTTCCAACATTGCATGGACTATTCTTTACGACATGATTTACGCGCACCAAGATATTAAGGACGATGCAAAGGCCGGTATCAAATCAATTGCTCTTCGTCATGAAAAGAACACCAAGGCAGTTCTCAGTGGTCTGGCCGTCGTTCATACCACTCTGCTTGCCGCTGCTGGAGCTGCAATTGGAGCCGGGCCCATTTTCTATATTGGCACTTGTGGAGGCGCTTTGTTCACAACTGCAAACATGATCTGGAGAGTGCGTTTGAGCAGCGTCAAGAATTGTTGGTGGTGGTTCAGGAGTGGATGCTGGATGACTGGTGGTGCGATCACCCTCGGCCTCACTGGAGAGTACCTTGCACATTACCTCGGATGGTACGAAGATGAGTCCCGCTGAACCTCTGGCACTGCAGTCAGCACATGTATGTATATGTACGATATGATTTTGAACTTGCCGTTGAACGCACCCCTACTCGATGTCAAGATGTCACCGTGTGGAAAGAGACTTTTTCTGAATCAGTATCAGAATATTTGAATCTCCTAACACGGCCAGAATGTGATAAACAACATGTCCTCCTCACGGCACCGAACTCGTGGGTTGCAGGAAGCGGGGTCTGGGCCGTGCCGATCGTCTGCACAGATTCGAAAGGTCGCAGTTCATGGCTTCACACTTGCCGAGTCTCTCTCACATCCACAACGCCATCCGTTACACGACATGCGGCACAAGTGCAAATTTGACAAAGCAATTCAGCAACACTCGGATCTGGTCGTCGCAGGATTGTTTTTTCCTATCCATCGTCTCTTGACTAGGTGATGCTATGATGGACGTCGCGAGACGAGCACTTCATCGAAATGGCCTATGTGGCCAAGGTACTCCTATAAATTCAGGTCATGGTTCGAGTCGCACAACATCAAAACGATGTCCTCGCGTTGGGAAGTCACTGTCCCGAACGCAGCTTCCATGCGCAATCACCGAATCGGCCTCGCCCATTGGCTCGCCAAACTGCAATTGCAGAGGTCACTATGCGCCGTCCCGACCAATGGTGGTGTGAACGCCTTTCTGAAGGATCCAAAAGGTTTCAAAGCCGTCGACATCAATCCCTACCTACTTACGGTGCATTGTTTTCTTGTACAACCCTCTGTCCTGGGCACATTCGACTTCCTACCAAACGGCATGATCTCCCACATCGCCAGCCCGAACATCCTCCGTCATCCTTGACTTACGAACGAGTCAAGCAGCAAAACATTGAAGCGCATGGCCGCTGTTTCGATACTCGGTATACAAACCAGCTATACCCAGGCTTCTAACAATATTGTCTTGGTCGCAAGTTAGATTTGGCTAAAGAACTCCCATCTCTTCAACTATCCCTTCCTGGATATACCACGACTCTATATGTACCAGGTTCGACTGTGGAATTAAGTCGGCCACAGATACCGGTTCATTTCATCAGGCCCACTAGGCTCGGTGCCGTCCGCTCATCTGTTTAGTCGCTCGTTTTGTCAAGATACGACATCTAATCCATCATCATCATATTTTTCTTCCAATGTCGCTCTCATCGGTTGCGCCACACGCAACAGCCACTATGGCGATACCATCTCTGCTCGTCGATGATATTGGCGGCTATACACCAGGGGATATGGTACCATGGCACTTCATACCAAGCATCATCGTTGCTTCCTTTTTCGCCAGTCTCAGTGGTACGCTGTTGACCATTGAACTACTCCAACGAAAGCGGTTGGGCAAGTCGATTATGAGCAGGCAAGCATTATCCTTTTCGGCCATCTCCCATCGCTGACTTTGTTTCAGGGTACACCTTTTTGCTTGTTCGGTAAGTATGGGCCTCATCGGTATATGGTGCATGCACTTTATTGGTAATCGATCCATTGCTCTGGCAAATGGCCAGAGTCGGCTACAGCTCGTCTATAATCCTGCATACACTGGACTATCATGTGTTCTACCAGTCATTGGCCTGGCCATAGCTTTCCAGATTGCGGAAGTCAGCATCAGCTCCTTTGTCCTGCGCAGACTTCTTGACGTTGCCTGCGGGCTCATGGCCGGGCTTTCAATCGTCTCCATGCACTATGTTGGGAACCTTGGAGTGTCAAACTATACGCTGATATATCCAAGACGGTATATTATTGCTGCCTGTATCATCGCTGTTGGCGAGTCGACAATTGCCCTTGCGTTGTTCTTCTACTTCAAAGAACGATGGATCAGCGTCTGTTGGAAACGCTGTCTTTGCGCGCTTCTACTTGCAGTCGGAGTGTGCGGTATGCACTTTACCGCATCTGTCGGCTGCCAGTATCAGCTCAAGCGTATTCCATCCGAAGCGGCGCCTGACGCAAGAAACACGCCCGTGATTGTGGCCGCTACCATGGTATGCTTCTCTCTAACATGAGTCTCGACTATGTGCTGACGTCGTATCAGTNGCTTCGTAGCATCTTTATCTTGTCTCCTGATTCTCTTCTACGTTCGGTATCGGAATGCAATCCTCGCTAATAGAGCCCAGTGTATGATGCTAGCATGGTACCACCAGATTTTCTGCTTGTCATGTTTCTTTGTCACTAACCAACTCCNNAGTGCCTACTTCGACGAGCATGGCAATATCATGGTTACGAATGAAGGGACTTTACCTTCGCAGAGGATTGCTAAACGTTTTGTGCTTCAAGTAGGTGGGTGTTGACAAGTTCACTATCGCACGGCACTGACTCATGNNCAGAAATTTGACGACCACTTTGGCATACACCATCCTGTCTGGTTCTGGATTTGGAAAGTGAGTTGCGACTGGAAAAGTGTCGTTGATCTGATTCCCAAAATGCGCGCCCACCTCCAAAGGACGAACGTCTATAGCGGTTACAACACAGCGGCATCAAGCAGGAGTAGTATTCACGATGAGGAGAGCTATCACGACTCGAGCGTCTTGTTTCGAGAAGGATACTGCGTAGCCGCATCGGATCTCGCCGCGCAATTACAAGTACCTCTTGTGGACGGCCTAGGTCCTCTTTACGATCAAGTCTTGGGTACGGGTCTTCTGACGGCGTACCAACACGGCATCAAGGCCCTCGATAACGACGGTACTCAACAATCAACAATTTTCGAAAAAGGCCAGCTATTGTTCTACACCCGCAGGTTATCCCCTCCTGAATTGGACCACTACACGGCAGCTGGGTTCAGATTCGCTCCGTTGAATCGTGTCGAAGGTGCCATTGCGAACACGATGCAGATCCCGATCGGTCTTCTCGCAATACAAATGCAGCGCGTACAAGACTTTGCCTACAGAACGAGTGTGCCTTGCCCTCCGAAACAAGGCACTTTTTTCGTCTGTCTCGCCGCTCTTGCTCGAATTCGCGATAGCTTCCGAGTGCTTGTACCAATAGATAGGCAAGATGAATTACCAGATGTTCAGGTCTCTCCGTACAACATGAACTCGCGGCAGCTGGATTGGCTCAAGCGTTTCAATGACTGGACGGCAGAGAAGCTCATTTGGCATGTCAAGCTGAAGGAGCAGAACTGGAACACGTTGGACGACGACGAAGAAAAGGCACTCTTGATCATGCTCCGAACTGCACTAGCCTCACTGGCCACCAAGGTTGGGGAACGTTGGCTCATGGATCTTGTCTTTTGCGCAGAACCAATCACGATACGCTATGGTGCAAACAAGGCACAAAGAGATGGTCTGACGATGGTATTTGGCTTCACTAGATTGGTGGACATTCACCAGCCGGCTCGCAAACTCCCTGCCGGCCTTACACTCGCTAGTTGGGATCTTGTGAGGATGCGACAACACTACTATCCTGGATGCGACGATCAAGGCCGGATCCGAAGAGAAGTTCACGCAGAGTTTGGAGCACTTCTTACAAAGCATGAAGAAGCCATTCGCTCGGAAGGACAGCGAGTCAGATCTCACAAGTTTGGTCGAACACGTTCGGCGTGCTCAGACGATAGTGGTGTACTTAAGCAAGACTCTTGGTTCGAAGGCAGGCATATGGAAGCAAGAAGAGGCTCGATTGACTCGATCATTGGACACCCTCAGCCATGGGGCGGTATCCTCGCGACAACAGATACGGTTATCGAAGGTGTGTCCAAGACAGGGATCGAGTTGCGCAATCTGACTCCTCAAGTAACCGCAGGAGCGTCGGCAATGGTGGTCACCAAGGAGCCCAAGACTTTTGTGGATTACCTCTATGAACAAGCAAAGGGTCGTGCATGTCTTATTGTTTCTACTTGATGGAGAGGTCCAGGTCTGGAAGTTTAGATAGCTAAATCCTCCTGAGTTGTTTACAGTATCCCTATACATGATAATATGTTCCCTGAACGTCAAATCGACACGCTCGTCTCCATCGGGTTATGTAGTCGATCAATGTAACAAGGGAGCTCACAAGTACCTGTCAATTCTGGTCAACGCTATGACACTTCATGCATCAGGTATATGATCCCAAGAAGTACAATCAACCCGCACCCCTAGCGATAATGATGAAGGAATGCCAGAGCATCATCAAGATCATGGCAGGGTCACCTTCAGTCCTGGATCGAGATTGTCTGCCTGTTTTTCCGACCAGGGTCGCCCACACAGCAGCATTCATGATAAAGTCGATCGGATCATTGCAGTTTCAATCGTCTTTTTGCAACGACAGGGATTGCAGAGGCTGCATTCTGAGACTTTGCTACAGCTCCAGGATATCTATATAGTACGTCGTGTCCTCTTGTTGACTCACACGGTCGAGTCTGATCCTCAGAAGCAACCAAGTCACAGCCGGCTCGAGCAGCGGGACCGAGAGATGACGAGAAAGACGAAGACGTATGTTCTCGAAGAGGATGTTATTTAATCCGTATTGCTCAAATTGTATTCCATCTCTTTTTGCTGTCTTTGCCAATGCCTGCGCATGCCACTCCATGCATCGGTGGCAGTTTCGGCTCGAAGTATGTATGCGGTTGATGGTGTTCTCGAATCGCAAGGCGAGTATGCGCAGGGCTGTAGAGAGACGAAGAATCGGCGACAAGGATACTAGTAATTTGGGCAACCGCGTCGTGCCATGGTCAACGAGACCGAACTTGGTACGCTGGCAAGATGCACCAGCAGAGACGAAAGGGTGTTATCCAGGGCCGATGCGAGGCATGTCATGGTGCTCGCTCAGAGTCGACAGGTACTTATTCAACTCCTCGACACGTTCCTTGTGTGTCTTGACACCCTCGCGCATCAGTTTTTCCTCGAGNCTGTGGTCTTGTCATTAGCAAATGCCGTTCTGGCAGTATTCAAGGCCAGGTGAACTTACGCGCTTGCGTCTGGTTTCTTCATGGCGTCTTTCGTATTCTGTCTTGCCGTCATCGGGCACAAGGCTCTCTTCCTTGTTCTTTTCCCTCTGCTCGAGATCTGTGGTGTTCTCAGGGTCGAATGTGTCTTTGGCGGGTGTTGTGTCCTTTGATGATGTCGCAGCGGCGGCGACGGCGACGGCGGATGATTTGGACGATTTCTTTTTGCGNCTTTTTTCTATGCCGGCGTTTTTGGCGCCCTTGAGTTTGAGCCCGCCGCCTGCGGATGTGTATTCTGACGACGGCATGGCTGGCGTGAAGGAAGGTAAGATGGATGGCCGAAGGTGGGGAGACTTTCGCGGGCAGCTTGCTCGCAACGACTGCAATGACGAACACTACTTGACATGAAAATAGATGTTGAAGTACGACAATTCATCGAGATGAGTGGAATGAATATTAGAACTGATTAACTATGGAGGATGCAAAGTAGAGGGAGAGAACATGATTTTGTGCAATTTACCTCTGTTCTGACAGACACATTTAGTGTAAACAGCTGCCTCGAGCAACACGAGAAGATCGTGGCTCTACAAATGCTTACACCAGCAAGTAGCAGATGACACTGGAACAGATCAGCAACAGATAACACTGCTCAGTGCTTTGTTGTTACGCAGACTCTTTGTTGACACTCAGCTTCATCAGCATAAACAAAGCACACTCACAACAGCCTCCCATCACGACAACATTTCGGCAGCACTTGTCCATCCTTCATACAATCAGTCCTGACCAAAACAAACAAGCTCTTCTTCAACCACCAGCACAAGGCTGGAAAATCAATGAAAAGTGTACCGTGTCAAAAGACAGAGTAAGAAACCAAAAATTCCTCCCGACCAGCCCCCGCAGGAGATGGTTAGAGGTACTTCTGCGCGCTGTGCAATGCACGAAGTTCCTCTAGACAGCCGGCCTTCTTGATCGCCAGTGTCCGAAAAAGGTAAGTATGCGGGAGGAAGAAGGTGGTGGATAGGGGACTCTTTTATAGAGCCTGCTCGCACTGGTCGCTTACTAAGCTCTGCGAGCTGGCAAGTTCCATGTTGCATGTGAAAGGCAGTGAGTGATAGAAGATAAGAGGTAAGGCCGGAAATGGGTGGCCTCAGGCTTACTTCACTTGAGCCTCGACGCTAGGCACCAGATATCAGTACCCTGAACAGTCAATCTTGTTCTCTCGTGCCGTTGTGACAGTGAGGCAGTTCAAAGACGTTCTTTGGTTCATCTTGGGGACGTCCAGTGCAGTCCAGTACCTTGTGTTGTATGCAAGAAGTCCAGCATGAATCAAGAACTTTCAGCCTCTCTCAGTGAATATTGTTGTCCTCCAGAAAGTGTTGTGCATTCTGACCGTTCCAGACAGATGAGTGAGGATATCGGTGAGAGGAATGAGGTAGATATCCCTAATGTCCTGGGTTGTGTGGCGAGGACCAGTCCATTTTCAAAGTTCCGTCACCTACGTGTTTTTGTTGTTTTGCTTCACAGGCTCGATGAAAAGAAAGCACGACTCACCTATCTTCACCTACCTTGATTACTTCTCTCTTTCCTTCTTCCCAACCTTCCCTCTTCGCATCTTCCCTTCCTCACACCCTCGCAACAACACTGCTTTCATGGTGCGTATCACTGACCAGACTGACCATACCAGACGCAGCTCCTTGTGGGAGTCTTCCCATTCCGTCCAGGTCTCCAGATCTCGGTTCTTTGCCAGGCTCTCGCGGCCTCAGTCTTTCTCCAGTTCCTCGCGAACTCGGCAATGCACAAGATCTCCAACCTCGATGTAGCGTCGGCTCTTTTCAAGATTCCGCGGCTGAGTGTTGGAGATCTTGCCGCCTCCAGCCCTTTCGCGAACTTCGCCCACTGCGCTCTTGCAGTCCTCCTGCGGTTTCCGCTCCGCTCCCAGGCCACTCTTCAACCTCAATATGCCAGCATCGACTTTCCAAAAGTCCGCAGCTGAGTTTCGAAGAGACCGGCATCCTCCAGCCCCCTCGGCCTCAGCTCGCGCCTCCTGCCTCTGGGCCTCTAGGCCCCTGGCTCCCGCTGCCTGTGGCTGCCTCTGGCCTGCTCTGCCTCAGCCCGCACCTTTGCCCCAACCCGCGCCCTCTGCCTCTGGCTTCTGCCTCCGGCTCTGCCTTCTGGCCTTCCCCTCCCTTCCAGGTCTTTCGTGATCTCGGTTCTTCCTCCTGCCCTTGTCACTGCCCTCTTCCCCTTTCCCTTGTCACTTCCCCCCATTGTGTTTTCCAGCTCCAGGCCGGGACATGAAGGGGACCATAGCATGTAGCAGACGAGTTGACGATGGTTGATAAGCTTGTTGGTTGGCTCTCTGCTGAAATGAGAGAGTGATTCAAATGTGATCGTGTCTCTGAAAAAGGTGTCTTAATCCTGAAGTGGCTGTTGGAACGAACAACACTTTCGGCGAAGGGAGTAGCCACCGGGAGCAGGAACAAACGACATACCCTCTGCATGTCAATGACCAAACCATCACCTTCATCACATTATCAGATTCAAGGCAGAGGTTCGAGGTCGAGTCGGCGGGATCAGCCGGCTAAGCGAACGTCTCCGCAGGCCGCGCGCACAGACGTGAAAACCGCCAACTCAGTCGCGCACCGACGGCGGGTTCCCTTTTTCTTCCTTCTCTCAAGCGTAGGATATTCATCTCTTTGCGCCCACTTACATCTCCTCGTCCTCATCCCCCAACGACAAATCCAACACCGCCAAAATGGTTGCTGCCACCGTATGTGATTGAAATCCAAACCGCTTTGCTGGCTCTTTGCGAAAAGAAGACAGTAGGCTGAGATTAGTTTCAAAATGTAGAAGCCCACCGCCACCAAGGGTGCTAAGAAGACCCAGAAGGTCACCAAGAAGGTGTGTATTGCTGATGAGTTCCTTTTCACTCACGCGCGCAATGCTGACAGAGATGCGAAACAGTTCATCATCAACGCTTCCCAGCCCACCAACGACAAGATCTTCGACCCTTCTGCCTTCACCACCTTCCTCCAGTCGCGTATCAAGGTCGACGGCCTCACCGGCAACCTCGGCGAGCGCATCACCGTCACCAACCTCAACGACGGCAAGATCGAGGTCGTCGCCCACCAGGAGTTCTCCGGTCGCTACCTCAAGTACCTGACAAAGAAGTTCCTCAAGAAGCAGCAGCTCTGTGATTGGCTCCGCGTCGTCTCCACCTCCAAGGGTGTCTACGAGCTCCGCTTCTACAACGTCGTTGGCGAGAACGAGGAGGAGGATGACGAGTAAACCTTTTCACCTCTCGATAGAGTCGCTGAATAAAAGTTTTTCGTCTTTTTGAGGGAACGCCGTGATGGATGGATTGATATCGTATTAGACACCCCCAGCAATTCATCTCTTCCCGCAAAACTTGGCTCTGTTCTCGATTCCGATGTGACAATGTCGTGCATCCATTCTCAATCCAGCACTCGGTCCCCACTAATGAGCAAGATTATAAACAACATGAAATGTATCAAAAGGAGATGTTGTCATGAGCATATGCATTCGATATATTATCCACAAGATTCTACCCACAAAGACCCTCCCTTGATATCAACGCGAAAATAAAAACCAGGCCTCCCACCATATACACGCCTTATTGTACACCAAGTCCAGCATTATGAACAAAAGAGATTCTACACTCAGTATCCTTGCATCTGCAGATACCTCTTCTCATCTCCTCTATCATCACCCGAGTCCCAACTCTGGCGTCTAGTGTCGGGCTCCAACTCATGCAATTGCGTCGCTGTGGCGTCCATCTCGAAGATGGGCTCATTGTTTCCTTCCATCTCAAAGGTGTTTTGCGGTAGCTTGCCATAGAACTCATGATGGCCACCAGCAGCATCTAACTCGCCACGCCATGGCGCATCCATCTCGGCTGCATTGGGTTTACTCGGGCCAGCGATCTCGTGAACTTGCCTGGAGCCGTCAAGCTCGCCTCGGGTGGGTGTGCTGACGCCTGCGTGAGGATCTTCCTTCATGGGCGACGAGGGCCCGGATGGTGTTTGTGCTGCGGCGAGGGATTTGGCTTCCAGTTCCACAGCTGCGTACTTCTTCTGTTGCTTCTTGCGGCGCATGAACCAGAGTGCTCCGGCGAGGATGGCGACGATTGCGAGAACACCAATCACAATACCGGCAATAGCACCACCACTGATACCACTGCTCTTGCTCTTTCCGTCGAATGAGAATTTGCTATCTGGCGAGAAGATGGTGCGGATCTCGGATGCTGAGTTTTGCTCCCATACACAAGGAGCGACTGTGAAGTTGCGACGTTCGTAATCCGCAACAACGTATGCTTCTTGCAGGAAGGCACGACCCAGAGTGTATTGAGTGTCGTTCGCAGCACGCTTCAGAGGGAAGTAGCGAGTCGAGTTGGCTACATAGGGGAACGCGATTTCCAGATCAAAAGCCGCATAAGGCAGTGTTATTTCGGTTGTTTGTCCTCCAGATGTCGATTGGCCAAGAGTGAATGTGACTGATTTGTTCAATGCAAGAAGATTGGTGTGCATGGTATCGTTGACCAGGTAGTACTGATAATATTCGTCGTAGACAAGGCCGAATGCGTTCTCGAAAGCTGTACAGACGGATTCCGGCAAGTAAAGATAGGCAACAGTCGAGTCGATCAAGGCGTAGAATGCGTCAGAAGAGTTTGACAATCCAGTATTCCCTGTCTTGATAGACTGTACTCCAACGAGGAGATCCCTTGAAACATCGGCACCGAATGGGATTGTCAAATTAATAGCTTCAAACTTGGATTGATCGTAACCACCCAGTACGAGACTGCCATAAACTCCGGAGAAANNCCTATCAACAATCAGCATCTGCCACAAGGTCATCCTCGAAATTCTAAACAACTCACGATATTGGTTGCCAGCAGTATAGCCCCAACTCAAACTTGGGATAGTGTTGTTCTTCTTCAGTTGGGTCATGAAACTTGGTTGAGGATCTGTGTAGGTTGTAAAGTTGGCTGGTTGCGGATTTAGACCAAAAGTTCCAAGCCAGAATTGGTAATAACCCATGTTTGCGATGGTGCTGTGTTGTACTGAAGGTCCACCAGAGCCTTGCCATCCCAAAGTGACAGTGTCGAATCCATAATTTGCTTCATCATCAAGACCCAGGGCCATCTCATTCGGCAATCCTAATTGGAATATGGAGTTGGGCACCCATGTTAAAGATGTGTTGGTCAAGAAGAATTCGCCGCGTGATTCTTCGCATCCAGATATTGATCCTGCCATACCCTGGCATCCTAACGGCCTCACAGTCCAAGTGGTGTATCCGTTTGTCGAGATGAAGACTCGAATGTCTTGCGCTGGTGTGCCGACCTGAAGTGGAAATGAAGACCTGCCACAACATCAGCCTCTGCTCCATCTATTGAATGCCCGGAAGCGACACTCGTGATCGTACCAAGGTCCATCGGCACCGTCCCAGTATTGTGATGCCTCCACATTGATGGGCAGAGGTATGTCCGTCGTGTTTTCCCGTTTTGCCAATGTTTGCGCTGGAAGTATCGATTGGGCCATATCAGGNAAGTCGTAGGATGCGGCGGACTCGAGGAAGAGAGCGCTGAGCGCCGCGGTTTGGAAGCGCATGACCGGTGGCGCGTGACGGGCGTTCGGGCGTGAATGATGTGTTTCGAGTATGAGATATTACCAATGTCGACAGAAAAGAATACCGGGATGATAGATCATTAAAACCTGCTTATGAGACAACGAGGGACGGGTCCATTAACAGGGGTTCTAGGAGATATGGAAGAGGAAGAAGGAAAGAAACGAGAGCTGCTCTCTCTCAACCCTGATAGGCAGTACCGGCGTGCCACACCACTTGACTCTGAGCCTCTACGTCGCTGAGGGAAAAGACGACGAAACTCTGTTCTTGGAGAACGGCGGCCCCGGATTCTTTTACGCTCTGGCCCTTGCAACGGACGCCCTGATAGCCGATCGTGTAGCTCGGTTGTCGCGATGGAGAGGACTGAAGAAGTGTGCCGCCCTCGAGGCATAGAATACAGTACCTTGCAGATATCCTACCTGTCACAGACATCATTGACTCGATTATCAGGGCACGATCTTCTGCTCGCCTCGTGCGTTCGCAGAGCCACGAGCATGCACGAACAACGGACGAGCAAAGATCGCTGCTTGGCTTCGTCATAACAACTCCTTTTGAACCTCGCGGTCCAGCCGAATACGGGAGGGTCTAGGAATAAATAGAAAAGCTTGGCTGAAGAAAGGCTGAAATTGGCCAATCACAACAACCATGGAAGTCTTCATATTTGACCGAGAAATGCTGAAACAAAGCATGCCTGACTCATCATGATCAACAACCAACAATTGATTGCTTCGGGAGACTGTCTAGTTGATACGTCGTATGGTAGACCGTGACGAGAAGGTTTATGTTATACCCGGCGTGACAACAAGCGTGCTATACTTTATGCCATAGAGAGAAACATATAGATTGAACTCTATCATAGACTACATAGTCAACTCTGGGGTATCTCGTAACCTTGGCTCTATAAAGAGCAAAAAGCTCTAGGGCCATGTATATCACGAGGTCGTCTGGTCTCTTTACTCCTTGGGAGTGAGACCNCTGAGGCTGAGATCATACACAACATCTTCGACCTCCTTGACACGGTACTTGATACCATCGGACCTCTTGCGAAGCGAATCGTTCTTGAGGTTCAAGATCTGGAATCCGGCATGGACATGCTTGATGAACTTTGCGATGTGGACAGGACGCGAATAGTCACCCTGAGTCACACTGTTGCGAGCAAGACGTGCNCTAGCAAGAGCATTAGCATCCACACATACGATATGGCTGCGCCAACTCACCAATTCGTCGATCAAAGAGATCAACGACTGAAGGTATTCTTCGATGGTCAGATGGAAGACGTCTCTATCCTTGACATTGACAGGGACTNNGTAAGGGATTAGATTTTGTGGTTGAATGGGGAACTTGGTCTCCTTACTGTTCATGATTTGGCCGACTTCCTCAATGGTCAAGAGACGACCATCCTGAGAACCAGATCCGATACCAGAGAAGCCGCCGAGGTATCCACAGAGCAGGATTGAGAAGGACNNTATAGTTTTAACAGAATTGGTCAATCGAGGGTAGACAAGAAAGAAAAGAGAGAATCAAAGACATACAGCATCTTGCACATGTCTTGTCCACATGCCGTTGTACTTGTAGTAAGGATACTTTGATGCAGCATCTGAAAGCTTGGCAATGGACTCAACCTCCTTGCTGATAGATTCTTGAGCGGAAGAGACGACAGCAGGGACTGATTCAATGTTAGTGGGAGTATCCTCGTGAACGATGATGGTAATACTGACGCTCGTTGTTGCTCGANNTGAGTGTGCGCCGGAGAGGATTGCCTGGGTTGATCGGTCNTGTTATTTTGTCAACATAGGATATTTTGAGAGTTTGGTGACAAGATATTGACCTTGCTTTTCAAGAGTTTGCACGATCTCGCGGATGGANCTTGGGCATTAATCAGTACAGAGCTCATTGAGATCGTATAAAACTCGGTCGGGAGTGCTTACTTCTCTGACTTCGGTCTCTTCGTCAATCTTCTTTTGCAAGCTCTCAAAGATTTGAGGCTGCAACAATCCTTGGGCGTTTCCAGACATTTTGGCTGCGTGGTGTTGTATGATGGAGTATTTGAGAGGCGTCTGTTTGTTGCTCTGGTAGGCAAATCGTGTGGAGAGCAAAAGCTTCGACTACATCATCACGGTGACACGCGCAACAAAAATCACGAACAAAATCCAGCAGTATAGCCGACTGGATTGGCTTCTTCGTGGCAAGCACATAATTATTCCTACTATTCACTATGTCTACATTTTGCATCTATCCTCCGTATCTTGCATTGGTCAGATAGAACCAGCGTCAAAAAAACTCATTGAGATGCATACACCTTGAATGTGAGTGGAAACATGTAGTATTTTGGTTGCTCGCCGCACTCTATGGTCAAGTGAGATACCTTGATAGAGATATACGCCACGAAGCATGTATTCCGTGCCTTCCACTATGATCCGCGCAGGATCGAGCAGCGCCAACCTTCACGATATTTCCGTGGCCGCATTGCGGCTCATTGTTCATGTCTTTCGTTCCTTTTAATACAGGGTGCTAGCCGCAGCGACGGAGTGACCGAGTAGAGAGTGGTATCGAGGTGGTAGAAAAGTCGGAGGGAGAGGGGCGATTTATCGCATGAGGCCACCTGATTGAGCCATGGCAGCGTTCTGCTCCTGGAATCTCTGACCGAGGCGCTCAGAACCCTTGATGAACTTGTCGACGCAGCGCATGGTGCAACCCTCCTCCTTAGACGAGAGCTTGGATGAGGTGAAGTCATCGACACAGTGCTCGAAGCAGCGCTGGACAAGGTTGCTGTACATCTGCGGTGGCTGTTTCAGCGGGCGATTCCATTGGACTACGGTTGGTGGAAATCATACGTTCATGAACTGCGACATCTGCTTCTTCTCCATGCGCATGGCGAGTTCGCGCTGCTCGTTGGCGTTGAGACTATACCGTGGTCAGAGGCTATTCTTCGAAAGCGTAAGCAAGGAGAGCATACCCGTCCATTTTTGAGTGTGTGGAAGATTGAGAAACTATGAAGAAAGTTGTGGTCTTGATACAAGTCTTGGATGAATCTTTCTGTCGCAACCACGAAGCTGCAAGACTGACGAAGCTCAATCCACGTGCGGGCCTTTCCGAGCGTCACACGTACCTGAGAGCGTCCCCGAACCTGCCTTTCTGACCGCCTTTGATCTTCAGATATGTGATCTGCGAGCTACGACTTGTCTGCATATTGAAGAATGAACCATCTTCCCGACCAAACTCTTCTTAATGGTGCTGGACATGAGATACGTGTGACGGTTCTTGTGCCTGTCTGACCAGCAGTTTGAAGCCACGCTGTGCAGCCACGACGGCGTCACAGCGTGCAATGCCATGGCCGTTGGCTCGCTCCTTAGGCGGGCTATAAATAAACAAATGCTGTCGTGCAAATCAACATAGGCCGTCATCAGCAGCCAGATTGCCTTGTATATAGCGTGGATGGCCCCATATCCTGTCTTCATCTGCTCCGCATCTACTCCACAATCTCGCGACGGCACTACTTGGTGCCATCTCCAGATCTCGAGAGCAGAGGGACTGCTATGCTTCTACCATTGAATGTCTGGGTGGCTGGTGCCAAGATGTCAATATAATGGCCGCGGCAGCAGAAACATAGCGAGGAGCTCATTCAACCGGTGCAAACCTGCTTTGACTTGGGCGCGTCATTGCTCCATGTTGGCGTGTGGAGTTGGGTGAGGTGGTAGCTGCTAGTGATGGGCGGGTGTTTTGTCATGTAGCTCGCGACAAAGCAGGAAAGGCAACCCTCTCTCATCTCAAACAGCGGAAGGTCAGCCGCCAAGTCCTGAGGGTGGACTTCGTCTTGCTCCAACCTGAATCTCGCTCTCCCGTGCATACATAACCTCAGCGAACATCCACGTCGTTTGTTATTGATTTTGGCCCAGTCAGAGCTACCACGCAGCAAGACGGCGGGCCTGCATAATTTACACCAGCGCCGAGCATGCCCACGTCGTCGGCCGGGCACACAGGCGCGACCCTGGCACCTCCTGCGCAGTCCACGACCGCTTCGTCCGCCGAGGCCGTCCAGTCGAAGCGCGACCTGACATCGTGGTGGAAGAACTTCAAGCGGACCACTCCTCAGAGGGTGCAAGAAGAGAAGGGTACTTATCTCCATNGCTCGTGCTGTGCCGTGCTCTGCGGTTTGCGCAGCGTCCTCTCGTCGCCGCCGTCACATGCTAATTCGTTGCTTTGTCGCGCAGCTCCCCAGGGCATCTTTGGCGTCCCTCTCCAGACCAGCATCCGCTACGCAAATGTCGCCATCTCGCTGTTCAACGAACAGGGCCAGAGCTACATCTACGGCTACGTCCCCATAGTCGTCGCCAAATGCGGCGTCTATCTGAAAGAGAAGGGTACGTCCACAACACGTCCGAACCCTCACATGCCATGCGCTAACCCCAGCCATANNGCTACCGATGTCGAGGGCATCTTCCGTCTGAGTGGATCCGAGAAGCGCATCAAGGAACTGCGCATTGCCTTCGACTCTCCCGACCGCTACGGCAAGGGTCTCGACTGGAGCGGCTATACCGTCCACGATGCCGCCAACATCCTGCGCAGATACTTCAACCAGCTCCCCGAACCCATCATCCCTCTTGAGTTCTACGAACGCTTCCGCGACCCGCTTAAGAACCACCAAGCACAAGCCGTTGGCTCCATGGATATGCAAGCTCCCAACATTGGTCATTTCGACCCTGTCAAGGCTATCCGCGTCTACCAGAGCCTCATCACTGAGCTGCCTCCTCTGAACCGCCAGTTGCTCTTGTACATTCTCGACCTCCTTGCGGTCTTTGCTTCCAAGTCGGACCTCAACAAAATGACTACCCCCAACCTTGCTGCCATCTTTCAGCCCGGTCTCTTGTCGCATCCCCAGCACGATATGGCCCCTGCCCAATATCGCCTCAGCCAAGATGTTTTGATTTTCCTCATCGAGAACCAGGACTCGTTCCTGATTGGCATGCACGGCACCGCTGCTGACGAAAAGACAGTCAAGGAAGTTCAGAGCGGCGCACCTACCNCCAAGACTCCAGGATCGCCTCTGACCCCTGCGAGATCGAAGACTCTACTCGGTCGTTCAGCATCCAACGCTAGTGCCGGTGCTGATAGTGTCCGTTTGTTTGGCAATCTTCGCAGAAATGTCTCTGTATCCTCGAGAGCTTCCAAGCGCTCTGCCCATCTTCAAGGCCATGTTACGCCTACCCTCGGCAGCCCTGCCAACTCTGGGGGTATCCATCGCAGTAACACTGTTCCTTCGAAGCATGGCGCATCTCCACATTTCCGTCGTGAAAAGAGCTCCGAGCCGCCTACTCCTAGTCCTGGTTCTGGTTCAAGCCCTCTGTCTACCGTTGTTGACACTACGTCAGTCGCCGAGAACAGCATCTCTGAAGAACGTACACCTGTTGCTCCCACACCTGCTTTGGGTTTCCCAACAGCCGCACCCGTATCAGTCGTTGCGGCCCCTGCAGCCTTTCAACCTTCTCAGGCTGTACCTCTTGCACCCGAAATCATCTCAGCGTCGTCTAGCGAAGCAACCACTCCACTTGCTACTCATGGTACGGAGACAATGGGTCTGCTGCAAAGAGAGCACACTCAGTCCAGCACTACACCTTTGCACATCACCTCGCCGACTGGTGACCGAAGAGTGAACCCTGCTGATCGTTCCCCTTCCGGCACCCCTTCTCGCGCCATCTTGGATTTCCTGAAGCCCTCTCCTGGAGGTAGTGATAGTGAGAGAAGAGAGGGCCGCAAGCCTAATAAGCTACAGAAGAAGCGTATCCCTGGAAGTGCACTTTCAAGTGCTCACAGCTCTGCCCACTCTCTTCAGCAGGAGCCTGAACCACTCAACGATTACTTCGCTTCTCCAACGACTCCGATTTTGGATTCACGCGCTCAGGATTATATCAACGAGTATAGCAATGACCGTTCTGCATATGCTACAGCTCAGACATCTCCGAAGTTTATGACTCCGCAGCGAACAGAGACGGACGCCACTCTTAGACCTACAGTGTCGCCGGCACACTCGTTCCACTCCACAGATGTCACAGATGTGACCGATGCTTCTGACGTAGACCACCCTGACCAGTTCCAGTCCTCTGCCGAAAAGCCAGAAAAGAAACGCCGCTGGCGATTCTCAAGACCTGCTGAGAACCGTGAGGGCAACGACCATGTTCGCACAAATTCCCATCTTGGTAATACGAACAGTGCGGATCAGAGCAAGTCTACTATCAGTAGCTCGAGTGGCGGACAACCCCGACGCAGCTTCCAGGATAGCCATGTCATGTCTGATCCCGAGTCTATGCTGTCTGACAGTGACAACAAGAAGGGCCCTATGAGCTGGATCAGGAGTAAGCTGACCGAGCGCAAAGAACGTGAAGCAGAAAGAAGAGCACGATCGCCGATTAAAGTTCTGAAGGAGGAGCATAACGGCTCTAGACAAAGCCTCAATGCACCGGCAGGCACAGGAAAGAGCTTCGAGCTATCAAGGCAGCGATCTCCTACAGCACAACGAAATGTACCCGAGACCAGCACCGCCAATGTGCATGGTGCCTCCCCTTTGGCAGCATTGGACCCCCAGCTTCCTGGACAAGCTGATGCTGCCCCTGTCGCAGTCAGTGAGAGTCAAACACAGGTTGCCCAAACATCTGGACTTGCTCAGTCCGATATTCCTGAGCGCACTCAGCCAAAGCAGACTCAACCGTTCGATGCCACCTCGAATGCTCAAACCTAGGTCGTCTGGTATGGGAAGGATGGGACTATGGTCGGTGGAAGCTCTTGGATACCAGGTTTGAAACGCACAGTCAAGGAGGGAGTGCGGACTGATGTTTGTCCTTCAGTTGGACAAGGAGAAAAGGAAATTGTTACTGCATTCAAGAGCCACTTTTTTACTTCTTATCCAATATTTCGTAGGGTCCCTTCCTAGAGGGAAAAACATTTTGTTACGAGTACAGGATATACCTTTTGAGTGCAGATTTTCCTATGCCATTGAGCACGTTGCACAGGACGAGATGTGGGTGGAGGGCGATTTGCTTTTGCGGTTCGCAGGCCCTTTGGCCCATTATGCAAAGTGCACTATTGATAGAGGTACACGAGTACATTAAGGCACCCGTTCAAGTAGGTTCCCGCGGACCTCGGAGGAGTTTGGTGAGGATTGGGAAGATGCAGATGCAGTCTTTCAGGAACAGGAATGATGTACAAACCAGAAGCAGCGCGCCGGACTGACAACCTTGTCTAGAGACGTCTCTTACGAGATTTACGAGGTAAGCGTACTGGGACTCGCGTCAGCATGCCTTTTAAGCAGCAGACCAAGGAGACGCAGAGAAGGACCCCACTCTGGATAGCAAAACTATCGCGTCGAGGTGAAGTTCTGGCAAGCCGATGAGCTCGGCCAAGGCATGAGCAGTCCCAACTGATGTACGTGATCGAAAGCTTGAATGGCTGGCTGGAGCATTGCTTCGTGTTTCAAGTGGGGGATTAGAGGAGGATCCGATGGCCTCTAAAGCAAGTGCTTACAGAGTCAGTCGACGTGGATCAAGTCTTGCTACACGAACGGCAAGAAAACGACGCGGCTAACGTCATGTCCGTCAAATGCGTTGAGCGACGGGTAAGGTAGGCGGGTAGCCGTGCGTCAAGCCTGGGGGCTTGTGGCGTGCACGATGGTGGAATGTGTGCATTTTTATCATGTTTCCTGGCCTCGCTGCTCTACGTGAGTGCGTAATGGGAGAATGGTATAGCTGGGTGGCGAACAAAAGGAAGGAAGCGGTGTTTGATAAGGACGGCTTATTTTTGGGTTGCACTGCCCAATCGTCTTGCTGGCGCGGTCTCGCTGAGTTCACGCGGAGCCAGCGATCGTGGCCGTCATGGTGCCAAGTTCATCGAGGCTTTCGTCGGCTCGCGATCCGGGCAGCTTTCAAGGTTCGACGGTTGCCATCGTGTGCCGTCCCACGAGCCTTTGCTCTTCATATCCTTCACCATCTGCAGCACTGCTCTTCCTTGCCATCTCTTCACACATTCGCTTCTCAAGCCGTCTTCATCAATCATATTCCATCAACGTTGCATTAGAAGTCGTTGAACAAGCAAATCTCAATACTCGAAAGTCGCTTTATCATTGGATAGGCCATTCTCGTATCGGGACTAGATAGAGTGTCAGCCGAACGTTCGCTTATACACAGTAGCTGATCCTGTACGTATCCGTACTTCTTGTCTCACTCCTTCGACTCCTCTTCTAACGCGTCTTCCCCTTTGAAGGTTGTGCACCTTCTGTCTTCGACACGTCTACATCGCACTGCCGAAAGATGCCTTCGATCCGGTCACTCCTGTTCGCTGGACTCCAGGTCACTGGCCTTGCGCTGGCCGACTCTACCGACAATTATGAGGACTCGCCAGATGTTGGCGTATTTAGACAGGTGCTGGGTCGCCTGCCGGAAGAGTCGATCCATGCCGCATTGTCTGGACATCTAGGAGGAAAGTACCAGGCTGGCGTATTCGAGAAGGACCACAGAGCCATGGAGCACATCCACAACGACAACCCATCCTTGGCTTCGCGTCTTATCGAGATTGCAAAGCACGATGTCGCTGTCCGAGCAGAGTTGCGTAAGAGACAGGACAACAGCGCCGACAACACGACCATCATCGCTGTACCTTCGACCACCACCTCGGACCAAGTATCTACCACTAGTACCGAGGCCGTCATCGTCACCGACTCAAGCACGACTTCCGTGTCATTGACCACAGAGACTTCGGCTCGTGCGACGACCGACGCTCCGACTTCGACTGTTGAGTCGTCGGCAGCTCCTTCGAGCACTACAGGAGGTGAGAGCAGTGCTGATTCGTCGTCCGCTTCTTCTGCGTTTGTGTCTACTTCTGCTTCACCTGCGTCGCGCTCGGATACTGTTGTTGCTACCTCTTCCGACTCGAATGTTGCTTCCTCCTCCCAGGCCTCGTCTGCCGAGCCCTCCTCTGCCGCCCAGAGTTCTGTCTCCTCCCAACAGAGCTCTGTTTCTTCTGCTGCCGCGTCTCTCCTCCGCGGCACAGTCTTCTGCTTCGTCCTCTGCCCGCGAGACTTCCCAGACCTCTGATGCTTCTTCTATTTCACCCTCCCCATCCTCCTCTTCTGGTGCGATCTCTTCTGGACGTAGCTCATCTGTTGTAGCATCCTCATCAGCAGCTTCCTCGACCGAAGCCTCGTCCGCTGTCTCTTCTGAACGCTCGGTCGCTTCCTCTGCAGAAGGTTCTGTCCAAAGCTCTGCCGCCGAATCGTCCGAGACCTCTGCTGCTAGTTCTATCCAACCCACCGTCGTCGCCGTTACTACCACCAACTCGGCTGGAAGCACTATCGAGACTTCGGCCACCGCGACCCGCCAGATTGCTGCCTCTACTACTAACGCTCGTAGCTCCGCTGCTGCCTCGTCCGCCCCTGAATCGACTGCTTCTGGTGTTCTTGTCCCTGTTGTTCTGTCGAGCACCAACAACGATGGAAGCACTGTGTACCAGACCACCTCGGCTTTCCAAGAGTCCGCATCCGTCAGTGTTGAGCAGACTTACACCACTACCGACTCACAAGGCCGTGCTGTCACCACTTCTGCTCGTTTCCCCCGGCGTTGTTGTTGTTACTACCAACTCGCGAGGATCGACCATCTCAACAACATCTGCTGTTGCCAGCGTTGCTGTTGACCAGAATGGAGATGTCATTAGCTCTGTCGATGCACCTGCGCCGAGTGGAAGCACTCGTCGTACAAGCGATTCTGAAGTCGTTACTACTACCGATCAGTATGGCGCCAGCGTAATCCTCTCTGGTGCTTCCCGTGGGGCCGTCATTACCACCACGGATGCCAAGGGTTCTACCTTCATCACTACCTACACTCCTGGTGGTGGCAGAGTCAGCTCTCTCGTCCTGATGACTACAACCCTGCCCGATGGCGCACCCGCCACTGTAACCTCGCTTGCTGTTGTTGGTGGTGCACAAGCTGCGACCGCCTCATCGGATCGTCCCAGCTCTACCAACACTGCCGCCCCTGGCCTGCAGTCTGGTGCTGCCAGCGCATCTCGCTCCCACATCAAGGGTGCATTTGCTGTTGTCGGTGGTGCGCTAGGTCTTGTCTACATGCTTTAAGGGTCTGCTCGGCCTGGATTTACGAGACAAGAAATCTTTTCGAAAAGGTTATACAGGCATCAGATGTCTTGTAAATATGTTGTTGCAAGATTTGGTTTTATTTCTGTGTTTCTATTCGACTCTATGATCACGACTCTCCTTAACGTTTTGTACTTTTACCATTTAGCATAGCGGGAAATTGGGAAGGCATGTAAACGCTTCTAGCGTGATATTCTGTGTGTTTGATATTAGATAGGAGCAATCCATCTACTCTCCTAGATTGCAATCTATATCCCGGTGACAACATGAGCATTGGTCCTGAAATTCGTTGTTCACATCATCCTCCTCATGAGGCAGCTGCGATCACGTCGCGACTGCCCATATACGCTTCAACTCATGACTATCATATGAAACATTCAAAGCGTTCCTTGTCCTTCAAGTATTCATTACAATCGCACCACTCCCTCTCGGCGCCTTTTCAGGACATCAAGCACAGGACCCGGCACCTAATGCCTAAGCAGCATCTACGCCCACACCAATAACCACCCGCCTGAATTTCCTGCCATGGTCGTCGCAACCCTCAAGCGAATCCTCTACATACGATTGTTCCGAGCCGTCCGCAACACTCGCATCTCGCCCATCGGCATGTACCTCGCCTACAAGGGGACGGGCCTTGGAGACGTCAAGATGTTTGAGAATATGAGCATATCGGACTTTGTAGCGGTCTAGGAGCCATACAACGGGAATGCTCAACCTACAGACATTGTCGGCAACCTGAAGAACGTCAGGTCAGTAGAAAATGGGAAACCGATATCTAGCAGAGCTGACGTACATGCAGGAGAAAACACAACTGCATCCATCCCAACTGCCAGAGGTGGCATGTCTAAACGTCTCCAGGACAGGGCATGTTGGGGGTGTCGACGGTACACGATGAACAAGTTAGAAGAGCAAGTAAAGCTTTGCCAATTGTTCATTGGAGGATCCAATATTGTCGTTGTTCATGGTGTGTCAAGAGCAAGACAGGAATAAGATCTTGAGAAGAGGTGTGGATCATTTGACTTTTGAGCCTCCAGGCGCCGGGCGTTGGCTGACGGCGGGTGACCAGACCAAACCACACCTCTTTCGTCTCTTGAGCGGGGTCTTGTGTCTGGACAAGAGATTTTCTACACACACAAGCCACAAGTCGCTCTCATCCCTTGCTGGAAAGACCTTCAGAAATCTTGCAGTAACAACAGCGGAGACGTCCGACTCAAGCCGAAGCTTGTGGTCTTGGGAAGCCTTTTGGTCATTTATATCGAGTAACGCAAACCCAGGCGCATGCAGAGTCGATAGTACACTTTCTTGCAACAATTTCTCTTTCAAACTACCTTTGACTTTACTTCTGCCCTCCAAAACCACAGAAACGAACGACAAGATGGTCCCCGCGCTGAGAAAGATCCTCATCATCAACCCAAACTCGACGAGATCCATGACAAATGCGCTCAAGCCGCTGGTCGACTCTCTGGGCTACTCATCGGTATTTATTACATCGCTACAAGCCCATTGAGACACAAGAGCAACGTCTGAGTTTGGGTGTTCGAACAGANCACAGCACACATACTTCACGGCACCTTCAGGACCTGCATCAATCAACAATGAAGACGATGCGGCAGAGTCGGCAAGACACTGTCTAGAACCACTGCTTCCGCTGCTCGAAACACACGACGCCTTCCTCGTTTGCTGTTACTCGGCACACCCTCTGGTCGGACAGCTCAAGGCGAGACCGGAGATTGCTGGCCGTCGCAAGCCGGTGACTGGCATCTTCGAGGCATCTGTCAGCAGCAGCTTGCAGGCCATCGGACCTGGTGAGCGATTTGGCATTGTGAGCACGGGTAAGGTATGGGAAGCGACGTTGCGTGAAGCTGTGGACAACTATCTAGGTGTAGAGGACAACACCGAGGGCAGTGCGGCTTTTGCTGGAGTCCAGACGACAGGGCTCAATGCCACAGAGTTGCATGACACGTCGCCTGTCGAGGTCCGCAGCCGTATGAAGAAGGCAGTGGCGAGGCTCTTGATTGATGATGCTGGAGGCCCGGTCGGGGCGGTATGCCTTGGATGTGCGGGTATGGCAGGGTTCGATGACATGGTCAGAGAAGCAGCTATTGAGACATTGGGTCATGGTCAAGGGTCAAAGGTACGGATTGTCGACGGAGTTGTAGCCGGAGTGACATGGCTCGAAGGAGCTCTACGGTCAGGAATGTAGATTCGAGTAACGACTGTATCAATTGGCTTCGATGACATGTTTGAAGGGTGTTCGCAATGTCAATGGTATATCGGGCTTTGTTCGGGGAGAGGCTGGAGCTCCCTGGGCGGCCGAGGCTTCAATCTCCAAGCAAATGTCACAAGCAACACTTTCTTTTGTAGCAACTTGGTCCTTTGCAAACACACAATGGCGGCAACAGAGACGAAAACAAAGACGTTCAAGTCACACCCGATCGAAAGCTGGGACGATGGCATGTCGCCCATCTACACACATCTGCACCCGCTGCTCCTGCTCGGTCTCTTCTACTACCAATTCCCCTCGCTGGTCGAGAAGCCCGTCGACACACTCCTGCAGACTGCTTTGGGTGTCGCTGCTCTACAGCTGCTGTACCTCTGCATCTGCATTCCCGGGAGCAACCAAGCTCAATTGCCTCAGCGCGGAAAGAAGAAGGGGAAGTTGACGCAGAACCACCAAGGAGACACTGGCTTTGGAGCCAAGCTGGTCGTAAGTGTCGCACAACTCGGCTGATCTCGGGAGTGTTGTATTGACTCGTTTGCGCAGCCTGGCATCCTCTCCCTCATTCTTGCCGTCACGCTCGGTGCTCCTCTCATCGCCATCGTCCTCGTCCTCTTTGGTGCCCCGCTCACTTCCCACCAAGCCCATACCCTCTACTGCGGACTCCACATCTCGCTGCTCGCCGCATACCCTCTCTTTTACGTCCACGGTGTCGACGGTGCCAAGTGGACCGAGGTGGGCGCATTGGCTGCCCCTATCGATGAGGTCTTTGGCGCTACTGTCGGAACATTGATTGGTGCTTGGNTGGGCGCCGTGCCCATCCCTTTGGACTGGGACCGTGAGTGGCAGAAGTGGCCTGTCACTATCTTGGCTGGTGCTTATATGGGATATGCGGTTGGCAAGGTCGTGGGTGGTTCGCTGCTCAAGGGCTCGAAGATTAAGATTGCATGAAGGACGTGGACGCTATCATTGAGGAACCCACAAACTGCTACGGCATACAGAGCCTGCTTGCAACCACTTGTGCAGCGCACAGTCGAGGTCGTAACTGTCTGTTAGCAGACAGACGAGCAAGTGCCGGCCTCGAGACCACAGAGACGGTCAAGGAAGCACAGCGACGTTGGTCTCGACTACTCCTAGCTACAGGACGGTTTTCGGCTTCCGAGAGGGACCATATGCAAGGAAGGGATTTGAAGACGCCACGAAAGATCAATCAGTCGCATATCATCGACACTATATCTCGCATGAACCATCGCCTTGGCATTACTTTAATGAACAATCTCTCCAGAGAATCTCCATATGCTCCAGATCGAGAATCAAGAACCACGATCGAAAATGTATGTCCTACCTCATCTTTCAAGTTTGCCTGGGGACAGAAGAAAATGTGACGATTGCACTTTACGGTTGTAGGCATCATCGCGGCGGACCAATGGTACAACGGAACACTTGATCGACGCTTCTAGAGATCCGATGGAAGACAGAGAAATCGCGGGGAGCGAATTACAGACAACGGGTTTCCAGACTTTCAAGAGCGCAGGCAAAACGACGCACGTCTGATGCTGCATGAAATGCTTGTTTAACCGACTGCCGCCCCTGTGCGTGTCAGAGATGCTGTTAAGGACCATGTTGATAATCACGGATGGTGGTGTGATGCTCAGGTCACCTTGCAGGACATTAGCCGTCGTCTCTTCGTTTCTGCTGAGATTGAAAGCAAAGTTCCGGGTCTGGCACGGCTCAAAAGACTGCCGAACAGAACCGCGATCGCAGACACACGTCCGGGACCGGAGCAACTGCATTGCGTGTATCAACACTTTCTCATAAGCAAGCCGCTGCTCCCGCTTGTTTGCTTGCTCATCATGACAATATCCGTTGCCTCCGTCTCCGGTATTGCCCTTCTCAGGCGCTGGCTCTTAAAGACAAAGAAAGTCCCCTGCGGTCGCGCGTGAAGACTTCCAAGACCCTTTGACTGTTTGAACGGCGCCCTGTCAAATACACAGATTACATTCGGTTTGCCCCACCACCGCTTTGGCAGCACTTAAACTCTCAACCACTTTTCTTCCAAGAACAAATAAACCCCTTTGCGCCACTCCTCGTCTCGGCTTGGGACCTTCTCTCTTTCTACGATCATACGACACACACGCCAATTGACCTCGACCGCACTCTTCGACGCCTCCCATCTGTCCGCCCTTGCCCTTGTATTTGTATACCCCGCCAACCCCACCCATCCGATCGACCCTATTTTCCAGGCACGCGACAAAAAGTCCGAAGCAGCACAGCCATAAAGCAGGCCACCTCACTCGTCGAACAGCACAAAGAACAAGACTCGCCTGCTGTACGGCCCTTCGTGCCGATACACTCGCCTTAGAACAACCATGATCCCTTCCATTCCTCGCCTCGAAGACTACGATGTCTCTGAGCATTATGGCTTCCTTCCCTCAGAGTACCCGCTTGAGGTGCTCCCTGACACTTATTATAGACCATGGGAGGCCATTGTCAGAAACCTCCAAGGTTTGATTCTGGGCAAGAGACTGCGAGGTGTTGTCGACAGCCTTCCTGTTTTGTCTACTGAATACCTTCGCTCAGACGCCGAATGGCGTCGCGCATATATGATGCTAGGATTCATCTCACACGCATACATCTGGAATGGAGACCGACCGAAGGAGCGAGTACCTCCCAGCATCTCAATTCCCTTTACAGCTGCTTGCAAGCACTTGGAGTTACCTACTGTCGCCACATACGCCGGAGTCGTGCTATGGAATTACCGACCACTATTCGACGACGAGGGTATCGATTCTCTTGACAACTTGTCTACCCTCATGACTTTCACTGGCTCGCTGGACGAGTCGTGGTTCTACCTCGTTTCAGTGGCCATCGAAGCTCGCGGCGCCCCTATAATCCNNCCCCTCATGCTGCACGCCATCGAAGCCGCTCGTCGAGGCGACAAGTTGAGAGTCACCGAATGCTTGCGTTCCTTTGCCGAGCGTCTGGACGAACTTTCTTCCATGCTAGTCCGCATGTACGAGAATTGTGACCCACATGTCTTCTACCACCGCATCCGACCATTCCTGGCCGGCAGCAAGAATATGCACGAGGCCGGCTTGCCCAACGGCGTCATTTTCGATACAGGCAGCAAAGACGATGCCTTTGTTCAGTACAGTGGTGGCAGCAATGCCCAGTCCTCCATTATCCAGTTCTTCGATCTAATCCTCGGAGTCGAGCACCGCCCTACCGGTAGCAAACCCCAAGACACACCAGCCGCAACTGTCCAGCAAGGACCCTCGGCAAACTTCATCCACGACATGCGCACATACATGCCCGGTCCCCATGCCCGCTTCCTCGAGCACGTAGGCACAGTCTCCAACATCCGCTCCTTTGTCACCACAAACCGCCACGATCGTGCTCTAGCCGGCGCCTTTGACGCCTGTCTAGCCATGCTGAGAAACTTCCGCGACAAGCACATTCAAATGGTATCACGCTACATCATCGTCCCCTCTCGCGAATCCCGCAACAGCAATGCGCGGTCCCTATCCCCTACACAGAGAAAAGACTCGGCCTCGCCACAGCAACTCAACATTGCAGCTGCCAGCTCCGACAGCAAAGACAAGAAGAACCTCAGGGGTACGGGCGGCACGGCTTTGATTCCCTTTNTGAAGCAGTGTAGAGATGAGACTGGCGAGCCTGCTATCGATGCTTGGGCTAGACGGTTGTTGAATAATGGACCTGGCGCTGCTGAGCTCGGTGGTGCTAGGATGGGAAAGCTTGGTGAACATGCTTCTGGCGAGACTGCTGTGGTTGGTCTTGCTGGGGTGTGGAGTGTGGACGATTCCGATGGAGGTATCTGCCATTGGTAAATTATACCCTCTTGTGTTTTCTTGATCTTGGATCTTTGTTTGTCAGAAAAAGCGATGGAGTTTGGGGTGGTGGGATATCAGATTTTTGCGGCTCACGCTAATGCAAAGGGTGGAATAAGGCATGTTTAATGAGGCATGCAGGACATGTGTACATATGATTCTTTTCCTTTCATGTATCGAATACAGAGAATGTAACATCTCTTCTCTTCTTAAATCGACTGTCTAAATCGCTTTCGTTCTTGTGCATCCTTGCTCCCGAACCTGTAAATCCTCGTCAGAAGGGCATCTGCGAGTTGGTTGATCCTCCTGTGTGAACCAAATCAAGCAACAATTGCTGCTTTCTGATCTCGCATCGGAAGCGCCGTCTCGTCGAGAGTCCATAGAACCTTAGTCGGAGGCATTCTGAATGTGTAGCTGCTCCGTGCCTTGAGGTTGTGGTCTTTGAGTACTGTTCCCAGAAGCACGCTTATCGGTAGTCTTGAATCATCCGACTAGTCGCCTTCTCTAGCCGTAACCACGGCCAAGAAGCGAGCCCGGCGCTGTCCTGCAGAAGCCACGCCGAAGCCATGACTTAGCTGGAGTTCTCGATTTCCTCAGAGGTAGTCCTTCTTGCGAGCAGTGCGAGTGTATTGGTTCATGTGCCATTCGACATCTCCATCCTTGTTCTCAAGAGTGCCAGCTCTAATCTCGAACAAACGCATCGTCATGCGAGGACCAACCTCTGCCAATTCGACGCTCTGGTATCCGGTCTTGACGAAAACGTGGTGGCGGACCTCGATGCTGTCGTCAATGTTCTTGAAGGTAACAACACGTGAGCCAAGCTTGGCTGAGGGCTCGCGAGGAGGGAAGAGATGCTGTAGAATCTTGACGACACGGCGACCGAGGACGGTTGTAAAGCCTTCGAAGATCAGATGAGGGTAGCTTTCACTGACAGTGCCTCGCTCGGCATTGGGAATATCGGCGCGCAGGACAACGTTGTGCAGGGAGAAACTGGCGGTAGGACCGTGAGGGAAATGGCTGATGGTCATGGCAGTGGGTGTACCACGGTGCTCATGTACCAAGATCATGTCGCTGAGACCAGAGCCCTTGGCTGAGCCGACCAAATTGTTCAAGATCAGGTTACCACGGTTCAGGCGAACGGCTGTGGGCAGAAGCAGACGGATTTCCTTTGCAAAGGTGCCGAGTCGACTGCTAGGGTCGCGGGAGGTGGTGACTAGGATGCGAGGGTCGACAACGCCTGACAGATGCGAGTATTCGTCGTCCAGTTCGAGTTCTTCCTGGGTAGAGCGATCCGGGCGGGATTCATCGTAGCGGTAGTCTGCGCGCAGAGACTTGTCGTTGGCGATCGAGGGGTCCAAAGGCTTGCCAGAAGCCAGCGAAGACTTTAGCTTTGCTCTCTTCTCAGCAATCTCGGCATCGCGCAGTGTCAGGGCACGGCGGTATAGATAGTCGCGGCGTTCGCGGGCTTGACGGCGCTGGGGTCTGTTAGTCTTTACAGAGGCAGCTGTAACGGATTCAAAGACGTACCAGCATGTTGTGTGGTTTCTGCCTGGTTCTTTGACTGGTGCGGATCAAAGAGCGATACAGAAGTGGCCGCTGGGTGCAGGAAAATGTCGTGTCGGAGATGGCAATAAATTATTCTTGAGAATGCGGAGATGCAGATGGATTTTCTGGCAAGCACTTGCCGCGCGACGCTTGCTGCCATTTGAACGCTTTTCCAGGACATGATCGCTCTTTCCTGGACAAGCACAATTCACATCTGTCTTTTTATGGTTCATCGCGTTGCCAGCTGCTATCACTTTATCCACATGCTTTCATGGTCCAGTCTTTTCTTCTTCCTGGACTCCTGTTCAACTTTCTGGACAAAACACCAGTTCTAGTTGTCGCCAAGCCCGTCAAATACAGCCCCGCCACTGTTGCTTCGGGGCACATTTCAAGATTGCCGTACTTTCGGCTTCCCTGTTCACACCCATCGCCGCCATGGAAGGCGCCTTTACTCATCTCGGGAACCATTTGATTTCCGATTCCGCCTCGGCCATCAATGCCGGCGATGACCTTTCCACCATCGACGCCGACGAGGCTGCTCTGGACCGCGAATATCAGGAAAGGAACCTGAACCAGCCTCCCCAGGCCCGCCCTCGCCGACGCAGAGCCCGCGACAACGACGATGAATCCGACATCTTCCCCGACGAAGACGACGATGTCGACAGCCTAGCTAGCCATCAGATCAACGGCCAGAATGGTCACCACCACCAGCATGAAGACCACGATATCGAGCTTCCTACACACGCCTGCGCGTATGTAGCCCAGCACCATTCCTGTTTGAACCAAACTGATCAATCAACCCAGCTACTGCGGCATTCACAACGAGAGCAGTGTCGCCAAATGTCTGTCTTGCAACAAGTGGTTCTGCAGCGCCCGTGGTAACACCTCGTCCTCGCACATCATCAACCACCTCGTGCGCGCCCGTCACAAGGAAGTCCAGCTCCACCCTGCCTCTGCCCTTGGCGATACCGTCCTCGAATGTTACAACTGTGGTACCAAGAATGTCTTCCTCCTTGGTTTTATTCCCGCAAAGTCCGACACTGTCGTCGTCCTCCTCTGCCGTCAGCCATGCGCCGCCATGCCTTCGTCCAAGGACATGAACTGGGATACGTCGCGTTGGCAGCCTCTAATCGAAGACCGCTCTTTCCTCCCATGGCTTGTCGGCCCTCCCACGGATCAGGAACAAATGCGCGCTCGTCACCTGCCCCCTCAGATGATTGCAAAGTTGGAAGAGCTGTGGAAGGACAACCAGCAGGCCACCATTGCTGATCTCGAAAAGGGTGTCGGTGTTGATGATGAACCCGCCCCTGTGCTCCTGCGCTATGACGATGCATACCAGTACCAAAATGTCTTCGGACCTCTGGTCAAGATTGAAGCCGACTACGATCGCAAACTCAAGGAATCGCAATCGCAGGATGGTCTAATTGTGCGCTGGGACTTTGCACTCAACAACAAGCACCTTGCCAGCTTTGTCCTGCCCAAACTCGAGATGGGAGATGTGAAATTGGCTGTTGGAGATGAGATGCGCCTGCGCTACACTGGAGAACTGCGACCTCACTGGGAAGGTGTCGGATATGTTATCAAGATCCCCAACAACCAGTCTGACGAAGTCACCATCGAGTTGCGCTCAAAGGGAGACCACAAGTCTGTGCCTACCGAATGCACCCACAACTTCAGCGCCGACTATGTCTGGAAGGCCACTTCGTTCGATCGCATGCAGCATGCCATGAAGACATTTGCGATTGACGAGATGAGTGTTTCTGGTTACATTTTCCACCGCCTGCTCGGACATGAGGTTGCTGCTGCTCCCATGAAGACTCAGCTCCCGCGCAAGTTTAGCGTCCCCGGTCTGCCCGAGCTCAACAGCAGTCAGATTAATGCTGTCAAGAGCGTCCTACAGAAGCCGCTCAGCTTGATTCAAGGTCCTCCAGGAACTGGTAAAACCGTCACTTCGGCAACTATCATCTACCATTTGGCCAAGCTCAATGGTGGCCAAGTCCTTGTCTGTGCTCCCTCTAACGTCGCTGTCGATCAATTGTGCGAACGTATTCACCGTACCGGCCTCAAGACCGTTCGCGTTACGGCAAAGTCAAGGGAAGATGTCGAGTCTCCAGTAGGCTTCCTGTCTCTTCACGAGCAGGTCCGCATGAACGACACCAACGTCGAACTGAACAAGCTCAACCAGCTCAAGGCTGAATTGGGCGAGTTGTCCAGCCAGGACGAAAAGAAGTACAAGCAGCTCGTCCGCAACGCTGAGCGTGAGATTCTGTCCAACGCCGATGTCATCTGCTGCACTTGCGTTGGTGCCGGTGACCCTCGTCTTGCTAAGCTCAAGTTCCGAACCGTCCTCATTGACGAATCTACCCAATCTGCTGAGCCAGAGTGTATGATTCCTCTGGTTCTCGGCTGCAAGCAGGTTGTCCTCGTTGGTGATCACCAACAGCTAGGTCCCGTCATCATGAACAAGCAAGCTGCTAAGGCTGGTCTTAACCAGTCTCTGTTCGAACGTCTGGTCATCCTTGGATGTGCTCCTATCCGTCTGCAGGTGCAATACCGTATGCACCCTTGTCTGTCCGAGTTCCCCTCCAACATGTTCTACGAGGGATCTCTTCAGAATGGTGTCACTATGCACCAACGCCTGCGCCGCGATGTCGACTTCCCTTGGCCTGTCGCTGACTCGCCTATGATGTTCTGGTCCAACTTGGGCAACGAGGAAATTTCTGCCTCTGGTACCTCCTACCTTAACCGAACCGAGGCTCAGAATGTTGAGAAGCTCGTCACTCGCTTCTTCAAGGCCGGTGTCCAGCCTCAGGACATTGGTATCATCACCCCGTACGAAGGCCAACGCTCATATGTTGTCTCTTCCATGCAGGCTACTGGTACTTTCAAGAAGGAGTACTACAAGGAGATTGAGGTCGCTTCCGTCGATGCTTTCCAGGGTCGTGAAAAGGACTTCATCATCTTGTCTTGTGTTCGTTCCAACGATCACCAGGGCATTGGTTTCCTTTCTGACCCTCGCCGTCTGAACGTTGCTTTGACTCGTGCCAAGTATGGGCTGGTCGTTTTGGGTAACCCCAAGGTTCTCAGCAAGCACCCCTTGTGGCATTATCTCCTTCTCCACTTCAAGGAGCGTAACTGCCTAGTCGAAGGTCCCCTCACCAACTTGCAGGTGTCTCTTCTGCAGTTCAGCAGACCCAAGACCACTTACCGCGGACCGCAGCGTTACCAGATGGCTTATCAGCACGCCACCAACATGGCTGCCTCTGGCGGCAATGGCGATGGCCGTGCTACTGGTCGTAAGAACGGCTACAACGACAACGGGTCTGTTGTTGGTTACATCCCTGACGATGTTTCTTCTGTTCACTCTTCGGCCTTGGGAGGCGCTACTCTGCCATCAAACTACCCTCCCATGTTCAAGAACTTCACCGAGGCCTGGCCTTCTCTTCCCGGACGTAACGGACCATCAGCGCCTATCAAGAGGGACAATGTTGCCGAAAGTGTTGCTGGCGAAAGTGTCGCTGCTAGTGAGATCACCGACATTACTACCACCACCAATGGTGTGCCTGGCAAGAACGGAACTGGAGTGGGACAGGGTGGTGTTAGTCTTGCTGGCTTGAGCATCAACGATATTGGCAAGCAGGCTAGCTTGTCCCAGTCAGACCGTCTCAAGCGTTACGTTGAAGGTGGCACCATGCAACCTTCTGTTGGTCTTCGTGGCACCAGCAGACTTGATGATGACGATGTGCGCAGCGTTAGCACCGCTTTCGCAAGCCAGGTTGGTTTGGGAGGATATGATTGATTGACGCAAGGACGACCAACTCATGGACACTTCTTCTTTCTCTAGAAAGAGTCATGCCTACCTTCACGTCTCGCTCGCTAGATGCTTAGCCAATCCATGGCCGACGTCGGTGTTGCTCACTGCCGTACCCTCCCGACAAGCCGTGGATGTTTTGGTCCAGCAAGGATTCTCAGCAATTCGGCAAGTCACCAATTTGAGGGCTCGTTCTGACATGCGGATGAGAAATTACTCTGCATACATGACCACAATGTCCTTCTTTCGGGCACAACAAGAAGCAGTACCCCCACTCGCTGCCTGTCAAAAAGGAATGGAGCCGCTTCCTCTGGGGCCTTTCTTGATGCTCGGCCTCTGTTCAGTAAAATCTCTTTACTTCTGGGCTTTGGATCAGCACTGGCAGCAGTGTGGTGTATCTATCCAACATCAACTATTCACCTTTCCTTCCTTTGAGGATAGAGGGGATGTTTCATGCTAATCGGAGATATGGTGTTAACCGTCGAGGATTCGCTAGTTTTACCTCCTTTATTCTTGCTCTACTCAATACAACTTTTGTTTTCTGCGACATCGTTCCTACCTTGATCATCCAGATGGTGAAGTTCTGGCTACAATTGCGCCCGCATTCTGTTACTGCTGATTCGTGTGTCTCCAGATGCCAACTTTCAAGCTCCGACAGCTTGTTCCTTCCCTGCTCTTCTGCACCAGTCGACACTGCCTGTTGCCGGCTTCAGAGGGCTTAGCAATTACAGTAACACAAATGTCGTCTTCACTCTAGCCCCCTGACTCGTTACTTCCCAACATGCTCGAGCGGACATTGTCGTCACGTGTCGTCCTTCACTGCGCTATACCAAATCAAGGTACAAGGGGTACACGAACGGATTACCACCCCTATCACAGAAAGCTAAAATTTGTATGACGCCCGGGCCACCCTGCCATAGAAACTTAAGCTATTTTGTAATGGGGGTGGTAACCAGTACTTGCACCCCCTTGTAACGGTCAGGCTATGCACGACAGCTGTATATGGTATCTGCTCGAGTCATTTCCCTCGCGATGACGATTCAGACAGATCAAACTACCAAATGGCAGGTTCGACCGACTGTCACAGATGTAAACACAATTGCGGGAACACTCCATGCTGGCATCAGCTTCTAGGCTCCGCTTGTGCTCCGCCTCTTGAAACAGTTCAGCGATACAATTCATGATCAACGGCATCTACCCTTCGCGATCGGAGTGCCGGTTCGATTGTGTCTGACTCGCTATGGCCATCCTCCGAGCGACCCCGAGATGTGGACATGCTTTGCATGAAATCGATTAGCAAACATCGACTGTTGTCTCCATGACTCTCTATCCATCGAAAGGTCTCGAACAGCAAATCGATCACCTATTGCGCCATCCACTACGCCTTGCGCTGTGGTATATCCGGCCTCGGTGTCGAAGCATCGGACTTCACCTTTCTTCTCTGAGGACTTATATCCGGATATCCAGCTATCGCAGGAGGCTCGATCTTTTGAATAGAAGTCTTCTCGACGACTTTTTTGACTCTATTATAGGGCTGCATTTGTGTGATATAGGTATTGGTACTTGATCTTGGGACTCAGCGGCACGAATTGGATGGGAAGGATTATTGTAGGATTTTAGTACAACCATAGGACAAGCAGATATTCTAAATTAAACTTTGCGTCCGAAATCGTGGATTCCATCTACCAGCAAGAGCAAATGTGATGTGAATACGCCCAATGCCGACACCCTCACAGTACCCATAAAATCATCGAAACGTTCATCAGTGAAGTCGAGATGTCTGTCCCAGCATACTATCGCTTGTTCGCTTGATCGCTTAGACAGTCCATTCTCTTTGTCCGTCCTCGTTCCATTGCGTTGATTCTTGACTGATTAAGAAGTGATTCTAGACTTTCTTGTCTTGGTGCTCTTAGATCAACAGGACAGAGCTTTTTGTGATCTTCCATATCTCTCGTTCTCGCGTGATCTTGCCCTCTGGAAAGAGCTTGCCACTGAAGCACTGCCTCGTGTTGTTAGTATGTGCATTCATCAAGTCGGTGCCTTGATTGACCACGCTGCTGTTTCGTCAAGCAGCGATTCCACAAATTTTACGGTGACCCTGACCGCCAAGCCGGGCTTCACCACCAAAGAAAAACTCCAAAATTCACCGCCCCTGCTCAACTATCTTTCTCGTGCAAACGACATAGTGCAAAAACGGCAAAAGATTGGTCAACATCGTGTAGGAATAGCCGAAGGCGGGGCTCGAACCCGCGACCTTGAGGTTTGGAATATCGAAACGANTAAGAGCCACACGCTCTACCGATTGAGCTACCCCGGCAGGTCTGATGATCTAGTTCACTGTGTGAACCGGCTGTTGACGAGGAAAGATGGGCCTAGGTGATATATATATGCTAAATGGAAAGCTTCGGAGCCGGCTCGATCTGCCTCTCATAAGTAAAGCGATGTAGACGAATCATCGTACCTTCTGCACAAGAGTGCATTGGGTACTGACTTGCAAGTTTGAGCAGCATGTCTGTACACATCTGAGTATGGCCAAACTGTCAAAGCCGATCGGGCTCACGAGCAATAGCCGACGGACGGAAGGGCTTGGTATTGACCATGTATGATGTCCATTGTCTTACGCCGCGGATATGGCCCCTATTCTTGTACTACCGATGCGAAACAGGAAATAATCTGCGAACCCCGATGGGATTCCGCTTGGTACCCAAGAGATCAAGAACTGAATTCCGCACTGAAAGTGTGTGCGATCGACTGTAGTTTGGCTTGTCTAAAGTTGTCTCCGTCTCGGCATCTGAACATTCTTCGGTAGATTCGAAAGCATATGCGCACGCACACGTGTACATATTCTGATGCTGGCGTAAGACTATGGCTTCTAAATTTCTACTCATACACAAGCTTCTTGATGAGTGGCGGTCGCTTGTGGAGCGAGCTGGACTCGTCGGCGAGAATGTCTCATTTCGCAGACAGGGTCGTACGCTCAACAGTCGTTGTTGACGTCCGATATCGTTCCTTCTGGAAGCTGCTGCAGAAGCTTCTACACTCGGTCCGAGTTAAGCCACGTGCAAAACCGAGGGTCTGACGTGGGGACGGCAACTAGAAAGTTTGGCAGCAAGCTCGACCCAGACCACCGGCGCAACGGAGATATAAAAAGAAAATGCAACGAGCAAAGATACAAGAGAGGCACAGATGGGTAACGGGTTGACTCTCCTTTGCTCCAAAACGTTGCAAAGCGATGCTATGTTCCGTATCTCATCAGATCGAGAGTCTACAACCGGACCAGCTCTCATGGTCTGGATGGAAGTGCTGGTCGCTTCCCTAGAAGGAGAGTAGTGTCGTGTGCCTCGACAGCGGACCGGATGAGTATGGGCGAGTACAAAGACCCTTACACATCTCTCACATTAGCTTGTAAGGAGTATTGTAGATACGACTATTACTTACTGCCAGTTCGTGGTGAGACGTGAAAGCATACTTATGACCAGCATGTGCGAGAGACAGGTTCAAAAGTTCAGGCGAGGAGGAAGCCGCGGTAGCTATCAAGAAGGGCAGAAAGTTTGCAGGTATATGAGCATCGTTCGTCATGGTAGTTGCAATGATACCCCATCATCACCTAGGTTTATCGATAGCGCTGGGGGTCAAGTCTTGAGTGCATGAGTTCCAAATATTGGTCAGTAAGAGAGACCAAATGGTGGCCATGAGAAAAGCTGGTCAGCCTATGCAAGAGAAATGAAGTTGAACATGTTCTGTTGAAAGCGTGACCCGTATACCTGTGCATGCGCTTGTCGCTGGTCCAAAGTAAGTCTGTCCTCGAGTCGCCAACAAGGATACAATTGCTGTTTTCGTGTATAGCGCGAAGTCTCAAGGCTCGTAGAATATATCAAACTTCCGCCCATACATATCTGACGCGTGAGATCTAGTCGTGCGTCCACAAAGTTGGTGCGTGCAGGTCTGGAGAGAGGTCATCATGACTCGATAGGCAGATTCACTTGACTGATCAGGAGAAACTCCACTGATGAAAGATTCGTCTGGGTTGACCAAGATGTCGGTGAGGAACGAGTCCCTAACGTTAGTGGAAGCGTCTACCTGGCGTCCCGTGTAACCGCAGATAAGGTTCTCATGGCATTAATGAAGAACCAGGAGCAGATCTTCGGAACATTTGCGCGTGTCTTGCGCTTTAAGTAGCGGCTACCAACGGCAATCAACGGGTTGAGAGACGCAGCCGGGACTTAATGCTTGACAAGATGTGATGTGAATCTTTTCTACATCTGAGAGGTCGCCGAGAACATGCAACGGCATCTATTGATGTTGTCATAGCAAAAACAACATCGATGACTTAGTATGGCAGCGTTAACATCTCAGCAAAGCTAGTGTCATGGTCTTTCTTCTTAAGAGGAATAGCAATGAAGGCATTGCCGTGAAACACAAACTTGCAAATTTTTAGCTGTGGAACTGCTGGACCACAAACAAATGATTCTGTTACTTTGAAAAGGGCGACGGACCTGGAGATACAGCTGGACTGCAGCCTGGAATCCTGATATGGTACTCAACGGACCAAGCAAAATTTTTGAGAGATCAAGACTGGAGAATCTAGTATCCTCGGCAAGAACGGACGAAGGGAGGAGCACGAATTCGTCAGGAGACCAGATAAAGCTGCAACGGAAGTGTAACAAGAGCAGATTCCGCTTCCAGACGGCATAGAAACATGGCTGATGAAGGCACAGTCTGCCAGTTTGTTCTCGAAGGTGTGGGCGACGAGGTAAGACGTCACGTCTCGTACATAGAAAGCATTTGGTACGCACGCAGGGGTCTGTCGGTTCCCCATAAGCCGTGTGCAGTAGCTTGCTGTTAAATCAGCAACTAGAGGTTTAGTCGTGGTCATCCTCGAAATTGTAACGATTTGGACATGGCGGAGTAGATACCACGGTTCGTTGAGGAGGCTGATTGCACGTGGTTGGGACCATGCTGAACGAGTCAAGTGTGAGAGCGCCGACTCATAGTATGCATCTTATGGCTATCTTGGATACAGGTATACAGTACTCCATCCATAACCGAGGCAGGATTCGTTGGTAGCCCGAGTGGAATAGCTTGAGTCATGGCTGAATCCTGCGGACATGACTCAAAATTTGACGAACGGAAGGATCATGCCATCGATCGAGTGTTTGCAGACGCGGTCCTCTAAGCAGAATCCAATGTCTCAAGTGAACAGAGCGAAGCAAATCGGCACTTCGACTTTGTGCCATGTGGACACTCACCGTAACATGCTCGGTTAGAGAACGAGCTTTTTGAGCGAGGAGGACAGAAGTAGCTGCAGGCAGGTCAAAAAAGCGACAGGCTAAGGACGTCAGGCATGTATAAGAGGATGACCATGAATCATGTTGAGCAATGGGCAAGTCCTAGCAGAGGAGTAGTTGATAACGAAGCCAAGTTTGTCGACTAGTGTAGCGATGGGACGAGCGGCGTACGTAGAGGAGCGGCATCAGGGGGCAGAGAGATGCCGCTATGGAGGTTTAGGATTGCCGGGCGGCGAGAGTCGATGTACAAGTGGACATGGTAAGGTACATGGCATCAGACAAGAGCTAGAAGGAGCGGTTCCACTCGGCCATCACAAGACTCGGAACGAAACCGCAGAGATTTGTCCAGAAGTGAGTGCTCATCGCTTGACCGGTGGTGAAGGACAAACGAATTGTAAAGTGCAGTGATCGCGCAGTGACCAAGGGGAGCTGGTGATCTGGTGGGGTTGCGACTGCAGAGGTGGGGCATGTACTGAGTAGTAGTGTTTCCCTGAGGATGTTCGAAGTTCGAACCGTGAAAAGACCGCGGCCCATCTCGACGAGATTATTACCAATGCACAAGGGTACAGTGGACAGGCAAGTCCCGTACTCGAAACAAACGGTCAAGTATGGCAGAGGCTCTGTGCGGGGAGCGTCGTTTGTGGCAGAGAAGGAGCAAAAAGCAAACGCCCGTGTCAAGAGTTGAATTTTAAGGGTCGCGACTTCGGCGCCGGTAGGGAGCAGAGGCAGGCGTCAAAAGCAAGGGAAATAATTCAGTCGGATTGTCAGGGAAATAAGGTCCGAGTACGTAGAGTGTCTTAGAGGGAACTCTAGTGGGTTCAATTGGCGATGCAAGAAGAAGTCGTCGCGGGAAGCAGTGCACATCATCTGAATCAGAAACACGATCTCCGACTACGATCTACGCACATGTTAGGGGAGCGCCACCTCCGGAGGCATTGACAGACGAGTTCAAGGTCGGTCATGACGGGCGCTCAGCGCTGGCTTGGGGCCAACAGAGAGGTTGCCAAGCAATAGTGGAAGGCATGAGACGGCGGCCGCATGATTCGACGGCCTGACTCGCCTGCAACTTTGACTTTGACCAAGAAGCACGATGCTCTTTCGTGTCTATTCTGTTATCCCCAAAGTCCTCCTTCTCCCTTCGCCCATTTTTATTCGTCTTTGCGCCCAATCCCACGCCAACTTGACCTCTGTCCGACCTCTCTCGCAACACTCGCTTGACTGGCTCTTGGTTCACCCTGTCTCCTAGGCTCCGCGACGTGCTCGAGAGCGCCCGCCGACCGTGCATCAACCCTAGACCACTTCCTGCATGACTCGCCTATCACCTGCTCACCAGTGCAACTCGAGAATTTGCCCATGATGGCGACGACGAATGGCTCGTCGGGCTACGGCACGCCGCAGCGTGACGGCACCATGTCAATGCCGCCCGCCAATGGCACTCCCCTGTCGCACACGACGCCTGATGCGACAGCTCAGCCAGGAGCATACCCCGCCGTCACCAATGGCAGGAAACGCAAGGCCGACGGCACCTCGTCGCGCGGTGTCGCCAACCTGACTCCGGAGCAACTGGCTAAGAAGCGAGCAAACGACCGTGAGGCTCAGCGTGCCATCCGCGAACGCACCCGCAACCAGATCGAGACGCTGGAACGTCGCATCAAGGAGCTCGAGAGCCAACAGCCCTTCCAAGAGCTGCAGAATGCCCTCCGCCAGCGCGAGCAAGTCCAGGCCGAGAATGACGACCTCAAGCGCCGCATGCAGACCATCTTCTCATTGCTGCAGCCCGTTGCTGCCTCTCAGGGTCTGAATGGTAGCAGTAGCTCTGTCGTCCCTCCCTAGTCTGCCGTAAGCTGACACAATCACCTAGACCTTGCTGCTGCTACCGCCCAACAGAGCCCTCTTCCGATGCCCCAGCACCACCCGCAACAAGCCCCTCCGCCGCCTCCTCAAGCCCTTATGTACCCTTCGCAACCGTCCAATCTTTACGACCAACCTCCCTTTGCTCAGCAGCACCTTCATCCCGACCTTCGCAACATCCAAGCCAACCAGCAACCTCAACCACCTCGTCCAAATCAATCTCCAGCCAGTGCCGCCAGGCAGTATGCTCAAGCTGCACAAGCCGCTCAACTGCAACAACAACAGCAGCAGCAGCAGCAGCAGCAGCAGCAGCACCCACAACAGCAGCGCTTTTCGCCGCACCAGCACTTCCAGCCCGTACTCGCTCCTGCACCCATACCACAGCACCAACACCATCAACTTGTACCAGAAATGTCCAATCAGAGCTTCGGCAATTTTCTGGTTGACGAGCGCAAGGTGTACCCTCCGTCACCATCAGTGCGCGACCTGATGCCCACCCCAACGGCTGACATGCCGGTGCATATGCGTCTACCTCGCAATCAGGAGGCTACCTGCCAGCTGGATAGCGTCATGTTGGACTTCGCAACAGAGCGGCGCAAAGCCGCAGCACAGGGCACGCCCTCTTCCTCACTAGTCGGCCCTGCATACCCTTCCATATCGTCTCTCCTCAACCCTGCTCGAGCACCAAAATCTCATCCTCTCAGCAAACTCTTTACCGACGTCCTGGCCAATCTTCCCGAGATCGACCAGATTCCAGAGCAAGTCGCCTGCTTGTACATCATGTTCCTTGTTATGCGCTGGCGCATTGCCCCAACTCAGGAGAACTTCGAACGTCTACCTGAATGGATCCGTCCCATCCGATCGCAGCTTGAAGTCAGCCATCCTATCTGGTTCGACAACGTGCCATGGTAAGCCGTTTGTTCTGTTGATTCAATCTTCGAAGCTAATCCACTCGCCAGGCCTTGGATGCGCGATCGCATGATCAAGAACGCTTCTGCTTATCCCAACGAGCGTTATGGCCCACCATATTGTTCAAGTCTATCGCTGAACTGGCCATATGACCCTCAACAATGTCTCTTGCCACGCGCCAACAGCGTTCAAGGCGCTGAAGCTACATCAGCTGCAGTGCTGGACGACGATGAGGAATTCATGATAAACCCCGTTTTCGAGTCTCATATGCGCAACCTCAGCAACTGGTCTGTTGGTTCCGCATTCGCCAATGCCATGCCGGAGCTGGTCGAAGGCGTCCGTGTCAAGGAAAGGTAAATCTACCATCACCTTCCTTGAAATTTCCACGTTGCCACGACGCTCAATGACCTTTCTTCCATTTCAAATCAACGGAACTGATACGCGAGCCCATTAGCATTTCTAGATCACCTACCCGGAGCTCTTCGTCGCTTGACGCGGAGGAGTCAGTCTGCTGAGCTACTGTCACGAACCATTTCTTCTGCCCATGCTTGCAGCACAAAAACGTTATGCGGAGTTCTGGCTGGTCAATGAATAGAAATTGGGGTCGGTCAAGCGATGGTAGACTGGGCTATGCGTTCGGGCTGTATCTCTAGTTGGTGGGAATGTTGTTCTTCTAATCGCAATAAAAAGTCTATACAGAGTGCTGATTCGTACCAATCCAACAAGGTGCTTCCTTTTCTACAGTAGCTTCTCCCTAATGCTTGCCGTTTGTAGGAAATGATAATTCTGGTTCAAGCCGCTTTCTCTTCTTTCTTCCTCGCATGGAAGGTTGCCCTCGTCGAGGTCTACAGACTTTATGCACGCGCAGCCTCCATGATGGCAATCACGACATGTACTCTATGTTAACGCCATCTATCAAACACTGACAGGTGCCAGGTTACATATGTCAAGGAGAAAGGACTGGTGTATCCCACCAAAGACTTGTCCAATGAAAGCCATCAATTGCTTGCAAGTATGAAGAAGCAAACATCATATCAAAGAATGCATGCGTGGATCGATGGCATTCCAGAAGCTTTCGCTCATGGCCATCAGCAAACACCGTAAGGTATATGAAGCATAATCCATTTCGCTCAACTCACCTACATCGTCTCACCCTTAATCATATCACGAGATGGCCAAAGTCGATCCTAAATCGAGCGCCCCTATCAGCAAGATTGATCTCAGCGACCCCATGTACCATAGCGACGGAGTCCCAGGACATCAGTCTCGAGATATGACTAGAGAAGATGACGCCAGCTTTCTGGACTGTCTCAGCAAAGCCTTCAACAACACTCCTCGCCTTGTCGCTGCCCTTGGTGAGCTTCCTTAACTTCCTCATTCATCTCGCAATATCCTTTTGCCTACCCAGGTTCTTGCTAGCTTTGACTGACGTGTCTGTTTCGAACCTAGACNNTCCCATGTCGAGTTCATCAACAAGCCTCCCCGCGACTATGCCTCCTTCATTCGTCCCGAGACTTATGACGATGGCCAGAGAGTCGACAAATTCATCTACGGACACCCTAGTGGCATGTCCTACGCCTCGCTTACTTCGTTTGCTGAGCACGTTCTCTCGATCATCAAGGGCGAGCTTGACAACTGCACTTGTGTCAACTGTCAGGGTGTACCTGTTCCTCAGCCTCGCGCTGACTCTTGAGCACACATGAAGCAAGCCAGAGAGTAACTTGTAACGAGGAACAACAATCAAGGAAAGGAGCGAGGAAATAAGGAAAAGCCCCATTTCTTCTGGACATACCCCTGTGAGCATCCGGCATTGACACTTTTTGGCCATATCAGTTTTGTTTGTTGCATGACCTCAGCTGTGCATTGAGCGAGCGGCCGTACATTGCAATCAGAAATATGACTTGTCCCAACAGCCCAACTCTCAAGCCATTATCCGTGGGATGTGTAGTTTCGAGGTGGAAGCCGTGAACCAGAGGGAAGCAAAGACAGATACTTCTCACCATTCGCTCTAGACTCCTTCTGGTGTATCTTTTGTCTCGAAGTTATGCAATTGGGTTGCAACTTGTCGAATGCTGAACATGAATGACCTGATGGAAGGACTTGCAGACGTTCCGGCAATGTCCTAGACACATGTTTTCGTGGGCTCTCATCAGACTATCACTGGAACCGCGAATATCTGTTCATTCTGACGAGGTAGAAATTCGAGGATGTGTGCTTGTCGGAAAGAAAGATAAGGCAAGCAAAGATGGAGGAGACCAAGGGACCCTCAACCGACGCCTCGGTAAACCTGGGGTACCTCGGCCAAACACTCGACGACTCGATGGATAAGTCAACCCTCCTTCCTGCTTGTGCACGCTCCAAAGTTGTTCAAACATGTCGACCTCATCGTTCAGAGTACAGGAACATACATTGCCATGCTCGTATATCAGAGAATATCCACTGGCAACCGCAGATAGTCAAGAAGACACACTTCACCTTGCTGTCAAGCAATACACCCCGCTTGACAACTTGTCACCACGAAAGGGAGATGTTACTATAATCGCTGCCCATGCTAATGGGTTTCCTAAGGTGATTGGACTGTTCATCTGCGTAAGGACCAGGCAGAGTACTGACGTGGCTTGCCACAGGNAACTGTACGAGCCGCTGTGGGATGAACTGCATACGAGATTAAGAGCCAGTGGTATCAAGATCCGCAGTATCTGGATTGCAGATGTAGCCCACCAAGGCCAGTCAAGTGTCCTCAACGAGAACATATTGGGAAACGATCGTGAGTATGCTGCATCATGTGTTTGACTTTAGGTCTGATTTCCTCTAGCATCATGGTTCGACCATCCTCGGGACCTGTTCTTGATGATTAACAAGTTCCGGGATCAGATGCCGCAGCCACTGGTCGGTGTGGGACATAGTATGNGGGGAGCACACTTGACAGCTCTGTCGTTGATGCATCCTCGTCTACTGAGCACATTGATACTGATCGATCCTGTGATTATCCGTGAAAGTCACCTCAGTGCATATACCCTAGGTCGAATGTCTGCTCGGCGAAGAGACAAGTGGCCAAGCCGAGCAGCAGCACGAAAAGCATTCGAGAAATCGCCCATGTTCAAGTCATGGGACAGACGTGTACTGGACCGCTGGATGGAACATGCTCTCCGAGACCTACCCACGAAGTTGTACCCAGAAGTTGCGATATCTTCCACACTGCCTGCATTAAGTGCGGATGTTTCTGGTAGCACCATCTCCNCCGAAAGCAAGACAGAAGTACCAGTCACGCTCAAGACGACGAAACACCAAGAGGTCATGACATTCATGCGAGGCAACTTTGTAACGCCTCTGAATCCCGCTCCAGACTCTGCACCCAATCCGTTGACACATCCGGATGTAAACATTGCGCTGCCAAATATGACGCCCTTCTACCGACCTGAAAGTTTCCACATCTTCAAGCTCCTGCCATATCTTCGACCTTCCGTCTTGTACGTTTTCGGCACAGACTCTGATCTGTCGACAGCACAACATATAGCAGACAAGCTGGAAGTCACAGGAGCAGGGGCGGGCGGTAGTGGAGGTGTGGCGAAGGGGAGAGTCAAGGAATTTACGATGCAACGAGGTGGGCATCTGATGCCAATGGAGCGGGTCGAGGAGACGGCGGATCAATGTAGCGGATGGCTTTTGCAGGAGTTGAAGCGATGGAAAGACGAGTACATTCAGATTGAGGCTCTTCGGGCAGCGACACCACGGGAGAAGAGGTCTCAGATGTCTGATGGATTTGTTCAGGCTTTGAGCCAGCCCCAGGCAGGCCATGCAAAGCCGAAGCTGTAGACAGTATTTTTATCCTTCCCCGGTGCAATAGACAGTCACAGTGTAGCTACAGAGATGCACAGTACTTTCCACGTCAGAGCGAGATGCACAGGAAAAATGTATATTTGGGCATCTCTATAGCCACGTCTCTGTCGAGAACGCGACTGTGCATCTTGTAGCATATCATAACACCACATGTCGGTGCGGGGGGGTGGATCGCGAGGTTGTGACTATGGTTTGCACACCTGGAGACGGAACCTGGAATCATATACAAGTCTCCAAATATGGAAGGTGCATGTGACGAGAGCGGAGTTTGTGCGAAGAGATGCCGACCATAAGGGCCGTGCGTTGGCGTTGCCTTCAGTCAGAAAGCGGTTGCTTTCTCCAAGGCAGGCGGTTGCCATCGATAATTGACTGAGCTGTACCAGAGTCGACTCACCGCCCGCTCACCGCCTTGAGTAGCGCGTCATCTCGATATCTACTCGACAAGAAAATTGTATAAGACGAACTGTGCTCTCCCCGGTGGAGTGACAGTGTGGGTCGCAAATATGGGTCGCAAGCCGAACGCGTTGATCCTCGAGTTCTTCGAGAGAGGCGCAAAACTGGCCGACCAGAGCAACAGATACGAACACAGCTGCAAGCGATGCGGCCAGGTGGTGAGCATGTGTCGTACCAACTGTTATGTGCCGTTACTGATCAAGGNNCAGTTCCCAAAGGGCAGACCGGACAGTCTGACACGCCACTTGTTCGAAAAATGCCCCAACATCACCGATGAGGACCGCTCCCGTGCTTTGTGGCAGCCCGCCGACAACTACATTGCCTCGAACAACTCGACTCCCCAATCTGATGCAGACCTTCCCCTGATGCCACGTCGCGAGCCCTCGGGTCTTGACGCCCTTGCCGAAGTCTCTCGCCAGCTCCAGGCCAACGGACAGCATGAAGAGGCTCTGGTAGCCCAGCTCCGACAGCACATGGACCAAGAGAACAAGGACATGCACACGCCCAGCGTAGCTACCGACATGGCTCACCACATGCCCACCAAGCCGAGAAAACGTAGAGCTGAATCAGACGCTGCTCCACAGCGCCAACCTCCACACCCGCCAGTCGATCCACAACTCCAACACCATGACGACTACTCGTCCTTTGTCAACAACTCTCTGGACGAATCTTCTGCCCACCAGTCACCTCAGCCTCAGTCTCAGCAATCCAACCAACGCCATCAATCGCAACAACCACAACAAATACATCAGCACCACCAGTCACACCAACCTCTGCATCAACCCGTTCACCAACAAGCACGTCACCCTGTGCAGCAACAAGCCCAACAGCTGGCACAGCCCTCGGACCACGCTTCGAACGACTCACAATCCACTCAGACACCTCCGCAACAAGCACAGGAGGGCGCCCCTTCGAACTTTGATGAAACGCCAGCATTCACTGTCAACCACGGCGGCTTTGGTCTGCTGCAACGCGCCAACAAGAACAAAGTGCGTGGCAGGTTTACCGAGGAGAGACGCAAAGAAGTTCAGACTGTGCGCAAGAAGGGCGCATGCCTTCGTTGCCGTATGTTGAAGAAGCCCTGCTCTGAAGGCACTCCCTGTGGTACCTGCCAGAATATCGAGAGCGCAAGATTGTGGAAGAATGCCTGCATTCGCTCTCGCATCGCCGAGGAGTTTACGCTCTACTCGTCTTCGCTTTTCCATGCCAAGGACCACCACAGTGTCCTCACTGCGCTGCAGGGTGTCGAGCCTATGCAACTGCCTGGCAGAATCGAGGTTACCCTGTTCCCTGACACAAACATCTATGCCACCTTCCCTGCTCTTATGACGCCTCCTACCGCCCCCTCACTCATCTTCATGCTTAACTACCGACGGGATCCAGACACGCTGGCCGCCACATTGGAACGCTATCTACACATGGTCATCATGCAATGCATCTCACACGAGCCCTCGACCTTCATGCGCTCCACTCTCGAGGTCGCCACTGAGCTTAGTGTTGACCACAATGATGTTCTTTTGGGGAAGCTGATCAACCTTTGGGCTGCCACAAACATCTTGATCTCGAATGAACACATCTGGTCCATCTTCTACGAACCCAACCACCCGCCAGTCATGGAAGCCGTTCAAGGCGAGCACGCTGGGGAAGGCGCCTCTGCTTCTCAGGACAAGAGCCATTCGGACCGCAAAGCCTTCCCTCAGGATACCACTGACTACCTTGTCATCTACGCACAATTACAACATGCTGCTGAGAGATACTGTCAAAAACAAGCAAAGTTTGTCATGAACGAGCTTGAGCGCCGTCTCTTGCAACGCCAACAGTCGTCTTCCTTCCTCACCTTCCTCGCCGCTGTTATCCTACTCAACTGCGTCGAGCGTATGACTGGCCTCTACAGGTCATTCGATCCTGCCGGACCTTCCTCAAGCGATGACATCCATGCTCAGCTCACCACAGCTAACGACAACAACGAAGAAGCCTCTCACCAGCCCGTTGCCTCGCCAGGCGAGATCTCGGATCGCCCCGTAGACTGGCTCTTGGAAGAAGCACCAAGCCACTACTGGCCCCAAGGCGATTCCTTCAGCAACCTCGTGCACCTACTCCTTCGCATGCGCGGTCTCCCTCCTGCCACCCTAGTCCGCCACACCGGTAGTCTAGTAGTCATCCCAAGCACACACAACAAAGCCTACAGTTCCGAAACCCAAGGTCCTGCCGCCGAATCCCAGCTGCAGCTGGCAGCAGCCTGGATCGAGCGTACCAATGTCTCAGCTTACGACCTGCTCAGAGCAAAAGACAGACCTCTATCAGAACTCGGACCCGATCCTAGAAGCTGGGATCTGAGATTCATTGCTCCTTTGCTGTTGCCGCAGAGTGCTCAATAAGTGCTTCTGTCGCGTTAGCCTCCTCTATTCTGCCTTTCTTTCTCGCTAAACTTCTCTGTCGAAAAGATTGCTCTTTTACCCCCGTATGCTTTTACTAATTGTGTTCTTCTCTTTGCTTCCAATTTTGCTTCTCTGCACGGTATAGCGTGGCGCTGGTGGGCTTCTCTTTCTCCCCCTTAAATACAGTATTGTACGAATCACTCTCAATCCGAGATTGGTCTGTAGCTGTCTTCTTTTCTTTCTTTGACATAGGCCGATCATTTCAATACAAAAGGTCCCGCGATTTTTGTTTCCCCTACAACCATATATCGCAAGGGGTCGTCAAGCAAATAGAACAAGAATGGAATGGCTTTAAATCTATATGTCCGCGTAACCCTTGTACAATGTGGCTTTTTGTAGAGTCACAGAATCATATGATAAATACAAGTGGAAGTGGGAAGCTTGTTCCATCTGCACCCGACCACATCATTTTTAAGCTGGCATTCTTAAGCCGGCGAGATACCTCCCTTCCAATATCTGCTGGGCACAAAAGGCATCTTTGTCACAGTGGCTTTTCTCGTCTTGCCCCTGACGACGACGCCCAACTCAGTGCCGGATTTATATTGACCGTCCTTGACGTATCCCATGGCGATGTTCTTCTTCAGTGTAGGGGAAGGGCAGCCGCTGGTAACGACACCGATGACTTGGCCTTCGGCGTCCACGATTTGTGCACCTTCGCGAGCGGGAGCGCCCTCGACGAGCAGTCCCACGCGACGACGGGAAACGCCCTTTCCGCCTTTGCTCACGGGTACTAGTTGCGGTAGGATGACCTCTGCACCATTGAATTCGTTGCGGGGNGCCGAGCGGCGTGATTTTGCGACGATCCAGCCGAGAGCGCCTTCAACGGGCGTTGTGCTATCATCGAGATCGTGGCCGTATAGACACATGCCAGCTTCCAGTCTGAGCGAATCTCTAGCGCCTAGGCCAGCAAGACGCAACTTCTCGGGTCCGCCAGCGGTAAGGAGTAGTTCTGTTATAGCGACTGTGTCTTCGGGTGAGATGGAGATTTCGAACCCGTCTTCGCCGGTGTAACCACCACGAGAGGCGAGAACCGGCTTCGAGGTCTCACCGGACGCGAATCTGAGAGTCAGATACTTGGATGTGCCGAAGTAGAGAGACTTGAGGTCGATATCGTCCGAGGAAGGGGCGAGGACACCTTGCAGGATATCAGCCGCCAGGGGACCTTGAAGAGCTACAAGACCTTGGTTNTTAAGTTCGGTCTTGTCCACACGGGGCTGGTTGGCATTGTTCCAAGCATCCAGATTTGCGGTCAAGAAAGCAGCATCCTTTTCTCTGCAGCCGGCATTGGTCACCACATAGAACTTGTCTTCGCCCAAGCGGGTGATGATTGTGTCGTCTACAATGCCGCCAGTCTCAGGGTGCAGCAGAGCCGAGAGAGTTGATTGGTGAGGTGGTAGCGCCTGCAGATCAGCAGGTGTGATCTTCTCTAGGAATGCAGTTGCTCCGGGTCCAGTAAAGTGATATTGCACCCTGGAGGTAGCGTTGGTCGACATGACGCAGATGGAGAAGATATTTTTCAGGGAGATCAAGACTTACATGTGGCTGACGTCGAACAGACTAGCCTTCTCCCTCGTCCATCTATGTGATTCGCCAACGCCTAGGTCACTGTATTGGACTGGCATCATGTATCCTCCAAAAGGCACCATCTTTGCTCCTTTGGCTACATGGAGGTCATAGAGACCTGTTTTGGAGTTGCCTTGCTCAGTGGACGAAGCATAGCATCGTACTACGGCTGGTGTGGCTTGGTGAAGTCTGCTGGGTAGTCCTTGCAATCTCGCAGCCGATGCACAGGCTCCAGCGTGTGCTCGGTAGACGGCATTAGGTCTACACGAACGCAGCAAAGGACTTGCAATTCTGAGCGAAGACCGAATGGCAGACATGTTGGTGGAAAGTGAAGCCAGTACTGGGGAAGTGGAGTGGAGAAGGTGAATATGATTGAGAGCACTTGAGGACTGTTCAGGTATGTTCTTTTTGTCTATGGAAAAGAACGACTTGAGTCAACAGAGGACAGACTTTGACAAGTAATCGATAAGAATTGAGGCTCTCGGAAGGAAGCACCACCACATGTGTTCGTGTAACCGCGCCCGCATAGGAAGGAGCTTCCCCGACCACGGCCGATGACAGCCGAGAACGCCACGAGCGGGGCTACCGGAGTTAGCACCCCACAATCACATGCTCGCGAGTTGAGCTTGCTCGTTCGGAAAGTGCGACTTTTTAAGAGCAACCCTGTTCACCACGGCGCTCTCGTCTGGGCAGTCGCAGACACGCTCGTCGCAGTCGCGAGACGGCTCAATGTCGCACAGCCGCCTCTCAACTCTGTCCCATTACCACGCGACCACCTAAACATGTACTGATTACTCGTTTCTCGAATCCCGTCACGTCATCACCCAACGCGTCAAAGATGAACTACCATAATTCCACCGTCGTAGGTCTCCGAGAAGAGTTTACGCGTCGAGGTCTCTCAAGTACCGGCATCAGGCTTAAGAAGGATCTGATAGCTCGTCTGCAGCAACATGACAATGACAACAACGTCAACGCGCAACCTTCTGTCGTGAACTCAGAACCCGACTTCGACTCATCATCAGTCACAGTCGAAGCAGACGAGTCCTTGCCTGCCACAGTCAAAGCCGAAGCTCTACCTGTGCCACCTTACGAACCATCAGAATATGGCTCCGACGACCTATTCGATGAACTCGACGCCGATGCTCTGATTAGTGCGAGCCAGCAGTCTCAGTCCGCCTTTCCCAAGCCCGAGTCCTCCTTCGCTATCCCTCCGACTTCCAAACTCAAGCGTCCTCTTCCCGAAGACAATGACGACGATGACTTTTCGGGCGATGACATGTTCAACGATCCGAGCATCGAAGAGATATGGACCTCATCACAGCAGGAGCGACGTGATGCAGCACCACCGGCAGATAAGTCTGAGCACATCGCTCTAATCCGTAGGCTACTGCGAGAAAAGTTCGGTTATCCTGGTTTCCGTGGTGAACAGGAGAAGGCCATACTTTCCATATTGAGAGGCGAGAACACTCTGACCATCTTCCCTACAGGTGCAGGAAAGTCGCTTTGCTACCAGATCCCAGCAATCGCTTTTCCGCTTATAGACAAGATGAGTGGTAACGAACGACCACATGGAGCTGGCATCACACTTGTCGTTTCACCTCTCATTGCGCTTATGAAAGACCAGACAGATGCCTTGAAGAAAAGAGGCGTCGCTGCTGATTGTTCTGACTCGACAAAGACGTATGAGCAGCATCAACAAATTCACGCCGACATCCACTCCGGAAAATTGCGTCTGCTATACGTGTCTCCCGAAAAGCTCTCCAATGAAGCTTTTGTTGCAAGCATGAAACACGTAGCAGGCGGTGTCAGGCTCGTTGCCGTCGATGAGGCTCATTGTATATCCGAGTGGGGCCACTCGTTCCGCCCAACTTACTTGATGGTCGAGCGTTTCACGAAAGAAATCAAGGCTGAAAGAGTCATCTGTTTGACAGCGACTGCCACGCCCAAAGTCGCTGACGATGTACGCGCAGCCTTCAATATCTTAGAGCGCAACGAGTTCCGCACCAGTCCGTATCGCCCCAACCTTAGGCTGGAAGCGGTCGCTACGGACTCGCAAGAAGCAAAGCTTCCGCTGTTGTTCAAATGGCTCAGAGAACATCCAGGTCCTATCATAGTCTATGTCACCCTCCAACAACAAGCAGAGGATTTGTGCAAGACACTACGTCAGAAGTCGTTCAACGCCGCCTTCTATCACGCCGGCATGAAAGTCGAAGAANAAACGGCCGTACAAGACAGCTTTATGGCTGACGAGATCAGAATTGTCGTTGCAACTATCGCTTTCGGCATGGGCATTGACAAGTCAGACATCAGAGGAGTGGTCCACCTCGACCTCGCTTCGACAGTCGAAGAGTACAGTCAGCAGATTGGTCGCGCAGGAAGAGATGGAGAGCCGGGCTTTTGTATCATGTTCATCTGCCATGCAGACATCTACTTGCGTCAAAACTTCAGTCTCGGCGACCTTCCTTCTCGCAATTCATTGCTACGCCTGCTCAAAGACGTGTTAGGCCGCGAGCGCACACCGGACGTCGAAGGAGAGGTCATCAAATTGGCACACCGCGATCTATCAACCCTTTACGATATTCGTCTTAGCCCGCTTGGTGTCGTTTTTGCTGCGCTCGAATTGAGGTTTGGTCTCTTGCGAGCTATCACACCGGAATATACCAGTTATCAGTTCGAGGATAAGGGTCGTTACCACGCTGTAGCTTCCAGCGATCACTCGCCAGAGGCCAGAGCCATCTACTCAATGTCGACCAAAGCCGTCAAGAACTTCACTTTTGACATGAACGCGGCCACTCGAAGAGGCCTCATGCGTGCGGATCTTGTCAGGAAGCTGGATAGCTGGAATGCTACTGGAGTCGTTATGCTGAAGACCTCAGGCGTCATGAACCGCTACAGAGTCTTGAGTCCTCCGCCTACAGCCGAGGAAGATATACAGGCTCTAGCCGATGATCTATATGCAGATATGGCCCAGCGCGAGAAGGACGCTCTTGGTCGTATTGATCAGATGGTGGGTCTTATCACTGGAAAAAGCTGTTTTGCCCTTGGTCTTGCGCAGCACTTTGGCATGGAGCTGTCAGACGGCAGAAGTTCGTGTGGCCATTGTACCTATTGTGCCCGGNGGGAAGCAGCAACCTTGTCGCCTAAGCCAGCTCCACCATTAAACGTGGAAGGTGTCAAACGGGTTCTGGCCGTTTGTCCCCACGACGATTCTAGACTTCTGGCGCGCGTTGCTTTTGGCATAAAGAGCCCGAGAATCACTCAGCTCAAGTTGGACCAGAACCCAGTGTTCGAGTCGCTGGCTGATCATGAGTTTAGCGTGAGTTGCCTTCAGAAAATATATCGTCAATCGTACTGACTGTCTTCGCAGACTCTGCTCAGGGAATTTGAGGCAGCTTGTAGAACTGCTGCCCGTGGGCCTCTGGATGTGATGCCAACCCCGGTGAAGGCTAAAAATTCGCCGACAGCGACATGGAGCGCAGATCGCTCAGGCTCAGCTAACAGTGCCAGAGGTCGGGGAGGAACCAACAGCTACAGTCGTGGAGGAAGTAAAAGCTATAGCAGTGGCTACAAGAGAGGAGGAAGTAGCAGTGGAAATAGCTACAGCAGAGGCGGCTACAAGCGAGGCCGTGGATCATACGGTTCCTACCGTTGAGCATGAGGGTCGAACTGTTGAACATGGCTATGACCGACAAAGGGACGATTGACTACAGGTAGATATCGCTTTTCACACAGACATGAATAACGAAAATATACATGATGGCAACGAGCTTCATCAACAACACTGTTCATGGTGATACTGCACTAGACAAAAAAGAAGGAGAGGGTTAGAAAACAAAAAGGTAGATTTTGTATTGATAATCAGATCAACGACAAACACAGATCCTATAGCAGGTCTCTAGAAAGAAGGGTCTTCAAAACAAGCCCTCTCAGCAATCTCCAATATGACAGCCGCAGAATCGAGAACAGTATTCATGTCATTGCTCTCGTCGGTGTCAGTGATGGGGTGAAGTATATGAAATTCTCTGGAGTGATAGATGCAGCTTCTGCAGCTTGAGTGGCGGCAACCGGAGCAAGTTACAGCATAAGTCGACTGTGTGTAGTGGCAGCGGCAGCATGTCCAAGGCATTATTGTGATGATAGAGGCGGGATGTGAAAGGTGGTAAGTTCTAGACTCGGGTTGTGTATGGGTTTGGAAAGATGAGGGTTCATGATAGAGATACCTTGAGCATGGCTATGTAGTATATTGTCTCTGTGTAAGGGGGCATGGTTTGTAGATAGCAGACAAAGAAGTTGATAGAGGTGGAAGTTTGTATCAAAGATTGGATTGGAGGGGTTTGTGGTGTCTGACAAAGGAGAGTATGCATCTTCATGCTTTTGCAACAAAGAACAGGGGATAGAGATGAAGTTGATTGTTTCCGTTAACGAGGTGCTTCTGTGGGAAGTTTGGTCTGGATAGTTGTCGGGATGAGAAGCGTGTCGATAATGGATGTTGTCGACATCGACCCGGCTGTCGGATGTTGACTGTGCACCCTTGGTCATCAGAATGTCAGTAGGATCAAAGCCCGAGCGGTTGACAGTGCTAGCTGCCGTTTTGAAGTTGATGGTTAGGCTTGTAAGCAAAGCAGGCGTGAGATGTTAAGACAGCAGAAGACGGTTACTTTTGAAAGTCATAAGTTGCAGTAGCTTTTGAAATTGGCAAGAAAACGTGTTGGTGACTTTCTCCTCTATGTGTATGGGTAGACATTATTCGTGAATTATCGGAAAAACTCCAACAGCGTGCGATGATTATGTACAAATGGATGACTAGACAGGACTGAGATCTCTGTCGTCAAGGGGTCTAGTTTTATGCTTGTGATGGTTGTTCTGCCTGAAGTGCATCAGATGCTGCCTTGTTGGCCTTGGACACCAGAGTAACGATCCATGAGGTCAAAGACCATGGCGTTGTCGACACGACATTCATTGCCGTCGGCGCGGCAGCCAAGCGCTGACTCGACCTCGTCACCCGCTTCGGAATGCAAGGCACGGATTGCACCTGCGGCTGCGAAGCAGGAAGATGTGCTGTCTTGTTGGTTGTAAGTAGCAGTGCTGGAATGCGTGGGCGATGCATATGTTCCTGAAGTTGAAAAGCCCGACTGGGGTGAGGTGTAGGTTCCAGACTGTGGGATGGCTTCGGCGGCAGCCATGTCCCAGTCGAGCAGTTGAGACTGCGGTACCGGGTAGCCGAAGGGCTGTGGTGCGTAAATGGGATAGTCGTTGACGAAAGCGCCAGGAGACGCATGTACGTTCTGATGAGGGGCCAGGGGTGCAGAGGCATGTTGTGGAGGCGACATGAAGAATTGCTGCTGTTGTTGAGGCTGCAGGTGGTGATGCTGAGGATGGCCTTGGAACTGCATGTGCTGCTCGCCCTGCGGTTGGAAGTGCTGGTGTTGAGGCAGCTGTTGGTTGGGGGCAGACGGTTCGTGGGACCGAGGTCTAGAGGCAGGAGCGACGGCAGGTACAGGTGCAGGAGCAGAGACAGGAGCAGGAGCAAGAGCGATGGGCCTCAGCTGCTTCTGTTGTGGTTTGGAAGGAGCGCATGCTGGAGCAGCAGGGGTCGAGATGACGCTCTGTCGCCTCGACTCTATGTCGTCCTCATCCTCGGTCTTGCATACCTGGCTGTCGCCGCAGCCCGAGCCCGAGCCCGACGACGGTTGACACGGCTTCCTGGTTACCAGCATGACATCTAGCATCTCGGCCGCCGAGGGCGACGAGGCAAACTCGTCGTGCTCGGGGCCATCGATGTCGGTATCACTGAAGCCTTGTTGCCGCAACAATCGGCGCAAGCGCTTGTTTTCTTCGAGCACTTTTCTCGCCGCCGACTGGATCTCCTGCGACGCCTCTGCGCCGATGGCCTCGCAAGACCTGTACTTTGTTTCGAGCTCTTGCAGGTACTCCTTGCGACGAGCGCGCGATCTTCGCTGGTTGTCNACTGGGGCACTCGGAATTAGCCTTTTTTCTAGGGTCTGTGTTCGCTCGGTCGCTTGTTTGTACCGGATGCGCGCCAGGTTGGCCTTCTGCTGTGGCGTGGGTTCGCTCATGGTTGCTGTCACTTAGCGTCAAGGCCTTTGTTCGTCAGAAGCAAGGGACACGCCGACGAGTGGGCAGGCGCATCTTGTTGATCAAGTGAAGACGAGTGCAGAAGGCTCTGGCCTCGACAATGATTCAGCCTCTGCAAAAGCAAAGGCCGCCGCCCCATCTTCCCCGAACCATACGGGGGAAACGACTTGAACCTTCGTTCGTCCAGGAGCTTGCAAGCCTTCGGGACGTGCTATACGTGTGTCGACACTCTCCAACATCACCTCCATCAAGAGCATCCACCTACAAGCACGTAATGTATGGCATTCTGCTTGCAGACAGGTACGTGCCACACTGCTGATAAGAGACCATCGGCGTTATCCTGTTGCCCAATTCGGCCATCCCGAACACGTGCGCCAAGCAGGTACTCAGCCCCCTCTCCATGCACGTGACATACGTCGAGCCCGTTCCTTCGAATCATGGTCCATGCAAGCCCTTGTCTTGTCAAACATCATCTCCTGCTTGGCTCTACCAGTACCTCGACCAGCCTCACCGATTTCCGCCGTGACTGCCTTTGTCCTTTTGCTGATCTACTCGGAATGGACAAGTTGACTGTTGTCGACCAGCGCCCCGTTTCCGGGAGCAAAGCCCAGTAATCAAGCCTTGATGAACCTCCTGGCTTTGGTCGAAATCAATATAACCCCACCGAAGCCACATCAACCGCTCGGCAGAAACATCTTGTATTCGGCTCGCTGATAATGAAGCTTAAGGTTCCGAGAAGTTGGCCTCAATCGCGGTCAAAACAACCTCACGACAATGTCCGGTCTAGGCAAACGACAACTTGTGGGGTTTCAATCTGCCAATTAAGCCTCTCTCAATACTCAAGGTACAGTCCAAGAGGCCAAGTTCTTGGTTTCGTTTGTTTTTGCCATTGATAGCACCACTTTTGGCTTCCCTTCGCACGGTAGGTTTCAATCTCCAACGACACCTCGTCTTGACCACTACGCATCTCGACTTTGTGCCGCTTATGCCTACCTCTGCCATTCCCTTGGCCATCTTGGATAACCTTGACATCGGGATCATTCGGACGATCTCGCAACATCCCCCCGCATGTGTGGAGCAATAGTATGGGGACTGAGAACAGCATGGGGAAGTCTGGGGATAGAGGCTGGATCAGAGGTAAGATTCTGGGAAAGGGCTGTGCTCTCCTTGTGCTCCTCGACATATATAATCCTCGTCTAGAGCCCGTCTTCTCTTTGATCCAGTTTGAGTTCATTATATCTTCTCTCATCTCCTTCAGACCATTCCCCAATCATGCAGAAAGACCTTAGCGAGAAGCCAACAGTGTTGATGTTTGAAGACATCGGCGCTGATGACGGTCTCACGAAACCCCAGGTTAAANAAGATTATTCGGGAGTGGCAGCAAAAACAGACCCGGCCGAGATAGCCCTTGTGATGAAGCTCGACAGATGGATTATGCCCATGCTATGGTCAATGTATTGGCTCAATTACTTGGATCGCAATGCCATCGCTCTGGCCCGTCTCAACGACCTGGAGGAAGATCTCGACCTCACAGGAACTCGTATGTCACACCTCCTATCCACGAATGGTAGACATGATGTTAACGAAAAGAAGNAATACCTCACCTGTGTCAGCATTCTATTCGTCGGCTACCTACTTGGCCAGATCCCGTCCAACATGTTTCTGACTCGCACAAAACCCTCGCACTACATGGGATGCTGCATGGCTCTGTGGGCTATCGTATCGGCTTTGACTGCTGTGTGCAACAACTTTGTCGGCCTTCTTCTTGTTCGCNTTGTAAGAGACATAATCCTTTCCCCAGTACACAGCTGTGACTAACATACAGCGACTAGCTTTCTTGGTGTGACTGAAGCACCGTACTACCCTGGCGCGGTTTATCTTCTCAGTATCTTCTACAATCGCAAGGAGATCGCTACACGTATCGCTATCCTGTACACCGGTAATATCCTTGCTACTGCCTTTGCAGGTCTTATCGCCGCTGGTGTGTTCCACGGCATGGACGGTTCGGCAGGATTGACTGGATGGCAATGGTTGTTCATCCTTCAAGGTGCTGTCACCTTTGTCATTGCGATCGTCGGATTCTTCTGCCTTCCAGATACGCCCTTGACAACCAGGTGGTTGACCCCTGAGGAGAGACAGCTCGCCCACGACCGCATTGCGAGAGACACTGTCGAAAAGTCGGGAGATACTAGTGTCTGGAACGGCCTTAGACAGGCTGGTTCTGACCCAGTTGTATGGCTCTTTGCCCTCATGGCTCACCTCCACTTGGCTGCCAATGGTTTCAAGAACTTTGTAAGTGTTGACATCTCGATATCTTTCTGAAGCATAGTCTGACGAGTTCTAGNNTTCCCTACTGTCGTCAAGACTCTGGGTTTCAACACCACGATTACTCTTGTTCTGACCTGCCCGCCTTACCTCATCGCCGGTGCCTCGACACTTTTGGTCTCGTGGTCTTCTGGCAAGATGAATGAACGCACCTGGCACATTACTGCTTCAAAATCGGTTGCCATCATAGGCTTCATCGTCGGTGCCGTCGTGATGAACACCGGAGTCAAGTACTTTGCTATGGTCGTCTTTACCATCGGCACCTATGCCGTCAACTCCCTCATCCTCGGTTGGGTTGGCTCTACTTGCGGACAAAGCACGGAGAAGAAGGCAGCAGCCATCTCTATCGTCACTACAGTGATGAACGCTTCCTTCATCTGGACGCCATATCTCTGGGACCCCAAAGACGCGCCCAAGTATCAGCCTGCCATGTTCTCGAGCGCTGCCTTTTCTGCTGGCACCGCACTCACGGCTTGGGTTGTCAAGATTATTATGAAGCGCCGTAACGAGAGGCTTAGGCAGTCCGAGGACGAGGTCCAGACTTTCTATGTCTACTAGATATATATGGTTTGATGGCAACGAAGTCTGTGGACGATATAGGTGCAGGATGTATATATGGGGACTTCTTCATGGCGAACCTTCGGCTTGAGGTATATGTTGATGAGCACACGTGGGTTACCGCCTTACCAGATATGTTTACTTATGACTAGTCTTGTTGTTTATGTACTGTTCCTTACGATTATCTACTCAATTCCGCTCGAGTACAAAGCCTTCTCCTTCCTCTCAAACGGCATCAACTCGACTATTTATAATCCCACTACATGAAGCAAACACCCTAACTTCAGATCGTCTGTCTCCACTTAAGTAATGTCGCTGTGTTCGACAAAGACTTGTCCGCACTAGAATGTTCTGCAGGGGCCTCATCGATATCATCTTGCGAAGTATAATATGATGAACCAGATTCCACCGCCTCCTCGGTTGGTTCTTGGACCAGACTGTGTTCTCCAGCAGATTCTTCTTGTTGCTCATGCCAGCTGAAGAAAGCTTCCACGATGACAGGGAGGAACACGACGACAGAGACCACCTGGCCAAAGCCCCATTCGCTGTCAGAGTCTTGCGTACTAAGTGCTTGGGTAATGTTTGCCTGGAAGCTTTGCAGCCTGAAGTAAGACCAGGTCAGACCGATAGAAAGAAGTGGTACGCAAACGAGTGAAATCCGTCCGAGATAATCGAGGGGTTGCTGCACAATGTTCATAAGATCGTGGTGCCGTTGTAACTTGTGGTCGTAATGCCTATGAAGCCCTGCCATGACGATCTTGCTGATTGCGAACAGAGAGGTGAGCAAGGAAGCCATGATCCCGAATACGTTCATTAGCCTGTATTCTGCCATACTCGGTGGGGAAGTTTGCGATAAGCAGCTATCTTGCAGCATTCTCCACTGTTTGGTGGTAAGGATATCGCTTGGCTTGTACCCAACCACACTCTCCGCAAAGCTCTCAATCATTCGGCTCAAAATTGGGTACACCGAGCATGCCCAGCAGATGCTGAACAGAAGATCACGACGAGCATCAGTGGTGAGGAATGTTCCAGCGGCAGCTTTGGTGAACTGTCTGTTGGCTCCAGTCTGTGGCAATCCGGAAAGCAGGAGGGTGTACATCAAGGGTAAGAGTGTCAAGGCAGACACCGTCCAAGTCGTTCTTACAGTCACATCGCCCATAGAAGCAGCTGAGACCCCATAGTCGACTTTTGCTAGGACAACGATACTGGCGATCTGGATCGAGAAAGTGAAGAATGTTGCACAATCATCGAAGGAAGATAGCAATTTGAGTGCGAGCTTCTTCGTCTTTGATCTACTAGAAAGCACATAGAAAAATGCCAATCCGGTGCCTAGTATGCTTGAGCAAATGCACCCGACCGACATCTACCATAACATCAGAGGGACGCTTCTTTGGAAAGCGGTGAATGTTTGACCTGCTCCGACTCCTGAGATATTTGGATTACCGCTCCCNCACAGTGACGTGCATACCGGTATTTTGCATTGTTGGATAAGCGAGAAGTCTTCGTTGGTTGCGTTTCTGAGTCTCTGGATGAACGCTGCAAAGCTGCCTTGCCGGTCATCAAGGCCTGTACAATTGAGAGGCATGAGACATCAACCAGCAAGTCAGTCGCTGGTTTAGATGAGGACAGACCAAACGTCTGTGTGGGAATTAAGAGACTGCCAATGGCCAGAGACGAGATTTATCTGTATCTGCACAAGGCCGACATATCCACGAGATATCCAACAGGAGCCATGAGGCGGAGCTTGGTGGCGCATAAGCATGCATATCAAGGTGCATTCGTCGTGCATGTTAGTGACAAATAGGCGTTCTAGATGCCTACATTACACCTAGGGAATGTTAATGCTTTGAAGAAGGTGTCTTCTGGGACTGGTTTTAGGCTTTCCTGCGAGGCCTTTTTTGTTCTCCCTTGCTAGGACGGGTTGCTGCAATGTCTCTGTCCAACACCAAACCCCGAAGGGTATGCTAACCGGCACTTTAGGCTACGACCCAAGAAGCGCAAGACTAAGACTCTGGTACAGCCAGAAATTCGCAGGAACGATTCACTCAAGGACAAGGCAGTACCTGTGGTTGGGACGTTGGAGACTGGTGGCAGCAAGATAGAGTGAACATTTTCATATTGTGGGAGTAAGGCCCGCAGGGCGGTTAGTATGTCTCAAGTCCAGACCTCAAGTCCGTTCATGTGGTCTTTCAACTTAGTCGTATTACCTTTGGAGAGGTAAACGAAACACTTTTTAGCAACAAGGACAATCTTCACATGAAAGTGGAGGCTCAAAAAGCGCGTACGCACAGACCAAGCAGATTGCCGCCTTCCTCAGGACTCGTCTGACAAAGGCAGGAGCGACACTTTGAACTTGTCGCATACCAGCTTTCTTCTTCCTTTCCATCCACAACAACAAACCGAGTGATCCGTCACCTTCTCCGAGTTCCGTCTGACGAAGCAGCAGCAGGTGACTTGTCGCGTACCAACTTTCTTTCTCTTTCTTCGCAACCACAACAACCGCAACCATGTCGGAACGCAAGGTGCTGCAGAAGTACTTTCCTCCGGACTTTGATCCGTCCAAGATGGTCAGGCAGAGAGGGCCCAAGAAGACGGGCCCTCTCTTGCAGACCGTCAGACTCATGGCGCCCTACAGCATGAAGTGCACTGCTTGTGGAGAGTTCATCTACAAAGGCCGCAAATTCAACGCCCGCAAAGAGACCACCGACGAAAAGTACTACGCCATTACCATCTACCGCTTCTACATCAAGTGCACTCGCTGCTCCCAGGAGATCACCTTCAAGACCGACCCCAAGAACATGGACTACGAAGCCGAAAAGGGCGCCAAACGCAACTTTGAACCTTGGAGGGAGGCCAAGCTGGCAGAAGAGACGGAGGAAGAGAGGCTGGATAGACTGGAGCGTGAAGAAGCTGAGCGCGACGCCATGAAGGAACTCGAGACAAAAACTCTGGACGCAAAGACTGAGATGCAGATCGCGGATGCCCTGGATGAGATCCGCACACGCAACGCCAGGAACGAACGCACTGCCAAGGACGGAGCTGAAGTCACGGTCGTGGACAAAGTTGATGACGAAAGAGAGAGGCAAGAGGCAGAAGATGCCAAAGCAGCAAGGCTCGCTTTCCTGGCAGGTACGGGCGAGAAGGTCAGAAGACTGGTCGAAGATACTGAGGAAGAAGGGACTGGTACCGCTTCTGCATCTACTACTGCTACAACAAGTACAAATGTGCCCATGGGTACCCCACCCATCCCAACCTTCGCCCGCAAACCAAAAAAGAAGACGGATTTCAGCGCAAAACTGGGTATCAAAAAGAAATCACTCGTATGAACGCCTCCGGTGATGTCGCCTTCGACCCGATCCTGATCCTGACCTAATCGATCCATGACCCTGCTCGCTCGTCTGGCTCTGGTACTCCTCGGCCGCCCTCATAACTTCCTGCATCTTGCGTTCTGTCCCTTCTGGATCATCATTACCTCTCACGCGCCTGACTACACGATAACTCTTACGACCCTCTGACGAATTTGACTTTTTATCTTCCTCATCAATGTCGTAGTCTTCTCTCCTGGCCACTGCATTGTCGTTGGTGTAGTTGTATCTCTCGCTCGCGCTGCGTTCCGAGGCAGTGTTGCTGCGAGTATCCGACAAGGTATTCGCTTTCGGTGCGTCGATTGGAGAGATGTTGCTCGAACCGTAGGCTGAATCGCGGAATTTTGTGCTGGGATCGAAGCGTATACGGCTCAGGCCAGGTGTAGAGCGAGGGTATCTGCTCGTGACAGATGAACTGCTGGCGGGAACAGTCAAGTGGGGTAGACCTTGAACTGCTCTGTACGCATCTCTGCTCCTGGATGACGATGTCCTGCTCGGCGTGCTCGAAGACGATGGAATGGTATCTCTGGTGGTGAACGCTGCTGCTGCACCAGCCGGACCCTGAGGAGGGGTAGGTCGGCTGGGTGGAGATATGAGGGTTGGCGGCATAGAAGGCGGCGGCGATCTTCTGTTCGACTGGTGCACAAGTGCAGGCGACGGCGGCATAGGGGCCTCAGGCATCATCTCTCCTGAGATTCTCCTGCTCTCGCCACTGCCACGTCTCCTGCGAGACCCAGATCCAGATCCACCATCATCCAACCTGCGAATACTGAATTCGGGCGACTTCAACCAACCCCTGAACCTCACACCAATCTCTCCAGAGTAGCGACGTTCCTCTCGCGGGTCTTGCCGGCGGCGAGGTGGCTCTTGGTGCAGCACGACCTCGTTGTGCCGTGAAGAGGAGGGACGAAGCGCCACTTGTGAGGATGTGCTAGGTACGCGTTCTGTGATCTTGTCCAAGATGGTGTTGTCGCATGGGCGATTGTTGACAGAGTGGCTGCAAGGGCTGAAGGTTTCTGTGGTATCTGAGTAGTCGTCTGGGTGGATGGTCGTTACTCTTTTGATCAGACACATGGCTGCTAGGGGTTCCTGGGTCTTTTGAAGATGTTTCTGGTCCCTTTGACCAAACCGATGCCGGGTTGACCGGCAGGATGAGTTAGGGAAAAGCCCAGTAAAACCCGTATGAAGTGGTATGCTTTACTCAAACAAGGGACAATATCCAACAAAGCGCCTTTGGTATGATGGTGTGTCCGAGTATGCCAAGAAGAAGAGTTGTTGTTGCCTCTGTGCAAAAGAACAAAGATGAACAGGTCCGAGTATCAAGTGTCTTTCCTCAAGTCAAGTGCAAGCAAAGAAAGGTCTCGTGTTATGTATCCAGGTATCCAAAATGTCTCAGAAGAAGTATGCCCCACGCGGATCAAGCGCAAGATACAAAGATGTTTCAGTCGTGATTCAAAAAAGATGAAAGAGCAAAGAGAAGTAAGTTAAAAGACATGCAAACGAAGAAAAAGGCAGCAGCAACCAGATCTAAAGAAGCTTGGACTAGTTCTTGATGCACTGATCTGCTACGTGCAGTAAAGTGTCATAGGTGACAAACTAGAGGGTAGCTATTCTCAGTGGCTCATGGGATGTGTAAGGCTGCAGAGGCGGGAAAGGCAGACATGCGCCTCCACCAACAACCGCAAAGCCACAACAAGACACCGAAGAACTGCGCTTTTGGGGTCCGAAATAATGGGTTACTCCCGAATTCTAGAAATACCACTCGTGTTTTGTTTCTTGCCCTGGAGTCTTTAAGAAACGGCTGGGTGTTTTGTGAGAGATGGTGAGGAAGGTGTAAACGTGACTACGTGAAAATTGGTAGGAACGATGCAGAAGGTGTTGGTTGTTGCCTGGTCATTGCCATGACCATCACGGTCGTCTGCCTTCTTGCACACTCTGCAGCAAGTAAACGTCCGAGATCAAGATGATCGCATGTCCAATCGTTTTGTGCTTAAGCTTCCAATAGAGACAGATCCATTCGCTCACGGTGCTTGCTTTGGAGATCTGCTCAAGAACCCGAGGGTATGGTGCACACGCGCACTCGCATCCATCCAGACGCGCGCACGATGCGCGATCAAAATGTCTACATCTTTCGCTGTACACTTGCTATCTCCTCCGTCACATCGTCGACACATCCATTCCAACTCACGACTCATCCAAAACACCGCTGTGTGGCAGAAGAAAAGGTACAAAGATCTCGTATCAAACCCTACCCTACAGGCGCAGTCAATTCAAACACCAAAATCCGGTCATTTGACAATTGGGCTTAGCATCATGGTGGGGGGTGTGTGTGTGGGCGGATGACAGGAACCAAAGAAATCAAGTGTGGATGAGCAAGGTTATGTCAACACAGAGTGGGCGTCCGCTGCCCGCGTGGGATGATCAGCCAGCGGCAGCGGTCCGTTTCGCATCCATGCTTTGCTTTGCTTTGCCGGGCTTCTGTCGTCCAACCAAGACTTGCTTCACTGAGCATCTCGTTGTATGGTTTCAGGGATTGTTCTTGCTGCTGTTGATGCTGACCCAGCAACCTCAGAAAACAGATAGCTGACATTTGAAAATAGTGCAGCAAAGAGTGACAACCAACGTGCAGCATATCGCAGCGCATTTGCAACGGCATGTTCATGTCCACCCCCGGCTGGCTGCCTGAGGCTGTGCTGTGCTGGGCTTTTTGCTGCCCCCAAAACAAGGATAGAAGAAGCTTCACTTTACTGATATCGTAAACACAGCCTCATCGTTTCAGCTGGGCTGTCTACACAATATACACGCCAATGTAGAGGTGTTGATGTTTCGGCCCCTTGTGGCCCTGCGGAGGAAAACAGGAGGCTGACCATCCATATCGTTGTCCCTGCAAGCGAAGCAGCAAATGCAAAAGCAGAGCAAGCAACGCAGGCAAGCGAGGTACCCGGGCATCCTGCATGGTTACATGTGCTTACCTGTGGCTGAACACAAAACCCATCGTGTTGCATGAGCCACTTGGCTGCTGACCAAAAGTCATTAATGGCAATAAATGGGAACGGAAAGTAAAAGGATGAAAGGAAGCAATTCGTGAGTTGTTGGTTACTTTCTTTTCCGCCTTTCCACCGAGAGCCAAAATAACAGGTACCCAGACTCTGGTATAGAAGAAGTCGAAAGAAAATTATACATCTGCTAGTAAGATGCTCAAACAGGCTGCCTGCCCAGCCAATATATACACCTCGTGCCAAACGCCAGGCAGCCCAAAATATAAAGTGTTCCAGCCATAATCCAACGCCAAATGCTCTGTTGATCCATAATGTTTCGCTCAGTCGTTAACACGGGCATAACTCATTGCTCGAAAAGTCGTAATCATGCTCCGATAGCAGCTTCGGGCAGCAATCTGGGCGGTAGTCGCATGATGAAGCCCTCGCTGAGGCGTCGCCTGACAGAAAGGCCTTGACGGGCAGTGCTCTGCAGCAACCACATGGAGCGCTGCAAATCCTCAGGCCTCAAGAAAAGGTCAAAGTTGAGCAAATAGCAAAAACTGATCTCGAGCTTCCGAAGCTCGTTTGTGCTTATGCCGCCCAAGCGAGCGATGCGCTCTTGCGTCCATTTGTTGTCTTCGAGGGACTTGCTAGCTATCCGGATGGCGGCCAGTGCCAGACGGTGCACTGTACGAGGGGTGGCTGGTACCATAGTCTCGACAACACAGAGGCGGTGTATGTAGGATGCGGCAGCCAAGTAGACACCAGGCGAGTGTGGGCTGAATTTGTGTATGCGGAGGAGATAATCGGTAATGGAGAATGGCGGAGCAGCTTTGAGGAAGAAGCGTCGCGAGACAGCAGCAAGCTGCAGGGCGTTGGCTTCGGCAAGATCTGGTTCGGGCGAGTAGTCGGCGGGCGGAGCGATGGGTTCGTCGCGTTTGGCCTCGGGGGCGCCGATGTGGTGGACGGGTACGCAGTGGTGTGGAGCGAGTGTTGGCGAGCCTTCCAACTCTGGCGTGTGAGCAGGCGGTGTTATCGAGTCGGGAGACGGCGGGTTCGAGCCCTCGGGGATGGTTGCTTGCGGCTTGAACACTTGTTGTTTTTGGTACACGGGNGTTGTGCACACGACATCTCCGGTGATGTTGGATAGTGACTGCAGTGCCTGCGCCAGCATCTGCACAGCGGCAACACCCGACACCGAGTAGAGGTCCCAGTTCTCGTCCTTGAGCATCAGCGGCTCGTTGGTCTGCTCCATGTCGACGTGGTAGTCGTGCGGAAGGCGGCCGCTGTCTTGGTGTGGATTTGGCTTGGGTGGTGCCTGTACGCTGGTCGAGTCCATGTTTGCGATGACAAGAAAGGGCGATGCAGAAAAGTGGTTTGAAAGAAGGAAAGGAAAATGGCAATACAGCGTAGTACTGCCGACGGGATGCTCGGAAATTGTTTGGAGATTCCAACTTCCAAGAACGGCACGATAATGGCCTTGACTCGGTGTGATTATCTGTGTGCCTACTGGAAGATAATAACCCGGAATGCGTGTAAGTTGGTTAGAGCGTGTAAAGGACGACTATGTTCAAGGGGTGACTCAAAGACGAGGATTACAGGCAATAATAACAAGAAAGATAGATAGCGGGGCACAGCCATGGCGTGTTTCTGCGAACGTGGACGCTGCCCGCATCATGCGCCCTCCCTCCCAAAATGCACCCTGATTTGCGCCTAAATCACCCATGTTTCACTTTTCGCTGTCATTGCGACAGCCGTTTCGAAAGCACTTCCTTTTTGTCCGCTGCTCTTTCCATCCTCAAATGCATCATACCTCTCTATTCTGGATAGCGACGACACCCATTCCGTCATTCATAACATCACAACCCCGTCTTCACCAGATTGGAAGTCCCTTGATCCGTTCCTGCAGCCATCGTGTAGCCCTTCCGCTGACTGCCTTTGATTGGCCCCGGACCAGTTTAACCGTGCAGCGCTGCGTCTAGTCAATTCAGGCAGCATCACATGTGAATACAAACTGTTGTTCGCCTTCACAACAGCTGTTGTCTGCTGCCCAACGGCGCTTTCTCAGTCGTTTTCCTCCACATTCCGATATTGGTTTCGTTAGTAGATGTAAGGAAGCAGTTTGTATGGCACCTCCATTTTCACCTCCTTCCAGTGTTCGCCGTACTGTTTTTATATCAGCCCATGTCTCTTATCAATTCAAATCATCTTACCTTTNCGTGCCAAATACGTCTCCAACAACGGTATGGCTCTCTGCGAGAAGTCACCAGCTAGAAACAGAGCTACTGCAACACTCAAAGGGATCCCGGCGCAGACAAGGCTGTAGCCAGCTCTCCACAGTGTATAACCGCCATAGTTGATGTTGCGTGCCAGCCCGAACAGACCCTCAGTGCAAAGCTTGCCTTTGTTGGTTGGGTTCTTCTTGAATCGCTTGCGCTGTACTTCACACCACCATTCCGTGAACAACCCGAGCCCATAGAGTCCGGCGCCGATCGCGACACTTGGTCGGCTGGTGAACAGTTCAGTCCAAGTATTGGCCACTGCAGAACGGTTTGAAGTGACAGTCCAAAGCGTGAGCAAAGTATTGAAGGTGTTCAGAACAGTGTTGTACGAAGCAATCATGGTTGCAAATCCAGGATCGAATTTATTGTCTGCTACTCCCAGACACCAATAAATCTGTTTAGCAGCACTGCCGACAGCGAGGCCAAATACGAGGGAGTGGTACGGCGAGAGGCCGATTGCAGTAGCTGGCGACGCGACTGCATTCGAGATAGTCGTACCGCCCAGCTTATGCACGAGTCTCAGTCCTAGCCCGGATGACAAAAGATAGTACTGTAGAGACAGGTCGGCGAGTCGCAAGATGGTAAAGAGCGCGTTTCCTGCCACGCTCACACCCTTCTTCCGTGTCTCCACGAACCAGGTGGGGAGGTCTTGCTGAGTGTCGTTGCCCTGTCCCATTGTGTCCTCAGCAGATGCGTCAGTCGCAGAAGTTCTTCAACGGTTGTATGTGACGATCGAACAGTCTGGCGATGTATAACAGACACGATGACTACGAGAGTTCGTCCTTGAGTAACGAACCATCTTGAATCATGACGTAGGCGTATCCACCACGCAACGGAGTACAAGCGGCCAAGGAGCGCTTGTCCTCCCAGTTTCTTGCAAGTCCATCTTCAAGACTCCTCATTGCATTGACTGCATCTGAGGGATTGGTGGCCTGCGTCTGTAATGGCGTGGTCGTCGCTTCCTCTTTGATTAACCACGCCACGGGTCTGACCACAGAAATCTCAACATAGCGAGACCATCACAGGCTCCACCAGAACTGCCCTTGGTTTGGCCTCAATGTGTCCGGCGACAGATTCGACTGGAGCTTGCTATCCTGTTTTCTTGTCAGCACCAGAATTAATTTTGCCAGATACTTATCTTCCTTCTCAATGGCTCTGACCTCGCACTCTTCATCTTCGACTTAGGGAGGACATGCTTTTGTACGGACGCAATCTCCGGAAGAAGTTCTTCTTTCTTGTCTGGGTAGACAGTTCCTTCAATTAAGCAGAACCACTACGGGCACCACCAATTAACACTCTGCCGCGGACTCTTTGAAAGAGCCGACGCTAAACTGAGACACAAGCGCAGAACTAACCAGAAAGTACCAAAGGTGATAGACGGCTTGTTACTGCGCTTGTGCGCAACATGATGTTGCTGTTGAGAAAAGAAAGCAAGAAATCCAGCAGCATGTTCGTGGGCTGGTATGTATGCGCATTGCAACGCCAAGGTCTTGCTGGTGTTCCGTCATCCAAGCATAACAAGGCAGGTACAAGTGAGGAAGTACTTCCAGTCGCAGTTTCCCCTTGTGCAAAGTCTCTCATGGAGCTGTGAATCCTAACAATATTTTTGGTGTCAGTGTAGTTCTCAGTGAGAGCAGATGTACTGACAACTTTTCCTGCATGAGTCTGATTATAGACATCTGAAAGTGGGTGTGGCACATTCCAAAGGCAGGGTCTCATGATAATTGCTGACCTATAGAAACAAATCACTTCAACACACAGTAGCCTCAATGATTGGAGTCCTGTCAGGGAACAGCGGCTGTACGAAAATATTGCGAAAGCTACAATATTAATTACCCTTTCTATCCTCCAAATGCGCCATTTCTAAGATATTCATGAGAGACTAACAACAATCTTCTTTGCACTGACTCCCTTCTTAGCAACCTCGAACGCCTCCTCAATTCCCTCGAGACCCTTCCCAGCCACTTGAGGCTCTGGAGCTGGCAAGAACGACTTTTCCGCCAATGCGACAGGCAAGAACTTCTCGTAAATATCGGAGCCAAGCTTGTTCGCCATGACTTCTGTGGACCAAACAAACTTGTACCCTACGCCCTTGGTAAAACCCTTGAGCTTCCAACCCACGAAACTGGATCCCATCTTCCACATGATTGCGAGCATATTTGTTGGGAACTCCTTCATTGGGATATCATGGCTGGCTTGGGCGACGAACTTTTTGCCCTTGGTTTTGCTAAGGATGTCGATGCAGGCATTTAGGGATCCGACGCCGATTGCATATGCGCCCGCGGAAATTCTGTGCTTGTTGTTCATGGTGGCTACGATGTCTTGTACCACGGTTGGGCTGTTGTAGTCGTATACTTCGGTAGCACCTAGGCTTTTCAAGTACGCTTGGTTTCTGGGGGAAGCGGTCGATATGACTTCATATCCGGCAGCAACAGCGAGCTGAATGGCATTGCANTCTGTCTGCTTGTCAGTGAGGCCAACAACTTGTTGTTTGTGGTTTGCATACCCAACACTCGTGCTTCCTCCCCAGATAATCACAGTCTCTCCAGTAGGCTTCTGCGGTTTCGGAGCAGTGGGTAGCTGAAGACCGAGGAAGTCTTCCAGGAACAGTCCACAAGCCGCAGTAGCCAAGCCAAGAGGTATGACCGATGCAGACTCGAATGATATCCAGTCCGGAATCTTACTCGTAAGGGTTGTTCTCAGGACAGTGTACTCTTGGAAAGCACCTTCGCTAGCCTTGTTGGAGCGCTTGTCGAAGCTGACTGCTAGACCCAGCACGCGATCGCCCACTTTGAGGGTGTTGACTCTTTGTCCCACTTCAACGACTGTGCCCGCGCAATCGTCGCCAAAGATGAATGGGAGCTTGACTTGAGGAGTAAACATGCTGACGACGTTTGGAAGTAGCCAATCTACAGGGTTGATGGCCACAGCAGCATTCTTGACTACGACTTCGTTGGGACCGGGTGGGGTGTAAGGTGCTTCTTTGACCTCGAGAGGTTTGCCCTGGGTGACTACCCATGCAGCTCGGTTTGTTGGCATTGTGTCTGAGGTTGGAAGGTATGGCTTTTGGTGTGTGACTGCTCAGACCAACGCAGAGGCTTCTACAGCTACTTATTCATCGCAGTTGCCTTGGATCTATCACAATTGCACCGTCCCGGCATCCAAAACCAGTCGCATGTGCGAGCTTGTCAGCAAGTCATAGGGTCATCGTAACAGGTACCTGAGCCTGCTACCACACTAATTGGTTGTATTATCAAGGAATGCGAGACGCTGTTATGCGGAGATGGGCGGAGTAGAGGCCCTGTGAGCGAAGCGGGACAACTCGAATCCCGACTCGCATCACAAGGCTTGGTTCTCTTCTTTTGCAAGCAATGTCGGCTTTAAGACATAGAACTAAGCTTTGTTTGGCAATCTCTTATTACGACAGCCAAAATCCGAATTGGGTTGCTGTCCAGCTATCCCCAGGGTGTTTGTTGTCGAATGAGCGTGATGGCCTAAGCATCAACTGTGGTCTCAGCCGAGAGGACAGTGCTTAGAAACATGGCAAGCTGGTGCTCGGATGTATCAATAGGGCGACGAAAGTATTCAAGCCGTAGCAAAGTGGTTTTGTGAGTCGTAGAGCAGCCCAACAAGGAGGGCAGAGACCCTGATTCTTTTCAAGACCGCAACGCTGCTGGAGCACCCCTGTCTTTGCTGTCAAGAATGACTTCGTGGACTTTGTAGTCAAGAGAACATTTGCTAGTAGCTAGGTAGTCATCTGGGATACCGCGTATGACAAAAAGCATCTCGAATACAAATCGCATGGATTTGGTCGTCCTTTCCCGTGAATGACGTAGGAGCATTGTTCCTGGATATATTGCTCATTCCCTAAACACAAGTAGAGAATAAAACACACCTTGAACTCTCCTACAAATACAAAGACAGTACAGGAACTCCTTACAGGTAGACTTGGTTGTTAGAGTCAGTCTAATCTCACTTCCACAACCATTGGCGTGGTTTCTAGAAGTGCGATGAGGAAAGCCTAAGATAGAAAGGCATATAGATAGAACACTGTATAGATGATGGACAGTCGGTTAATGTTCCTCGCAGGAATGAAGAGACGCAGAAACGTCCAAAGGTCTTCGCACATGCTGCCACCGAAATAACCAAATCTCGAAAGAGCTACATGATACTCCTTTTTACTGACGCGTCGAGGTATCTCATGTCGATCCACAATACCCTTGCCTTCGATGTCCATCTCGTCCTCTTCACTCAATACACTCCTCGGAGGGTCTATAAACTCATAGGACGTTCGAGCCTCGCTAGAGGACCAATTATCTTGGAATAATTTGNNTCTCACGCCTAGCTTGCGTGCCGGCTGAAGTCCTGCAGCTCCGTTCTTCCTTATCTCCTCCCAGAAGGCGTCGGTAAAGAGCGATCGCACCCAGTCCATCGGAACGGCATACAATGTCTGCCAATTTCTAACATGGCCATACTTGCGCCTACTGATCTTGAGGACGGAGGATTTGGGGTGATTTGAGGATCCCGATATCCCTGGCCAGCGGGTTGTGAGTAAGCCATAGGAACATCCGACGTGCCGGCCGACGGGGTTGATTTCACTGCCGTCAGGGCCAAACACAATGCTCTGCCATTGAGAACCCAGTTCGGCAATGCAAGTGTCGACGTAGTACGGTTCTGGGGGAATGTCCTGGCCGCAGTAGGGCCAATTGCCATATACAAACCCAAACGCGTGCATAGTCTCATGAACCATTGTGATAGCACACATGAAACTGCACCTCAACCTTGCCGACTCTTCATCGGAGCCTGGGTCCCAAGCGGTGGCGGACTGGTTGCCGACACGCCTCTGCAAAGTATGTCGATAAGATGGTTCGCCATCACAATTTTTGCAGCCCTGAGATCTGGCATACCGAGGAGTGGTTGGTCAACCGGTATGTGACGTGGGTAAGTGATGGCATGGTAATCTGCATTCGAATCCTCACTTGGGTCTTACACTGCCCAAGTGATAGAAGGCGCCAGGTTCTTCAGGGCGATGCGCGCGTCAAGTTCGTTCTGTGGAGTGACAACAGTCGGAACACGGAACCAGTTGGGGATTGCTATTCAGCTTTAGATAGCTCGGANNTTGATCGTTCCGTAGTTCGCTTGGTCGAGGATCGCGAAAACGTAGTAAATAGTTGCGTCACACTGCAAAAGACATGATGCGAGCTTGAGCGTTGGTCGGAAGGCGTCCCAATCCATAGTCGCAAGATCCCGTTGCGACCATCTTCCTCGCTGGAACAGTGGGTGTATTCCATTGTCCGGACACTCTCTGAAAGACCGATCGATCGATGCATCCTGGTGATCGATATACCCTCTTTCGTTCAGTTCCGTTAAGCCGATCCGATTGATTAGAGGATGCTTCTTCGCCAACGCTGAGTGTTCTTACTGTGCTGCCATAGGAAATGGAATGACGACAAGCGCGAGACGTTCAAATGGGACGATTTCGGCCTCGAGTAAGGCAGCTAGAATCCGAGTCCATCTTGCTCAAGCTCAACGCTTCGTACGCAAGCGTCATGGTCGTAGTTGAGCTGAACCGGTGGAAAAAGAAGTTGAGGACAAAGGTGCGGAATATTGAGGTTGACGAGCAAGAAAGCGGAGTGCAGTCGCGCCTTCCTCATGCAAGTCACATTCCTCACGATCGCAGCTGCGTTCGTCCTGCCAAGTCGCTCGGACGTTCGCTTGCTTTGACACCCCAGCCATTCTCTAACAACTTCTTGACTTGTTCGAGTTCAAGCCCCATAGTTTCGGGAAAGCACCTCCATACCCAGATATATCCGACCAAGCATACGAAGACATACACCAGAAAAGTGGCACTAGGTCCAAGCACATGCATCATAGGCAGGAAAGTGGCTCCGACGACGAAGTTGCTGGTCCAGTTTGTCGCAGTCGCGAGGCCGGAGCCCATACTCCTTACCGAAAGACTGAACAGTTCGCTCTGCTGCCATGGAACACATCCTAAGCCGCTTGCGTAGGCGGCCACATAAAAGATGAGCGAGAAGAGGAGAACGAGCGACCAAGGACGCGAATTAGTAGGTGCAGCTGAAGAAGGTGCGGCCGAGTCCGAACGCAAAGCGTCGATATGCATGAATGCAAGAGCGCAGCTCGCAAGTCCAAGAATCATGAACGGGATTGAGTAGAGCAGTATGCGGCGTCGTCCCACCCTATCAATGATCGTGAATGCCAGCAGCGTAAACACAAAGTTGGAAACCGAAATGCACAGCGATGTTCCAATCGGCGAAGTGAAACCAACCAAGGAGAAAATCGTGGCCGAGAAGTACATTAAAGAATTGAATCCAGATAGTTGTTGTAGAGCCTGAAGTCCGGCAGCGATAGTCAGGGCGCGTCGATTGGCCGGTACGTTGATGAGCTCCCTGAACATACTTCCACTGGCACTGAGTTGTTCTTCCTTGACTTCATGCTTTACCTGTGTAACAATATGTTCACAGTCATCATGGCCGAGTCTGGCGAACACTGCAGCAGCTTCGTCGTCTCTACCTTTCAAGACTAGCCAGCGAGGTGACTCGGGCATACCAATGAGTAGTGCTGCTTGGATCAGAGCAGGGACGCTTCCGAAACCGACGGCCCATCTCCAGCGTCCCATAACTGCCCATCCGGCAACGTAGGCTACCACCTGACCCCCAGTGATGAACAGACTCTGGACAGAAACAAATTGTCCCCTCCGGTCTGATGGTGCAATCTCTGCAATGTACAACGGTACCACAGCGCTGGCTGCACCTACAGCAGCACCAACAACAGAACGACCAAGTACCATAGTCCATACATTGGTTGCAGCAGATTGGAACAAGGCGCCAAATATGAACAATCCGCATGCAGCCGCAATGATCGGCCGACGACCGACAACATCCGCAAAGTGTCCCGCCAGAGGCGATGCTAACAATGCTAACAACGATGTACTGCTCGTAATAGCGGATAGATCAAAAGTCGACAACGGACGTCCTAGATCCTCGTGTATTGAGACAAGGGTAGAACTTATGACACCAGTGNNCTATTCGAAAGCTCAGTAAAGAATTCAAAACGTACTGAATCCTTATTAGACTCACTCGTAACCGAAAAGCAAACCACTCAAGCCTGCACTGAGGGTCAATAGCCAGATCAGACGATTTGCTTCGTTTCGGGTGGCTTCTGGATGCGCGGTCGCGTCGTCGTCGCTCTCGTCTACGATCAGCGGTTGTTGAGATTCGTCGCCCGTGCCGGCATGCATGTTATCGAGTCCAAATTCTTTTGTAATATCCGTAGGCTGGATGAAGTGTTCCGACGAGTGACGGTAGTCCATCAAGGAGTCCAATGTATGGGTAGGTGGTCGGGAGCCAAAAGCCGTCAAACGCCACATGACAGGACCGTGTCAGGGTCGCCCCTGACCATCTTGGACTCACACCACCACCACGCTGACTACACCAAGCAGCAAAAGTCGAAAAAGAGAATGTCATGCAACGTTTCTTCGCAATACGGTTTAGTTGATATGCTCTAGGATAAACAACGCGACTACAAAGGTGATATTGTGTTTACACTTTTTCGTGATATGAATATGTTCAAATGCCTCGGAGATACATGTTGCAAGTACAAAGATTTTGAATTAAAAGTCGTAGGTAGAGAAGATAGCGACCGCATATCATTCTACGCGAGCTGAGCTATAAACAAGAGAAGAACAACACATCATCAAGCACATTGTTAAATCTACTTCTTCTCCGCAGAAACAGGGACAGTATCGTTGGGAGTCAAAGATCCCTCACGAGTCTCCGGAACACCATGAGTGAAGGTGGTCTGGCCCGACTGCATGACATCAATGCCAGCGGGGCTAAGGTCCCAGTGGTCCATCTCTTCATCAAAGAACTGGTCGAGGTCGAGTCCTCTGATCTCAACCTCCTTGTCAACACGCAGGTGCATGCCGGGAATGTACTTGATGATCATGAGCAGGACATAACTGACAACAAACGAGTAGACAGAGATGGCAGTGATCTCGGCGAACTGCTTGCCAATCTGGACGCCGTTGCCGTTGTAACCACCGGGAGCGAGAGTGACACCATCGAGAGCAGAGATGGACTGGTTGGCGAAGATACCAGTCATGAATGAGCCCATCATGCCGCCAATTCCGTGCAGCTTGAAGACATAGAGACCGTCATCGATGCGAAGCCACTCGTTGATGTCTTGCAGGAGAGCGCAAACGACAGCGGTCAAGAATCCGATGACAGCTGCAAGCCAAGGGTTGACATAACCAGCAGCGGGAGTGATGCCGACGAGACCGGCGATCGCACCCTCACAAGCACCAACGACAGAGAAACGTCCCTTGTGGCGGATAGCATCGACCATGACCCAACCAAGGACGCCAGTAGAGGCAGCGACCTGAGTGTTGAAAGCAGCCATCATACCACGGATAGAGGCGTTGAGCGCACTACCACCGTTGAAGCCGAACCAACCAAAGACAATCAGTACGGTACCGACGAAGACCAAGGTCGAGTTGTGGGGCTTGTGCTTTGCGTGGTGATCCTTGGAAGTTCTTTGACCAAGTGCTAGAGCGTAAGCCAGAGCTGCCCAGCCACTGGCGATGTGGACGGGACCACCACCGGCATAATCAAGCGAGGGAAGCTTGAAGAGCCAACCATTAGCGTTCCATGTCCAGCAAGCAATGGGACAGTAGACAACGGTGCACCAGCAGAAGGCGAAGATAAGGGATGGAAGAATGCGACCACGCTCGAAGGCACCACCAACAACGATCTGTACTGTACAGGCTGCGAAGAGAAGCTCGTAAAGGCAGAAGACAATTTCGGGCAAGACGGCACTGCCAGGAGACGGCGCGGCAGAGACATTCTTCAATCCGAAGTTGGCCATGTCGCCGATGAAGGGGCCGGCGGTGCGGGAAAAGGCAAGACTGTAGCCCCAGAACATCCACTGGAAGGTAACGATGGCAATGACCATCATACTCTGGAAGAGTAAGGACAGACCACTCTTCTTGTGTGCTAGACCGCCATAGAGCAGGCCGATGCCAGGAATGATCATGTATACGAGGAAGGAGCAGACCGCAAGGTAGACATAGCTGGTATATGGGTTAGAGATGGCGAATATTGAGTTGAGATGACTTGAACTTACTTGNAATTCAAGGCCTGCGTATTGAGCATTGACATCGACCTCCAGAGGGTTACCTCCGGCAGGCTGAGATGAGTTGTATACGGGCTATGGATGACATGTCAGCAAATCAGCCGAGACTGTGACTGTGACTGGGGACATACAGCTGTCGACATCGTGATAGAAGGAAAGCGATCGCTGCTGCTCCACAGACAAGCAGATCAGAGAGGTAGGAAAATGAGAAAGATAAGGACCTGGGAAGGTAGTATGCGTGAGCGGACCTGCAGGGTATTTCTACCTCCATGCAACACCCCGTTACCGGTCAACAGTTCATCTATCTCACCATATCGCAACCGAAGGGCATCCTTTATCTCTACGATTTCTTCCGTGTTCCAAAGACTATTGCCCCATCACCCATACAATCCTCCTGTTCCTATTCCCATCCAGACGCCAAGAGATAAGAAGACCGGATACAAAGCATGCATTTCAAAGAAAGCGTTTCGGCTCTGAGTCTTTCTTTGTAAACGTCGGCGAATGTCGAAAGATCAGGCTTAGTGCATACATGGCGGCTTGAGGTTACCGACTTTCTATGGCCTGTTGTTGATAGCACATGGCAGGGTTGGGTGTACAGGTGAGGTTCCCAGAGATAAGGATCCTTCCACGAGGCGCTCCCGAGACGCGCTAGCGATGATTATGGGAAGACGTTTCCAGGGCCGGCCGTGATGATTCGTTGACTAATTCCCGTTGGTACTCATTTCAATCCGGGCTGCGATGCACCATGCGAGAGAGACCAGGGTTGGACAGAATGTTGGTCTCCATGTTGTCTTGTCAGCAAAGTCGAGAGGTTTCGTCGAAGCGCAGCGTGGAATTCGCTCTGAACTGACGCGGCTGCGTTTGCCGAGCTTTGATCGACCAACTCCGCTGAGCAGCAGAGCCAATCTCGAACAACGAAACTCACGGTGTGCATCCATCCTCTCATGCCATAGATTGTCCAGCGTACATGTACAAGGCTCGAGAGATGGGTTTGATGAGAAAGTTTTCCACAAATAGCCATGCCAATGTTTTGGCATGCCATCTGTCAGGCATAGACTGCTCCACCTTTCATGCAATACGACTGTGTTTGTGCAATATCACACTCTAGGCATCACACCTCGAGCAATCCTTTTAAGCACACAGAGTCCTTGCGATGACGCTTTACAGATGTTTCAATAGTCTTGCCAACTTTGAATCTAGACTCAAGACGAGCTCAAGTAAAGATAGCAATAATGTAGCGAGCAAGTAGGTCGTCATTCAACAACTCCTGGTCTGACTGGTGAGGAAAGTAAGCCTCTTGCAGAGGCTCGGTGTAAACAGACATGCATTGTATGCTAGAGAAAGACATGCTTCAACCAAAACTCCTTGAGGTCTTACCTGACATGTCCGTGTGTATATTGCCCTTTCTTTTAGAACGCCGGGTTTTGGAGAACGCAAAATCTGTTCATCTTATGACTTGTTGTAGTAGTGGGCCATCTCTAGACCGGCGCGCTTGAAGCCGCATTTGACATAGAAGCCCTCGTTGGCCTCTGAGCAGTCGAGAATGGTNCTGCATGTCATTGATTAGCATGTTATTGTGCGAGCACGATTGTCTTGGAAATCGGAACCAACCTTGTAACACCCAACCTTCTCGGCAACATGGTCCAGTGCTTGGATGATACGAAGACCAAGCTTCTTGCCCTGCTGATCCTTTGCGACAGCAATATCCTCGATGTGACCAACCTGACCCAAGCTGTGAATNGCTGTTGTGACAACCATCAGTACCAGAGTCACTATGTAGAAGTAACACGACGAGACTCACAACTTCTTCTCGACGATCAAGGCACCAGTGCCGACAATCTTGTTATTGCCATTGAGGATGACCAATATATGGTAGCCTCCTGTACCTCTTCCCAGTGCGCCAGATGCCTGCATCTCTTCAAAGCGCTGGTTGAAGTCTTGTTCTGAGACGTCGCCGACGGTGGTGAGGACGGCTAGTACGTCTAGAAAGCCGGCATGGTAGTCACCCTTTCGCAAGGGGCGGATTGTGTAGCCCTCTGGTAGGGCAGCGGCGACTTCAGACGAGATAAGGTCGGGCGAGAAGAGAGAGTCGGAGGACATGGTGTACGGCTGTGAGGGCGATCGAGGGAGCTGGGTGGTAGGAAGGCTGGGTGAGAGCTGGCTTCGGTTGAGTCTTGTGCAAGGTGGGATGCTTCGGATGCCGAGAGTCGTATACGAGCTTCAATGGCAGGGTGATGATTGACCCAAAGAGGTGTGTCCTTCGTGTCAAGAGGGTTGTGTTTGGGCAGATTTTGGGAGACAGCAACCTCGGACAAGCTTCCCCGGACAACAGCTTGAGCCTCGATGCGCCCGTTCCTGCAGCAAGCCAAATTTAGAACACCATCTCAAACCATCAAGGTACGATACGCGATTCGGAACACGATGAATTGTTCGACAGGACACATGCTATGCTATTGCTCAATCACGCCGCCAAAATATTCTCTTGTTTCAAGATTGCTTAGAGTCGAGCTTTGCAACTTCTGTCTTGCTCAACAACCAACTATGGAAGCCTATCCGACACCCATGGCTTAGAGATTGTTTTGCCCGGGGCCTCTTGGGTTTGCTGTCGCCGGCATACGAATACCCATGGCGCTAGGGTCGACAGCCTTCTTCTTAGCCTCATCAATCCTGCCTTTCGACAAACTGATAGCCGGCACTATCCACTCTCCACAACTGCATCGCATGCCCTGCCATGCATATTTGCCCACGTTGGCTTTGCATTTGGCATTGGGGCACTCCAACCTTCCTTCTACTTCTCCCTTCTCCAGCTCCGGTCGCATCCACGATAGAGGATCAAGGAAGTAGTGTGTACAAGAATCAGCCGGGCCTCGTTGAGCCTGGTGAGGTATCAGGAATTGCGATGTTGCCAGGGTGCGTCTGTCAAGACTGTCAGTTCTCTAACTCGAAGATACNCGGGAACAATGTATGACTTACCTGCACTTTCGGCATCGCATATCAAATCCACCTTCATCCTTTGCTGCCACATGCTCATCCTCGAAGCGAATCTTCTCTGCCTCTGGTGCTTGTCCGCACGCGCGGCTCATCTCTACTTCACGCTGATAGACCCAACGCTGATATGTCGGTGTATCCTCGACGTTCTCAGGTGTCTGCATCTCGCGGTAAAGCTCCAACTGTTTCATGAACCCTTCGTTAGGCTCGCAGAGCGGCCTGCTCTGTCGTATTTGTTCCAGAGCCTCGGAAGGTGAGATGTGGTGTTTCTGCATCAGATATGCAATGACACATGTTGCAGACCGTGATTTCCCCATTGCACTGTTGGTCACTCGTTAGTCTTGCCATAGTTGCCAACCAAGTGCTGTACAAATGGCTTACCAGTGTACAAGGACTGCGCCTCCAGATGCAAGACCGTCTTCGATGAATTTAGTGGCTGCTGGGAAGTGCTCAAGCAGGTTCTCATCTTCGACATCATCAACCTCAACGACCATATGCTTGTATCCTTCAAANAGCTTCTCCTCAAGTGGGAGCCTTAGCACAGACAGTACATGTGTGATGCCAGCTTCCGCAAGCTGATCTTTGCGGCGTAAAGTGAAAATNTCTGAAGAGAAGTTAATACTTGTCTACCAAATTCTGGTCTTAACTCGAGTCGAGGATGATCAAGACAGAGTCGTTCTCTCTTCTTGTCCCACGAAAAGAATTTATCGAGAAAGATTAGATTTTACTCACCCTCCGATATAGAGCTTGAGATCGCCGGGCACTTTATCGAGCAAAGACATGACGAAGCTCAGTATTGGTTATAGTATTCGTTGGTTTCAGAATGGTAAGTGACTTTGGCGACTTTTCTCTTGGTGGAACACAGCAAGCAGTTCGCCGCCACGAGATGGATGGTCTAAGGATGGATTATGCATATTTTGGCTTGGCACGAGGAATGAATTCTGGGAACGTTCGTGCATAACCTCGGCCCGCCGATATCGCCGTTAAACATGCATGCATGCTTGTCTATCGAGCATGTTTGTGAGGCAGAAACTCTCCTTGCTCGACCATCCTCCTTCCGAGCCCCTTGGTCACTGCTTCTCAGGGGCGGCGGCTCTTTCCTTCCTCAGGCAGCAACACAGTAGGTCTGGCCAAGCCAAGGTCAAAGTCCACAGCAAGATCCACAACCCGATGCAAGCCATCGGACAAGCTTTGCCATTACGCTTGTACGAACATGGTATGTGTATCTTCAGTCGGACAGCTACTAGCAGTCTTTACGAAAGCATGAATATAGCGAGTGGTTCTGCTGGCGACTTGGCGTCAGCTCGTAGGGGTCATTCTTTTTGTGTTTTGCCGGATAGATTAAGTGGCTTGAATGTCGAGTCCGTAAGGCTTGGGAGCAAGAGTAGAGACATGGCTCTGGGTCGAGGTTACATGGAGATGTCACTTGGGGTACCACATAAAGTCCAGGTTTGAAGACAAGTATATTGGCAGCAGAAGTCCAAGGACGGTTTGTTCCACCTTTAGAGGGTGACTACTATCCGGTTACATGCTGCCTGCGACTAGTCCTGGATAACCTCTCCAATGTGCCTCAGCGCTTAAGCATACATAGGGGACTTTTGCATGCACACGGCAGCTCTTTTCGATGTGTCCCCAGCCAAAACGTGGGGCATGGCAGAAGTCAAGTGGGAACATGCACATGGAACGGCGAAGGTGCATGGAAACGGGGCTCTAGCAGGCACCTGTTCCTTTGGTGTACGTACCGGTAAAAGCCATGGTGCCAAGTCACAAGTTTGGANGGAGGTTCGGCCTCTTTTTCCTCAGGCGCTTGGACGCTGCTGACTAGGACGGCTNNGGAACAGTGGAAGGTCAAGCCATGCCCGCGAAGCAGGTTGAGTAGCATGTGTGTTTACGGACGTATCGCAGGCGAGCTGGCTGGCGTATGAGAGCGGGCGAGTGGTGCGTGACACACGGCGGAGCACCAACAGNNACAGCAAGATGGATTTTCCAGAAGGCCGTGACGGCAAAGGTTACGGACTTGATTGGGACCCTGACAGGCTGAGTGGGGAGCAGGCGCGTTCCAGACTGACGAGCTGCGCAGCTAGACACAGCAAATTTGGGAGATCGACAAGAAGCAAGCTCCAAGGCCTGAGGTGCAAGTGCGAGGGAGTGACAAGGGACAAGGGTGCAGCGGAGAGCAGCGCCTGGGGGTTTTGCATAGGGCTGATGGGAGCGACGTGAATCAAGCACACGCACACGCACACGCAGCAGTCCGAGTCGTCGGTGGATGCTCGACTCCTTTCCATATGTAGCATCAGCTTACTCTAGGCCTTAGACTTTGTTGTTCAGGAAGCTGCTGCCCTGCCTGCCTTGAAGTGCCCCTCGGCCCCCTCCCTCTCCCAGCGGCAGTTGTCAACGCCCCGTACAGCACCGGCTTTGCCAAGTTGACGACGGTGAAACGCTCTTTGCAAGTCGTGCGCGCCCGACCACCATGAATGGCACTCCTTCTATTCGCATCCACTCGCACTCCCACNGACCACCGCTACCGCAGTCCGCCGCCTCCTCACGACACTCGCCGCAGCATCCACTGCATGCGCCGGCGTCGCCGATGTCCATCCCGCATGCCACACAAGACTCCNCCTCGGTGCCACCGCCCTTGCCGCCGCCTACGAACCTGTACGAAGACCTGACGCCCCAGGCGCAGCAGAAAGAATGGATTTTCTTCAACAAGGAATACGTCGATCAGCACTGGACCGATTTTGGCAAGGCCGCCACAGTCAGGCCCGGCTCGAGTCTGCTGGGCGGCAACAAGTCGCAAGAAGACGGCCACGCCCAGCATCATGAAGGAGACGCTTCCCGGAGAGGCAGTTCCATGTCGACCATCACGGCGCCGCATCGCAACTCGGAGGCCATGATTGATCCTTGCGACAACGACGACTCGAAACTCTCGGGCTACAGGTGTGTTGTTCTGCCATTCTCTTCGCGTCACGCTGGTCGCATAACAATTGCGATCTGATCAAAAAGCACCCATCTATCACAAGCTTGGACTGCTCGTCGTGGTGACGGTCAAACTGCAGACAAGTTTGTTGATTGTTGATGTGTTTTTCGGCTTTGCTCGTTCAAAGCCCGACCCACCACCAAAACGCCTCGGCTCTTTGAGACAAAGACCACTCACCGTTATGTCCAACTACAAAAACTGACACAACATCCCACANGACTACAAAGCGAGCGACAACTGGAGCAGCGCTCCNTCAGCACTTCGTCGCAAGCATACGACAGGAACCTGCTATCCAAAATCGGCGGGCCGAATACGNCCAATAGACTTTCGGTTTCAGGCGGGCCGGAAACCTCAGGAGCTGTGTCCCCTGGACCAGAGTCCAGCGCAGAACACTCGGCCAGGCATCTCTCGACCTCGTCGTCGTCTCAGTCCGAGAGGCGTCATCCTTCGGTCGACAGTTCTACCTTCAGGTGGTCTGTATCCAGTGCTGTGTCGCCCGGTCCATTCCGCAATCCCAACTTCAATCCGGAGAACACCCGACCAACAGCGCTGCGCCACTCGAGTTTCCAATTCGACGACAACTCATCGCATCGTGGTAGTTATGATCAGTCCATGTTCTTGAATGAAGAGTTTTCTACAGAGGAGGGTCAGATGAAGGACCTGAACCTCAACGACCGCGACGACTTCCAGCTTGGCGCAAAGCCAGGCATGAAGAGACGCGCTTCGTCGCCGCATAGAGATTCCTTGCGCGAAGACCGCTCTTCCATCAGTAGCGCTCCGGGCGGTGGTGACCTATACACTCGTCGCTCATTACAACAACAATACCCTAATCGTAATCCGTCCATCTCGGCGTCGAGGTATGCGCCGAGTCATCATGGCTCAATATCTTCTGCCTCATCATACAACCCACGCCACGGCTCGTTGGCTTCATCGTACACATTATCTGTCTCTAGCAGTGCTACGAGCTATGCTTCTGGACGGATCTCACCTGGCATGATGTCGCCAGCCATAATCGATCCGGAGCTCGGAGCCATGGGCTACACAAATGCTAAGCCCCTGAACAATCAAAGTCCTGCGCCTCAGCAGATAATGCCGCCATACACTCGCACAATGTCCGACACGCCAATACACAATGCCCTCCATACTCCTGCGGACAGCGCACCACAATCACGTCACAATAGCTTGCCTGGTGTACAAGGTATATTCATTTGCGACTGTTGTCCCAAGAAACCGAAAAAGTTTACTCGCGAAGACGACTTGAGGTTAGTCTTAAATTACTGTCCAACTCTGTTTCTAAGCGCTTACTGATTATGTACAATCAGAACCCATCACATGGAAAAGCAATACTCCTGTCTCTACTGTCCAAACCGCTTCAAGAACAAGAACGAAGCAGAGCGACATCAAAACTCTTTACATCTACGCCGTCACTCATGGTCTTGTAACGCCCTCGACACAATCGAAACAGCCTTCCACACATCCCCCAGCACAAACGGCGCAACAGACACTTGCGGCTACTGCGGCGACGAATTTCCCAACCCAGCAGACTGGAACAGCAGACGCGAGCACGTCCTGCAAACCCATAAGTTTGGCGAATGCAACCAGACANAAAAGTTCTACCGCGCCGATCACTTCCGCCAACATCTCAAGCACAGCCATGGAGGCACCAGCGGANAATGGACTAATATGCTCGAGACGACGTGTATGCGTGACGAACCGCTGCCGCAACCAATGGGCATGGCTGCAAACGTGCAGCCAGCGATGCCCATGATGGGAATGGCTAATACAGCAGGGCCACCGCCCATGGGTAGCAAACCAGATGTGATTGCGGAGATGCCGCATGAAGCATGACATTGCTAGAGCAGAAAAGACACAATCAGTGTGACACGATTCTAAAAACGCTGACGGCGGGGCATGAATGGCTCTGACTGTAAGCAATGCCCATGCCAAGAACATGACAAGACTAGAGGACAAGATGCGAGGGAACCTATCGTCATCGATTATAGAAAGACATACACGCGCGCATAGAAGGGTCAGCAACGGCCACGGTATGGGGAGCCATGTCCCTGCACGACGGATCATACGGATGGGTGGCTTTGCATTGCTCTGCATGGCAGAAAGGACGTCTTCTCGTTTTTTTCCTTACTCACGACCAAAAGAATATTTTTTTCATGACTATGGGGAGGAAATAGAAAAGGCTACTAGATATCTCAGTAGATCGATCTAACACACAGGCGTTCTTTTGAGGGTTGGCAAGGATCAGCTGTTTTTGACTGACGAAGATAGCGTTGTCATTTTCTTGTTTGTTTGTTTGTCTCTTCTAATATCTGGTTGTCTATGATATGCTTCTGGAACCACACGAGTAAGTTCAATCCCGCTATATTGGCGAGAGAGTAATAACAGAGATCCTTCATGGTCCGAGACGAGCATGTCCGAAGTGGCGTTGGTGGAATTTAAAAGGAGTCGAGGTTTGATAGAGATGGGTCAATCGGCTGCTTGGTAATAGAAGGAGAAGACTTGCTTGCTCTTCATATTCGATGCAGTGGTCGATCGAGGATGGTTCGGCTTAACATAAGAGACGAGAGGGTGTCTGTTCCCCTCTCTTTCGGCCTTTGCAACTGTCCGTCTTGCGTGAGGTTTTGAAGATCAAGTGAACGACATAAGCATAAGCAAAAGGTGACATGTGACAGATATGTACGAGGACTGGGCAGGTGTGTGTGTTTGTGTGTGTGACACCAGATCTGATGACAAGACTGCTCTCGAGACAAGCCTTGGACAAAAGCCAAGATGGCACTTGTTTGGCAATAGGAGGATCCAAAGGATGGATAGGCTTACGGGCGTACCGCAGGGTCGGTATTGCGCTGGCAAAGGCGATTATCAGATGCTGACAAGGGCTGGCGAATGTATCCTGTGTCTGCCTCAGCCCTAGTGCTGACACGGCCTTGGCAGATGGCGGTGGCTGTGAAAGAGACAGGGCGTCGACGTCCAAGAGCGATGCACGGCTGCGCGCATTCAGCAGTTGGGTGACTCGAATGGTGATGGTGAGCAGGCTGCAGCTGCGGGTTGCCGTTGCGGACTGCGGCAGGGCCATGGAGGCAGAAGAATTGTATTGGCACGGCTGCTTGTCTCAGGGATTGCCAGAAGGTACCGAGGGAAACAAAGAGGGATTTCGCAGGCGTTCCCTCTGGCGCTTTGCAGCTTCAGCATTGCGCATCTTCTCCAGTCGCATGTTGTAAAAGTGCTTCTGCAGCTGAAAGACACGCGGGCCGTCGTCGGCACCTGTCTTTGACGTTGACGAGTTGTCGGCCTTGTCGGTCAGGGCCTTGATCTTGTCGTCTCGCTCTTTCTCGTCCTTGTCGTCGGACTTTTTGTCGTCCTTGTCCTTGTCTTTTGCATCCTTGTCCTTTGCCTTGTCCTTCTTCTGCTGCTGCTTCTTCTTGATCTTTTCGTCAAACTCCTTCTTGACGGCTGCAATCTCGCGATCTAGCTCTTCTTTCTTCTTCCTGTCGGCAATGGCCTTGGCTTCATCGTCGGTCGGCAGGGCAAAGTTGCGGTCCTTGAGATGCGAAGGGCAGATGTAAAAGAAGTCCTTGCTGTCCGGGGTTATGAGGACGCTGGCCGAGGGTTTGTAGCAGACCATGCAGCCCTTTGCAGCCGTCTCGGCGACACGGCGGTGGTGCCAGATGTTCTCCATGGCGCGGGTGGTGGTCTTCAGAAAGATGGGGATGCAAAAGGTGGAGAGTCTGGAGAGAGCTACTCGCACAGGGAAGCTGCGAGATCGGGCCGCTGATAAGCGCGATAAGGAAGGAGCAACTATGACTGTATGCAGCATGAGCTCCACCATCTTTTTTCTCCCTCACGCTGTCAATTCGTTCTCTTTGATCCAATCTTGTCCATCTCGGTGCTCCTTCAATCTACTTTTCGATTCCCCTCATCACCATCGTACACATCACCACAATCATGGCAGGTGCTCCTAGCAGCGAAAAGCTTTGGGGAGGTCGCTTTACTGGTAGGCCCATAGCAATCAAGAACAACAAAAGACAGGCCAACTGACACATCCTANCAGGTGGCCAGGACCCCCTCATGACGGCGTACAACGAGTCCATCTACTACGATCGTGCCTTCTATTCGCAAGACATCCGTGGCTCCATTGCCTGGGCCCGCGCAAACAAGAACAAGGGCATTCTGAACGACCAGGAGTTTGCCGAGATCGAGAGAGGTCTTAAAGAGGTGGAAGAAGAATGGAAGTCTGGCAAATTCAGCATCAAGCCCGGCGTCGACGAGGACATCCACACTGCCAACGAGCGTCGCTTGGGTGAGATCATCGGCAAGAACATTGCTGGCAAGCTCCACACTGGTCGTAGCAGAAACGAGCAGGTTGCTGTTGACATGCGCATGTGGCTGCGTGAACAGCTCGAGAACATCGAGTCGTTCCTCGTCGATCTGCTCAAGGTCATTGCCAGCCGCTCAGAACAAGAGATTGAGCACGTCATGCCTGGCTACACTCATCTCCAGCGCGCACAGCCCATCAGATGGTCACATTGGATGCTCTCGTACGGCCTCGCCTTCGCCAACGACCTCGAGAGACTTCGTGAAGTCAAGCAGCGTGTGAACCGCAGCCCTCTTGGTTGTGGTGCCTTGGCTGGAAACCCCTTTGGCATCGACCGTGATGCCATGGCCAAGGAGCTGGGCTTTGACACTCTCATCTACAACTCGATGGCTGGCGTTGCCGACCGTGACTTTGTCGTCGAGACGATGCAATGGGGAAGCATGCTCATGCTGCACCTGAGTCGCTGGGCCGAGGACTTGATCATCTACTCGAGCGCCGAATTCAACTTTGTCAGACTCGCAGACGCCTACTCGACCGGCAGTTCGCTCATGCCCCAGAAGAAGAACCCCGACTCGCTCGAGCTGATCCGAGGCAAGGCTGGCAGAGCATACGGTCAGATGGCAGGTCTGATGATGACGATTAAGGGCATCCCTTCGACCTACAACAAGGATCTGCAGGAGAGCGTTGAGCCTCTGCTTGACCACGTCAAGACTGTTGGCGACAGCATTCAAATCGCGACTGGTGTCCTCTCCACCCTCAACATCCAGCCCAAGAACATGCTGGCTAGCCTGTCACCCGACATGCTTGCCACCGATCTTGCAGACTACCTTGTCCGTAAGGGCGTGCCGTTCCGCGAGACCCACCACATCTCTGGCAGAGTGGTCGCTCTCGCCGAAGAGAAGAACACACCCATGGACAAGCTCTCGTATGAACAACTGAAGGGTGTCGATTCGCGATTCGAGCAGGACATCCTCGAGGTCTTTGACTACCAGAAGAGTGTCGAGATGAGAAGCGCTTCGGGCGGTACTAGCAAGAGCTCGGTCATGGAGCAAATCAAGGTCATCAAGCAGACCATTGAGAAGAAGTAATGTAAAAGCTATGTAGAAATGTATGACTAGACTGTTGTGATTCCATTCATGAAATGTCGTGTCGAATCGTTGTTGCAAAAGCGAGGTCCAGAGCGACCCTGTCAACAGACGACTCCGCTTTTGTCACTCTGTACTTCAGATCATCACTCATTCTTTCGTCTAATTGACCACTCATACGACCAGTGCTACACCATGATGTCGAAGCCAATGCTCGAGTTGATCGAAACAGACGAGGCAGGAAATCTTGTAGCGACGTACGTCCAGACGAGCACCGCCAAACGCGACGTTACCAGGATAGACAGAATCGTAACCACTCTCCAGCAAACCATCACGAAACCACACACTCACACCCAATCACAGGTACCCAGGAGTTCTCGAAAATCACTCAAGACACTACTGGACATTTTCCTACCAGCCGGATACCCTCACAGCGTCACCGAGGACTATTTGTCGTATGTCGCAAATCATGCACCAGGGTCATAGACACAGCATTGACGTTTTGGCAACGCTACAGATATCAAATCTATGTACGCTAAATCCAACTCGCGAAATACGCATACGACCGTATCGGACTGGCACTGATCCGAGAGAAACACAACAGNNGATTCACTGCAAGCATTTTCTAGCTCCATAGCAGGGCTTTTGGCTTCCAGGGCAGTGCTTGAAGGTCGGTTTTTTTTCTGTTTGCGTTCATTTCGTTTATCTTGCCGTTGTGCGGACTNNGCCGCTCCGTCGTGTGCCAGAGCCTCCACGGACGTCATAATCGTTATAAGCATCTTGCCGGTTTTTGAGCAACAAAAGTCTATTGAGGTTCTAATTGACGTTTGACCTGGTATAGGTGTTGGCGTGGGCGATGCTTCGGCATCGGCTACCGGTGCGCTGTTGCTTTCCATTTTGCAGGAGAGCATGGGCAGGGTTGCGACGATAGTGTTTGCATCAAATCGCGGTACTGCGCTGGAGCCAGAGTGTAAGCTTTACCGTTTGCTGGTATGTTATGATTTCATGATATGGTGGTTTGTGCAACAGTGCTCTGAGACCTTTCTCGCGTGGCCTCTTGTGCCATCTGCTTGCAAGCTCTCCTCGCTCTGTGAACGAAACTATGTTACGGACGACTTGCGCATATGACTAATTCGACCTTTCGTGCGTATCTAGGCTGACGTTTTCAATGATGCTGCCATGGTTCTGGATTGCCTGTCTCCCATGTTTCCGAAACCCATGAGGGTGCTCGTACTGGCGACGGCAAGCGTCTTGAGATCGCTATGCGGCGTTGCTGCTGGCAGTGCCAAAGCAAGTCNNTCAGCGCACTTTGCTCGATGGGGAAACCTGGGAGAGCTCAATGCTGTAAGTTTCATGATTGTTCACCATCTCAAATTTCCTGAAACAGCACAAGAACCTAATCTGTCTCTTGGCCGAATGAATTGCTAATCTTGGTACCCCTTGCGCCTTGCTTCTAGANAAGATTCGAGTCAAGAAACTATAATTTCGCTGGTGGGCATGTTGGTGGGCTGTTTGGTGGTTAAGGCTGTGACGACCCCTTTTGCGACTTGGACGACTTTGCTGCTGCTGTTGACGTTGCATCTTGCGACAAACTACATGGCGGTCAGATCTGTTTGCATGCGCACGCTCAACCGCCAACGCGCCAACATTGTCTTTGCACATCTGCACGAGTACGATTGCGTCTTGAGCCCTAAGCAAGTGTCGGCCAAGGAGCGCATTTTTGAGCGCGATGGCATATTGCGTGATGCGCAGGACAAGTGCTTGGGCTACTGCAAGATAGGAGTCCCCGCTTCTGAGCTGCTGCAGCGTTTGGGAAAGACCGACAGGTTGACTAGAGCAACTAACCTACGTGACGGCCAACTACTGCAGCTGTTGGAGCTGTTCGAGGAGGAGAGCTACATTGTTTATCTGGAGCGCCCATCAAATGTGGCTTGCATCCTGTTGAAGAAGGGAAGCGACACTGCGGTTCAGTTGAAGGCCTGGTACCACGCCCTGCTCCTAGTAGGGCAAGCCGGACAGGGTTCTGAAGGTAAGAAGGATGTCATGTATGCGGTTCAAAGCACACTTGTGGCTGTAAGGAAGGACTGGGAAAAGGTCCAAGCCGGGCTTGGTGAAGCAGGATGGGACCTGGAGACGGCAGCGCTGGAGACGACTTCGGGCTCGAGAGTGTTCGTTCAGGAGTGAGTCGCAAGCACGCACGTGTAGAGATCCTGGTAGATGCCCTCTGCGCTATCCTCCACACAATTCAACGACACACCATTCATCATCGGCGATCGTGAGAGATAGTGAGATACGAGAAGCTTGTCTGTGTCAAGAAGCACGTTCTCTCGAGTGCAGGGGACCACAGTCCACGGATCAGTGGTTGTCTCGAGGGTTTACGTATCGGGTGACGAGTCAGTGCGAGACGTATGCCGAACCAATCACGCCAGAGTAGAGATCGTCGTCCGAGGGCACGAGACATGCACTGCACGCACAGAGGGAGCGGATGCCGGAAGAACCAAACTCCCTCAAGGTATGCGAGCCAGAAAGTTAAGCTTAGAGGCAAGTGTTTGATGTCCTTGCGATGGAACCTCTGCAAGCCTGCCCCTTGATCCTCGACTCTGTTGTACCGAGGTAGACAACTTCAAAGTTTGCTCCGGCGCCTGTCAAAACATATCGCACCGAGTTTCGTAAAAACCAGGAGCAAATTGCATGAAAATGGTAGAATAAGGGAGAATGACAAGCAAAACGTTGCAGCGCGAAAGATGCGTCGCCGCTGCTGGCCACCGTCCCCGGGCTCGAGTGAAGAATGAGCATAAGGATCAGCAATCTACGGACGTAATGACCAGCAGCAGTGATGTAGAGGTTGCTCGCAAAAGGGAAAAGGACACATACCTGGAGAGATAACAAGTTAGACATCGAGTGAGACAGGTTGTCGCCATCTTCCGCAGCCGTTGGTTGTAATAATACTGTTTATACAACTGGTCGCCACGCTGGTGTCCAATCAGCCGGACTCCGGAGCGGCAAGGTTTCTCTCTGCAGCTGTGCGAACATGCAAACCGAGTTCAACAGCAACCAGTGGTTCCTGCGTTGGCCGAGAAGTCAATATCAACAAGAAAACAATTAATTGCTCGCGCTGAGGCAGAACCAAAAAAACCCAAACTGCTGGGGGCCGACAGAAGCGCCGGTCGGGAGTGATGACGGAGATGGCTACCCGGTGTGGCACGCAAACCTGAGCTTCGGCTCTTTGTGCTCTTCTAGAAGAACGCTTCGAAACTTGGTCGTGTTTCGAGCAGCTTCGACCAATGGCACGCGGGCTTGCAGCCAAAAAGCCACAGCCAAACACAAGCACGAACAAGATCGACTTAGGATGCAGCGAAGGAAGAACGAGTCAACGACGGAGACTGGCAGCGATGTGGGACGATCGACATGATACATGCCCCTTCTCTCATTCAGCGCAACGGGAAAGGGTCTTGAAAGTGCTCGAGCTTTGCGGCGTGCCAACCGTCGACACACTCTTGAGGGACGGGATGGTGGGTGCTACGGACGTACAGAGCTACAGAGAGGAGGCTCAGCCCTACTCTCTCTGCGAACGGCTACCGGAGAAGAAGGAGATTGACGTAGAGAACGACAACAAAGTTCAAACAACTGGCAGATTGACAGTCATGGGCCAACTCTGTTTACGACTGCCGTTGGCGGTGAGATGGCCCGCAGAGCAAAGGAAGCGATCGGTGATTCGGCGCCCGAATGTCTCATTTTTGGGCATGGTCAAACAAACAGAAGATTCAGACGGCGTTCGGGGATCAAAGAAGACAGGCCATGAGTGCAGTGGAGTGCAGCATGGCGGACAAAGGAATGGATCGCTGCGCCAACCCACACAAAAGAAGCGCCAGGCAGGACGAAATCAGCAGCCAATACCCGTGCATGGCGGCGCAGCCTAGTGGGTCACGCGATGCCGCATCGGGCGTAGTCTGTTCTTACCAGTTTCTANGCGTGGAAGGTGCTGAATCCGTTAGCGCCTGCCAAAGAGGGAGGAGCTNNGCAAGAGCGCACCACATCACCTCACACACCCGTCCGGCCTCGTCTGGTCCTCCGTTCTTTTTCGATCTCCCTTCTTNNGCCCACTCGCTGCAAAACCCCGCCCGCGGCTCGTCGATCACGCACCAAACGACCACTTACACCTCCAATCCTCCTGGTTGCTGGTTACTCACTCTTTCAATACTTTCGCACAAAGACGACAATANNCAAGGCCCGTCGCTCGCTCTTTCCCCCGGACTCAATCTTCAACCCTCAGCTCTTACGGCCGGCCTACTGGTTTTACTGAAAATCGACGCCATACTTTATCATCTGTCTCTCGNNTTGTCGCCTACCACTGCAATCACACTCCGATATACTCCTGCAGCTGCCCGTCACCAAGAAAAGTCCNCCTTCGGATTCTAGGCCAGCTGTGCGACACGCCGTGCGTAAGCGTAACCACGACAGCCGACGTCAGACACGACAAGCAGCGACAGCATTAGAAATCGCGACAGCACCTTGCTTCTGGTTCATGTTTCGCCCTTGACCCACCGCAGCACAAGACAAGCCAGAGACTCGTGGGAGATTGACTCTTCCACTCCAATTTCCAAGCTGGCGCCTATATTTGAGTACCAGCGTGCCTCTGTCGGCACCCTGACCACAGACTCCACTCACAGCAACCCGCCTGCTGGAACCCGTCGCAAGAGCAGCAACGGCTTCTGGGGCAGCGTTATGAGCTCGCGCAAACCCTCACACTTCCAAACCGATTCTGCTCACTCTGCAAAGATCGCCATTTACTCATCCACCGCCGACTGTGACGCCGACGACGAAGCCACAATGTCCGCCGAAGAGGCACCACAGCAACAACGCCCTGCCAGCACTCACATGGCTGCATCTGCTCCCGCATCTGCAACATCGTTGACACGGCCAATGTCCTCGGAATCTGCACCTTTCTGCCCAAGGAGACCGAACCTCCGCGAAATCCTCGCAAATACAGCACCTGCACCTTGGACCCTCGCCGCCTTCATGGCCTACCTTTCAAACAACCACTGTCTAGAAACACTGGAATTCACCATGGATGCAGGACGTTACAAGAAGCATTTCTACAGAATGATGAACAAGGCTCCTATCCCTGGACAACCAACGGAACACGATGCAAACTACGTTAAGGAACTATGGATCCGTTTGATGGAAGCTTACATCCAGCCCAATGGCTCGCGTGAGGTCAATCTACCCTCGCAGGTTCGCGATCCCATTCTAGGACACAAGCCTGTAAACACACTTCNNCCCCCGGAACCTTCAGTACTTGAGCCCGCCGTCTCCAAGACTTACGAGTTGATGGAGGAGTCAGTTCTGGTGCCGTTCCTTAACAGTGTATATCCTCAACTACCTGCACCCGTCAGCCCCTACTACTCAAACAACTCGAACGAGAGCATGACAACGCCTGTCGAAGAGAAATCGTCCCGCTTCGGTCGCCGTAGCCGTCACTCGTCGAGAGGTAGCCCTCCTCCTCTTAGTGCTAGCTCTGTCGAGTTCTCCGCTTCTTCCTACTCCCCGCCATCCCTCAATAACCGCAAGTCCGCTCCTTCGGCTCTCACCACTGCTCTTTCTCGTCACCGCTTCTCCACTAAGCTTAGCCCTACCAGCTCGGCTCCCTCTCACTCTCTGTCCGCTGCTCTCAGCACAACAAGTAGTGCATCTGACGCCATCTACTCAGGACCTGGACTTACCGACGACTCTGGTAGCAGCGGGTCGCCGATCAACGACTGCCCAATGACTCCACCAGTCACACCACCAATGAGCGATCTCAGCGGGAGTCCCAGAACGCACAGAGACAGCGGAGCCTGGAAGAAATTGGGCCGCTTGAGCGGTTGGAAGCCGTCACGAAAACGGAGCCAGCCAGGTTTCGACCTCCACACCACATGAGGTTTTTAGGGGGACTTCTCTTATGAACTAGAGTCCATCCTGATGACCGTCATGTTTCACGTCACGCAGCGAATGCATCAAAATGTTTACAATCATGGTTAGGCGCTGGGGAGTTTTTAGAGACTAGGGAGCGTTGATGCTCCCCTGATGGGACTTTTGGCATATTTCTTAGCACATTGGTTTTGAGATTGTTATCAACGAAACGTACGAATGGACGGACGGACAGACAGACAGCAAGAGCTGGGCTTCTAGACCGGGGGTGGGTCGTGTACGAAGATGTCAAGGGCCGATGGCTGATTTTGACTTGTTTACTTGCGACACGCGAGCTCGACCTTACGAGGCAGCCAAAGAACTGTAACAATATTTTCAACTCCTTCCTGATGCATGGGCTCAATTTACAGTGCAGTGCTTGTGATGTCTAGAATGCAATGGATGCTGCCGGCCGCTAGAAGCGGCTAGCTGAGTGACGCAAGTACGGCAGCCAAAGACGCCATGTGTCGCGGCAGGTGAGTGGTACGGCGTAGGACAGCAGGATGCAGCCCAAGCAGATGCACTAGACCGTTTGTACATGGTATGCGTTCCCGACATGAGGTGAGCAGCAAGCAGCACCATTGGTAAGGACGATCAATGTGCGGCTCGGCCTGCTCCTGCTGGGCGGGCATGTGGTGATGCACCGGCATATCTAATGACATCACCTTCGGACATGGGTGCTCGAGTTTGTGTATGCATGCGAATCGACGTCGTGAGCCCTGATGATGGACGCGCACAAGAGACGTCAGGAAGACGATACCTCCTGTCAATCCTGTCAAGTCTACCCACAACCATGTCAAGTGCTGACACGGCCTGCTCAAGCCTGTAATGTCGCAGCACAGTCAAGTATACGAACTACCGGGCGACCTCCCACCGGTGGCCGAGTTGCCAGCCGAATACCTGCCGTCAGAATTATCTGCCCATGACTTGTCCGAGCGAAACAATCATGGAGACTCGAGAGGGCCATCTGCTGGCTTGATGCCTCCAACGCCATACTCGAACGATCTGCTGCCAACGCCTTTCTCGGCCTTCTCTGCCATCTCATCGAACCCGTCGCTGAAGCCTTCCCCTCTCAACTTTTCGCGACCCAACTTCTCGCGACCACGACCAGTAGAAGCCACCTCGTACAATTTTGGCAGTCAGGCTGGTCCCATCCCTGAATACGATCCGAACAATCGTCCGACACTTTCTCATTCTGCTCAGACATTTCACGATTTTGACCTCGAAGAGANNAAAAATGTCGATGGGGAAGAGGACGACGATGGTGACAGGACGCCTGCACCATCAATCATGACATATACACAGGAATACACTCCACGACATAGTATGGATGGAGCAAGTATAGGAGGGGCCAGCATTGACGAAGCTGTTCCGCCTCCGATCAGGACATATGCAGACTTGAGAGACATGCAATTGCCGAGGGACAGCACTGATGGCGACTCTGTTGCTGAGGCCACACCACGTGCAGTACAGGCTCTCAGAGGTCCGGGAGGCTTCAACCACGATTTCAGCACCTTGAACATCTCAAGAGGTGATAGCATTTACGAAGACTTTCCCATACCCNCTGGCACAGTTGCTCCAGAAGAGCAACTACGAAAAGACTCGCAGGCACTGCCGCCGCATGTCAGAGCGATCGTCGACGATGCCACTTCTTCATCCTCCGGACAGAGCGCGCATCCCCTGGCGCGCACGAACACTACAAGCTCAATGGCTAGCAGCTTTGACGAGGCCGCACCACCTCCTGTATCGACACGGAGGCACCAATTGCCACATATGGACACCGAGAGCTCGAGAGGAACCAAGTCTTCCAATCAGACAAAGACGTCGAGGGTGGACAGTGTTGTGGATCCATCTCCCGGCATTCCACCAAGAAACGGTGCACGCAAAGAGCCTTTGGCAGAGTCTGGCGCACCAAAACTGCTCATATACAAGCCCTACCTTGATTATGCATATAGTCAACCATCAACTTCAACACGCACATCCGCAAGTCAAGAGGAGAGCAATTCAAACTCTGGGATAGACAGCGACCGGAGATACAGCTCGGCAGGCAGTGAGGCCAGCTCAGTGGCCGATCTTGCTTTCAATGGTCAACTAGGCTGGAACCCACGCAGCGACTCCATCTCTGGCAAGGAAGCTCAACGTCAGCAGCGATGGTCAGGCTCCTTCACGAACCCCCTGAAACTAGTGACTTCTCGGTCCAAGGGCAAGGAGAAGCAACAGACGCCAATGCCAACGATGCAGGAACAGCCATTACGCCAGGGCTCGAATACAAGCTCGCCGAACGCTCTTTCGCCAGCGTCGAGCAGGGCATCCACAGGCACGGGTAGCAGTGCTTCCAGCAGAGCACCAACCATCCCTGCACGTATCCCACGCATCGTCAAACGCACATCCATTGACCAATTGTCCGAGCACGTCAATCCCTGGCAAGGCGAGAGCATGAGTGATCGCGGCAGCGTCTCCAGCAACGAGTGGACGAGCAGCGAAGTTGATACCTCGAGCCTGAGTGTGGAGAAGATACACAAACTCAAGAAGAAAGGAATCAATCCCGCTTTGTATATCGAGATGCAGAATGCGCGTAAAGGAAAGAACAAGTGGATTAGTCCTTTGCAGGGCAACTCGTTCATCTCTTGATTGTTCCTCAAGGCATGCTTTGTGCCACTACTTGCCGAAGATGCTACTATGGAAGCTCGGCATACAGCTCCCACATCAAGCTCGCTATATCGCGGGCGCCATCCGGTCGCATACCCGACCCTTTTACAATTTCGAGACAAAAGATCCATGGAGGCGCTTTCTATACTCTGGTTCCCTTGCTACGCCTCAAAACGTGGTGACGGCGTGGCAGAAAAAACTCACAGCCACGAGGGAGCTCAAGGAACAAGATCACGGTTAAAATGACTCGCTGATTTCCACGACTCTCCTTCACCCCCATCACCGTTATCACCGTGCCGCAGTTGCGCTTTCGCATCTTTGATCTAAGTTTCTGCTCGATCAGTAAGCTTTCCGTGGTATGGAAAGCCGTTTTTTTGCGGTGGAGCAACAGAATAAGAACGACAATTGTCGTTGCAACGGCTGGTTTATCTGAATGTCTCGCGGCTTTGCAAACGTTGGGGCTATGCTTGTGGGATGGAAGAAATCTGGACTTTATGAAGTGTTGGAATGATGACGATGAGGGTGTTCTGACAAGCGAGGGAGTGATGGTTTATGGTATGCTGAATAGCAGTATAGAAGATAGGCTATAGTGGCGCGAAAGAAGAAGCGAAAAGGTGTTAGATATCAAGTGTACCCTTGTGCCGTTCTCTCAATCATCGTCCCAAACACGTTTTTTCTTGATTCACATTCCTTTGAAGGATTGCATGTACCTTATTTTGCTTATAGATGCTGATGACGTGTTGATAGACTTGTCTTCAATATATCTCTGGGTAGGATCAAATAGATTGGCAGATCGCCCAGGTATGGTTTGCGGTGACACCTATTTCCCGAAAGCATCACTGCACCTGTTGTATGTATTTGGCATATGGTCTCTTTTACCCTGTACCTGTTTTCTTGTAGATCTTCGTCAGCTGCGAGTAATCTGGCTTTGAGCAATAGTTCGTTGCGGTTGACCGGGAACGGCTGTGAGCCATGGCATTTTCCTCGTACGCTCAACGTATCACCATCACCATGATCATCTATCTCTAACACTGAAACACTGCCATACAGATCTTTCACTGCTATAAGGATACAAGGTTATGGCAATCAGACTTGTGGGTCATCACTTTTCAGATTCAACACCAGTCGAGTCTGGAATCAGTGTCTAGAAGGTGAAAAGAAAGAGATCGTCCAAGACCTTGAAGATGCAGAAGTAACGATCAAGGATGCAAACGATAACGTTTGGAAATGCTTAGCGATAGGGAGAGACAGAGGATATGTCTCGGCCCGTATCCTTTTGACGAGAGCTCTATATGTGTTCGGTGTGTTTTAGGGTTTCTCAAAGGATAGCACTTGCCCATGATTTATTTGAGAGCTTAGTAGACGGTATAGATCAGCATGAGAAGGGTGTACATAGATAGGTATACAAGTAGACAAGAGAAAAAGAGGACGGTGCAGCAAAAGAGATGCAAAACATACAGCAGCAGGGATTCCCACGTGGTCACCCACCGTAGTACTAATCTGCCGTTCAACTGCTTATGTATGGCAGAGCGGACGGGATGCCCAGTTTTCAGCTGACTGTGGCCGTATGTGCTGGAATTTTGTTCTGATTAAGATACATACCTTTGTCGCCAAATTTGCTGTCCAATCCCGTGTTTCTACTCCAGGCATCCGGATGAGGAGGAAGTCCGCGAAGAAGATCTCCAGTTTCAAGAAGGTCTCCAAAAGCATCTTGTACAAACTACACAAGATAGGATACACATCTATATTCTGCGACATAATGAGAGGTTGTTCAAGATCCGCGTGACTCTGCGTCCGCTGCCCCATCTACCTATCTCTGATACCAGCTTCGACCCTTCCAACAGAACACATTCAGGAGCCCCGGCACCGCGAATGCTCCCCACGCCTCGAAGCATCGGTACCATATCTCTACCGTTGTTGACGAATGATCGCGCCAGCTCAGGGTCAAGCGGCTGATCTATGGCGATGCTGATGGGGTGTATCTGTGTGTCTGAATATCGTCGTTGTGTCGTTGGTCCAGCGTTGGTTGCTATTGTTGCAAAAGACCCAAATGCCCAGAGAGTCAATGTGGCGAGTAAAACCGCAGACGGCTCATAGAAGCTGTTGGTGTGGAAGGCGTGTAAATGTCGCAACAATGCTCCTGCGTGCAATGCTGCCAGTCGAGCTCTGCTTGCGTCCTCGACGACCCATTTGCGTATTGCCGTGCGTAGATTTGTCATTTGTGCTGAGCTGATGCTGCTGTCTTCTTTCGTCATTCCATATGCCAGATCACAGATGCTTTGGAACGGTGCAAACAGCACGATCCTCGCAAGATGGAGGTGTAGTAAAGTGGGATGCTCCATGCCAGACGCGGCGTTAACGACATTGTTGGCACTCCACTCGAGCACTTCAAGTGATTCTGAGACCGAGTCCCTCCAGAGCGCGTACATGGATGTCTGGTGGGGTCGTGGTTGAGATTGTACCTCGGCCTTTTCCATCTCCCAACATTGATGGTAGAAACCATGAAGCAGGATTATACGACTGAACTCACCCATTGCGTTTTGTAAAGCCTTCTCGTTTTGTAAGGATTGCAAGGATGACAAGAGTGTCAGATTCGCTAGTTTGTCAGTCAAGTCTGAGAATCAGAGGCTTCGTAGCAGCTTACAAGGCGAGAACTGGAAGATGTGGTGCCATTGCAGGGCCGTCTTCGCTTCCCAGAGTACCTCTTGGCATGGAAGAGGCATTCTTCCATCTTCCAGTGTAAGTCTTGGTTGCACCTGAAATTGATATGCCCACATCGTATCGAGCATCNNTTCGAAACACGTTAGTATGTGGTGCAGATCAACGTCCAAACCGACACTCACCCATATCGCATATCCAGTACGTCGACAAGACTCGAGCTGGACCCATCGCTGCCAGAACTCGGCTTCTTGGCCCTCGGGAGCAAATGTTGTGAACCCTTTCTCTGACATCTTCCATTCAAGCTGACAGAACGAAACCAGATCCGTCAGAAACTCGTTATAAGCAGATTCTTGCCAGCTTTCCTCTCCGCTATATATCTGATTGATGCAGGCCAGTAATTTTGCCTGACAGAGCGTGATGCGATCAATTGTTTCGTGAGGATCNCTTTACATAATCAGTATTGCCGAACGTCAACATATCAGAGATAGTCCCCTTACCAAAGCTGAGATTGCTCGACGCAAAAACTCGTCGAAACACAAAGCATATTCTTCAGACTGTTCAAAATCCGACATGTGACTTCCAATAGTCACAACAGCCAAGCTAAGGATCCAATGACTTCCGTCGAGGTCCAATGTCGGGTGATGAAGTATAGGCATCACAGGATGAAATCGATCCAGATATAGCTTGACAAGGGCGTTTAAAGTGTTTCTTGAAGGAAAACAACTCGATCCGTATGGTGGTTGATAAGCCGTCAGACCTGTACAGACAGCCATAAAGGATCTGTGAATACTGGAATATGTTTGTCCAGACAACATGTTGAAGCTTGTATAGCTATCGTCCTGGAAGGTTGGTAGGACATCACCAGATAACGGGAAATTGAGTCGACGCCTGCGACTCAAGTAGCTGGTCGCTGGAGTAAATGATCTATGAAATGATCCACGGACATCTGGCCTATCGAAGGTTGGCTCCTCTTGGTGGCTGACAAACGTGAACCGCGAACCGAGACCGCCAGAGTCCAGGATGGCAGTCTTAGACCTCAGATTGGGCGTTAGCCGAGGTCTTCTAGACAATTGATCCAGACTTGCATGACGATCTCTAGGAAATGGGGAGCTGTATGGTATCTCGAATGAGGCTTCGGTGCCAGCATATGATCCTTCAAATGGAGATAAAGCCGCTTGTTGCGCGTGACTATCATGTGACAGTAGACCTTGAGCATATGTTGGGAGCGATCCTGGGATGGGGAGTGGAGGCTGAGATGCTATCCCTTGATGTGAACTTGAACTGTAGCCCCATGGCTCTGTAAGGTTGGTGATGTGTTGTTCCGGAAACGGCACATCATGGCCGATATATGGTAACGACTGCTCCAGTTGCCGAGGAAATGCCACAGACTCGAGTACCGAGGATTGAACGTTTTCAGATGTTCCAGGCGTCGAGGCATAGTCTGATACAGCAGATGATGGAGAGTCCAGGGCTTGGGCAGGACTCACGGCACTTGGATAAACACAATCAACGTTTTTCATGCTGCACCTCTCGCAGGGCATGGTGCCATTGCAGCGAACCTTGCTATTCGCACACTCTTTGCAAGCTCTTGCTCCTTTGAGCTTGGAGACTCCAGGGTCTTTNTGATGTATTAATTCGTGCCTCTGGAGAGTGTCCTAGGTAGAAAGTCAGTAATCCAACCAAACCGTAGAGAAAGTGACATACAGTCGATTGAACCCTTTGTTACATGCCGCACACTTGAAAGATCGAGTTTCACCGTGGCTATTGGCATGGCGTCTTAGATGCTCGATGCGACCAAAAATTCGGTGGCATTGAGGGCATTGAAAGCTCGTATCTTCCCGTTTCCTTCTCTTCCTGTCATTAGTAGAGCTCGACGGTGCATCAGGTGCCTCAGATGCCTCTGGAAATTCTTCTCTGGCGAGATTGTTATTCTGGAACATGTTCAAGCAGCAGGTCGATGCAGCTTGACGTTACCCAAAGCCACGAACTCGAGACGTGCGCCGGTGACACTTCTCGCATTGCAGTGGCAGGATGAGGAGCCTGGGGCAGGAGCCGGGGTAGATGAGGATGCATCATTACTGTATTAATATTAGCCGCACTGTCGTCTCTGCAAAACTGACGTGCGATGATGGGTTGTGGAGGAGAGCAGCGGGGTGGGAGAAGGAAGCTCGGTTAAAGACATCGACTCGTCAAATCAGCCGAGCCTGGACCCATCGCCCAAAAGCACTTCTAAACACACACTCGCAAGACATGAGATCGGCTTTGGCTGTTAACTCAATTCATGAATTGTACCTTATTATCCAATCTGCGACTTGACAAGAGTGCGACGTTGCGTTGCCCCTTGAAGCCTACCCTTGCCTCAACGACCGACTTTCTTACCACCTCGAATCGCCTCCTCATCGAACTTATCTGCCGGTTGTCCTTCATGCTCCATCATCTGTCTGGCCCAAGGACTTTTCTGTCGTAGTTTGAGGCTGTACCTACCCAGAACGAATGGAATAGGCATCAGAACAAGGGCCAGACAAGCCGATATAAGACCTGCGTATTGAATGCCTTCATTGACGAACATCCTAAAGAAGGTTAGCATGACCTCACGACTGGTCGTCCAAGGCAGTACTTACTGCCGTCCAAATAGAGGGAATCCAGCACCTGCCGCGTTCCTGGCTAGTCCGACTGCTGCGAGAGCAGATGCACTATACTCGCCATAGCTGTCTTCAATATATGTGTAAGTCATCAAGATGAGGACATAGAAGCTCCAGCCCCACAGAACACTGGCGATGACAGGGCCAACCCAGCTCAACCAGACGTATGAAGTAAATGCAAAGATGAACAAGCTGACAGGAAATATCACTGCAGCAATCTGACCAAGCTGAACACGCGCTTCAGGGATGTTCTTTCCACCAGCCCGGTGAATTCTCCTCTGGTAGTAACGCTCTTGTTAAAGATTCGTCAATGGCCCAAGAGAGATCCCAACACATATGCCAATGAAAGTAAGTCCAACTTGGTAGGTCTCATAGCCTTTGCCAGAAGGCCCAAAGATGACGCTGAATGCGCCATTGAACAAGAAGCTCAGTCCATAGAGATAACCATTGTACAAAGCTGCGAAGATCACGATAGCTTCTGAGAACAGGAACCTGAACGGCCTTGTCAAGGCGGTCCGGAACAGTTGACGAATGCCTCGACGCTTCATGTCTTCTAGGACATCAATATCATCCCAACCAGTTCGACGTCTTTCAGCTTTGACGTGGCGAAGCAGGAGGATACTGTGTCTTGTCTCACCACACAAAAGCAGTGTGATGGACATGGTAATCCAGGCTGCACCACAAACACCTGATAATGCCCAAAANACATCTCGCCAGCCACGATATTGAGTGACCCATGACATCAGAAAGTAGCCAGACGGCGATCCACACGTTGCTGCCCACAGGAACAGAGACATGGCAATTCCGGTGTGTCTGACATCCCACAGATCCGCAATGGTGCCGCCAAAGTTTGCAATGGTGACCGATGAGAAATAGCCCGACAAGAAGCGAAGAACAAGAAATCCACCCAAATTCTGCACTAATGCAGTGCCGAGGAGAAAGAGAAGGAAGAATCCGTATGGAATGATATAGAGCGGTGTTCGACCAAAATACTGTTCGAAAATTAGTCTTGCCGAACACGGAGATATTGTCAAAATACTGTGTACCTCTGACAGTGGCGCAAGAGGCATTGGCCCTAGAGCCAGACCAGCAACATAGATGCTCAAGCCCAGTGTTCCGATCTCACTCGACACTCCAAAATCTTTCGCAAACTTGGTCGACGCCGGGCTGAATCCTGGAGCTCCCCAGGATACCGTCAAGTCAACAAAATTTATAACACTGACGACAAGCCACTTCTTCCCTGTAAGCCAGTTCCTAGGATTCTCGGCTGGATCTAGAGACAAAATTCTGGGCTTCGAGTGCTCATGAGAGCTTTGGCTTTGTAAAGCTTGATCACTCATGGCTGTTGTAGAGCATTTCCCGAAGGAAAACAGATAGATCCGTCTCTTGGTTGCTGGCTGCTGTGCTTGTTGATAAGTCAACCATTGCTGGGACCTGTTCAATCGATCTGGTATGACGTTCGCGAATGTAGATCGGATGTGCGTAAGATCGCCATTACTTTCTTTAGTGATCGACGGCCCGCGCTTACCCTTTAAAGTTGTTGCATGCACGACTGGCCCTCACCGCGTAGAACACACCACCGCAGACAGCACTTGTCCAGGAGTGACTGACTTGTGTATGTTGCGAGGATGTAAGACTGAGTCTGCCGAGATGTAGTTGTTCACAAGGATTCAGCACCTCTATATACCACCTAAGAGACCAACCATAATCCACGACAATAGCAGATCTTGATAGACCTAAAACTCAAAACGATTTGAAAAGGAGATACATTAGCCAATCCTCTGCAAAAAGAGACAAGCAAATAAAACGACTGATATTTTCTCTACTTGATACAACGAACGTCCGAGAGAGTCGGTCATCGAAAATCTAGTCGCCGCATTCATCGCAGTAACAGCACTCTTGACATTCCCGGAAGTTTACGCGTACTGCGAGCACATCTCTCTCGCAAGGGAATTTGGCGCGCAAGAGGAGCTGAAGAGTGTCGGTCCTCACATCACACCCAAGAGTACGACGCAGCGCTGGGACAGACAAGGATTGTTGGTTCCTTTTTGAGCTAAAGGAAAGCTCGGTGGCGTACTACGACAAGCCGGTCGTGATTCTAGGTGTTATAAATGACTTCAAGGCGATTCTTGCTTTTATACTCCACAGGAGCATGTTCAAGGCCGCGAACTTGTCAGCAGCGGGCTCGCCAGCGACGAGCATCGTGTTGTCGTGCGAATTCAAGCTGACGTAGGCAAAGTAGTCGAATTTGTTGTTGCCCGGCAGCCAATCCGATTTCGGCATGGGAGCGACACAGACCAGCATACCGTGCAGTGTGAGGTTGGAAAGGCGCTCATAAGTGGCTCTGGACATGTTTCTCTGGGGCAGTGGACCGGTCGACAGAAGGATCCAGGCATCGACTGAGAGAGATTGTCAGAAACGCCAGATGCAGAACTTCAGCACAGCATACCGAGGATCTTGGTCAACAACCGATCGCCAGTTTGCACGACACTCGTTATAGAAGGCGTAGCAGGCACTCGAACCTTCTCCTAGAACTCGAAGATTGATGGATTGAGTAGCAAGTTGCGAGTCTGCTCGATTGCACGAGTTCGAGCCTTCAGGTCCAGCTGTGTGACATGTCGGCGCAGTGCACGATAGCCAACGCAATTGCACACAAACACGGGGTACTTTGCCGACTCGGCCATGTTGGTTGTAACAATGGAAGCTGATCTGAAGAAGTAGGAATGGTGACGTCGAAAGTATGCAAGTGCAGGTCAGCAGCATGGCATCTTGAGGAGGCTCGGAAGTGCGGAGGTGTCGGAGTTAAGTCTGAACGCACGTCATCATTACTCTGGTTGAGTATCGCTCTATAAGGACGAACACTTCTGTGATTGCAAAACTCATTCAACACTTCGAGCCGTGTAGAAACATGTCGCCAAGATCGCTGGAATTTCACACGGCGCTGGTTACCGGAGGTGCCGGTGGTATTGGACGAGCCATTGCTGAATACTTCATCTCACAAGGAAAGAAGGTCATCATCGTGGGCCGTACCGAGTCCAAGCTACAATCGACAAGCAAAGAGATTGGTGCCGACTACTATGTCTTGGACACTGGTGACATCAAGTCCATCCCGAGCTTCATTCAGAAAATCACAAAAGAGCATCCTGAGTTGGACTGTCTAGTCAACAACGCCGGAGTCCAGAGACCTCTCAATGTGAACGATATGTCAGCTGAAGAGTTCCTCGAAAAGGGCGACGCCGAGATCGATATCAATGTCCGAGGACCCATGCATCTCGCTGTCGGCTTTTTGCCTCACTTCAAGTCGAAAAAATCAGCCGTCATCATGAACGTCTCGTCAGTTCTTGGCTTCATTCCATTCAGCATCATCAACCCAGTTTACAACGGTACCAAGGCCTTCGTACACTTCAACACGATGAACCTCAGATCTCAGCTGGAGCAGGCCGGATCCTCCATCAAGGTGATCGAGATCGCACCGCCGTCTGTTGGCACCGACTTGCACAGGGAAAGAGAGGACCCAGACGACAACAAGAAGGACAAGAATGCCAGTGCTCTGTCTGTTGAAGAGTTTATGGATGAGCTGAAGAAGGGCTGGCGGGAGGACCGCGATTGCATCGGAGCCGGTATGAGCCAAAAAGTGGTCGACAGGTGAGTTCGGACATGGTCCTTTGAAGACCTTCGGAGAAAAGACTAATCATTTCCANGATGGTATAACGAGTTTGGACCTGATTATGCAAAGGCTGAAGGCAAGGGAAACTAGATAATTGATTGTTTGCCGGAAGGATCGGCGTCGCAAGCGCCGGGTGACGGTTTCCACGCCAACTTCTCCACGCGAAACAAACAACATGGTCCATCTCTCAGGCACCATTATCGTTAAGAAAGACGGTGCGCCTAACAGAGAGCTAATCTTAATCCACCATCTTTTGCTTCGTCATATCTGAGCTTTACCTGACCGCCGTTTTGATCTGTTGACCTCTGAACTCACAAGCGTCTTTTTCCAGTATGCGCATGGCGTGATTGCAAGCAGTTACATCTTTACATTCCTCGCCTACTCAGTCTACGCCAACATGGGCTCTCGCTATGGCGACCCGTCCGTCTACAGTGACAACGAGGGATCGTCTGGTTCGCGCAATGCGTCGACCATGAGGCTGCTCACGCACATCGACGAAAGTCCCTTCGAAGAGTATGTCCAGCAATCTTCACAGCCCCAGAAGTCGGTCCCAGTCGACGACGAGCCAGAACAGCACACTCGCTCCAGATTCAGCGTGCCTAGAAAGCAACCGAAAGAGCGAAATGCCATCCAGGACCTCCTTGAAGAGGCCCAGACGTCCCTGTCGACAAGCAAGAAAGACAAGAAGAACCACAACTTAACAAAGTCATCTAGAGAAGCCGCCGAGGAGATCCCCCCATGCCCGCTACCTTCGTCCCATACCACCCTTCGCGCCCGCCCTCGCGAGCCGTCTCGATCGTCGACGGAGCCCCCAATCTCCCGCCTCCCTCGGACGCGCCGCCCTTCTACTACGATCGACCCTCATCCCGCACTTCGCACTCCCNNCCCTCGCACTCGTGGTCCCCTACTCGCACCTCCCTCGATTACACCGTTCCACCCACGTACAACGCTCCCTACGAACCCGCCGACATCAACGGCAGCCCGAGACCTGGCTCACCTTCTAGTAAATATGGTGGCAGCTCGAAACGACCCNTCCCGCCAGCTCCGCTGTTCGCTGGTGTGCGCCCCAACTCATCCGACGGCGACAAGGATCTCTCGGACATGACAGCCATACCCATCGATGGCGACGATGATCCGTTCACCGATGACGAGCGACCGGACCTGCTCAAGACCGATTCGTTCGTGTCAGACTCAACCTACAACGATGACGATGACTACGACGAGAAGGGAAACTATGAGCCCGCTCCAGATGGAAAGCAAGAACGCCGCGGCGCAAGACCTGCAGTCATGTCCAGGAAAGAAGTCAAACTCATCAACGGAGAACTGATCCTGGAGTGCAAGATTCCCACCATCTTGTACTCTTTCTTGCCGCGTCGCGATGATATTGAGTTCACGCATATGCGTTACACGGCCGTCACATGCGACCCCAACGAATTCGTCGAGCGTGGCTACAAGCTCCGTCAACAGATTGGAAACACGACCCGCGAGACCGAGCTGCTTATCTGTATCACCATGTACAACGAGAACGAACTCGACTTTACCCGCACCATGCACGGTGTCATGCGCAATGTCGCCCACTTCTGCAGCAGACAAAAATCTAGAACTTGGGGCAAGGACGGCTGGAAGAAGATTGTCATCTGCATCATCGCCGACGGTCGCAAGAAGGTCCATCCTCGAACTTTGGACGCTCTTGCTGCCATGGGTGTATACCAAGATGGTATCGCAAAGAATTCGGTGAACCAACGTGAGGTCACTGGCCACGTGTACGAGTACACCACTCAAGTATCTCTCGATCCCGATCTCAAGTTCAAGGGTGCCGAGAAAGGTATTGTGCCTTGCCAGATGATCTTCTGCATGAAAGAAAAGAATGCGAAGAAGCTCAACAGTCATCGCTGGTTCTTCAACGCATTTGGACAGGCCTTGAAGCCCAATGTCTGTATCTTACTGGATGTTGGTACAAGACCAGGAGACACTTCGTTGTACCACCTGTGGAAGGCATTTGATAACGATTCGAATGTTGCAGGTGCCGCTGGTGAGATCAAGGCCGGCAAGGGCAAGAACTGGCTCGGCCTCTTCAACCCGCTTGTGGCATCTCAGAACTTCGAGTACAAGATGTCCAACATCTTGGACAAGCCACTCGAATCCGTCTTTGGTTATATTACTGTCTTGCCTGGCGCTTTGAGTGCTTATCGATTCCACGCCCTTCAGAACGATGAGACCGGACACGGACCTCTCAGCCAGTATTTCAAGGGCGAGACACTACACGGGCAAGATGCAGATGTTTTCACGGCCAACATGTATCTCGCCGAGGATCGTATCCTCTGTTGGGAGTTGGTTGCAAAACGTAACGAATCCTGGGTGTTGAAGTATGTCAGACAAGCCACTGGTGAAACTGATGTACCCGGTAAGCGAGTGTCGAGATAAACACCTTTGAATTTTGCTGACCTTTTAGATGCCGTCCCAGAATTCATTTCTCAGCGCCGCAGATGGCTGAATGGTGCATTCTTCGCCGCAGTCTACTCTCTCCTGCACTTCAAGCAGATCTGGTCCACGTCACATTCTCCAATTCGCAAAGCCCTACTCCACATCGAGTTCATCTATCAGTTCATCCAGCTCACTTTTACCTGGTTCTCGCTTGGAAACTTCTATCTAACCTTCTACTTCGTTGCTGGTTCTCTCTCGGACCCAAAGATTGACCCCACTGGTGGAAAGGTCAATCTCTGCAAATACCTTTTCGCCGTTCTACGATATGCTTGTATCTTGACTATCGCTATGAACTTCATCTTGAGCATGGGTAATCGACCACAAGGAGCAAAGAAGATGTTCTTCGGCTCCATGATCATCTACGGAGTTGTCATGGCTTACACCACCTTTGCTTCGATATGGATTGTAGTGAAGGAGTTTGGTGGAGGCAAGATGCATCTCGGCAACAACCTTTTCACCAACTTCATTGTCAGCACTCTCAGCACGATTGGACTCTACTTCTTGATGTCCTTCCTGTATCTGGACCCTTGGCATATGTTTACCAGTTCCGCTCAATATTTTGGCATGCTACCCAGCTACATCTGTACACTCCAAATTTTCGCTTTCTGTAACGCGCATGATATTTCTTGGGGCACAAAGGGCGACAATACCGTTAGTACTGATTTGGGAGCCGCCAAAGCATCAAAGGGCGGCACCGTCGAACTTGAAATGCCGAGCGAGCAGCTTGATATCGATAGCGGCTACGACACCGCTCTTCGCAACCTTCGTGACCGCGTCGAGGTTGTTGAACCACCACCAAGCGCTGCACAGCAACAAGAAGATTACTATCGCGGAGTCAGAACGTACATGGTGACAATCTGGATGTCTACCAATGCCATCCTTGCCATGGCCGTGAGTGGAGCATACGGCGAAACTGGCATCTCTAACAACGTCTACCTCAAATTCATCTTGTGGTCTGTTGCTGTTCTGGCCTTGTTCCGTGCCATCGGCTCATCAACTTTCCTTCTCATCAACGCCGTCCATTCGATCATGGAAGGCAAGCTGAAGTTTAGCGATCGCAGCTCCACTGGTAGTAAGACTGCCTCGAGAAGACGATACGGCTGGCGCAGCAAGATCCCATCCTTCAGTTTCCTCAACGGAAGTGGTACGTGGATCAGTGACAAAGCTGGAAATGCGACTGTGGGGATCAAGAAAATCTTTCGCAAATGATTTGAATGACTTGCTTGCACCTTCTTGTTCCAAGCCATGAGATACATGAACGATAAATGATGGGCTTTGGATGTTTTGGTTTCGTTTCTTGGTGGACAATGAGTTGGTGGGCTTTTTACGTTGCAACGCATGTATTATAATGACCTTTGTACTTGAGTACATTTTTGTTTCTCTGCTTCACACTTTCCTCGAGTTGGAGCTTTTACGCTGCATAGCCATCCAGTCTTTGTCGTCGTTGTAAGCTTGATTTTGTGTGATGATGTTGGCGCTCTCAATGGCTGAACCGGAGCCTGCAGGCCGCGACACGATATGTTCACAATCGATCAACGAAAAAGCCAGCCGATCCAGATGGTACGAGGATGCTGCTAGCCGGATGTAAGACGCAACGACTTCTACACATTTTGGACTCGAGCGGACGACTTGCACCTGCCATTTATCTAGACACTTTTGAGGATGATGTCACGCAAATCTCCATTTCCCTTACAGCTTGCTAATTTCCAACTTCACAGCCTCTTTTTGTTTTGCAAAAGACGCCCTCACCAACTCAGCTCGTGACCGTCGGAGATCTGACAACAAGAGGGCAAAACTTTCTTGCCAGGTCGCCAAAATTATCCTCGCCAACTGCAGCCGCATGCCCGATGGCCTTGGAGGCTTGGTATGAGTCGTTTCCCTCCGTTTTCCGCGCGGGGTCGTCTACCAAGAACACATCCAATGGCATCACGGTGCCTTGCCTATGGCCGAAAGCCTTTCGGGCTTGTACCACCCCAGGTATCGATGATCTTGATACGAATCAGCTCTGGACTGATCCTGCAAATCCGTGAAGCCGAGAGGGACAGGTTGTTCGCAGCTCACCTGCATGTTCTGTGACTGGGGACACGAGGTAAGACCGATCTAAGATTGATCTGGTGTATACCATATGAGCATACCAAAGGGTCAATCCGACAGCCTCTTCCTACAACGAACGATTCCTGTTTTTAGGGACATCGATTCGAATCAAAACCGCCACGCGAGTCCGAGACCCGCCCCCAGATCGACCCCCAGATGTCCCCAGACCTGGATTGCGGGGAAGCTGTCCTCTCGCCGCGCTAACCTTCTACGATTTTATGGTTACTCGAATATCCGCATGCCCGAACTGATCCTGGGTTGCTATGAGTTGTTTGGGTTCACCTGTATCACACACATCTCATACGTCGAGTCCTGCATAGAGACATCGATCACCACATGCTGGTTACCGTGTCAGCCATCTCGCATGGCCATCTGTCCGGGCTCGCCAGGGCAGAATGTGTCTTTCGTTGCCAGGCATGCACTCTGTAACGACCAAGCCAACCGCTCAACCGGATGGAGGCGTCTGGGGTAGCTTTCAGCGGCTTGCGCCTGGCGATCAGTTCAAATTTGTGCTTGTACACAAAGTCAGGAGATCATGAGCCGTTCGTGACCTGTACGGCGGGGTATGGCTCCTCCCTGTTCTGATCACCTCTGGTTTCGTGGTTGTTGTGGTATTCGAGACGGGGTCTTCGGAAGTGGTGCAGCCGTGCGTTGGAAGCCATATTGCAGAGGTATATATGCAGGTATCCTCTGTTGTGGCAGCAAGCATTCCTCCCCTATCTCAAGTTCATATCTCTTCATCCATCAAAGCATTTTTATACGAACCGTCAACATGGCAAACGAGGCAAACTACAGCTCTACCCAGCACATGGACCCTAGTCCGCCAATCGAGAAGGATTTCAACAATGGTAAGTAGATATTTCGCAGATGTATCATCCTCGAGCTGANNCATGTACTAGACTTTAACAGCCACATTGGCAACGATATTGACAGTGAGACGGCGCTGCACAGAATTCGTACGGCTGGCAGCATCTCCATCTCACCCGAGCTGTTCGAGAAGATGTACCTGTCTCCTCAGAACAAGGTCGCTGGTGAATTGAGAAAGACCTTTGGTAACCCTACACCACTGTATTTGTTATCGAGGTGTTGATATAAAGTTTCCCTTCTGACAACACATCTAGCGNCTTTGGTCGGATTTCTTCTCAGCCTGACACCATTGAGTTGCATGTTGATGGGATGGAGAGGTGCTTCAAACACTGGCGCCTCTGATGTCGGTGCTTATTTCTTCTTTGGTGGTCTGTTGATGATTCTTGGTTCCATCGGCGAGGTAAGCTTTGATGATATCTACGGGCGTTTCTTCTCACTAACATTTTGATAGTGGTTGATCGGCAACACATTCCCCTTCGTCGTCTTCGGCTCATTCGGTGCTTTCTGGTTGACCTTTGCTGCTACCCTTCAACCATTCTACAATGCATACGGTGCCTTTTCAGCCGATGCCGCCGCTCCTGGTGAAGGGTTACAAACTGTCGCATTCAATGCCAGTNTTCGGTTCGTACCACCAGACTGTCATAGCATACCCACGACCCACTGACTCTCTACAACAGGCTTCTTCCTCGTCTTCATGGGCGTGTTGTGCCTCTTGTACTTCATCTGCTCACTCCGCACCAACGTCGTCTTCGCCATGATCTTCTTCACCCTCGTCCTCGCCTTTGGTTGCTTGACCGGCGCTTACTGGAATCTTGCCCTTGCCTACGGTCACGCTCAAGGCTCGGCCGCATTTGCCGCTCATGGCGCTACCGCCACGAAGTGTCTTGTTGCTGCCGGAGCACTCACCTTCGTCACCGACATGTGTGGCTGGTGGATCTTCTTTGCCATCATGCTCGCCGCTCTTGACTTCCCCTTCCAGCTTCCCGTTGGCGACCTCAGCACTTTCATCAAGGGTGCTAGCGACAGGAAGAAGGCCAAGGAGGAGAAGGAGAGATACTCGGCATAGACATGTGTCGTGGCTTCTTATGAGAGAAATAAATTGTCGTCTGTCGACTGAGATTGGTATCACGAGGGTCATGAGTAATTTGTTGTAATGTCATGTATACTAGGATACGATGGACATGTTGTCCGTCTGAATGAATTTTGAATATTCTGTCTCAACACTATCTATGCACATTCTGTTTACATTCCTTGAGATTACCTTCCTTGAGATTACCTTCCTTGAGATTACCTTCCTTGAGATTACCTTCCTTGAGATTACCTTCCTTGAGATTGCCCAAAAGAAGGCGGATCTTTTGACTCGATCCTTCCTAGTCTTCGAATGTACTCACCTTCGACTCTCCTCCCTAGAGCATTTGCCAGCAGCAAGAAATCAGGTGCACTCGTGAATGATAGTTTCTCGATTGAGCGACGGACTTAATGCTCTCGTTCTAGGGCGGTCAAGTGTAATCACAGAACGTCTTGCTAAATCTCCGGTGGGCCGAGGGATGAGACCGACAACGATGGTCGTAACTCCCCGTTGCCATGTAAAAAAACCGAATCATCTGATATCATGTTGCTCGAATCGGCAACTTCAGGATACGTTATCGCTACAGGGAGCTTTGTATAGAGATTCAGTGCAGACCTTCCATGTTTCGATCGCTGTAGACATCAATTTGTGTCATACGAAAAGAGAGGGACTGCATACGGCAACAACCATCCCAAGAACACCCCTTTCCCCACCGAACACCAGAAACATTTTCCTCGCTCTCTGCAAACCTCAAAAAGAACGAGCAAATATCGCAATAGTGCTAACCGAAGAATTACCACAAGCACCCGGCACACCNCCAGCAACACTCCCTCCATTGCACAAATAACAATTGTTTTCTCCAGCTTCGCCTGTGGTGCCACTCAACAATCCACTTTGGATGGTAACATAAGTGATCGAGTTGCCACACCAGCAATCTGCAGATGCGGTTCCTTGGTTTACAGTGCCAAAATAGACGTAGTTTAGGGATAGACAGGTGCTGCTGCAGCGACTGTTTACTTGGGCGTTGTAGTTGCCTTGGAAGGCGGAGAGGGCGCGGCCGGTGGTTACGGTTGAGGAGCCGGTTTGTACGTAGCAGCCTAGGTAGCCGTAGAGGATGCCTGTTGTGAGTGGGCCGGCGGGTCTGTGGGGAAGGGTGATTAGTTGGAATTGTTAGGATCGTTCAGGGAAGGTGATATAATCGTTACCCTGATGGTCCCTACATGTTGTTAGTATTGTTCTGAGATGATTAAGAGATGAAATCCAGTATGAAGAGTGGCTAGGTGTCATGGTTTTCTCAGGCGTGATATAGATGCTCGAGTCTCTCACTACTGCAAATGATCACTTACTTGCACACCCGTAGAGCCTGGAAGACCAGATGGACCCGAGGGCCCGCTGGGACCACTAGGACCTGTTGATCCAGTGGGACCCGTAAGACCAGTAGGTCCCGAAGCACCGCTAGGACCTGTTGACCCCGTGGGACCTGTAGGTCCAGTGGCGCCTGAAGCTCCAGATATTCCCGTTGGACCAGTAGGACCGCTTGGGCCTATTGAGCCTGTTGGTCCTGTCGGGCCTGTCAAGCCTGTAGCCCCTGGAGCTCCTGTCGCACCACTGGGCCCACTCGGACCTGTCGGGCCTGTCGGGCCTGTTGGACCTGTTGGACCAGTACTTCCAGGCGTACCCTACCGAACGTCAGAATGAAGAACGTCCTTTGAAATTGCCAACGATATCATACCTGCGGTCCTATGTGAAGGAGAAACGAGTCATCAATTTTGCTGAAAAAGAAATGCATTCATCAAGTGCTCACCTGTTGGTCCCTGAGATAGGAGAGATCTCAGTCAGCAAAGTTGATTTTTCATTCATGGAGTGGCACACATACTGTAGCTCCTATTTGACCGCTGACACCCGATGCTCCTGTGGCGCCTGTTGCACCAGTAGGTCCACTCGGGCCTATCGAGCCGATTGGGCCCGTAGGACCTGTCGGACCAGTACTGCCTGAAGAACCCTACTTGATATTAGAATCATATTGTCTGGGTTCGAGAAGCTGACAACATCATACTTGCGGTCCTATGTGGTGAGCACAGAAATCAGTACCTATATCACGCAAAGAATGCCCTTGTCGACTACTCACCTGTAGATCCCTAAAAGGTAACGAGCTCTGATCAGTAAAGTTGGTCTGATTGGTGGACAGAAGATAGAACCTACTGTAGCCCCTACTTGACCGCTCACACCCTGTGCGCCTTGAACGCCTTGAATGCCCTAGTAACCAACTCGTAAGCCTGGCATATAGCGACTTGCGTCAGGGAAAGACATACTTGGGGTCCTGTTATGAGAGGCCAAAGGTTAGCAGATATCGACTGTTAGGGATTTGATGTAGTATGAAGTGAACATTGCTACAACAGATTCTCCAGGAAGGAACGACTAACCAGCTGGACCTTGACTTCCCTACCAACGTCGGCTCAGTTAGTATAAGCAGACAAATCAATGTTCCCAATGAACGAAATAGAGGAAGGGACTTACCGTAGCACCTGGCTGACCGCTCGCTCCCTGGTAAATGTCAAAACACGAACATTGACCTGTGAAAACAGACGGATCTTACACTCGGACCTATATACAAAAGCGGTCAGCCTTGGTATTCAGCCATGGCTGCAATGTAATCAAGACAAACAAGGTCGTGAGTGATATGGAAAGCTGATATCTAGGTCCTGAAGGAAGACTGAGCATCGCCGGGTGAATATATCGTTTAGACTCACCTGATGGCCCACTGTATGATGGTCAGCTCGTGCACATACGGTAAAGGTGGACGTTACAAGCATACCTTGGGCCAGAACTCATGGCTAACGCCGCACAAGAAGTCGTTGAAAAGAGAGATAGCTGAATATACATGCAGCCAGAAGGCGCCGCATCCTGCTGAAATACTGCATACACAGTACCATTGCTAAGAGAGCAAAACTGCGCCTGCCCATTGTAAAATTGTGAATTGAACCAAGAGAGCTGACCATTACTCGTGGCCGAAAACGATGTCGTGATCGATCCTGGGGTTTGCGAGGGGACAAATGGGGCGTATGAAACTCCCGAATTCGTCGAGTAGTAGTAGACGACGTTGTTTATCGTTGCAGTGAGAACGCCGTTACTGATTGAATACATAGGTGCACTCGCACAGTCATTACTGATTGTTCCGTTTGCATTCATGTATAAGCCGCTCTGACGCTTTTGATGCAGCTTCGTATCGGACCTGACGAACAGGATGAATGTCGAGTCTGTTGAGGTTGGAACCGTAACGCTGGCCAAGGTGGGTGTGGCAGAGGTGTAGGGAAGTCTTCTGGTCCAGAATAGCGTTGTTATAAGGTCAAACGAGGTCGGCGCATCGGTTACTGTGATGGGTTGTGCCTCAGGAATAGGAAGAAAGGTAGTGTTAGATTGAACAAAAGTATTCACAGACACCGCCTGCTGATATACGACAGCTTGGCTAGCGGGACGATATATGTCACAAGCGTTTTGGGCTTTCGTGAAATTCGATAACAGAGTGACCAGGCAAAGTAGCGTTGCCTTTGAGTAAGATCTGGGACCAAAATGAGTGTGTGTCATGATGAGAATCATAAAAAGACAAGCATGGGAGACAAGCGAATAGTCACAAATATTCCAACAGATTCTCAGCGACATGCTGAAGATGTAAGTTGTGTGTTTCGGCCCGATGTATGGAGCGAGGATGCCGGTTCTCTCGGAGATACGAGGAATGTAGTCAGCTCAAGCCGAGAACGACGGCCACACTGCCTTTCGGAGCTGCCGAGAAGCTCCTATCCACATTCCGTACACCAAGCCCTGAAGAAGCGATGTACTAGGTAAAGCTGAGTTATGGTAAATGTCAATTCTGAGTAGAAACCCTATTTGCCATAGAAACGCTAAAAACAAACAATGTCGAAGTACGGTCATCTGAACTTGGCAGCGCCTTCGCTTGATGTACTGCTGCCAGCGCTCTCCTCGCCCTCAACTGGGTTGGGATAATAGAAGGCAGCAACTGCGATGAGCACGTAAACAAGGAAACACAAGACTCCTTCCAGGTAATTAGATTTGCCGTCACGCAAGAATTGGCCAACCACGAGGATAGCTAGGATGAGGACGACGGCATCGAACATCTCGAAGTTGAGAGACATGTGTACTNNTTCTAAAACACTGTTAGCAACGAGACCGAACTCATTCGGATGATGACCGCGGTGACATACCAGGCCCCAGCCAACGATGACTGCAAGCGGAGTGTTTAGCAATGCAGTCTGGATAGATGCACCGAGGATGTGTGACAATGCAAAGTTCATCTGATTGTCCCATGCTTCGTCGATCGCGGTGATGTGCTCGGCAGCTTTCTCAACAAGCGGAACCAGGATAAGACCCAGGAAGGCATCCGACAAGTTGCGGTTGTTTTTCATGTATTCAATATTCTGAACCAGGAATACGGCCATCATCGAGACGAAAGTGATAGCAATAGCAAGAGCAAGGATGGACTCGGTAAGAGTAAGCTTCGCTTTGGCCAAATCACGGTGACGATCAGCGTCGTTCTGCTCGTCCTCTTCGAGGATGTCGTCGTAAAGTCCATGATGCGACTTCATCTGGAAGAAGGTGTAGACTGCAAAGGCGATAAGAAGGACGATCGCGGTAGCCCGAGAGATCTTGACAACTTCCATCCTGAGGATTTCTTCTGTGAGGTTCTGACGGCCTGCAAGAGCGTTGGCATACGTGACTGGAATAACGAGAGCGAAGCCGGCAACCAGCATCAGATTGCTTCCAGTATCACTAACGACGTCGTGGAACGTCTGTTCATGACGGCGCAGACCTCCGAAGAAGAAGCAGAGACCCATACAGAGCAGCAGGTTTGCCAAAATGCTACCAAGAATGGCGGCTTGAACAATTGGAACGCCTTGTTCTCCTTGGTTCACCAGAAGGACAATGAAGAGAATCATCTCAACCAGAGAGCCTAATGTGGTCTCAAGAACAACACCAAGAACAGTTGGAAGCTTTCTGGCTAGTTCTTGTCCAGCGAATCCAATAAGGTTTGCTGATGGGACCATGGCAATGTAAGCCAAGATGAAGATCCAGAGTCGTTCTTGAGGTCTGGCGAAGTGCNNTTGCAGAACAGTGTCAGAGGATTGAATACAAAGTGACAGAGATGCTCTACTTACCAAGGCGATGGCGGCAGGAACGAATGGCCATAGCACGTTCACATATTTGGAAGCGGTACACGAACTGGCCCAGCAGATTTTGAAGAAGTGGAGAGGATGAAATCCGCGTCTACCACTTTCGCCGTTAGGTTTGATGCCCGGAGTCACAGCATGACCATTGTGGTTGTATTCGGGCAGCCTGCCATCTTCACGTTCTTGCTGGGGTTTCGGTTCGTGCGTGTAAGGGCTTGTCGATTGACGGCTTCCGCGACGGGGCTTGGGTTTGGTTGGCATGATGCTTGGTGGTTTGTGTTGCTTTCTAATGGTTGTTTCTGCCGACAATCACAGCCCGCAGCACGGCAGGTAATCCGAATAAGATCGTAAATTGGGAAGTTGCGAGTCAATGTCTGGGGAAACGAAGTTGTTGATGATGGTCAGGTCATGGAGCAGGTCGTTACTTTAGCTCAGGGAGAGCAGCGCCTCGCACGTCTTCAGCGCGTTTTCCTTGTTTCCAACAGCTTACTTTAAATCAGCAACAACCTCCTGCAGGAAATAATTCGCTGGCAGACGGGATGCACGATCGGCCAAGGCTTGTGGCTGTGTTAATCTGGACTCTCCGAGGCCCAACCACCCCGGAGGACAACAGAAATCAACTACTGTTCTTCGCACGTGGGCAGATGGTTGTAATAACTAAAACACGAGACGAAACTTGAAAGAGTGAATCCAACTGACTACATCTTGGTATTTGCTTGTTCACACAGCTTGGGAGAGACAAGACTCCTTTCGATCTTGGTATAGGGATGCTTGGCGTCGCCAAGGTCGACGATGACATCGTCCGGAAATTAGATACCGCCCTTTTTGAGTTTCACAGCCATGATGTTTTCCTTTGCTTTGCTTTGCTTTTCCAGCATCCGCTTGGCTATATCACACAAGTTCCTCGGACGCGGATGAGTGTGATGGTATGACACGAAAATACATGTACCTCCGTGACATGTGCGGGTAGATGGTTGCACCTGTGTTTGTCTCAGGAAACACCCAGTGGTTTCAGTGATGTCACGATCAGGGTGAAAAGGTAACAACGACGGGCATTCACAGTCAGCGAGTCTGTCTGTAACCACTGCCGCCATTACCACTTCCACATGGCACACACACTCGATCATGGGGATCGCTACTGGGAGATTTATCAAAAGTGCAATCTCCCATTCCCAATGATGAGCACAATGCTCTGATTGTTTTTCGCTGCCGTTCTCGAAGTTATACCTGAGATCTCATCCGTCACGAGTGTTGGAGATGGCTTTACATCATGATACTTGTAGAGCTCGAGATGTCTGAATTTCAGGGATGTCGGTACATGTAAGCTGACTAGCCAGGGATTGTGTCTGGTTCCAAGAGCAACAACCCGCCTGATCTGGCATCAACACTTTGCATCCTGTACAGGGCCCAGGCAGCGACAGAGTATCCATCACCGACTGACGACTGAACCAGGCTGTAGCTGTCGGGCAGTGTTTTGTCTCTAAGTCTTCGACGGTGCGAGGACTGGCAGACCGAGGTGCAGGTAGCTATAGGGTCTGTCTTCCATATACGGACCGGCCTCAGCTTGCGAGAATCACCCAGAGATGGACAAGCCTATCCGAGTATCGCTCCAGAAACTATGACTCTGCCACAGGTCAACACTAGCATCTCTGGTCAAATCGAGTGTGTCCCATGAGAATCTCGGGACCGCCACATATGGAAGCTTATCATGGCAATTCGCTGTTTCTGTTTCTACGCTGTCAGGACCTCAACCATCAATGACAATCCAGACCGAAAGTCCCTATTTCGGAATTGGTTGAAAAACATTGGACAGCGCTTCTCTCGATCAGTCACGCATGAACCAGAAGATGAGCCGGACTGAACTCCGTGCGTGCTGTTTTCCAGACCGACAGAGGTCAATTATTGTGTACGCGCATCTGCGCTGCGATGGTCGACAAGTCCAACACAGAATACGATTGCAACACAATGACCTGAACATCTGATCTTTCACAATGTCTTCTCGGCATGTACGCAACAGCGAAGTACAAAGTCGCAATTGCGTGTGCACAAATCTTTCAGCAAATTATGGAAGAACATGCATCTCGGTGCCTGCACACCGAACCTCGGGCAGCATCATGAATCACCATCGAGCAGAGAAATTGCAAGATTCGACTAAGAGCCGTCCCCGGTGTAGAGTAGGTTTGCAATGGCGGGTTGAGCCATACGGCGAATACCGGAGACTCGTGAAATCCCTAAGGTCTTGGCGACATAGCGGCAGGAGCCACGTCGATCTTGCCTTACTGATTGTGGTCGCATACTGGGGACACGTTGTGTTTGATAAAAGTGCTATTGGAGACGTTGTTCCAGTGAGAAAAAGCAAAAGGATGTCAAGCGGAGAAGATACGGTTGAGGATCAAGCAAAAGGAAGGGAAGAAAGATCCCAGCTCCGCCACGACAGCTTGGACCTGAATACCAAGCCCTTGGATGCTGGAGACGAGAACACAGCTGTGCAAAGCTCAAACAAAGGAGTGAAGTTATGCTTGATGCAGAAACACGGGATGAAGTGAATTTTGAAGGCTGAGTCGTGCTTCAAAACCCGTCGATCAGGGAAGGTTAGACCCTGGCATCGGATTTTTCACCAATCGGCGCCTTAGCCGAAATTTTTACCAATGCTTTATTGTGGGCCACGTTCTCGACGCTCAACAAGAGTGGATAAAAGGGGATCTGTCAATTGTCGAAGAAAAAGGGTCCTTCTCGAAGTTCTTTTCTGTGCGAACTTTTTGCATCAACAGATCGCAATTGACGATATTGCTTGACCAGTCACTCATTTGTATCATTCCTCAGTCAGCAAACATGGGTGCTCAAGCAGTCTCCGAGACCAAGCCTACCAGCACGTCAATCGACTCGCTGAGAGCTGCCATTCCCAAGCACTGCTTCCAGAAGTCGACATCGACTTCCATGAGCTACATCGTGCGAGACATCGCCCTTGTCTGCACCGTGTTCTACATGGGCACTCAGATTCAATATGCACCATCATTCGCTCTCAGATGCGCCCTGTGGGCACTTTACAGTGTCTTCCAAGGATTCGTCTTTGTTGGAATCTGGATTTTGGCTCACGAGTGCGGTCACCAGGCCATGTTTGACAACGGCACCGCCAATGACACATTCGGTCTTATCATGCACAGCTTCTTGGGTGTTCCTTACTTCTCCTGGGTACGTGACTCTTATAATGATTTTCTGAATCTTTCGAATTAAGCCGGTTTTTCATCGAAATGCCGTTCCTGGCTTATTCATGAGTCGACGCTTTTGCTAGAACAAACTCAGGATTTCCTGCCCTATTGTTGTGATTCTGCATAAGTTTGCTAACCTACCTGCAGANAATACAGCCACGCCAGACATCACAGATTCACCAACCACATGGAGAAGGACACTGCATTCGTTCCCGCAAAGAAGGACGATGGTATCCATCTCATGGCTAAGGTCCAGGACACAGTCAAGGAAATATTCCACATGACTGAAGATGCACCTATTGTCAGCTTGATCTTCCTTGTTGGACACCAATTGATTGGCTGGCAAACCTACATGCTCACCTACGCCTCTTCTGGCTACAAGAGTCTTGCAAACTTCAAGGACCCTCGCACTACTTCCAACCTCAGTCACTACTCTCCTTTCTCTCCGATCTACCTTCCTTCTCAACGTCTGGCCATTCTGGTTTCTGATCTTGGTCTCCTCGCTGTTGGCTACGGACTTTACTACGCTACCCAGGTCATGGGCTTGACTCAGGTTGCATTGCTCTATGGTCTTCCTTACCTTTGGGTCAACCACTGGCTTGGTATGTTCCTTCTTTAGACGAAACTTGGAGAAAATCGTCACTAACAGAGTCCAGTCGCCATTACTTACCTTCACCACAACCACGGCGATGCTGAGCACTTCGAGCAAGGCACCTGGACTTTCGAGAAGGGCGCTTTAGCCACCGTTGACAGAGACTTCGGCTTTGTCGGTCGCGAGCTGTTCCACGGTATCATTGAGTTCCACGTTGTTCACCACCTTTTCCCGTAAGTTCGAATCTATTCAGTTGTTGACGAGAAGAAAGCTAACACGCTACAATAGTNNCGCATTCCATTCTACCATGCTGAGGAGGCCACCGGTGCCATCCAGCCTATGCTTGGCAAGAAGTACATTCGTGACAACACTTCATTCCTCAAGGCTCTCTGGAAGGCTTGGACAAGCCACCACTTTGTCGTGGAGCACGAGACTAAGCCTGGTGTTCTTGTCTGGGCAAAGTAATTTCCGTTGCTTGTTACAAAAGTTCTCATCACCATGTGTTATAGAAAGGGAAAATAGAGGAGCTAGACTTTCTGGAAAAGATATCAAATTCGCTTCACGTCATCTTTCCATTTGTCCGCATGTTCACAGCATTAGAGACTTTCGTGTCGATTCGGTTCGAGGGCGCGGTTGAGGAAGGAGCTTTCACTACAGATGACGCGCATGTCCCTGCCTTGTCGCCTGGTCGTCCAGCTCCACAAGATGCAGAATCCCTCTATCGCGGACCATTGACAGACATAACCTAGTACAACTATCTCACTATGTTTGACTACGTTCAGTTCATCCTGTTCGCGACCTCCATCCCTATTTTAGTCAACATCGCCTTTCGCCATCCATACTCTTGGCTCCATGCCATCCTTCTCGCTAACTGTTTCGCCATCTTCTCCAGTCTTTGCGCCATCATCGATACAGTATTCATCCAGCCCTTCTTCTTTGGCAGTCTCCGCGATCTTCCTACCGCCGTTCAAGAGCCAATCTGGACGAGATTGCTCAAGGAACCCACTGGCAGTGACCTTGCAAAATTCCATGGACAAGCTCCTACCAGTCAGATTATTCGATATTCTGGCGTCCTGAATTCAGAGCGGTTGCTTCTCACGGACCCCAAGGACATCAAACAAGTCATGGATTCTGAGGCTTACGAATTTGGTCGTTCGTACCTCATTCGGCGCCTGCTGTCCCCCATCTTGGGCAAGAGTAGCTTGGTGGTAAGCGATGGGGCCAACCACATCCGCTGCAGAAAGAATGTGAACACGGACTTCTACTCTCAAAACATCGCTGAACTTTGTCCCGTATTCTAGGAAAACGCCTGCTTGCTTGTCGAGGAAGTTACAACTCGCAGTCTTGGCGCTGATGGGCAGCTATTGGGCCCCGACAATGCTATCGAAATCCTCAAGTTACTTGAGAAAGCTACATTCCGAATCGTGTTCATCGCCTTCTTTGGATCAACGGTAATCAGTGACCACACTTCCGTCGAAGACCTGCTACAAGAGTTTCGAGATGCGTTTTCAATATCATCGGGGTTATCTACGCAGGCGGAGATGGCTTGGGAAACGATTCTCCCTCCTCATCTGTTCTTCGGACTTCTTCCAGTGGACGACATACGCAAAACCAAAAAGTCTATGCTGGATATAAAGAGCTTTTGTCGAACACAGATCGCCCAAAGGAAGTCAGAGGTACACACAACATGAGTACTTTCAATATGACTTGACATGACTCTGTAACAATGTGTTTCCTAACCTGAATGCTAACTTGATGTGGCTTTCNAGTACACACCTGCATCTCGCACTGAACCCGAAAAGAACATCCTGGATACTGCGATCAAGTCGGAGGACCTCAGCGATGAAGAGATTCTCGACATGTGTACAACTTTCCTGGCCACAGGCTACAGAACTGTCTCTGTTGCACTGAGTTGGGCCATTTACCACCTCTCGACTAGGCCCGGTGTACAAGCTTTGTTGCGTATGGAAGTCCGCGCAAGCTTCCCTGCACCCGACCAAAAAGGCGCTGCACCTATCAACCCTGATCTTCTGCAGAAGATGTCTGTCTTGACAGCTATCTGCGACGAAACTTTGCGATTCTCTCCTGTGGTGGCTTTGACATACAGAGAAGCTCGGACCGATACACTACTGTCCGGATCTAATCAAGTGATACCTGAAGGCACGATACTTGCCATCTCGCCCTGGGCGATTCACAGATCACCGATATACTGGAGAAGCGGAGATCCATTAAGCGAATCTTCGAGCGCCTCACATACAACATTGCCCAGTCCATCAACCTGGGACATGACGCGTTGGCTGTCAGACAAGAAGGGAGGGGCCAGAATGCAAAGCTCTTTTATGCCTTTTGGACGAGGACCACGTTGTTGTATTGCAGAGGGATTTGCTCGAGACGAGATGATGATTCTACTTGCCGCGCTAGTGGGAAGGTTTGATTTCTCATTCCACTCCAGTGGCCGTGACAACAATCCGAGACCTGAAGATCTGAGAGTGGCGTTTGGTGTGGTAGCCAAGCCTATGAGGCTGATGGTGCGGGCTCAGCCGGTCTTTGGATGGTGATTGACGTGAGTTCGGTCAAGAGAGAGGAGTTGCCTTTGTACCTGAGCGTCCTGAATCAACATTTCTAGCCCGGATGAGTTAGAGACTGCAAAGCAGCAGGGATAAACAAAGACTATGATGACGCTCAGTGTAACGTGTCTACTTGTTTTGTCCCTTCTCTGACGCGACGTGCTTGGGTGGTTGATGATGTTCGAGGTGGCTGGGAGAAAGCATCCTCGGAAATGGTCGGCTTCGTAGTTCGGCTTCGTAGTCCAAGGACAGGGTTTTACCCCATACAAGCAATTCTCGAGTCGACGACGATGCTGCTGCCGCATTGCTGACTAATCTCTTCTTCTCACTGCTTGAGTATATCTGTTTCATGCCAGATGCTAAGCTGAGTAGTGATATCGCACGATATCAAGCTTTGACGACTTGATATATGCGAACATGTGTTCTCTGAATGCCATATCGAGAACATGCACTGACTTGGCACTCAGACAGCTGGCCGTGAAGGAACGATGAACGCCCCATCGCATTGGGATCGAAATCACAAACGACTGCAGTTCAGACTGTAACGATAGATGCATAATAGTGGGGTATCATCTTATTAACATGGTCGACTAGAGAGACAGGATGCCCAAGCATAACCGAGGCATAAACCATTTGCAACATGAATATCCGTCCCCAACAATGGCTACGCATACCATACCAATGCAAGTAGCGCGAGTTATATACGAGCATCCCATACTCAAAGCCACGGCTGTACTTCCTCGTATCCGCAATTCGTATCAAGCTATCCAGACATCCAGGCTGCGTTGATGGCCACGATTGTTAGGCCTTGCTTGCTACGTGCGTATGGAGACCTCATACAGCAGTATACGTTCAGCACACACGTTCCCAACATACCAAACAAGCTCGCCCAAGCCTCACACGAAGCCAGACTGATCTCCAACGCGAAGGATGCAACCAACCAAAACGTCAAAAGCCCATCTTTACCATACCAGTGTCGATACGAGACATTCATGACCTCGGCTGCGCCTCCGGGGTAGTCAGATGATACACAGCAATCCTATAAGCCACGATTGTCAGCCATATATATATATACATAGAAGCGACAGAACACACTGCTATATTTCCCGCATACAGTCCAATACAATCGCATCTGTCTTTGATCACAACGTCCACTCGTCAACGACCAATCTCAACACTCCCACATCAACCACATCAACCACATCAACCATCAACAATGGCATCCCCAGGCAACAAAATCGAAGCCTGGTCCCCGAACNCCTTCACCCACGCACCCAATGCAGACGCCACAAACACCCGCACAATGACATCTCCACAAGCAATCGCCGCGAGAGAGAAATCGGCAGCGGTAATGGCAGCGCTCAAAAAGGGTGACGCGGGTGAAGCAGACAGATTGATGGGCAAGCAGGAGAAATATGATAGTTTGGTGCCTGGTAAGTGACTCCGTTAAAGTGCTGTTGGTGGGGAGATGCTAATGGAAGACATGATAGGTATCGCGAAACTGAAAAACAAGTTCCTGGGGAGTAAGAAGGAAGAGAACAAAATCTAGGATAGAAGATCATTGATTTGTTTCTCGAAGACGATGGTGGCCCGTGGATCAGAAGAACTGTGTCAATATAATTAAAGTGTTAATACCCGCAGCAGTAGATACAATTCATCGTTTGTCGTCACGTCTTTCGTGGGTCACATGCCAATGTTCATGAACCGCCTCTATCTCTTCGCTTCGTCCATGATTCGATTCAACATGTTCTTGTAGCGTATAACTACTCCTGTCACCTCCACCGTGCAGTGGCTCCCATACTTTCTCTCGCTGCCGCACTTGCGAGGTCGACTTTTCCGCTCACGGAGCGTGGCAGACCACTGCTGGAGGTCGACGAGCCACTGACACCAAGGCCACCGTACGGACTCATTTGATGGTATTGTTGTGCCAACAGTGCACCGTTGCTGGCTCGTTTGCTACCAGCCATGGCTTGGCTGATCGATACCTGAGGCGGTGGCGCACTGATAGTCGGCTGCAAGGAGGGTGCTAAGCTCTGTCGCCTGCCCGCGCTTGCAGGCTTAGTTGCCTGATTCATGAGGTTATTGACATTAGGGGTCACTGCGTTTCCGTTACGCGCAGCTGTATTTGGGGTATCTGGAAGAGGACGCGCGCGAGAAGTCGCCGCCGTTGCTTGCGATGAGAATGCCGGAATGGTCGGAATCGTTGGTTGCGCCCGCTTGATGGGAGATTGTGACGCTGTTGTCGTGGTTGACGACGCAGCCGAGGTTGCAGTTCTTGTTCGTGAACTGACAGGTCCAGCTTTTCTGAATGGCTCATTGGTGATGAAGGGGTGAGACACGGCCTGATCCGGACGCAGACGCTTCTCGGGGTCCCAACGAAGACATTGAGAGAGGAAGTCCAGGAAAGCTTCGTCATCACACTTAATGGCACCACTAAGAGTCTTGCTGCTAGGTCGTCTCCTTCTGCCTTTACTCGATACCGTAACACGAGGCTTGAGTGATGAATCGAAGAAAAGCTTTCTCCGTGAGGCCTTTTCGATAATGTCCCGAGCAGGAGGGCCGAAAATTTCCATGATACACGCAAGTTGCTCCTGCTCGTTCTCGCCAGGGAAGATAGGGTATCCAGTGAAGAGCTCCGCAAGAATGCATCCATAACTCCACATATCGATTCCCAGACCATAGTCGCTTCCAAGAATGACCTCAGGTGAACGGTAGAAACGTGACTGGATGTACGTGTACACCTTCTCGTCTGCTTTGCAAGAACTTCCGAAGTCAATGACTCGCACATCAGCTCGGCGAGGGTCGCAGAGAAGTATGTTTTCCGGTTTGAGATCGCAGTGGATGATTCTTTTAGATTGAAGCAGGCATAGACATGAGAGTATCTGGCGTGCGAAACGGCGAATGAGTTGGATTGAAAAGCCAGAGAAGTTGTGAGTTCGGATAAATTCGTAAAGGTTGATGCTGAGCGAAGGCGATGTGATGCAAAGATGGTTTCGGAAGTAGAAAGATGATGTGATCGTGAGTGTTGCATTGGCCTCATCAGGATCNCTGGCCTTAGGTCAGTACGATATTATCAACGTCCGAATCAGTGAACTTACCCATTCCTTGAGTTTTTGCAAGATGTTGACCTCAACCAAAGCTTGCTGATGGAATCGCTTCTTATTGCGAATAATCTTCACAGCACAAAGAGTGCCGAGCTTGTGGTCAATGCACCTCACGACCTGTCCGAAACTTCCCTTACCAAGAACATCAATGACTTCGTAGCGGTATCCTAGGTGGTCACCCATGACAAGGTTATAGTCGCCTCTTTCATCGTCATAACCAAAGTTTGTCGTTCCAGCAGCAGATATGTCTCCAACATGTTTCTTTGCTTGTTTCGAGCCACAGAACCAGACGCCATCCTTGTAGTCAATGATCTCTCCCTTCTCGTAAATGTTCAGAAGTCCAGCTGACGATTGGATAGCTTGCGCAGGAGTCATCCTCTCCTTTTGGGTAGCACGTTTGCGCAACTCTTCGGTTTCACGAGCGGCCACATCGATATCGCGCCTCTTTGTAGACAACTTTCTCATCTCATCGTTTGCGGCGATATCATCCTTGTCCAGATGTAAGGCATTGATTGTTCTAGGCTTGGGTTGAGGTGGAGTAGTTCTTGCGCCTAGGGAGCGGTTCATGCTGCCAAGGATTGACCACGATGTAGAACGTTGATTCTGCGGTGCTGCAGGCTGTGGCACTGAAGTAGTGCTCGTCTGAGGCTGGCGAACTGCAATATTGCTTGGAAGTAGAGGCTTAGCAGCTGAAGCAGACTCAAGCTGGGGCACCTTGTTAGCAGAAGAGATAGATGCCTTGCTCCTGTGGCTCTCAAGCTTTGTGCTTTCGAAGGAGGGACGGCCACTGCTAGATGTGGAAATGGGACTATCGGTACTCCATGTTGCAGATGCAGGAATCTTCGGTGGAGGCATATCGTCGTACTTGTTGGTCTGGAGCTTGAGGGGCTCTGCGTTAGAGGTGTTTGATGCTTTAGGCGGCGTCTTACGCCATCCCAAGCTCAATTTGCGACGCAGGCCTGAGGCAGCAGAAGGTAGTGGTTGTTCGGCATCTTCTGTAGAAGACACTGTGTGGATCGATGCGGTTTCCTTGACTGACTTAGACACAGCTCGTGGTCTTGGACCCATTGGCTTGGAAGCAAGGGACTCGGCGTTGTGATTGCCCAGAGTGAACTCGTCCGGTAGTCTCGGAGGTTGGGTATATTTGGACTTGGGCTTGGGTAATGAGCCCGAGGTGAACGGAGTGATGGCTTGACGCTTAGCCGGAGAAGGGGGGAGGTAGAAGCACGCCATTGCTTGGTTCTTCGTAACGTGGGACACGAGCACCAGGCTGAGTACTGTTACTACGTGCGCTGAGTGGCATGGCAGATTCTTCTTCCTGGCGCCTGTAGAAGGTTGCTTTCGAAGCTGTCATGGGAGTGCTGGGTGTTTTGGCAGCATTGCGCTTGAAAGGAGGCGTAGTACCCCGTGTATCGACTTCTTGAGACGGAGCAGGATAGGAGTTGATTCTTGCCGTAGTAGGGGTTGAGAGTGGGAGGAGATTAAGAGGAGGAAGGCGTAATGGTTGGAGAGTCTTCTTGTTAACTGCAGGCATGGCCGACGGAGTCTCGACGCTTGTTCCGTTATTTAATGTGAGGCCTCTACGGTGCTGAGTTTGGCTTGGGTCGGATGCAGTAGAGTTGTCTCCACGTCGGGCGGGTATTGGTAGAGCGGAGCTTTCGTTATCGACATTGCCAGACAGAGGAGTCTTGAGACCAGAGAAAAAGGGTATGTCTATCAGGTCCTTCGGTGACTCGTAAGCTTTGGGTATGGCAGGCACAGGCGGAACCATCTCCTCATCATCACGTCTTTCTGCAGCGCTGTAAAGATTCCGGCTCTTAGGAGTGGGTAGTTTCGAAGTCGAAGAGCTTTGACCAATCTTCCCTTGACCAGCACTCGGAGCGCGGAGAGACTGGTAACTCGGTGTCCTCGACAGATTGAGGTTTGGCGGGGGTGCCATTCTGTTTGAAGCCTCGGGAGTCGCCCTGTTCGATAAAGGTGTCAAGGCGGGTCTACGGGGAGTGGCCGAGGGCGAGCGGGCGTGCGTGGATTCCTTTGACGGCGAAGGAGGGAGTTGCTTGGTTGACATCCTGCGAAGCCTACGAGCATCGGTAGGACTGATTGTTCTGGCTCCAAGGCCGCTCATCCTTCCTGACTTTCTCTTGTCTGAGGGTGTATCGGTCCTCGGGGTCTTAGATCTGTTGGTAACTTTGACATTGACGGAACGGCGTTGCTCGGGTTGTGGAAGATCGGTCAAGGTGGCAGATCGAGGCAGGGGCTGTAGTGACTTTGCTTTGGAGGAGCGAGTAGGAGCGGCAAAGGAGGTATCGATTGAGGAAGGCTGCGGCGTTCCGCCTTGTGTTTTGCGAACATTTGTCGGGATCGAAGGAGTGCGAGAGAGGTCAGATTGTGGTTTCTTGTCCAGCTGCGGCGCCATGGGTTTGCGTGTTACTCGTGCGGTGATTCCAGAGGCAGTTATGGCGGGGGCTCCAGGGCCTGACTGGCTTCCTCTTCTCGCGCGCACTGGCAAGACCGAAGTTGAGGCCGAGGTCTGCAGCTGGTTCGAAGCAGTGGCCGAGAGTTGGTTGAAATTGGGCACGGAAGATTCTCGCTGGGTGACAGTCATGGGTTGGGGCTTCGAATTTATTGAAGCCTTGATGCTCTGAGGGACGTTTCTCGCTTTGGACTTGGCCGAGTCGTACGAGGCAATGCTTGTCTGAAAGTCGTCAAAGTTGACAGGCGGAAGGAAGTCGAACGAGGGCGGCGTGGGCGAGTTTGCATTCTCGGGCTCGCCAAAGCTGAATCGACTGTCTTTGGAGCGTAGCTGCCGTGTTTGGATCTGTGTTGGCTGGACGGCCGAGGGCTGTGCCTGGTCCTGGAATTGGGAGTGGGACGATGGGGCCTGAAGCGGGACTTGAGGTTTGTCGAAGTTGGGCTCGCTCGAACTGTTCGGGAGGAAGTTGCGACGGGCAGCAGCTTCCCTGGCGGCGTTGCTGTCGCTGGCAATCCTGTTCTGCTTCAGTGCCAATCCTGTCATCATTGGCCAGACATCAAACCTCTTGCTCTTGTTCGGCGATTCGAAAGGCCGCGGTCCCAGCAGAGGCACTCTGTTCTCCTTCAGCGTCGACTTGCGCTGGTGCTGCGGTTGCTGTGGGCGACTGGCCGAGGCAGGGGCGGTGGGCTTGCGGAATGAAAACGAGTCATTGTCGGCGGCGAGCGACGTGCGCTGGTATTTTGTCCTGGCACGGCTCTCGGCTTGGAGGGAGACGGTCAGTAGAGTGCTTGCAGCTGCATCTTGTTGTTGTCAAGGCTCACTCTCAGCGCCCGACTCCTCGGAATCCTTGTTGGATCCCTCTCGAGTCTGCATGTCGACCAATTACTACGACACTGCTGCGAGCATTTCTGACCCGTAGGTCTTTGGNNTTTCAAGGCCTCCTGAATGTCGACTCTGGCTCAAAAAATCATGGCCGCTCTGCCGTGTGTCTTGTCGTCAACGAGTGTCAGGAGAGAGTGACTTCAGGCGGTCGGTCTGACGGACTTGCTTGGTGCGTGTCGAAGGGGCTTCAGACTCTGGCTAGCANNAATGTCCGACATACGACTTGGTCTCTTTAGATTGTTGTTGCTCCTCGCTCGCCCAAAGCAGAATAGTCTTCTTTTACGACCGAGCCTCAGGTAGCGGTCATTGCCCTGCTACCGGTGCCCCTCTGTTATTGGCCAAAGCGGCCCTACACACAAGCACAATAAGATTATGAGAAAGCATCAATTCTGCATGCTTGCTTTTTGCAAGAGATTGTTCATTTTGTTTCACGTCTGTTGGCACATGTCTTGACTGTTTATTCTACATGGGATGTACGTCTCTGCCGTGCGGACAACAGAGATGCATGTGGCAGGCCGGGTGTCCCTGAATGCCTTTTTTCCAGATCGTCCGCACGGGAAGGCTCGTGCATGCAGCAGGACGCGCGATCAGTGACAGCCACCAATCCACTCCGAACCACAACCTTCGTGCCCACTGACGACATTGTGCCTCGTCGACCCCTTCTGGAAGAACTTCGAATAGCTAGACACTACTCCTTGCCTGCTCCATAAACCAAAATGCCTCGCGATCCGCTTATCGCTCTCGTCGGCAAGCCGTCGTCTGGCAAGAGTACCACCTTGAACAGCTTGACGGATGCCACGTCCAAAGTAGGTGCGCCATCGACTTTTTTCTGTCCTCTTCAATCTCTTCTTCTTGTGCGATCCGTGTTGACCGCGTGGCTCANNGGCAACTTTCCGTATGCCCTCCTCCTGCCTCTACTACCTCCGCCGCATACCTGATCTCGCTTCAGATTCACTACCATCGACCCCAACCGAGCCGTAGGATACCTCCAAATCCCGTGCGCATGTTCAAGACCAGGAGTTCCAAACGTCGGCGACAAGCCCCTCGTTGAAAGATGCAAACCGAACTATGGCGTGTGTAACAATGGAACCCGCTCTGTACCCATCGAGCTACTCGACGTAGCTGGTCTGGTGCCTGGTGCGCACATGGGCAAGGGTCTTGGAAACCGCTTCTTGGATGATTTGAGACACGCCGACGCTCTCATTCACGTCGTCGATGTCAGCGGCACAACCGACGCTGAAGGCAAGGCGACAAGAGGGTATGACCCCAGTGTGGACATTGAGTGGTTGCGCTCCGAGATTGTTCGCTGGATTCAAGGCAACCTCATGGAAAAATGGTGCGTTCATGCACGGGGCTGCGACCAACCAAGCTGAAGCTAAATGCAAGCACAGGNNGGATCTGTCAAGAGAAGACACACGGCAATCAAGGGAAACGCAGTCGACACACTACAAGGCCAATTCTCGGGCTACGGATCCACAAAACAAATTATCGCTCGTACACTCGACAAGCTAGAACTGAAAGAGCCTTTGCAAGACTGGAGTGATGAGACGGTCGAAAAAGTAGTCAACGCCTTCGTGGACGAAAAGTTCCCTACAGTCATCGCCCTGAACAAGATCGATCATCCCGATGCCGACAAGAATGTCGCAAAGATTGCGAAGCTCAACGATCCAAACACACTCGTTCTCTGCTCGGCCATTAGCGAGGTCTTCTTGCGCCGCCTGGCAAAACAAGGCTTTGTCAAGTACCAAGAAGGCAGCGAGTTCGTCGACACAAAAGAAGATCTTCTCGAAAACGGTGAGCCTGATGGCGGTGGCTTGAAGGAGTTGGATGAAAAGTTGCAGAAGTGAGTATTGAAGTGTCTCATGGTCAAAACACTGGCTGACCACGTTTGACNNAGCCGCATCGAGAATTTGCGCGATCTGGTGCTCTACCGCTTTGGCAGCACTGGTGTAAATCAGGTCCTTACGCGTGCAGCAGAGCTCTTGGGACTCACACCCGTCTTCCCCGTCAGAAACATCTCGACATTTTCGTCTGGTGATGGACGTGAAGGCGGTGTGTTTAGAGATTGCGTTCTGGTCAAGAAGTATGTCCATTTCAAAACATCCCTTCCGGAAATGTAGACTAATATGTTTGGCAGGAACTCGACGGTTGGAGATGTATATCGCAAGATCATGGGCGATGCGCCATTAGCCTATGTGGAAACAGTAGGAGGACAGAGAGTGGCTGAAGATGATCCTGTGTCAGTAGGCAAGAACGACATTCTGTCGTTCAAGGTCGGAAGAGGTTGAAGCACCACACAGCATTTGATAGTGCTGCTGCAAAACAAAACATTTGTTATGAAGCACAAAGTTTGCCAAGAATTTGCATGTGAAAGGCACGAGACCGAGTGACGTCTGGCCAACCACGACTTCAATCAGGCCTAACAACTTCTTGTTGTGTGCACTCGACAAAGTTGCGACCGGAACGAGCCATGACACTCATGCCAGTAAATTGGAAAACGAATGAATGAATAAGGAAAGCGCATCATGGACGATCATGCAGGCGCATCGATAGTCAACCGTGACGACCCCATCCCCGTCATCCAGATCCCGTTCAACACCGATGATACGGCGCCGCCCGAAACGGAACAGCAAAAGCTAGGAAGGAGAGAGAGAATCAAGCAGGAGGCAGAGAGGTTAAAGGGCAAGTTTCAAGATGTTTCGACTCAGTACAAGACGACACAAGGGAGCGTGCAGGAGAGACTGTTCAATACACTGCTGGAGCAAGTCTTTCCACAAGACGCCGAAGACGATGGCACTCCCAAGAAGGACCGCCGCTCAAGGCAATACGTTGATAAACCACAGTTCAGTCTGCCTGTCATGTCGGCGAACTTCCGACGCTTCAATGCAAGGTCCGTCTGTGATTGTGACATGACTTGGTGTAGCTGCAACTGATCTCTTCCTTCANGAATAGGAATTGTCTTTGTCTTCCAGAACCAAATGATACGCCTCTTCACCTGGCGAGTACCGACACATACCATGTCTTTTCTGGCCGTCTATACCCTCGTGTGTCTGCAGCCCGCACTAGCTCCTGTCGTCCCATTGGCAGCCCTTTTATTCTTCGTCATGATACCCTCCTTCCTCACACGTCATCCTCCACCTCCTGTCGCAAACCCTTCATCTTCGGTGGACGCAGCAGCCGCCGAGCAATATGCAGCATACGGCTACTCAGGCCCAGCAGTAGCTCCTCCCCAGCGCGTCAAGCCTGCTCCAGAAATGAGCAAGGATTTCTTTCGCAACATGCGCGACCTACAAAACTGCATGGAAGATTTTAGCTGTGTCCACGACGGCGCAGTCGCAATCATTACTCCCTACACTGATTTTAGCAATGAGCGCTTGTCCTCGGCTGTATTCCTTTGCTTGACTGCTCTCGTGAGCATAGCCTTCCTAGCTGCACATCTGGTACCCTGGCGCGCAATCTTGCTGGTGGCAGGCTGGTCAGCCACAGCAGCAGGCCACCCCTACACCCAAGAACTCATCAGCAATGAAGGTTTCCTGGCCAATTTGCAAGTCATCTACGACCGCATCTGCGTGTTCGGCGCCGAATGGGTCGAATCCGACATCGTCCTCGACGAACCCGCTCAAGTCCGCGAAGTCGAGATTTTCGAGTTGCAAAGACTGCAAAAACACACTTTGGGCGATGAAGGAGCTGTGCTGCAAGGAGAATGGGAGCCTTGGTTGTTTACTCCTCAACCCTATGCTCCTACTTCTCCGTCCAGGATTGCTGGTGCAAGACCAGTAGGCACACAGTTTNTTGAGGATGTACAGCCGCCTGATGGATGGCTGTGGCGGGACAAAAAGTGGACATTGGATTTGGGGAGTAGGGAGTGGGTTGAAGAGCGCTGTGTTTCTGCTGTGGAGATCGAGACCGAAGGCGAAAGATGGGTGTATGATCTTGACACTGCTGACTCGAAGGCTAAATCTACCACTACTCTTTCCCCACCAAAAAGTTGGGAGGAAGGACCGGGTGTATCGGTCAAGGGCGAGTGGAGACGCAGACGTTGGGTCAGACTTGTCGAGCGCAAGATTGTCAAGGTCAGTCCTGATGAATGAGAAATACTACGTACACACAACACCTTTATTGCTTTTGTGTAGGAGAAAGGCTGATTGAGAGTGCTAGATGGTTGAAAAGCCTCCCAAACCTACAGTTCTAAATGCTCTTGACCCTGGCATGCTTAATCCCGGCGCTGTCAATCCTGCTTCAGTATTCTGAAACTCATGATTGAAAGTGTCATCATTGTAAAGACCGTAGGACAAAAGACGTGGCATCTAGAATCCTCACTCTCAGTGGATGCTGCTCCGTCTCGCAAAAGAACTGTGCATTTTTAGAGGTATACAAAATAGCTGTGTTTCGCTGTGGACAGATGAAGATGATGCTTTGTTTGTTGTGGTTTCCCTTATCGACACTCCTATGGCAACATGGGATAAGATGGTCAGCTGCAGAAATGCACAATGATATATAAATCGAAGCTTTATCCATGGAAACCATAGCGGAGCAAAGGTCTCTCAGTGGAAAACGTCCTATTCTGAAGACTTTTGTGTATTTGTATAATATTCCATAATCTGGAGCGACTGTTGATCCTCATCGTCCAAATCCCTCCTTTCATAGGCCATTGCATTATGAGCTGATGTCTCCAGCCTCAACTCTTGCCGTTGCCTCCTTTGCACTTGCTCTTGATGCCTTGTACTCGGCGTATTCTCTTTCGGAGCCTTCCAAGCTTCTCTCTTCCTCGCCTTTATATGCTGAGTAGCCTGCGTGGCTCCCGTCCGGAAAATAGGTCTGGAAGTAGTACTCGCTGCTGGTTCTCTCCTCAACGGCTCTGATTCTATCCTCATACGAGTCGTCCAAATCGTCATAGTCCCAACCATTGTCATCGAAGCCAGCGAGAACATCGAGTCCTGCATGGATTTGCTGCTGTCCATGCCAGAGTATTCCTGGAGGGTCATCGTAGTCTTTGTTTGTAACGCGCACATCATCCAAAACCAAGGTTTGTAGACGAAGTCTAAGACACTGCAGAATCGGTTCCAGGTTGTGGGCAGGGTCTTGATCACCCCAAGAGGCAACATCGATGAGCTCTATCACCTGTAGAGTTCCAGCGAGAGATTTGAGTACATCGGCAAAATCGTCAGACCACATAGAGCAGGACTCTATGCGTAGGTGGGTGAAAGGCGCAGAAGATAGCGCATCGATCATCGGTTCTCTCAGGGAATCCAAGTTGAAGCGAAGATACTCGGGTGCACTCAGCATTTGCTTGTCCACAGGTCGCTGTTTAAGCTCGAGGCGATTGCGGCTTGTCAAGATGCGAATATCCACACCTCCTCTCTGATGCAGAAATCAAAAGTTGTCTGTAGTCGACCGTGACCGTTCCACAGTAGCATTTCTGAGAAGGCATTTTCATTCCATCGTAATGCTCTTGACCAAGAAGGTCAAATTCGAGGAACTCAGGGCGGAGGTTGGCAGCTCTACAGGCTGACACGATGATTCTGAGGACGTGTTTCATCTTCACCAATTTTACGAAGGGCAGACCGCCGAACTCGTGAGAATAACTGTATCCATGCCACACTTTGTTACGAAACCCCCATTCTTCTCTTTCGTTAAAAAGCCCAACAAAGACGTTGGTGCCGTGCGACGAAAGGTTCGAAAAGGCGGCCTGCAACAGACGTGACAAGTCATCAGATTCGAGAAACTTGAGTCGTCTATCCCTACGTTCACGATACATCTGGAGTATGTGCATCGCTTCGGCGGGATTGGCAACCTTGTGTGAGCCGAGCGTATCCATCACGACGTCCAGTTCGTTCGTGAGGTTGTGAGTGCCGAATAAAATGCTTCTGATGCATGGTCCGATGATTGGGTGAGCAGTCATGTCAATCAGACCCTTCAAACTGTGCTCCGTGAACATGAAGCGACGGTGGGCGAGTCGTTTTTCACCGAAGTGCTGAGCCGATATGTTGGCCAAGGTCTTGCAAGTAAGGCGAAAGTTTGGCAGGTCTTCAGGCGCGACTTGGTTAGAGATCTTGACAAGGAGCTCGTCGGGCAGAGTCAATAACTTCTTGGCATATCTTCTGTGAGGAGCCAACTTGCGCGAAGGCAAATTAATAGGTGGCATGGTGGGTGGTGAGGTGATGGGAGCGGGTGTCGTGGTCGAGAGATGGAGTGATTGGCTCGTTGATGACATTTCGTGACACGGCGCGTAGACTGCAGGAGAAGGTGCGCGAGAGGGAAGGTTGTGGAAGCGACGGACCACTGGAACTGACACGACGGGAAGGTTTGCTGCGCGTGACCAAGTGAAAGGAGCTCTTAATGGTAAGAGAAGAAAGCAGTCTTGAACCAAGAGTTAGTGAAAGGATGAAGAAAAGTCGCCCCATCCACGGTCTAGTCAAGTGATGGTCTTGAAAGTGAGTGATCAAGATAGTAAATTGGCAAACACGGTATCTCGGGTTGCGGAAAGTGAAGGTGACAATGTGAGAAAATCTTCAAGGTGACGCTTCTCAGCATATGCTATCGCATTGCACAGTGTAGCAGCAGCCTGGAGCGATGTCCAAGGAGAACTGACAAAACTAAAGACTTCGGGAAATAGTGTCACTAACCTTTTGTTTCAAACAAAGGAGTAAGTCCACAAAGAGCCATTGTTGTCACCCTCTTTCTGTGGACACAGCCCTAGTCCTGTAAAGTATCGTGCATTTTCACAGCTTAGAATATTGCTCCATGCCGCCATGAGAGAAGTTGAGGCGACTCGCTATAGCACACAGTAAGCATCCCAGCAACGCTGCATGACCTTTGGTATGACTGTACAGTTTCACGGTAGTTTCAGAATTGGAGCAGAGTCCACTGAAGGTCGTTGATTCTCCAACTCTTTCTGGACTCAACTCCAATTTTGAAACAACTGTGCATTTTGATAGCATACTCTCGATAGTAGCGTTATGCGAAAGATGATTGCAAGAGTTGAGAAGTAAGGAGTCTCGTTCTAGACTGGTCTGATTAGACGATGGTCAAAAAGTCTCTGTGGATGATGCCCTTTCCCCATAAAGTATTGTGCATTTTCGTAGCTTACGATGTTGCTTCATGCCGTCTTGAGAGGTTGAAATGATTTGCTATGACATATGAAAATGGATTGACTACCTTATGATGTACGTACAGTCCTCATAGAGTCAGGCCACAAGATCAAGACTCTTTGGTATGGACTACGCATTTTACATCCTTCTCCTCTCGCTCAGTAACCCAAAAGCCATGGTACAAGGTCTAGTAGGTTATTAGAAATACGAGAGGAACCTTCTTCGAGGTTTCCTAGTGCTGCTTGGAGTAACGTAATCGGATTCGAAACAGCCATGAGATGATTGGCAAGAGAAAAGATAACATGACATATAGGTCTGTGTAGTTTCCCTCAAGAACCCTATACTGCGGTGTTGAGATGAAAGGACATCTCCACGAATATCTAGTCATGTCAGAGACAGGGTGTCAATCCTTTGCGGAGACATCCGTCGACAGGTGTCGAGACATCAGACAGAAAAAAAGAGCCTGGAAAGACAAAGGAGCGGCTTCGGCGCGACTTGCTCTTGACCCACAGCTCACAGCTCAACCCATTCCCAGTAACTGTTGATGAGCGTGTGAGGAGAAAGCTGGTGCCTGAGCGAGCATTCAAAATGGTTCGATTCTGTACATTGACGTGGCGTGCATGAGGCTGAGCGAAGACAGGAGGAATGCCCGAGAAGATGGCCTCATAAAAAGATGAACTGGTTGCACGTGACGAAGGAAAGCACGGCTGGCGCGGCTTCCGAGAGGGAAGTCGCGGAAATGAGCTTGGGTCCTTTTCTCGTTTCAGTTTCGCGTCTGAATCGAGACGCCATGGCACGAGTGGGGGCTTGACTCCTTGTGGCTTGGGACGCTGCGCCGTCGTCGAAATGGCCTGACTTTGTAGAGCGCATCCGTATCATCGCGCCAGGGTCCGCTGTCTATCGCTCTTTCCTCCCAACTCACGAATCGCCCTCCTTCCCCTCGCGACTGTTCAACACTTAGTTACGCCCATGGTCTAGAAGGATAACCGCACACCAAATGGACCAAACCACCGCCAGCTGGGACTTTGCACCCGCCGTGCCCGACAACCCCGATGAGTGGGAGGACTGGTTGCGCATGGACTTCGCCGACGACCCCATTTCGCCAAATAGTTCAACAAAGACGAGCAATAACTCGCCCATGCAAGACATCAGCTTCAATGCCGACCAATTTCCTCCTCTCAATGTCGACGAGACGCTTGCGCCGCCACTGATTGTTGGCGACGACGCCAACTTTGGTGACTTTTCCTTCGCCGACGCCGCTTTCGACTTTGGCCCAGCCCAGCCCAACACCAAGACCGACGACCTACCATTTCTCTTTGGCACCGAGTCCAGCAATCTGCAACCCATCGTAGACGACTTGCACACTGGTTCAAAAGAGGCTTCATCCTCATCCTCATCCTCGTCCCTATGGCCATCCATCGGCCAGAACATCAACGTACCACAGCAGAGCGAACTGCTCGCCCCTATAATCCTCGGTAGCAACGACTATCCCGCCTCTGCACCAGCATCCGTCTCGAGCACAAGTCAACACCGCGGTAGTCCTGCCTCCACATCACATGCCCGCACGAGCGTATCGTCGATATCACCTGCACCAGAGCAAGCGGAACAANCCTGTCAAAAGAAGGGTGGAAGGAAGCGAAAGGTGTCGAACAGCGATGAGGAACAACAGAGTCCAGAAGATGGAGGACCTCCGATCAAGAAGACGTCGCACAATGTCATCGAGAAGCGATACCGCAACAACTTGAATGACAAGATTGCCGAACTTCGTGACAGCGTGCCCAGTCTCAGGGCCATGTCGCGACCCAATGGCAACGACGATTCCGAGGATCTCGAGGGCCTGACACCGGCGCATAAGTTGAACAAGGCCACAGTCCTGGCCAAGGCTACCGAATACATCAAACACTTGGAAAAGAGAGCAAAGACACAGGCAGACGAGCTAACTCAACTCAAGACTCGCATGGCAAACATGGAGAAGGTCATGGCAAGGTCCGCTACTGCCAACCAGCATGCTGGTATCCTCACACCCGCCATTGCTCGCTCAAGGCAGGGCTCGATTGCCTCTCAAGCACCGAGACGTATCCAGCAAGACCAATACATGCAACAACATTCCCAACCCACCTACGAACCTCAAGAAACCCTTGTCGAGCCTGGACAGAACAACCTCGTCAACGCTCAGGGTGCAGGCAATGGCTTCGTCGGCAAACTCATGGTCGGCTCGTTGGCTGCTCTCATGGTTATGGAAGGCTTCCACGAGCAAGAACAAGATTCTCACTCCACATCCGGAAGAGGTCTGTTCGCTGCCCCTGTGCACCTGCTCACGCGTGGCCAATTCCTCAGATCTCCATCACATGCTGCCTATGGCTCGTCAGCCCAGGCTGCGCTTCCTCTACTCAAGACCTTCTTGGTCTTTGGTGCCTTCCTCTATATTCTCCTTCCTCTGCTTCGCTTCAAGCCACAACCAAAGCAGAAACACTCGATTCGTATCTGCCTCACCGCCGCCCCTTCTCTTGCTTCCCCGGTCGAGGTCCGCCGCAAGGCTTGGCTTACCGCTGTTCAAAGTGTTTGGATGCCACGTCACTTCTTGCTTGAAGTTGTTTCTGTGACATGCAAGATGATCATGCTTAGTCTGCGTCGTCTTGTCGGCTCTGAGTTTTACTCGCGCGTCTCTGGCAAGACTCCTGATGACGAGGCTGCTCGTATCAAAGCATGGGATATTGCCATCGATGCTCAACTTGCTGGTGGTGATGCCGAGGTCAGCTATTACCGCTTACTGCTTACTCTCATGGCCTCTGGTACTCTTCCAGACTCTCCCATCCGTCTCATGCAAAAGGCTGTCCACTTCCGTATCTTCTTCTGGGAAGTCGCCAATGCTGGTTATGGCAACATGTTCATGTTCAGAGACTTCACTGCCAAGGTGGGCAGGATCTACTGGGACTCTGCTCGTAAACAACAACACGCCCTTGCTGCCGGCGAGTACACTGAGAAGCAGATTGCCGATGACAAGATCGAGAAGTTGCCTGACTACCTTGCCGAGCTGATCGAGCTCGACTGTGACGATGTTCTGACCGACGAGATGATTCAACGTGCTTACAACCTCGCATGGAACAGACCCAGTGCTGAAAAGACCATCCCCAACCAGACCATGAACAGTGTGGTGGAAGACCACGCTATTCGATCCCCTCTTGACGCTGTTGCTGCTTGGTTTGCCAACATGACCGTCGACGCTGCACTTACTCGTGCTCTCGATAGCGATACCAAGACTGCGACCGATGTACAATATCTTATCGACTTGGCCAACAAGACTGCTCCTCCTGCGTCGGCGACTCAGACCCGCGCTCATGTGGCAAAGGCTGTCCTTCTTGACAGCGGCCGTGCAGCACACATCATTGCCGCTCTGGATACTCTACCAACGGTCACATCTAATGACGGCCTGGATATGCCCTCAAATATGATCACCCATACACCCATCTCCCCAGACACGCACAGCGCTCTTACCCTTGCGAAGATCCTCTCCATCGTCTCACCTACCAATCCTACCCCTGCGCGTGTGCATGCCGCCTCTGTACTGTCTTCAATGCACCTCATGCCCAACAGAATTACACTGCTTACCGCTGTCGCTGCTTACAAGGTTCTGTCAGCCTTCTCATCTGATGCCCTACTTTTCAACAGTGGCAAGCTCGGCTTAGATGATATGGCTGGCAACCTCAGAGTATGGATTGGTACTCGTGCTGCTAAGACTGCAGGTTTGACCAGAGAGCAGAAAGCTACGATCGTCGAGTCTTGTCTCGGTGTCAGCAAGCGCGTTGGCGGTTGGAAAGATGAAGAAGAGAAAGACAGCGGGTATGGCAGCCTAGAGGATGGTGAAAGGGAAGCTGCCGTCAAGGTGTAGATGAGTCGTTGAAGTTACTTTTGTGTTTAGGCGTTTCGAGATGAGGAAGGTGTCTCCCAGCAAGAGCTTGGTTGAAGACCCGGAGGATACAGGGCATAGAGACGGACATGGGGTATTGGGTTTCATGGAGGGTTGATGGTGTTCTTTGTCCCTCACTGTTTTTAGCGTTCTAATGTCTTTACGTTCATATGCATGGCCCAAGACGAAAGTAAACTTACTTCACGATCATCACATGTCCACCTCTCCATGTTGCTAGAAGTAGGCTGTACATTGATTGTGTTGGCTTTGAATGGTACAATAATCTCTGGTAAGGAGACGGTATCCGTGGAGATGCCGTATTTGAGCAGCCAAATCTCATTATTTACTTCCACGACTATGAGGATGACCAGGGAAGTGGTTGTGGTTGCTGGACGAATGAGCCTCGGCAAATCCACCAAGGTTGCGGAGATGACTTCACGCACACCTCGGGCTCTATTCAGCTTGACGACCATCTTGCCAACATGTAGCATCACCATCTCTGCAAAGAAACAGTCAATTGACCTTCAAGCATGCCTTCTCAACCGCCCAAAGTACTCCTCTTCGATATTGGCGGCGTCTGCGTAAGCTTTGGACATCACCATCTTCAACCACAAACTCAACAGCTCCTCTAGGTCGTGTCCCCCATGGCCGCCATCCTCGCCTACGAGCAGCAAAGCTCCATCCCCATCGGCTGGATCAACACCGCAATATCCGCCTCTGGCAAAACCGGCTCCTGGGCAAAACTCGAACGCGGACAAATAGCCCTCGACTCGTCCTTCTTCTCCGCCTTTACCTCCGACCTCTGCGACGAAAAGCTATGGCGAAGTTTCTACATCAAGTACCTGGAAAAAAGCAGAAAAGAAAGCACAGCACAAGCAGCAGAGGAGGCTGCCTTCAATGTCCCTGCTCCACCAAAAATCGATGGGGAAACACTGTATTGGGAAATGATGACGGTATCGAGGAAGCCTGATCCATACATGTGGCCAGCACTACAACAACTACGCAAACATGCAAAAGAAAAGGGATATATTCTTGCTGCATTGAGCAATACTTCTATTTTTCCTTCTGGGCATGAGTTTAACTCTTCTACTTCACCAGATGGAGTTTTTCATTCTCGGCTAAGGGGGCTCTTTGACCTGTTCGTTAGTTCGGCGCATGTGGGTATGAGGAAGCCTGATGAGGAGATTTATCATTATACAATAGATGCATTGGATAAGCTCGCTAGAAAAAGAGGGGATACAGATGGAGTTGCTGCGGGTGATATTGTGTTTTTCGACGATATAGGGACGAATTTGAGTACGGGCAGGAAAGTGGGTATGAGGACTGTCAAGGTGGAATTGGGGAGGGCGGATAAAGCTGTGGCAGAGTTGGAGAGGTTGACTGGCTTGACGTTGAAGGGCGAGTCTGCGAAACTGTAGTCGACTCCACTGGTGTCATAACTTCCTTCCTTTTCAAGCCCTACCCACTTCCACTTCAACCTCCGTATTACAACAAACCTGCCACAAAGGTATCTTCAGCTCCTTTAGCACGTTCTGCGGATGATATCTTGCAAACACAAGCAGAGTATGGTGATGCGACCTTTTCAGCTAGCCTGAATCTGTGACGACACCTGAATTGAAAAGGTGTGAGTTCGATTCTCACAAGGGGCGCTTGGATTCATTTTTTTTCTCTCCCTAATGGGCAGTACCTTGATAGTCTGGATGGCGTGGAAAAGAGTCTCCGTTCTACTAAGAAGGATAGTTTGATTATCTAGGTTCAAAGAGCGAGCACAATTTTTGTCATCTCTTTCCATGTGTCTTTAAAAAGACTGTCAGATGCGTGAACATAGCGTTCTCTTCGTGGACACCTTGTTATGGAAAGTATTTATTGTATTGCTACGACTACACTATGACTGTCTATTGCATAGGAATAGGATATATGAGAGCTTTGGACGGGCTTGAATAGTGCTTTTGGTCTTTTCTACCTAATATAACCTTTGAGGTTGCATCTTCTTTGAACGACTCGACTGATAGAAATTGACAAGCTTCGCACAGTATGCCAACATGTCATGAACGAACAATCAGCAATTAAATCCTCGTGACCTGACTGGCTAGCTGGGGAAGTCATCTTTCTGAACGCCGACTGGTCGAGCTAGATGGAACGAGCTTGAGCCATCAGACGCTCGAATTCCGGTCCATCAGGTATACCTGATATGGCAAGCTTGCGAACAGCTGAAGCTCTGGTACTGAAGATCTGCTCCTGCGCTCTTGCCGTGTCCAGCCAAGTCTTGGCAGAGTCAGGATGCTTTCGAGCCATTTCTCTGCGCTTCTCTGCCTCTNNGCTGATACGCTAGCCACACTGGTCGAGCTTAACATCGATTGGAGGCACAGACACGTTGAACTTGTGGGAGATGCGGGAGAGGTCGGGGCCAGAGAAGTCTTCAAAGATGCGGAAGTTAGAGACAGGGGTCTTCAGAGCACAGAAGGCATCGGCAATGTTGGCGCTGTGAAGGTAGAGCTGCTTCATCTCGGTGTGGTTGAGGGAACGCATCTTGTTGGTACGGGGATCCATGACCCAGATGACGCGAGCCTCCATGTGGGTAGCCAAACCATCAGCATCAATACGAAGGTCTTCAACCTCGCCCAGAAAGCATGACGTATAGCGGACAGTCAAGGAGTTGAGACTACCGTCAAAGTAGTTTAGGGAAGCGACAATGTCGTGCAGCTGGCGCTTAATAGTGTTGACGCAAGCTTGAAAGCCTGTCTCGCCAGGGTGGTGCTTTGTGGTGACGATATCAATGTGCAGCTTCTTGGCTCTCTGAGCGAAGGGNGCAACGTATTCGCTCAGAGAGCCAAGACGATTGGGCGTGTCGAAAAGGTGGCCTTCCTGGACACGAATGAGGAAGGTGTTCTTTGGTCAGTGGGTCTCCTTGAGTTCGTTNGAAATCTGTTTGTTTGCAAGAAACAGGCCGCGGGCATTGATGATGGGTTTGAAGCCGTAGATGGGGACATTGTGTTTCATGAAGAGGCTGATTCCAGGNGAAACCATACGGTGGCGTTCGAGCGCATCCAGGTAGTCTCTGCGTCTGTTGCGGATGTCGGGTTGACTGTCGAGAGCAGAGAGCTCGTCGTACTCAGCCTGCTCAGGGGGAAAAACTTTGCCAACGACAACCATTTCGTAGATCTGTATCAGTGTCAGCAGGGATCAATCCAGTAACTATCAAAGACCGCTTGCCTTGTCGCGCACTTCGCGAGGTAATCTCATGAGGTCAAAGATCCCAGATCTCAATGGTGGAAAAGCATCCGATCCGTTACAGGTGAGCTTGTGCCTCTTCCAGTGCGCCTTCTGGCAAGCCTTGCTGCAGTAGTAAGTTGTCCTGCAACTGCCGCAACAATGAGTGCCCACATTACGGCATCCGCCTGACACACAGCTGTACACTGTCATGGCTGACGTGGGCGGAAGGAGCGATGTGTTGCCTAACAGAATGTGAGAGCTTGAGTGTCAACAAAAACGAGAGGAGTTAGGTGGAGCACAACAAAAGGGGGTCTACTCGTGTTGAAGGCCAGCGTATGATTCTGTTTGCTGCAAACGAGCAAAGATGGAACATGATGCATCTACTGCATCCGAACGGGAACGTACATGAAATACTGCAGCTTCCCGTTCAATTTTTGACGTGTTCCTACTGGTGTGTTAACCTCATTTCCCAGCATCCAGCGGCCATGTAGAGAGATAAGTCTAAAGACGGCTGATAAGATGACGGCTCTGAGTGGATGCGGTCCTGTTCTTGTGATCATCGTATATTTTTGTAGCTACACCAAACTAGAAATGGTATCGATGGAATGTTCACTCTCGTGGCGAAGACCAACTTGCTTGTTCCAGCCTTCTTCTTCCACTGTCAGTATCCGCGCGATATGCAGGTAAGCTAAACAGTGAACCTCCATCTAACATCGTCATCACCTTCTACACCTCTTTCTTGCTTCTGTTGCTGTACTTCTTGCACTTCCAATCTATCTCTTCTCTTGTTTTCTCTGTTCAGAGTCCACCAGGTCAACCCAGCGACACAGATATTCAGGCACAAATATCCAAGCGCGAATGCATGTCCCAAGACATATCTTGGCGCAGTTTCTGTCCTGTACAATTGTGTACCTAATATAGCTCCCAGATTACCAATAGTGATCTGCATACCCGTGGCCGTAGCTCGTTTTGTCTGTCCTGATACATTGATGGCTGGAAGCGACAGTGCCAAAGCTGTAGAGGGGTAGATGCCTGCTGCGGCGAAAAAGGTGCCGACGTAACTGACTGCAGGGTGGCGGGTGGGATGCTTGTTGGAAAGCAGGATTATGTAGCCGATTATGCCGGTGAGGGACGAAGTCATGATGAAGACGTTTCTGCGGCAGAACTTCTCGGCAGTTATAGCATATATGACTGTGAGTGTGGTTGCCAGAGCGTATGGCGGTATACTGAGGAGTTGGGCGGAAGAGGCTGTGTAGCCTAGACTCTTGATGATTGAAGGCTGTTGGTATCTCGTTAGCTCCTGCCACTTTTCTAACTTATTTTGGATCCGTATACAAGAACTTACTAGGAACAGAGAGAGTGTGTATAGTGGCAGACTCAGGGTGTGGAAGTGCGCACAGTATAACCAGACCTTGGGATCTTTGAAAGCTTTCCAAACTTCTGACCATTGAAACTCTTCGGTGTTGGAGGCATCGCTATCAGCCTTGAGACGCGCAGTCACGAAGGCTTTCTCATCTGGAGCAAGGAAAGTGCTCTTCTGAGGCCAGTCGACAACGAACCAATAGGCCGCTATTCCTATGAGCACAGTAGCTATACCTTCCTGTGATTACAGTCAGCAAGATCGTATGCATGACATGATAGCTCCAGTCACTTTCGCCTTCCTCATGGAAGAGTCATGGTCGACGAGTAAGCCTTATATGAGTACCTATACAAATGCACAGTGGTATCTAGATCGAAGCTGGATCCGAAGAGAGTCGATAATCCGACAGCTCTCAGTGGATAACTCCCTGCCTCTCGAGAAGACTGTGCATCTTGATAGCCACGTATTGGGCGGACTTGTGTAGGGGAGGGGATATGCTTACAATAACAAAGATCCACGCCCAACCATTGAGACCTGCTACACCCTTCATAAAGCCAATGCCCTGGTCTATGTCAGTAAAGCTGCAGTAGAATCCTAAGGGCGAACAACTCACATATGCCAGGATGCCACCAAAAGCGCCTGCTAAACTCGCGGCAGAGAAGAATAATGCCACCCTATAAGTCCTCTCTTCTCTCTTGTACCACATTGAAAGATAGAACACCACCTAGACACACCATCTCATTAGCAATGCTTTCCTTCAAAAATCGTTCCTGATTCTTACACCTGGGAACAGGGCGCCCTCAGCAACACCCAAGGCAGTTCTGATCACGAAAAATCCCACTTTATTCACCAAGACGCCCTGGAGAGTCGTCACGATACCCCAGACAACGGTCACGCCAGGCAACCATATTCTAGGTCCAATCCTCTTGAGTATCAAATTCCACACCACCTCCAACGAGATGTATCCGATAAAGAACACGGTGAGACCAGTAAGGTACTCATTGCCGGTCATGTGAAGATCAGTGACCAGGCCATCCAGACGGGCATTGGCGACATTGCTGCGATCGAGGAAGGAGACGAGATATAAGAGGGAGATTCCAGGAAGCAGTCTCCAATCGAGTTTACGTAGGAGAGACTTTTCGTTTATGTGGGTGAAGTCGGCCGAGGAGATAGAAGAAGCCGGTTGAGGAGACTCGTTCTCGTGGTTTATATGCTTCTCTACGTCCGCCATTGTTACTGCTCGAGAGCCGTCTCAATACAGCAAGAACCCTTTGAGAAAGGAAGTGGAAGGATGCAAATTCGAAAGGAACCACCAGGATTACAGCACTGATATGTACGAGCTCCCCACCTACCTCAAACGGCCTGGGTTCTTCCAGGATGCTTCTTGTGATTGTGCGCGAAAAGTATATCTTCTGACGTCTTCCAAGCCACAATGTCCATCATTTCACCATGCACATGGAAATGGTGCCCTTCATATTGAACGTATTCTGGGAGGTCTTGACTAGATTGGCCAATTGGCGTGGGCTATCGTGGCGGACGCATTGCGTGCACGGATTGCAGCTCTTGCATCTTCGAGGCTTGCGATGTCGTGATTTTGGAAGGCTCGCTGATCACGTACTCTTCCAACATCGAACACGCGCTTCGAACTTCAAAGAGATCCGGACGACGTGGGGGAACCAGGCACATAAAATATGAGCGGCACTTGTAAACAGAAGACTACAAGATGAAGTTGGATAGATATTTGAGAGAAAGGGGAGGTATCGCTGTTGCTCGTGGTTGAGCTATCAACGTCCAAGCTTTGTGCTGAGTTATGACGCTCTAGCTCTGCATAACTATGCACCATCCCTTGCGCTCAACACTGTCATAATCTTATGGTAGGCAAGATAAGTGTGTGTTTTTCTGGATTTCTGTCATATGGTATAGACGAGGGACTAACTCTACGAGGGAGTTCGTTCTCTGTCGTCTCTGGAATCTGCCTTCGGCAAAGGTTTGTGACTCTCCTTCAACGTCACAGGGCGATGGTTCAACTATAGAATCACGCAATCATTTTCGATCTCGGGGATATGACCAAAGAGAGTTGATGAGCTGTCACTCTTCGATAGATACTGTACTATCTCTGGACACGATCGTGTATTGTTATAGCCATCAGCATTACATGCCTTTGCCCATGGGGGTGGAACCAAAGACGTTTTGTGGCCAGCAATAGTCAAGTCGGCTTGTTGAAGGCCTGACCCTGCACTCTGAACAAATCATGCACCAGCGTTGTACCTACATGGTGAGCCAACCTATCTGCAGAGTACTAACCTGGACTTTGGTATATATGCACAGCTCACATGTTGTTTTATAGCCTTTTGGTAGGCGAGTGGGGATGACGGTCATTCTCAAGCAGTTAACATTTATCCATCATCCCGGTACAGGATGGTAGGTATGGGGATAGTCATGCAGTCATCTCTGCCAGCCATCTGTAGAAACGCCCATGATGAGATGGCTGTGCATCTACATAGCTTACAATATTGCTCACTGTAGCTGTGAGAGGAAGTAATTGCCCATGTTAGACGTGGATGAATGCTATGCAAGACCGAGGTGTGAGAAGTGGAAGCTCAATGGCATGGTCCAAGCGCCCCGACCAACGTCGTCTTTTGCACGGTCGTGGTGAAAGTGCGAGCGAGAGCTGCCAACATCATCGTTTCCCCTCCATCCGATTTCCCATCAGCACCCTTTCTGCTGCGCCGTCTACGCGCACGCCACTAGCTGCTGGTCCTCAAACTGCTCGCCGACAGCTTGCGCATGTTTGTCGCGTAATTGTACATCGCCCAGCGACTTTTCGCGCCTTACGACCAGTCTTGCACTTCGAGTCTGTTTCGCGTCGACAGCGACTTTGACCCTATCGACGCCTACCTCTCGCCCTCTCCCATCTTTCCACCTCACTACAGCTGAGGCCATCATCAATCACATCTTCTACCGCATCAACACATCATCATGTCGTTCGGCGGCGGCTTCGGCGGCTTCGGCTCGACCAACCAAAACACGAACTCAGGTTTTGGTGCTTCGGCATTTGGAGCAAGTACAACAAACACTGGTAAGTCAAGAGCTGTCCCCGTTCTCTTTCCTACAACCGCCGGCACACGCGACCTGTCGCAACCCTCGACCTCCAGCCGGACAAGCACGCGCGCATGACTTCACGGCCAGCGCTGACCATCGTCTTTTCAAACCAGGCTTTGGACAATCGACCGGCACTGGATTTGGCCAGCAGCCTGCCGCGGGCTCGAGCTTATTTGGAGCTTCTACCAATACTGGAGGCGGCTTTGGGGTATGTTTCGTACACCGTTTCCCTCCACTGCACTCTACTACCTCGCTCTCTGCAACTGCATCGAGTCACTCTTTTCCTTTTCCTTGCGCGCTTACTGATTAATGTGGCTCCTAGGTTTCGGTGCGTCCAATAACGCAAATTCTACCTCAACACCCTTCGGTGCTGCAAACAAGCCTGCCTTTGGCGCTCCCGCTCCTGCGACGGGAGGAGGTCTCTTTGGTGGCGGTGCCTCATCGGGGGCTTTGGAGCAAACACAGCCGCTACATCATCGCCATTTGGGGGCGCAGGAACTGCCAACCCGGGTGGATTTGGAAATGCAAACGCCGGCGGCAACAACTTATTTGGTGCGGCTAAGCCTGCAACCACGGGCTTTGGCGGCGGCTTTGGCGGTGCAGCCACCACACAACAACCATCCAACGCCTTTGGCGCATCCTCCACAGGCTTTGGCGCAGCTGCCCAGCCCACAAATAACGGCACAGGTTCTACGCCTTTCAGCGCCTTTGTTGAAAGGACAACGCGGCCAACACCAACAGCCACTACCAGTCCATCACCTTCATGCAGCCTTACCAAGCCTTCTCTTTTGAAGAATTGAGATTGGCTGATTACACAGCTGGTCGCAAGTCTGGCAATGCCAATGGCCAGGCTGGCGCGTTTGGTCAGTCGACGGGCTTCGGCAGCGGCTTCGGGTCGAACAATGCATCTGCTCCTACCTCGGGCTTTGGTGCTCCTCAGGCCACCAACACTGGAGGGGGCATGTTTGGAGCTCAGTCCAGCGCGCCCTCGACAGGTGCGTTTGGGGCGCCAGCTGCAAACACTAACACTACCTCGGGCTTCGGAGCGAGCGGTGGACTCTTCGGTCAGAACAAGCCTGCTTCCGGAGGGCTGTTTGGAAGCACACCTGCGTCGACTGGCACTACGGGAGGAGGCCTGTTTGGAACATCCAACAACAACACCACAACCCCGCAACTGGGTTTGGAGGGTTTGGGTCGGCCAACACACAGCAGCAGCCAGCTCAGGCCAACTCTGGTGGACTCTTTGGTGCCAACGCCAACAACACCCAGAACAAGCCCGCCTTCGGCGGATTCGGTAGCACCCCTGCCGCTTCCACCCCATTCGGAGGATCTTCAACTGGCGGCTTCGGCCAACCTGCAAACACAAACACTACTAGCGGCACTGGCATGTTTGGACAAGGCACCGCTAACACCGCTAGCCCCTTCGGTGGAGCCCAGCAAAACAACGCTCCTGCTGCCAACTCGAACAATCTTTTTGGGGGCGGCAATGCATTTGGCACTCAGAATCAACAGCAACAGAACCAGACCGGCACTTCTGGCAATCTCTTTGGGGGCAGTGGCGGCGCATTCGGAAACAACCAGCAGAAGCCCAGTCCATTTGGAGGTGCCGCTACTGGCACATCCGGAGGGCTCTTCGGAGGGTCTCAGCCACAGCAGAACAATACTGGTGGAGGTCTTTTCAGCCAGGCAAACAACAACAACCAAGCTCCGACTGGCGGACTCTTCGGAGCTCCCAAGCCTGCAACCGGAGGCGGCCTTTTGGAGGGTCGCAGCCTCAGCAGAACAACACTGGTGGAGGCTTATTCGGAGGAGCTGCTCCATCTCAGCAGAACAGTGGTGGGGGCTTATTTGGAGGTCAAAACAACCAACAGAAGCCCACATCTCTTTTCGGAGGTCAAGCTAGTGGTGCACAGGGCTCGTTGTTCGGTGGAAACCAGAACCAGCAACAGAATGCGGGCGGCAGCTTGTTTGGAGGCAGCACTCAGCAGTCTGGTCAGTCGAACGGTTTGTTTGGCCAGAGTAACCAGCAACAATCTAGCTTTGCTGCTACTTTGCTGACCAACCCTTACGGCAACGACCAGCTGTTCAGCAATCTCGGCAACCCCGCTCCCGCTGTTGGGCCCATCGCTACACCTCTCTCAGGAGCGCAGAAGCCGGCTAAGCGCCCTGCCGCCCTCCACAGTTCAAGATCAACCCCAGCGCCAGCTTGCGTCTCATCACTCCTCAGAAGCGCTCCAACGGCTACGGATTCTCGTATGCTACTTACGGCACCCCTGGCAGCGCACAAAGCTTCACGTCTAACGGCCTCGGAAGCAGCTTGTTGCAGTCAGGTGGCTTGAGTCGCTCTTTAGGCAAGAGTTTCTCTACCAGCAACCTCAACAAGAGCGTTGGTAGTGGCGACAGCGTCCTTGCCCCTGGAGCCTTCACGCCCAACAACAGATCATACACTGGCGGCAGCATTCGTAGACTGAAGATCGACCGTAACTTGAGAACTGACCTGTTTGGTGACAATACCCCGGTTGAGCCCCCACTAAGCGCGTCAGCTTCGACGAAGGCGACAAGGCCAAGACTTCGACAAACGGCTATGCTGAGACTCCTGCCAGCAGCGCTCTCGTCCGCACCGAAACTGATCCTGAGCCATCTTCCGAAGATCTTGGCTACTCCCGTGCTGAGCGTCCCACAACCAACGGCGTGTCAGTGAACGGTACTTCTTCCACCAACCAAGCTAGAGGTAACGAACTCGCAATGGTGCCTGAAGATGGCCCTGCTCCCGCATCCTCCACCAAGTCTGTTTCTGCAAAGGACTTGCCACGCTCGCAGGCTGACCCTCAACCTGGAGACTACTGGATGACTCCATCTATGGATGACCTTCGCAACATGTCTCGCCAGCAGCTCAAGAGAGTCACTGGCTTCACCGTTGGCCGCCGAGATGTCGGCAAGATTGAGTTCGATCCTGTTGATCTCACCCAGGTCAACTTGGACGAAATCATTGATGATATCGTCAAGCTCAACTTGCGCCAAGTGACTGTCTACACAACCGGCGTCAACACTCCTCCTATGGGCCAAGGACTCAATGTACCCTCAACTATCACTCTTGAGAACTCATGGCCCCGCGCTCAGGCTGGACGTCTTCCCGTCCACGAGCGTAAAGGTCAACGTTATGAGAAGCACATCGAACGTCTCCAACGTGTTCAGGACACTGAGTTCATCAGCTACGATCCTGTCACCGGCTCCTGGGTGTTCCGCGTTCCTCACTTCACCACCTATGGACTCGATGATGACGATGAGTCGGACGACGAAGCTGAATATAGCAATGATGTGATGAACACCAGCCAAGACCCTACCCCCAAGGGCAACAACACTGCTGTTCAAGAGATGTCTCAGGCCTCTTCCGAGGAGGGTTCCGTCATTAGCGATGAAGATGATGAATCCAACCCTGATGACACCTTCGATTTCAAGAAAGGTCCGTCAAAAATCCTGCCTGGCAGCTTCGGTGCTCAGCCAATTCACAATGATGACGAAATGGCTGACGACAACGATGCTCAGGATCAGGAAGAGGATTCTTCCTATCTTGAACAGCAAGGCACACACTTGCATGAAGACCTGTTCAGGTCTTCCGGCAGCAGCAACGCACCTCCCGCTGAAGCTGTCGATGAACAAATGGAGGAGGGGACGGATTACGAGGAGATGGACGAGCAGGACATGGCAGGATCATTCCCGAGACCTGCACCTGCTGCTCAAGCTCCGTACAACGACTATGGTATTTCTTTCAGTGGATCTCTTATGCCGAAATCAATTCTCAAAGCATCAACTATGTTGACTGGCACACCGAAGAAGGACCTCACACTTGCAGGGGACTGGGCAGAACAACTACAGAGAACCGCTAGCCCTAAGAAGCAAGACCGTCAGGCTCTTCGTGAGCGTCAAAGTGTCATGGGTGCAGCGCCTGTTGATACCGCACCACCACTGGCCGCGTCTATTGCTGGCAAGGCTTTCTCTACGACTATGGATATTATGAACTCTCTGTGGGCGCCTTCGGCTTCTGTTGCAGGTCATGCGATGCAAACAAGTACTGCTGGAAAAGGTTTTGAGGTTTGACTCCCCCATTCTTCTGTTGGTTCTTCTTCGACAATGCCTGCTTGTAACTATTCTTGATTCGTGCTCAGTCACGGCGGCTTGTCTACTGTTGATGTCGATACCTTCCATATGTAATAGTGAACGAATGCTAAGATATTTCTCTTGTTTAGTGGCCCTACCAGAAGCAGTCGAGAACCGAAGATGCCTTTGCCGACATGAACGAGACTGAACGCGGCTTCCACACATCCTTCAAATCACGTTGGGCTACAGACGGCACCCTTGTCTACAGTACCACCAACAACGCTCCTGCACTGTCTGGCAACATGGTCGGTTCCAAGAAGCCCCTGGTGTCAGAACATAGAGACGTCCGCTTCGCCAAGTTCAGTGCTCCTCAAGACACACTTACCACATCACTACAACTACAACTTCAACAATCGCCCATCACCTCCGCCGAGACCTCTTTCGCCGCTATCGCAGAGAGCCTTGCGCATCCGGAATCTCCTGAAGCTCAACATGAACGTTCTGTCTGGCATCTGGCCTCTATCCTGTTTGATCCCGTCGAGACAGCATGTGCGGATCTGGTCAAGAACATTCCCACCGCCCAGGTTGCTGAGCTGGAGTCGCGCATTCGTCGTGATGCATTGTCAAACTTCTGGGCTCAACTTGTTCATGCAGATGCCGCACAGCATGCCAAGGATGCGGGTACAGCAGAGGAGAAGGCAATTGCGTTCCTCAGTGGTAACAGCATTGAAAATGCTTGTTCAGCACTTCTTGAGGGTCGTGACTTCCGTCTTGTAACCATTGTTGCCCAACTTCCTGGCAATGCCAAGTCGAAGGAAATGATGGCCAAGCAGATTGAGAGCTGGAGGTCACAGAACATGATTTCTGAGATGACTGAATCAGTGCGCGCCTTGTATGAGATTGTTGCTGGCAACCCGTGCACCAGTGAAGGAAAGAGCGGTCCAGCTGAAGACAAAGCCTCGACTTTCGGCATTTCATCGCGCTTTGGCCTCGACTGGCGTCGCTCATTTGGATTGCGCCTTTGGTTCTCTGGCGCTAACGAGTCGCTTGCAGATGCTGTGCAGCTGTACACTGACGATGTCGCTGCAGGCAAGGAAACTGTTCGTCCCGTACCTTACTTTACTGAGCAGTCTCTCGCACCTTCCTGGATTGATACCAATGCACAAGGCAATGAGGACACCTTGCTCGGCCTGCTGAAGCTTTACTCGAGACAGCCTTCCTCAGATGTTGGCGACGTTCGTTTCCTTGTTACCAACCTTCTCTCTCCAGCATCTGTCTCTGGAAGTCCACTCAACGCTCGTCTCTCGTGGCAACTGGCTACACTTCTCCAAAAGAAGGGCATCCTCACGACTGCTGAGTTGAGCGACGCTTCATTGGATCAGCTGTCTTTGACCCTATCCAGTCAACTTGAGGCCGCCGATGAGCTCGTCTTTGCTACCAACGTCTTGCTTCATCTGACCAGCGAGTCGGCTCGGGAGAAGCATATCCGCGACCTTCTCTACCGTCGCGCATCCGCACTCTACGATGCCGGTAACCCAGATGCCCTTCCCACTGTCTTGACCCAAGACTTTGGCTTGCCCGAACAATGGCTCTGGCACGCTCGCGCACTCTACGCACGCTCCATGCTCGACGACCACAACGCCGAAGTTAGCTACCTGCTCCGCGCTGGCGATTCAGCACAAGCCCATACAGTGCTCTGCCGTACTGTAGGTCCCACAGCCGTCATTCAACGCGACCACGACGGCCTCCGCAAGCTCCTCGCCCTCTTCCGGTCCACGCTCTCCACAGACTCGCTCGAGAACTGGCGCTCAGGCGGGCAAGTCTACTCAGACTACACAGCTCTCCTCGACCTTGTGCACCGCGACGACGACGCTAGCCGCGCCACCAAGAAAGACTTGCTGGAACGCTTGACTGTCGCTCTGCCCGGTGTCCTCGAAGGCCGCGCAGGCAAAGTCGACCTCGAAGAGCGTGTTGCCGTTGGCGAAATGGCTGGCTTAGTCAAAGCTGAAGTTGAGAAGATGGGTAGAGAAGACAAGGGCGTGGATAGAAGTCTCGTCAACAGGTTGCCTGTTGCTGGTGCCAAGTACGCTACCCAAGGTGTTGATCTCAGCAGAGCTTATTACAGGGCTGTTGTTGCTTGAGAGGAAAGAGAAGGGTTCAAAGAGAGGGAAATAAGTCCCATGCATTGTTTTCTGTCGTCTCAGTTGTTGTTTATGAAGGATTGATGGAAAGCAAAGAGGAAAACGTGAAAGGAAAGAACCGTAGAAGTTGAGGGGTTGTACGATAAGGAAAGGGATTAGTAGTTATACAGAGGATCAAAAACCAAAGCGTTTTCAATAGGCATGTTCCAGATATCATGTGGAAGGTGCTTGCTTCTTTGTGCGTGAGACGTGCGTGCTTTTCTCTCCAGTAACTGTGGCATGCTGTGATTTTTGTTTACCGAAGACAATGTGACACAGGCGAAGGGTTTATAAGAGTCTTTTTGGACGAGACGATAGCAATTTCGCTCTCATCGAAGAGCTAGGGTATACCATAACCACGCATCTACACGGCAAGTCTCACAGACAGAAACTCCTTGGCTTCATCCTCTCCAACTCCACTGGCTCCACTCTCCTTGCTCTGAATCAAGCCCATACGGTTCGCTCTGATCATGAACCACATATCTCTTCTATCGCCATTGAGCTCTTCTTTCAAGATTTCAACCTTGAGTTTCTTCATCCACTCGTTGTACAATGCCGGAACCTCCAGATCAGTAGCTTCTTCGCGCATGACTCTGGTGGCCTCCAGTGCGCGACCGTAGCCAGATTCGCCGACGGAGTTTCTGATGTAATCGCGGATAATCTTGCCGAGTTGTTGGAAGGCCGACTCTACTTCTTCGTGGTTGCCTCTGTCCAGTACTTGTCTGAATTCTGGTACGGCGTTTTGGGGTGAGATTTTGAGGGTGCCGCCTTGGGCTGAGAGGAGAGCGGTAACGTCGAGTCCGGACAACGGCTTTTGAACATCGCGGCGTCCTTTTCTTGATTTTGACTTTGGTGGTACTGTAGATGATCAATACAGGTTCGGCAGTAGTAAGATGTAGTCTACACCTACCTTTNNCTTTACTTCTGCCGCCGTTGTAATTGCCTTCAAGGCAGTCTTTGCACCATCAATCAGCTCCTGTGGTGGATTGGAGTACTTGATCAGGATCTCCGGAATTGGAGGCAGCTTTTCGTCTGGGTAGATTGCTCGACTCCTGATTACCTGGCTGATGCGGTGCAGAGCTGGTGAGAAGGTATCTTCGATGGGAGCATACTCAGCAGCATTACTATGGAAGGTCAGTAGGCGAATCATGGGGAGAAGCAGAGATCACGAACCCNNTTCCTCATCCGCGCCGAATCCGGACAGGTCCATGGCGTCCACGTAGTCGCTCATGGCATCCATCAAGTCATCGTTAGGAAGAAATCTGTGTTGCTTGAGTTCCCTTCCGGAAACAGTGACGATTTTGTCCAGGGCAGGGAACCTGTAAGAGCGCAAGTCTTCTGCAAAGGGCAGCTCGACTTCAAAGAGGCACTCGGCATCAGCATTGACGGATGGCGCCAGCAGAACCATAGTAGGACTCTTGCCATCCTTGGGTACCAAGCGCGCGACAGCATATGTGTCGAGCTCATATAGAGCACGGATGAACGATGATAGAGCCATGATAGCCTTCTCGTTCGTTCTTTGAGCAATGATGACATGAGTCTTTGACATGTCTAGGTATCTCTCATACTGNTTTTGTGATTAGCCACAGATACCGAGTCGAGCAATGTTGTGTCTTACCCGGTCTTTGACGACAAAGCCAATGATATCCATGCCTTGTTTGCTTTCAAAGTCGGTCACGTTCTTGTCAGCCTCCTCAATTGGCACCACGGTGCTTCCGTAATTGAAACCTCTCGACAACTCTTCTTGCTCGACCTCGCGTTTACCACCTGGTGCCTCTTCATCAGGGACTTGGTAAGTGCGGGCATTCTTGACGGCGGCTAGGCCGTTCGGTTTTGACTCTTCATCTGGCGATGCGAATTGTGATTGTGTTTCTCCTGGAGCCATGTTCGTTCTGACGACAAATTGGCTCGCGGACGGTGCTTTCGCAACCATGACCCGAGGGTATCGCTCGACATCGATGGCCATAGCCGTGTCGTAATTGTCCGGATCACCCAGAGTCAGATAACCTCTGAATGAGTGTACGGGTCGTACTGTCTTCATGCGCGGAATTACCATCTCGTCGATAGCGAAGCCAAGTGTGCCGTACAAGCCATTGCACTCCTCGACCAGGTTCTTGAACACTCCTTCGTTTTGGGCNCTGATCCTGTTAGTGCAAGTGCAGCTTCAAGGGCACTCACGACATACCTTGGTGGGGTCCTTGTTCTCTTCCTTGACACCGTATTCTGGATCGTCAAAGTCGACTCCNACTGAGAACATGTCAGCATCATATACCGTAGAGCGCAAGGACTGTGCTTACAGAATGACCAGTTCAATCCCATCCTCCTTGCACTTGTTGATGATGGCATCAAGACCATCGGCATCTACACTACCGTTGCCGTTGGTGACCAGGATGATTCTGCGTGTGTAGGCCAGTTTNTTGGTGACAGTTTCAATCATGTGAATCGCCACAACCAATGCAGAAATAGCTGCTCAAGTCAACATTATGAAGCAAATTCACAGTGTCGAAAACATACCATCGCCCACATCAGTGTTGCTAGGCACAAGTTGCTGTTTGAGCCGGCGTACGTCCGGCATCAACGCTCTATGCGACACGATCAGTATAGCTTTGCAAAGACTTGAGGACATTGCTTACTGTCCAAGCTCTTTGAAGACGGTGATGTGTTGATATGCATCTTCGTCGGGGTTGTCGAGTGCATTGAGAGTACCTGTGATATAGATCAATTGCCTGTTGTTGTGAAAGATCCTTATCGATAGCGATCTATCCGTGGCTGGTTTCTCACCATCAGTTCGCAGGCCGACAACTGCTAGCATGGCTGTTTTGCGTTCATTGGATATCNNTAGAAAGTCAACACGACAGCCTCAAAAGCTCCATAGTCTTCTTCGACCTACTGTTGTGGTGATCTTGTCCCAGACGTATGTCAAAGCCCAGTCCAGATCACTGATTTCTCGTCCATTGTGTTTCTCGCCCATGGACTCGCCGAGATCCACGATGTAGACTGTTGCCTCTTTCTGCGCCATGTTGAAAGCACAGTATGCAGTCAAGACGCAATGATTTGGATGTTGTCGTTATGTTGTGGTTCGGGTCAAAAAACACTGGAAGCACTCCGACGCGGAGGACGTGTCGGCTTCGTGCTTGCAGGCAGCAACGAGCGTGTCGACCCTTCCTCAGATTCACACACATCAAACACGCTGCTACTGCAGAAAGACATGGTTCAGATGATTCCAAGCAAATCTACAAGTTATGATAACGAAAATGAGAGAAAAATAACTTGTGTTTGTTGAAGCCACGACCGAGGCATACCAGTAATTTCGCCTACGTCACCACTTAAGCGATCTGGCGTGATATACCATTCGACAAAACTTGACCCTTTCTTATCCTTGCCATCCTCCAGATATTTTCCAGCAAACATGCCTTCCGTAACGGACTACAAAGCGTACCACATCTTGAGTTATGGCTCCTTCCTTGGAGCCACGCTCTTCCAATCCTTCATCGGTGGCGTTGTTGCGTTCAAGGTCCTTCCGCGAGCACAATTTTCGACTCTGCAGAAGGCCACTTTCCCTGTCTTCTTCGCCCTTCAGTCTGTCCTCGGCCTTGCTCTTATGGTCACTTATCCTGGCGAGAAGTTGCTTGGTGTTGGAGGCCAGTACCTCAGAGAGAACACTGGCTTCAGTGGGCTGTTAGTAGACAGCAATAGATGGCCTGTGTTTGTGCCACTTGCAACCATCTTTGTTACCAGCGTCTTCAACTCCCTGATCATTGGTCCTGCCACAACCAAGACCATGAAAGAGCGTCATCACCAAGGTATGTGGCGAAGAGACTATTGTTTCAATTTCCAAACTGATGCATACCTTTTAGAAACTCGTGATGGCAAGAAATACTCTGATGCAGGTCCGCACTCCAAGGCAATGGAACAGTTGAACAAGACCTTTGGCATTCTGCACAGTGTATCGACAATTATCAACCTGACCGCATTTGGGTGCGCCATCTGGTACGGCTTTGTCTTGGGCGAGAGACTGTAGAATTTCTTTGTCGGAGAGAGACATGCATGAGTAGGGATTCAAGTAGGCCTAAAGCCAAGTCAGAGAATAGATTAGTATCGACATAAGCACTCTGTTGCGACCACATAATAATGCCTCTCTTGCCTGCTTGAATGTGAGATATTATTGGAAGGCTACTTGATGCTATCACACCCCACTACAGCAGAGATCCGTGCCCTTTCCGTGCGGCTTCCGACCCTCGGGCGAAGCCTGGATGACATCCAACCTCACTCCCTGCGTTGTTTGCTCTTCGCTTCCTGTACTCTCGATATATGCCTTGTATGATCTGCAACTTACGATAGATTCTGGATCATGTCTTCTTATACATCAGAATATCCCGCCGGCGACAAGTTTGACCCCGAGTATAGGACTTTCTTTGAGAAGTTCTACGAGACTTCCGATACTCCTACTGCTCATGAAGAGTATTCCAACCAATTCACGCAAAATGCCACTCTAATCATGGCTTCCAAGAAGGTCCAGGGCCGGGAAGGTCTGTATAAGCTTTCAAGAAGATCGACAGTCCATCTTCTGACATGCCCAGAAATCCTATCTTTGCGTAAAGGGATGTGGGAAAAGGTAAACCGAAGAAAACATACAGCATTGAAGGTATTCCCATTCGGTCCCAACTCGAACGAAGTCATGCTCTATGGTACCGTCGAGTATGGTCTGAAGGATGGCCGAGAAGCCACAGTCGACTGGGCTGCTCGAGCTCACTTAGTCAAACAAGATGGTGCGGTCATGATGGATTTCTATCAAGTATACTTAGTAAGTCCTGGCTACATCATCGCTAGAGGTCTGTAATATGTCTGACTCTGCCATAGGACACTGCCGCCCAGAACCGGAGCAAGTAACAGTACCAGATAGAACTGGATGCACCAGGACTGCCGAGATGTCCAGGTCCCGACTGCTTAATTGTTTCTACAGAGAAAGAAAGATCATCCATCCATCAATGATGCTTGCAAAGAATTGCTCGAAGTCATTCCCACGAACGGTATTTAACCGTCTTGACATATTGCTATTGAACTCCTCAAGTCTGCTCCGAGATGTGGTATTAGGATATCATACCTGCCCAACTGACATAGGACATACTGTACCTGCCGATCCACAAGTTTGCTCATATCAAAAACGACGATATATTTGATTGACAGCATGAGTTTCGTGTCCCTCTAGCACATAGCTGGTTGGTACCAACGTAGCGTTCAACGAAAACTTTGCTAGAACAGAGATATGATGCTTTTCAGAAAACAAGTCCATCTCGAGTCATCGGCTATCTTTATCCCCTGTCTAAAGGCACGATGTTTTATTCCACTCCAATTTCAAGAGCTATTGCACCGAATCGTTCGAGACTTTCCTGCAAATTGACCATCTATAGAACAAAGAACATCGACGCACTGTTGTTGACAAAGAGTGTCGTGTTTCCCGAACCGGCCACGCTCTCTTTGAGACACCTATCTCAAAGCACAAATTCTCGACGCATCCGGCGTGTCTCCATTGAGAGTCCGCAAAACATCTCGAGCGCAAGCCTGGGTTGTTTACTCTCCGTTCACTTTTCCCGTCGCTTTTGTTTTTATTGGTCGAACTTCCACTTTTCTCCGACTGTGTTCTTTGTTGTCACCACACTTATCATTGTCATTGTTTTTCCCAACGCATAACATCGCATCGCTTTACTTCTCTCTCACCAACACAACTCGCGCACACCCAAAGTCTCCTGCCAAGTTCTCCACTGCACTGCTGTCCCAACACTTTTCGTCACCATGGCGCTACGCAATACCGGATGGGCACTGCTCCATGCAGGCTACATCGCCAGTGCTATCTGGATAGGCGCGCATGAACTCAACACCCACAACTTTGCGGACGGTGATGTCTACAAGGGTCCAGTCGAGTCTCATAACACTCAACCACTCGACATCTCCTTCGGTCCCTCCATTGAATGGGTCCAGCAATCGACTTCTGTTTCATCCATCTTCGACGCTCCAGTTTTTACCACAACGGAGTACATAACAATCACCAAAGACAATGATCCAACCCCAGTACCTGAACTCCACCAAGGTCTCTCTATTGACGACCCTTCCGAGAACAACTCATGGGTTCAGGAGACCAGATCTTATGCGAACAACTCATTCGTTCAGGGCGCCATCCCCTACGTCGCTCGATTCTTCGACGAGGATGCTAGCTCTCACCCACGCCTTCGTGCGATCGCTCAACCTCTCGTCCACGCCTTCTTGTGGTTCATCACCCACCCCATCACCCAAACCTCCTATCACGTCATCTCCTCTGTCGTCAGTTTCGTTCTCTATCTGTGGTCCCTTCTGCCTGGCGGCAAGCAAGGACTGAATACCTTGGCACTTGCACTCACGCTTTATGCACTTGAGTTTGCCTATTTCTGGGACCCCTTGACAGAATGGTTCTCCTGGATATTCCCTCGCCGTCGCAAGACCCACCTCCTTTCGATGGTCCCTCTTCACCTCCTTCTCCACTCCACTCTGGCGGAGGCCCAGGCCCTGGCGGGGATGACAACAACCCTCCCTCAGGAGGTTCCAGGCCATCCGCAAACACACCATCAACTGCTACATCTGGCAACACCACATCAGTTGGTACCCAGACTACAAATGACACTACTTCAGCTGGAACCCAGACCGCAAATTTCGTTACTGAAGGAGAGCGCGAGTGTCAGGCTGATCGTGAGCGTCTACAGAACCAGCTTGATGAAGCCAGGAAGCGTATTACGATCCACATTGAAACAAGTGAACGGCAACAACGGTCTCTCTTGACCCGTGACCGAGAGATCTTGAGGCTACAACAGGAAGCAAGAGAGAGTATCCAGGCCATTAGTGAACGCGACGCAAGGATTGCAACACTTAAGAATAACGTCGCAGTCCGCGATCAACTCGCTCAGGAGAACGCAGACTTGATTTCGACGCTCCAAGAGGCTAGTCAAAGAGATGCTGCTGCTATCAGACATACCAACGGCAAAGTCGGCCGTCTCCAACAAGAAGGCAGTGACAACGCCAAAAGCACAAGGATGAAATCAAGACACTTGGGGCAGAGCGTGATGCCGCTGTCGAGAACCTCCAATCTGCGATCGACACCACCGAGACGCTCAAGGAGGCACACGAAAAGCAGGTCGAGAAGCTCAAGACCAGCCACGAGACTGCCATCGTGAAGTTCGAGTCTGAGGCTCAGAGCCTCCAGACACAGAACAACAAACTCAAGTACGAGAATGAGCGCCTGAAGAATGAGAACAACACTCTCAGCCAACAAAGCCAGCCCAGCTCGGGCGCGACTGAGAATGCCGTCAGTGCTGAAGAGAGGCAAAGGTTCAGAGATCACATCAAATCTCTTGAATCAGATATTGATCGACTCAAGAGAGAACATGCATTGGAAGTAGGCAGGGCTGTCGACCAAGCCTGCTCTGACGCCAGGGAAGAGGAGGCAAGCACCATCAAGAGAAGACTCGCGCTGTCTCAACAAAAAGTTGCTGACCTGGAAAGACAGCAAAAGAAGGACAGAGCGCAGTACGACCTGCGGGGCTCTGTCTCTGCCGCTTCTGAGGTCCATGAACTCAAGAAGGAGGTTGCGACACTCAAGGAGGTCCTGAGCAAGAAGGAAGCCGAGGAGAAGGTTACTGCCGACAGCCAGAAGAAGCTCTCTGCTGGGGAACAGGAGCAGCAAACAAAGGCTCTTACAGACTGCAACAACAAGGTCGGGGTTCTTGAGAGCACGAACACCGAGCTCATGCAGCAGAATGAGGCACTGCACAAGCAGAAGCAAGAAGCCAAGCAGGCCGAAGAGAAGGCTAAGCAGGCAGAGGAGAAGGTCAGAGCAGAGGTCAAGACCTTGCAGGAGCAGGTCGACGCGCTCAAGCTCTCACTCTCGCACGCTGGAGCTGGCAATGATGCAGCTACCAGACTACAGCAATATGTCGTCGAGGGAGCACAGCGCGAGCAGGCACTGAACACCCGCGTCATCGAACTGCAACGAGAGCTCTCTCAGGCTACAGATGCCAATGGAGAAGCCGAAAGACTGCACCAAGAGGCTACCACCGCAGTACAGTCTCTGAGAGAGTCCGAACAGGGCCTTAACAGCCGCATCACCGAACTTGAGCAGGACCTCTCGCGGGCCAGAGCGGATTGTGAAGCAGCTATCGCAATGCAACAACAGAACGCTGCTACGGCAGAGCAGACTCGGGAGGCACTGAACCACCACATCACTGCTCTCACCGAGGCAAACGCCAGCACACAGCAGCTACAGAACGCGTTCGAAGAGGTCCAAGAAATGAACAACAAGTACCTCAAGGAAGGCAGAGAATTGCAGGCAGCTCATGACCACTACAAGGCACAGGGTACAGCCTTGAAGAATGAAAACGAAGCTCTGAAACAGTCCCATGCCGAACAGGCTAAGAAATGCGAGGCTGAGAAACAGGCCATAAAAGCAAACGCCGACAAGCAGATCTTACACGAGCGCCAAAACGTCGAGGGTCTACGCAGTTCGCGCAACCAGTTGCAAGGCAGAGTCAGAGAGCTCGAAGACGCAACTTCCACCCTGGAGCGCGAACTTGAGATGCGTAATCAGGCGAACCAAGCCCTGATAGATACCAACACCGCTCTGTCAAGCCAGGATGCAGAGATGGGATTGGCAGCCGCACTCGCTGCTGATAGGAATCAAAACTCCGGCGGTACTCAGACATCTCAGGATCAGCAGATGGAGGACGCCAATGCGGCTCCTCAGCAGACACCCTTTTCCAACGCTCCTTCCTTTCAACCATCTAATCCTGCCGGAGCATCTTCATCGCGATCACCTACCCGCAGTCCTAAGCGTGATGCCGACGCCAGCGAGGCCCCTGGTGTACCAGCCAACACAGGAGTCTATAATGCTCTTGGTCGCAAGATCGCAATCCCTCGCAGCAGATCCCCAACAAGAACCCAACTGGTGAGTCTGAAGATCTTGCCCAAGATATCCTAGACTGGTGTACTGACCGCCAAACCGATACCTTTCAACCGCTCCGCCCCATAGCGACACCCCGTAGCCGTTTGAATTCGCCTCTGCGCCACCAGTTCGACCTGGCATCTTCTCGTCCCACTACGCCAAATGTCTTCGATGCATTGAATGGTTCTACACATCCGATCAACACGGAGTTCACTAACGGCGCACTCAGTGGAGTTCCAGTGTTACAACCCAATCACGACTTCTCAACCCTTGCGCCTGGAACTGCACAGAACCCTGTCGCACCAGGAAGCGCACTTGACCCTGCCCTGGGTGGCATTGCTCCACCCACTACAGCCGGTGCTCCTCCAGTTGTTCGCAGCCGAAGCGAAGAGCGTAGAGAACATAACGCTAGAGACGCAATGAGACGTGCTCAAGAAGGACTCGAGCGCCAACATCAGCAGCAAACCGAAGAAGCCCGCCGTCATCACGCAGAACTTGAAATGCCTCCAACACGTCAAACACGTGCAGCCGATCTTGGCAATTACAACGACGACTCGATGGATGCTGAGCAGACAGGCACCACAAATGTACCTGCAGCTGATTCGATGGACACCGAGCCAAACAACAGCGCAACCGCAGATGGAGAGGCAGAGCTGTGGGGTTCTCCACCCAGAGTCGTGGGCTCGCAGGAAGAACTCAGCCACTTGAGAAGCATGTACGGCAACGCGGACGGTCGTTATGATGAATTTTACAGAAACAACGACTATGCCGACCCCGGCGCCACTCCCGAAGAATTCGAGCAATATGAGCTCAACTATCTGAGAAATGTGATGCCTGGAAACGAGAACGGTCAATTCGACGATCTGTACAGAGGCAACAACTACAAGGAGCCCGATGGGTGGGATGAATTCGATAACCCTGTCTGGTACTAGATGCGGGTATCTTTCCTCCTCTTTTTTTCTCTATTTGACATTTCACGGTTTTCGAGAGTTTGACTTGGGTTCTCTTGATTTATTGTTGGAGTAGAGTACATAAAGAAAAACTCAAAAGGATTAATCTCCACCACTTGTTGTGATTCTTCTACTTTCTGTTCTGTTGGAAGTGTAATGTAGAAAGTTTCATGGTATGCTTTACTGTTTCGCTAATGCTTGGTAGTGGAGAGACACGAAATGGGGACCGTTGGTGAGCATTATCTGTTATTGCAAGGTCCTCCTGCATTGTGATAGCTACGATTTATCTTGCAGTCGTTGCAGGAGAGTGCTCTGTTTAGTTAATCTAGTCTACCATCGTCTTCGTTCCTCATAAGCCTCTATTCTGATAGATGAGAATCTGTCGTCGCTTCCTTATCGAGATTTTGAGGTGAGAAGATGCATGTGACTCAATCAGAGCGAAACAAAAGCCTGGTGGAAGAATCGAGCCGAGCACTCCATGCGCAGCCAACCAGCGAACTGCAATCATCTTGCTTGTAACAACAGCATAAACGCTATCGACTTTGTACACAAGCAAAACACGAGTAGGAGAAAGGGCAGAAAAGATAAGGAGTGCAAAAGAAGGAGCTGTGCGTCTTGACCGACGATGAATCCCAACTAACACCAATGGTTAAGTGAACAAAGCGGGCACCTAGTTTCGGTCAAGTTCAGGGGGAATCATTCCGCTACAGCAAGTACACGGACTTCATTCTGCTCTCCCATATGATAAGTTAGCAAAGGTTTCTAGATATATAGCCTCACCGCGCAGGCGAGCATACTCAGGGGCTTTCACTGACGATTGTTGTCACTTGTGAGATGTTCTTGCCTTATCACAGTGCAAATTACCACTGTCTAAGCGAAGGGAGAACAACATACGAAGAGTAGTGATATGTTAACCTGGCTTGATATCTCGATCAGCCCTCGTATTAATTGGGTACGCCATCGAGGTGTACTACAGACCTTTCTCATCCTCTTGTTTCCTCGAGAGAGCTCACACTGTCAACAGCAGCGCTCTTTCCTCTATCCATCATACGTCTCTCTCCCCTCCATCTTCCTCCTCAAGCAAATGCCTTCCCAAGCCCTTCGAACAACATCAGCACTAGTACCACCCAGCAACCTGATCGCCTCTTCCACAGACACCAGTTGACCAACATAGAAAGCCTCGTCTTCATCGACTCCAGTCCCTTCATGTCGTTTCGGCTCATACACTCCACCTTCTCTTGCATCCAGCTTTTCCCTCTCTCTCAATGTCATGCCCTCAGGAAATACCTCAGGCACCACAAACCCTTCTCCACTCGAAGCCACGGCGTTCAAACCTTCTTCGATGTCTTCCGGCACCGTCTCGGCCGCATACCAAAANAGCATATACTGATACTCCCTCGCCACTGGCATCATCCTCGTGGCTATAGGCTCAATCACCCATGTCTCCTGTTTCCCTGCGGGAGATGGTTGCAAGTGAGCAACAGGTAAAGGCAAAAGCCTACACCTATACCCCGATTCCTCGTATCCTTCTCTGATGGCCGTGGTGGTAGTCTCTTCGCTAGCGTCTTTGCGGCCTTTGGGCAGAAAGTATACAGAGGAGCGTGTGTCTTTGCAGATGACGATGCGGTTGGTGGCGAGGTGGAAGATTGTCACTCCGGCTCCTGTGTGACTTATTAGACTATTGTCGTTCCAGAAAAAGAAAGCAAGTATGATATGATGAGAGGACAGAGGAGGAGAATGCAAGCTATTCATACCTATCACCAGACTATCGCTAGTAAAATACTTGTCCACGGGCGAACTAGCATGAACACGTCTCGAAGACGGCATCCTTTCCTCTGTCCACCAAGTGAACCCAGGCAATATAGTCTACAACTTCGGAATATTGGTAAAAAGGAGTGGCTTCGTTCTTCTCCCTGTCCGAAGGTGCTGGTAGTCAGGGTATAGACAGATAGGGTAAGAAGGAACAAGTTATAATGTCCACGACAAGAGGTCGTCAAGAAATGTAGATCGTTTAAATTGACCCACTGAAGTTGATCGACCGAGAGGCTCTGCGTTCATATGTTTCCTTTTTGCGGGTGCTGAGATGCTTGACAGCCTGGGGATGTGGAGAGATCAGGGGCCCGTGCCTGACCATGACGATCATAATCATCACGGTTGTCTTTTGCGACAGAGGGCTGATAGTTAGCACTTTGCTTTTTTGATCAGATCGGGCTTGTCAATCTCAGAAGCTCCAGAAGGTAGCTAAAAGGAGCTTTGTTCCTCTCGTCCTGAATCTCTTTCCTCTCCTCCTACTCTCAAACCCAACTCAACACTATCGTGCGGACTATTTTTCCTTTGGACTTGTCACATGATTGTTAAAGAGAGAAGCATTGGTTTCAGAACGGGTTCTGGATTCCTCGAATATCGTCATATCTGCGACTCGCACGACGACGCTTGCTGCTACGATGGAAGTCCTTTCTCAAGTCTTTTCATGCCATATTCATATCGTTTCAAGGGAAAGAGATGACAAAGTAAAGTAAGAGAACAAAAGATGCTCATGATAACAAAGAAAATGCCTGCAACCTCTCCCTCGGTTTGTTGAGAAGAAGAGATAAGAAGAAGATACAAGGGACATGAACGGCATTAGCAAGAGAAGTTGATGGGAGGGTTTCCAGTATGAAGCGAGTGTGAAGGATGGATGAAAATGTTTAGCCATCTCAAACGCAAAGGACTTTCGGGCTCGAATGACTTCAACCTCATGGGACGTCTGAACTCCCACTCATCGGTGCCAAAGGAGCAGCCTTGCGGAGGTCTGGGCTGCTGTGAAAGGAAAACGCTAAAAGTGACAGCAAGAGAAATTGTGTGTATTCCTGAACACTGGACGGTCCAAAATCCGACCAATGGAACAAGGCTTTCCAGGATAATAAGAAAAACAGAAGAGTTGAGGTTACTCTTCCATTGTGCCAAAAACGCCATCGTCGGCTTCGTCGGCTCTGCTGGTTTCTTCGTCATCCTCGGAATACGATTCCTCCTCCATGTCGACATCTTCGTGGAACTGGTGAGCATTTGCCAGGGAGCTTGGCTGGTACGAGTTCTGGTATCTCGCGGGAAGAGGAGGCACCGGGGGCACATTTTGACCTAAGCTGGTGGGACCATAAGTGGGGGTGCCATAGCTGCAGCTTAGCAAGCCGACTGCAGCAGCAAGATCCGCTTGGTCCTCATCGGGATAGCTCTGGGCAAGAGAGGAGGCAGCAGTGATGGGTCTGCTGCTTGAAGTGCTCCAATGGCGGGCGTGAGATGAGCCAGAAGGAGCAGAAAATTCAGACTGGTACGAGCGCGAAACAAAGCTACTGGCGTTGCTATAGCGCTTGTTGTGTCCGAAGGATTGCTCGCCATGGGGAGGTGGTGTAGTCTCGGCCGAGCTGATGTCGTCCTCTCTAGAGTCGGAACCCGAGGCAGCGGGCGAGGCGGACGAGTTGTCGCTGTCGCTAAGTTTGCTATCACCGGGNGTGGCATCTCCGTTCATAGCGACAAGGACCGAGGCAGCTTCTAACAACTGGACCTGTTGGTGCTTAGAGATGAGGAGCTTGGACGTGTATTGCCATTCTGGAGTGTGTTCCCAANNCTGCAGGAGTAATCAGTACGGGGCACAAGATATAACTGAGCAGGACAGCAAGACTCACAGGTGTTTCGTCAAACAACTGCTGTGCTTGTAGCCCTTTCCGCAGGTTTCGCACTTGAGCTCGCCAGCAGCCGACTTCTTCTTTGTCAAAACGGAGCCATCGCTGCCGCGACGAGCCTTGACCTTTTTGTCGTCGACCGACTTGTCACCCTGAGGCAAGCTGCTCGGAGGAGAGGGGTAGCTGGCCTGGCTGACGGAGCCGAGAGCATTGCGTGAAGAGACGGATTTACGGGCAGCGTTGGATTGGTCAATGTTGATGGCTTGGGAGATTGCTTGGGCGGAGGTTGCAGCGCTCAGGGTGGTGCTCTTGCGGCGGGTGACACGGTGGGTGGGATTGTAGGAAGAGCCGAGCATCGAAGGAGTGTTATGAGAACGAGAGTACGAGTTGCGTGACGGCAGACTGCCAGAGACGGAGGCTCGGTGCGGTGTGTCCTGTTGGGTTGCTTATCAGCTGGTGGGTCTTCGACGCTCGAAGGCAGCGGACATGCCCTTGCGACGGTCATTGTGGTGTAGATTGCTGTATACTTGAGTATACCGCTCGAGGTAGATGGCTGTTGCTCTCCCGAGACTTTTTTTGAAGATTGTCGGTTGCACAGCCTCAACAACAAAGAGCGACGGTGGATCGGCAAGGCGGCAGGAATGAGCAGGTGCGTGGAGTGATTGCGAGAGCGGTAGACGTCCGAGGCGGTGGGAAGGCGTGTCGAGAGTCAGGAGGGCGTCAATGGAACGAGGATGGGCAGTGGGTGAACAGGTGTTGGAGAGAGTCAGAGTCAGGCGGAGAAGAGTAGCAGAAGGTGGTAACAAGTTGGTCAAGAGACCGAAGGTGCTAGCGGATCCCCGCTTGAAGGGTGGAGCGACCGGCCAGCCCAATCACAGCTGCTCCTTCCTAGACAAAGCCTCCGAAACGTGCCTTCCTGATCTTATCTCACCACCAAATTTCTCCTTTTGTGCCTGCGCTCCCCTGTGCTTTCCCTGTTCTTCGGCCTTTGTTCGACAATAAACACCTCTCATTGTCCTTCTCCGATCCTGTCTCTCTCTCGACGCTTCACAGACAGAAGACACGCAGGGATTCGAGGCACGCAATGCGCCTTCCTGTGGCCGTGTGGGACCTGCGGCTAGGAACGCCTCGTTCATTGAGTCCCGCTCCAGCCTAGCAAATCTAAGGGCGCATGCCCTCCCTCCCATCTCCCTACTTTCGAGTCCAGACACGACAAGTCTCATGATTACCCGAATGTACAAGAATACTTGCCAACATGCTCCCGTCCTTAGCCCATCGAGTTCCTCCATTTCGACAGCTGTTCTCTCGCACAATGAGCTGCTGCTTTTCCCACTTGTTCCCCGTGGCCGCTAAACGGCGAAGCCTCGTGAGTCGCCCATTGCGAAATCAGGCACAGCACATGTCTCCGATTGTCCTATCCTTTTCCGCTTCGAGTCTAGTCTATGTTCAATCACCACACCCGCTCCCCGAGACCCCACTCCCGAAAGCGTCATCCTTATCCCGAGCCGATCTCTCGATATCAATTGCCAAATCGCAGCCTCATGAAGCACACGCCCTTGTTTGCTGGCGCCGTCTTCTAGAGCCGTTCTCGATGGGAGTAACAGTGTACAAAGATTGGCGGGACTGGACACACAGCGCCTGCGATATCGCAATCTGGCCGCAGCAATCGCGATCGAGAGATTCTTTGTAAACACTTGCCCCGAGCTCTCCGCCGACAATTCCTCCATCAAACGCTCCCCATAAAGATAACATGGCACGGTGCACAAGCCCTTGGCCACTCACGTCACTCTGAGCTGGCACGGTGGATCCGTGATCGCTGCTGTATTTTGCGACTTTTGGCGACATTTTTCGACTCCTCGCGACTTCGGGGCAGCACTCCGCGATAGTCAGAAAATCGTTCGGCTCCCGGTTAAGTATATAGTGGGCCAATCCAGCTTACGTTACCACTCGGCGCTCGCAGTTCTGGCGAGCGGGGTTAAACTTTGGCCATTGAGGCCTCAGGATTCCACGGCCAGGCCGAAGAACAACGCATGTTGTACAAACTTCCAAAGGCCGCGAGCGCTTGCAACAGCCTGGAACGCATCAATCATCCTCCTTTCTCAAATCAGCTCGCCTTGCCTTGCATTAGAATACTGCCTATCGCTGCAAATGTCAGAGCGAGACATCTCCGACCTCATATTTTCGGACGTTGGATTGTCTCGTCTGGTGGTCAGGAACCACAGGGGAAGGTCCAGAGACGCCTCCTGGTGCCTGGCCACACTGTTCTCAGCTTGCACGTTAGCTTATATGGAGCATCAACTGGAGTGAATCCCTAATTAATAAGTAGGATGCGATACTTTGTTTGCTGAGAAATTTCTTGTCCTGTCCTCAAAAAAATCCCTCCACGGAAAATGTTGTTGATCGTCAGGAGCTGATCCTACAGCGAACGTCCACGATTGGCAGGTTCGCAAGCCTCCCTGCATATGCGAACTCGATCGCCTACCTGATATCGTGACCTCTACCCCCATATTCGGACATTGCTAAAGTAGTAGAAGCTAAAAGCTGCGATTTGCGCAACTGAGCCACAATGCCACATCTGATCTGCTTTTCCAAAGCCGTAAGAGCCGCGGAATTTTGAAAGAGCTCGAAGACATGATATTTCAACTCGCGTCTTGCTCGTCAGTATCACTTGTCAAGCTTCACCTGGTCAAGAGCACATGAAGATCAGACATTCCGTTCACGTTCTGCTTCAATTGCCACAAAATATGGGTTACAGGGACGCTCAGAATGTTGCAACCATGCATTGAATGGTGAGCTACACGGTCGTATTCAAGCCTTGAGTGACCAGCGTCAACTGTCATGGACTGCCAGGATTGGCACTTCTAATGCTTCTCGACGACGTCTTACATCTGCTTTCGACAGAGATGCAAGCAGCAGCACAATGACTTTATAAATTTTATTGGCTTCTTGGTTCAATACGATCAGACGTTGTATTGACTATGATGGTAGTCAGGGTGCTCCTGCTTACAAGCAAGAGGTGAATGTTGGCAGTAAATACACCTACGTCATAATGGCACACGCAAAACGTGGACCAAAGTCTCTTCCTGCGACAACAACATCCAACCTACGAAGTCTCCTTCTATACCAATCCTACGCGTCATGGCAAGCCGAAATCGCTTCAAGGCAGAGGTGCCCGTGTCTGCACTGTCACAACCTTCGTCTCCTTCGTCCCCGAACGGCAGCATGGACAGCCTCAAACAGGCGCCATCGTCACCGTGGTATCCCACCTTTCTTGAGAGCGTCCTGCTGGCCATCTACCCCTTCACTCTAGTGCTGGGCTCCCTGTTCAGTGTTCTCAACAGCACCACGCGTAACACCCCCTACAGCGGCGACCTCCAGTCCCACCCTCCGTCGATCGCTCCCTCGTACTTCGCCCTCAAGTCCAATGTCTTCAACGTCTACTTTGTCAAGATTGGCTGGTTCTGGATCACTGGCGCCTTCTTCCTCTTCTGCTTCACCCACAGCTCCCTGGGTCCTCGCTTCCAACCAACCCTGACCNCCCGCCGGATCCGCGCCATCATCCGATACACTGCTGTAACTACCGTCTGGTGCGCAGTCACCCAATGGTTCTTCGGCCCACCAATCATCGACCGCGGCTTTAGACTGACCGGCGGCCAATGCGAGATTATCTACAAGGACGACCCCATCAACAACTACAAGCAGGACCAGATGAGCGACACCAGAGAGATCTTCACTCATGCTGCTTGCAAGATCGCTGGTGGCTCTTGGAGAGGTGGACATGATATCAGTGGTCATGTCTTCATTCTGATCCTTGGCTCTGCAATGCTCTGGCTCGAAATTCTGCCCGACGTTCTGAGAAACGGAGGCTTGCGCGAAGACCGTCGTATTCGCATGCACGACGGCGCAGTCAAGACTGCCGCTGTCGAGACCCGCGACAACAAGGGCAACGTCCCCGTCCCTAACGAGTTGGGCCTGGGCGTTAGAGTTGCTCTGTGCATTGCAGGTCTGAGCTGGTGGATGCTGCTCATGACTGCTGCATTCTTTCACACCTGGCTCGAGAAGTTTACAGGCTTCCTTGTCGCTTTCGGCGTCATCTACACCGTCTACTTTGTTCCCCGTGGAGTGCCTGCTATCAGAAGCATTTTGGGAATGCCTGGCGTGTAGAGGCGGGAGAAAAACAACACAGTACGAAGATGGTATACACAATTCTCCCTCACGTTCTGGCCTTTGAAGTCTATAAGATGAAAAGAGAAGTCTTCTATCAATCTGCTGCAATATTCAATGCTCTTTACACCATGATTCATGATCTCTTTTCTCGTTTGGAGCGGTTATACCATCCTTGAGGATGACCTCATTCTGGGACAAACAAATCATCAGACTCGGATTAGGAACGAACAAACTCACGAGCAATGTACAGTATCTCTTAGAGAAAAGACAGTTAATCAGACAAAAACACACATAAATCACCAAATCCCGCACCATCACAAGTTCAGCTAGCAAATACCTCCCAAGCACAATAATGCCACATGCCATCCTCTCTACTCATCCACTCACACCTGCACATTATCATGTTAGACGATGCATAGCCACTCGTCAGATGGCCGTTGCCGACAATGGCGAAAGTCATCAGTCTCCCAAGCGCCAAGGGTGGATTATCTGTAGAGAATCCTTTGAAAGTCCGAGCCGACCAATCAGATTCCACGAGACCAACTTCACGTCTCCAAACACAACCTCTTTTACTGCAATATGAACCATCTATGGCACGAGACAAGACGTAAATATGGATGATAGGCATGGTTCAGTGGGCATGGCTATGCACTGCCTGTCAGTTATAAAGATTGGCAGATCTCCCTGTTGTTGGACTTCCGGTTTACTCTTCATTGTTCCCTTCTCATTGCAACTGAGACCACTTCCACACCACCTTGTCCATTATCAGATTCTGTCTTATAGGGAAAATGTACGGCGACGGCGTATTCAGATACCGCAATGGCATCTGCGTTGCTCAAATCATCACCTTTTCAATCTCCCTTGTCTTCGCTGCTTCCTTCTACTGCACAGGACGAATCGGCTGGTTCTGTATCGGCGTCTTCTCACTCATACGGCTTGTTAGTGCAAGCTGCTATTTGGCTATCATGAGCAACGACTCCGAAAGTCTGTGGGCAACGGTCTTCGTCTGCGAATCTCTGGGTATCATGCTCATCATCTTCTTGTTTCTGGAGTTGTTGTATAGAGTGTATGTTCTTCTTTGCTAATGCGTGGAAAGTGAAATGCTGATAAGACGTAGGAATAAGGTGGTGTCTGTGGTGCACAAACGCTACTTTTACATACCACAACTGCTTACCTGGACCGACATCGTCATCTCTATTGTCGGATACATTGTCATTAAAAACAAAGACGACAACCGGCTGGATCCTACGCCTTATGATCAAGCGAGCAGAGCTATCGTTACTGTAATTTATGTTTACACTCTCTGGCTACTGTGGGTCTTCTGGCGTTTCCAGGATATGTCTGCATATGCATTACCGGAAAGAAGAGCGATACGCGCAGTAGTCTACTGTATCCCTTTGATGATTGTTAGACTGGTCTACTCGCTCATCTTTGAAGCTACAGGAGACAAGACTTTCAACTCGAGCAAAGGGGATCCCACGGCTTATCTCACCATGACTTATCTTCCTGAGTTGGGGATCATTGCTGTTTGTACTGCAATCGTATTGGGCATTCCCNCAATCGAGAAACAGAAACAGGACGTGGAGAGAGGAGCAATGACTGAGGAGAGCAACAACGGGGAAGTTGACGAAACAGAGAGTCATCACAACCGCAGAAGAATACACGCTTCGACATAGAACTCGAAAGCAGAAAAACTCAAAAATTTGTTCCGCAAAATGTACTTTCTACATAGAATTGCAAAGACATGCAGACCACGTACGAGCCTCTTCGTGATGCAAGAAAGGAGGTTGAAGACAATGCAAGCGTGAGGCTCTGATCACGGAGTGTACTTTTGGTGAAATAAGCATAGGCTGGCGTCTTCCTCTGGATCTTGCTGGTATTACGGGTTCGAGTTCTTCGTCACTTGCCCATGACACCGATCGAAACACACATGAAAGGGGTCACAAGGGGCAACGAGCATGAAGTGAGGATCTCCGACTTCTTCGAATCGCACACATCTACCCCTGCCAGATAAAACAATGCCCTTCACATGGCAGCCATTAAAAGTAAAAGAGAAACAGCTCACCCCCAACTCGAACCTCGGCCCCCTCCACTAACCTATATATTCACCTCAAAATTCCTTTATCACTGTAATCGGTTGAGTGGTGTAACGGCTTGTACACTCACGATTCATAATAAAACTTCACCCCTGCCTTGTACGTCTTAATTCATTGACCCCCAGATGACCGACATTTGGTGACTATAATCAAGGAATTCGAGGGGTGGGTTTCCCATACGAGCTCAGCTCTGGGTTTTTGCTGTTTTTGGTGGTTGTGAGATGTTTTGGTTTTCTGTGCCGATCAATGGGTTGAGTTGCACATGGTAATGTCCTTTTACATCTCCCGCCTGAGAAGAAAAAAAAGAGAGCGTAAAAATTGGACATGGTGGTTCATCATCATTAGCCCACAACGAATATGACTTCGCGAGTAAGAACTATGTGCCTCTTGACAGAGATCAGCTGCTAGAACCGCCAGTAATGCTACTTCGCCGTCCCATTTCCATATGAGAATCACACTGGCTAAAAGAATGACTCGGTGGACTCGCCGTCTTCAGCTCTGACCCCTTCACGAGCTTTCTTTTCATTGGGTTCTCCATCCATTGCTTTTGCCTTCTGTTTATGGGCTCTGGCAAATTCCTCACACTCCAATCTTGGGTCCTTCGTCGTCTGGAAGTAAAGCGAAAGAGGCGAGAGGACGATTACGACTCTGGTAAAGACAATCCTGCTACGGTCAGCATGAAAGTCGTCCACGGCGCTTTAGACGGAGTGTTGAGGAAGATGCATGCATCGATGTAGAAGCAACATCAGATTGCATGTGGATATACAACTCACCAAAAATGATTCTGGTACGCCACATCTGCCCCAAGTACCTCAATCATGGTGTCCAACAACTTTGAGATCCTTCTCAATTGACACCACACCTCTGCACAAAGCTCAGACAGATAGTTTGCTGATACCTCTTGCTCTGCGTGAATCTTCTTCCAAGCTTCCGAGTTTGTATGCCGTTCTTCGAGAGTCCGCTGACTATTCGCGCGTTGCTCGAGAAACATTTGACGCCAGAAAATTATTAGGAGCTTGGTAGTGCAGCGGCTTGAGTATTCTGAATGGTTGGAAAACAGGTTGTCTTGCGGCGATCCGATACGCTGGAGGAATGGTGTAACGATTACGCATCTTGAAGAAGCGGATGGGATGATGTTGATGAATACAAAACCGATGGATAAGGCGCAGTTGTTAAGCTAAGGTTGAAGCAATGATATGACTTGTGCTTGAATGTCAGAAATGTTTGGGGACTAACGATGCACAAACTTGAGAATATGCCTGTCGTTGTTGGGAAGGTGCAGTGCACTTCCTTGTAGGGGGCGAGCCCACGAAATCATGGATGACTTGCGTTCAAGACACCGAGAAGGAAACTACGACGCATGGAGCAGCTGTTGCTTTATTCAATGAAGTCGTAATGCTGGCGGTCCTCTCTAGATTCGTTCCTGGTCTGAAAACAGTTGTGCTGTTTCATAGATAGTTCACACGTCGTCTTTTGTCATTGGAAAGTGGCCCGAGAAGGATCGAAGCAACAAACCTGTGTAAGTGACGATGGAAGATGAGTAACTCTTGGAGCAGATTTAAGGCCTCATCTGAGAGCTCTGTTGCGGGCAACATGACCAAACCTTGAACAATTCAGCGTCAGTTCTGAGGGGAGAATTGATTCAGGAGGCATAATTGGGTAGATAAGGGTTTAAGAAGACCCCTTGACAAGACTCGATGTGGATATCAACAAGATGAAGCAAAAGGAACGATCCAGTACCGCAGTGATCGGAAAAACGCCAGTAAGAAAACACCAAGACTTTCGAAGCATGGTCCAAAAGCTCTGTCGACACGTCCCAAGATACAGAGCCAAAGACAAAGGTCGGTTTACCAGCATTCAAGCTTTCCCCGAAACGAGACACCATAAAGCAGGAACAGCAAACAAGCAGACTAACACGCGCAACCCTCCTTTGCGCCAGCTTCCCTGATGCTGTTCAAGTTGACCCTTGACTCCTGACCTTGGGCAGCAGCATCACCAGCACCAGCTCTGGCGGCAGCAGCACCTCCCCTGGGGCCCTTGAGGCTCGTCTCAGGAATAGCATTGGCAATAGCGGTAAAGACCTCAGTGACATTGGTGCCGTTCTTTGCGGAAGTCTCGAAGAACAGCAGGTTCTCCTCGTCGGCATATGACTTGGCCTCGCGCGTGCTGACTTTCCTTGCGTCTGCACCGTCTTCGTCCTCGCCAATGGTAGCCTCGGCGGCGGTATCCTCCTCGGCGTCCTCTCCCTCCTCACCACACAGATCGAACTTGTTTCCAACCAGGGCGATGACGATACCCGGTGAGGCCTGACGTTGCAGCTCGGCGACCCAGTGACGAGCCTTGACCAACGAAGACGGCTTGGTGAGATCATAGACGACAAGAGCAGCTTGTGCGTTGCGGTAGTACATGGGAGCGAGCGAGGCGAAACGCTCCTGGCCTGCCGTGTCCCAAATCTCGAACTTGATGGTGCGGGCAGGTAGCGAGATCTTCTTTGTGAGGAAAGCGGCGCCGATGGTGGGTTCTTTGTTAGGCTGGAAGTCGTTGTTTACGAAGCGCAAGACCAGTGATGACTGGAGGCGGCATCAGTGACTGTGGGCGGTGGCTGTTGGTCTAGACGTTCGTACCTTTCCTACTGCAGCCTCTCCCAGCAGGACCAGCTTGACGCTGCTGCTGGGCTTCGGTGCTGATGCGTCACTCATTGTGAGATGTGGATTATAGATCTGACAGGATTGCTGTATGGATGTTGGATGATTGCGACGAAGTTGAGAGCAAGTTTCCTGTGACAACGACCAAGGCGACGACGACGACTCGCACCGTTGCGTTCGCAGGTACCGCCCATGACGGAAACCCTGATGAGNNCCAAGCCTTTGCGAACGCGCTCCCAACGACGTTCTCAACCCCAGCGTGTTTCCAATAAACAGCTTCTGAATACCTATCTCCTCGCGTCTTGCACACGGCGACATGCACCTTTATGAACAGAGACTCGATCTCCAGTTCAAGAGCNACCGTACTGGTACCTGATCGTCCTGTCAGATAAGTGGCTTGCAGCAGCACACCGCCTTTGACAATACACTCACTCCTCGCTGAATTGAGCCTCCTTTCCCGAATGACCGGCCTGCCCCAGGAGTTCTCGCGGCCAGGGCCGCTGTGAACCTCATCTCGGCTGACAGTGATGCGCCGTCACCTTAGGATATTCAAGCCCGTACCACCCTTGACGNNAGTCCCTGGTCTGGCCATGTCTCTACCGCCGCCTCCAAAATAAGCCGTCTACCTGAGCATAAGAAAAACTCGGTTGCCAATTATGGACCTTCTTGGTATCATCAAAGTCGCTTGTGTCAGTACGCGGACACGGCTGACCACTAACAAGTCTGAACTGCCGAACTTCTCGAACCGAACGTCATTCAAATTAATATAGCAGAAGCGGGAGAAGTTTCTGTGTGGAACACTGACGGAATATTAAAGACCAATATCTTTTACACTTGACCTGTTTCTGGTACTTGGTAACTGGCCAAATGCGAGGCTTGGATCGATCTTCGTTATTGCCAACAGAAAACATGACTTTAGGTTGACAAACCCCTCCTAGACAGCAAGTCTCGACATCAGCTTTAAGGTCACGCTGGCAGGCCATTTCAGGAATGACTGATTTTCTGTGCGGAAGTCAAACTCCACAGTAAACACAAGACTGTCAACCAGTGTGTTTCTCACCATGCAAGGATTGAATTTCTTGCTGTTTGTCATCCATCACAAGATGCTTAGTAGACACGGCTTGTCTGCTAGAGGCAGATCTTCCGTTGGGTGAACCATTCAACTCGGTTTGCTGCAGAGTTACACCAACAGACAATCGTCTGCGAACTGCTGCATCGGATCCCGGCTTTGCGTCGTACCGCCTTTGACCGGCTTCTTTCATGAAAAAAAAAAAAAAATGATGCAAGGTCTTTCAAACAATCAATCTCTGATTGATATGCACAGGCGAATTGTACTCTGCCGCGTCCGGCGGCTGTTCTTTATCTTCTGGCTGTTTGGTGGCTTGCCAGGGTTGGCGAGAGTTTGTTTGCGAGCTCCTTCCGTGCCGGTCCAGGAGATTGTTTTCCCGTTTTTCTTCCGCATCAAACATGGTAAAACTTGTGGAAACTGTTTGACCGTTGATGCTCCCCTTTGTAGGGGGTCAATGTCAGAAGATGTTACGTGCTCACACCGAGGTAGGTCGAAGCAAGGTTGTGTAAGTAGGGCGTAGTGGCAATTCGATAAGCCGAGTACCCGGTTCTTCCAGAACAGTGCGACGGAGGATGCAAGGAAGCCTGCTGTCACAATCTTAATTTGCTTCGCCCACGGCTTCGGGCAGTGATGACAATTTCGAGGCTATGACATGGGCCACGGACGATCAGGGTCAGTTCTCGTCTTTGCTCACGAATATAGTTCTGAAGCATGGTCCATTTCGGAAAGAAGGAAAGAACAAGGGCTGGGCAGCTGAAGGCATGAACAAAGAAGAATGAGAGAAAGGGGCAGAGGGTTCTCGTTTGATCACGCAAACTGGAAGCAGAGTCAACACACTTGACGTATCAAGGGTCGAGGCACAGCAC